ATTCATGAATCATGTCCTTGTAAACTTCGACCTGCAGAGCAACAACAATGAAAAATATAAATTCTAAACCAACAAAAAACCAAAAATTTGATGATAAAGAAAAAGAAAAGCAGAGGTAAAAATCTAACCACCAGCTCCTGAAAACCGATTCTTTTAATCTTGTTTTATTTTCATCTGTGTTGTCGGGTTCTGCTGAATCTGTACATTATCTTTCTGCTAACCTTGGAAATGTTGAATCACATTTTACATCATCCAAGTATTTTCATCAGAAATTTTCCAAAGTAAATAATGGTATTTTGCCTGATATTAAATCAAAGAAAAAGCAGTTAGAATAATCATTCTAAGAAAATTTATTAGGAATTATAAAATTAGCAAATAATTAAAATCCACCTGTCCGCATCATTGCCCGCCTAGGTCCTGACGAAAATCCTCAAATCGCAGCTGCTCTAGCTCCTGCTTCATCTTGATCTCGTTCCTTCATGACTTCTAATATCGCTGCCATAATAAGTGAGAGGGAGGAGCATTTTCCTCGAACCGCATTCCAACAAGTTCATCATGTCTTCTATGTAAATGTTTTTTCCCGTTTCTGTTTCTCAACAGAGTCCAGCAAAATGGTCGTCCATTTTTGATAATTCTGTTTAAGAAAAACTTTCCCGTAGTCGTAATTTTGCTCTTTACTTTTCAAAACAATTATTCTTTGCATGAAGAGAACCAATTTAACTAACTAAAAGTTTTGACTAACCAACACCAGATCCAATTAGAAGAGCCGGCAAGAACTCTGCTAGTCTTGCGGTTGTGCATCTCCGCGATGAAAACATTGAAAACGCCAAGACAAAAGTAAACCCAAACCTAAACCAAATACAGAACACGACAACTTTTTTTCACGCCATGGGCAAAATAAGAACTCTTCCGTCAAGAATACAACTTCATCAAAGCATTAAGCAAACCTCTCTTACTGTGTAAGCAATTAATCTAACCGCAGAAATAGAACAGCAATAATACGCACCAATTCCATATCTCAAAATGCCCAAATTCTACGGTTTTTAGGCCATTTTATCAGCTGTCAGCTAGCTATTAGAAGCCTATACAAAACAATACAGTAAAGACTCGATAAAGAGTATCAACAATTTTCCAGTTGATACGTCTGTAAGGATTTTTAGGATTTTTACCATTATCTTTATTCTTTTCCAGTGATGGTGGTGATCCAAGCGACTCCACTTTTGGCAGCGTAGAATTATCATTATCATTATTATTATAAAGGGGCTTTGAAGACAAAGACCTGGTTGGGGAAGATTTTCTTTGAACGACTGAATTTGTTAGTTGGATTTGAGGAGGCTTAGTGGAAAATGGCTCTGTGGCTTTATCAGGCTCAGTAGGTTGAGGAATTGGAGATCGCATTTGGGACTTCACTAGTACAAAAGCTTCTTCCTCTCCGGAGATAGAGATGCTGACGTCATCTGCTTTCCCTGCCATGCTTGTGCACTTCTGAAGTGAATCAGAAATATACTTAAATTGAGTTGCAGAGGAAAAAGATTGAATCTTGAAGGAATCAATTAGTGGAGAGATAAGAGGAGAATTAATCTTGGACTTCTGGTGTTTCTTTCTCGCTTGTGCGTTGTGTCCTAAAAGAGCATATATTTATTGTAGTTAGTAACATGCGCTAAATAGGAACTCGGATTAGAAGTGAGTCAACAAAAGCAACTCGCTTTCCTCGTTAAAAATAAAAATAGTACTACTACTAGCAATAAATAATGTTATAAAGGAACTCGCTAACCCCATCCTGGTCGTTAGGTGTGACAGCGAGGCAACAAATTTATTACATAGATTTAAGGAAAAATATTATCAGATTGCGACTATGCCTCCACTCATTTACCAAAATCAATAAAAATAAAATTTTTTTTAAATTAAAATATTTCTAACTATATATTTTAAATTTAAAATATTAATATATATATATAATTTAACTATTTGGTTCATAAAATATAGCTGTAGACCAGGTTTAAGTAAATAATTTCTTAAATTTATTTATTTAACAAAAGTTACATGGCACGTGGGATACGTGAAAAGCATTATATTACTAACGACAAAACAAAACTGGTCAATATCGAACAATTGAATTGATTTTTCTTTTCAATAATTGATAATCCAAAATTATTAAGTCTATTGCGTTAGGAAAAAAACTGTAATTATAAATTTTAGGTTTGACTTTGTTTTTGTTTTTTATTTATATTCACTTTACAAATTTGTAATAGTGTAAGAAAAAATAAGTTTGAAAATTTTATTAATCAATTATTAAATAATATTATTAATAACATTAATTATAAAAAATTGCAAAATTATTTTTTAAAATAATATTTATTAATAATATTAATAATATTATTAATTATTTAGTTCATTATTAAAAAATTAAAAACTTATAATATTATTAATGGTATCAATATTAATGTCAATTCAATTAATATCTAAATTGAAAAATTCATTAAAAAGTAATGCAAAAATAATTTTTCTTGCGAACTCAGTTCTGTTCGTTATCACTTTTATGAATTTCTAATAGTATAAGAAAAACGATTTTAAAATTTTATTAATTATAATATTATTAAATAAAATTAGATTATTCCTAAACCTATTATTATTAGGCAAATCAATCTTATAAAATTATTATTCCCACTCAATTTCCTTGAAAGACCATTGTCTACAGGACGAAGACCTTCTTTCTCGTCAATCAAGCCGCCATACCTAATATATCTAATTTCTCATTAGTCCAACCAGGCAATTGCTACCTACTTTCTGATTGTATTTTTCAGTTCATAAATAATCATAAATGGAGTTAAAGTCAAGTATCAGAGGGCTTCTGAGGTTGGTGATAGAGTATGTTCATCTCCTCAACAACCATCTCTTAATTAATTAATAAAGCGAAACCTTTTTCAAATAATTTATATATCAAAAAATATGATTATACCTGTATTGTAATAAGGAAAATGAACTTCTGCACACAGAACACAGTAACTGTTCAAGCTGCTGCTGATCAGACATAGCTAAGGTATGAACTTCTCAAAGCAGAAGGTGACATTTAATATACCAAGAATGAACTTCTGCACACAGAACACAGTAACTGTTCAAGCTGCTGCTGATCAGACATAGCTAAGGTATGAACTTCTCAAAGCAGAAGGTGACATTTAATATACCAAGTTCTTGAAGAATTTTCTTCAGGTCTTAGAATAGATTAGTATGTATGTTCAATGAGAGCAGACTAGAATTTTCTTTTATTTCTTAACTACGTATGTTCAAATTTCTAGAACTTAAACGACCAGATATTGCTGTGCTCCTCCCAGCCATTGCAGCCATCTCAGTGAGAGGAGCCCTGAAAGAACACTGAGAAGGCGCGGTCCAAAATAGCAGCAAGAACATATTGTTGTGAGATTGATTTTTGAATTCTATTGTAGAATTTACTGACGTTTAAAGAAGCAGCCAATAACTTAACTAACAAAGTTTTCAGTAAACAAGACAAGAAGCAAAAAATAGAAAATAAAGAGCACAATCGATCATTAAAATCAGAATTTCTAACAAAATCACAGTCTACGTAACAAAATCAATGAGTAAAGTCTGAAAATAGAAATAGAAAAACAAAACAAGGAGCACAATCATTAAAATCAGAATTTCTACAATAGCCATTAGCTTTGATTTACTTCTTCTTCGTTTGTCTCGCGCATGCATCTTCTGCAAAAACAAGTTTTCAAATTACAAGGCTCAAAATCAGATTTAAATAGAACAATCCCTAAAGTCTGAATTTGTTCCTCCAACCTCACCATTCCATTCTTAAACTTGAAAAATAGAACTCCATAAAATCCACTCATTAGTGCAATATCAGCATTGTAAAACATCAAAGGTATTGAATGAGGCTCCTTCTCTCTTAAAGGCTCAACATCAATCATATGTCTCTTGCTCCACACTTTTTCTTTATAATTTTCCATTTCCCACAACTCCATAAGAATATTATCTCTTCTCATGTAAATTACTGAAAGCTTCCCTTCATAATCCGTAGGCTGGATATGATCATAATCAACCTCATTATTTGGAAGTGAAAACATACCATAATTCTCCTCGTACACATCGAATGGAAAAATATTGTTTTTATTTGTAAACCAGTTAAGTGAACCATAGACACATACGCTTAGCGCGAGAATGAAAAACTCACCATAGGGTAATTTTATTTCTTGCAGCTGCTTCCATTCATAAGTTCTTGAATCAAAAATTTCAGATAAAAGATAATAATATTCATGGAGAGAAGAAAAATTGGGTTTTGAAAATCTAACTATCGTATAATGCAGAGGATTTGATTTTAAAACTGTCATTGTTATTTTCTTATTGTGAAAACGAGTCTTTGAATTTGGAATAATTTGACATTCTCTAGTACTAGGTTTACAAACATAATATTTAGGTATCATATTTCTTTGATCAACAAAAAGCAAAAGGCTTTGACATGTTGATGAAATAATTTTAAAGCTGAAAATAGAAAGTTTTGTAGTTAATGAATGTGGTTTATATATAGACACTCTTACTTGGCAACAAAGGAACATAACCAAACAAGATTTGCTAATCCAGCTAGGAAAGCACAATTACTAATCCTAGCCAGATTAGTAAATCTTTCAGTTAAATGTTACAAATCTGTTAAAAGGGCAAATATAAAAGAAAAGGAAATGATAACAATATAAATTAATTACTATGGAGTATTTATGAAAAGTTGGAAATATTTGTTATTTAACTGCAAGTTCCAGACATGGCGGCGGTTTTAAAATCTAGTTGACGGAAAGGGGTTCCGTATGGCTCATGGTTTTATTACCTTTACATGCCGCAACGTTGAAGGTTATACCAGGGTAAGATTGAAATGTGAAATTTTGTCTTACCAAATTAACAAAAACGACAAGTCGTTCTATAATGACAAAAAAAAACGTATTAGGGTGGTAAGTGCACTATATAACTTATGGATCAGTTACTTATGCAATTGGAAGATTTAATTTGCAGCCTCGTTCACTGTCTACTTCCTTTGTCTTCTTTCTAAGCCGCCTCCACTAGATTTTTTTTTTTCTTCCATAGCTCCATAACCACCACGCCTTTTAGATTAACCACATAACATTATTTTAATACAAGATTATTTAATTTGTCGTATAGAATATAACTTCTCTAATTCCAGACCCCAAATTAACAAATCCAATATGAATGATGCTTCAAGTCCTTACAATGAACCACCACCGCCATCCCCTCCTTCACAGAAATCCAACTTGCCAACGTTATATTACGGCCTTGTAATTGTTGGCACAGCCGCAATTGTTCTGGCCGTATATAATCTTATCATAATCAAGTGGTGCACCCATCGTAATCGAGTCCAGGGTGAGAGATCAGGCCAGTTAATTCAGACAACAAGAGCTGGCAGTGGCAGGCTAAGTTCAGAGTTGTCGAGTTTCAAGTACAAAAAAGATAATAATATAGGCCAAGGCTGTGACTATGATTATGAATGTTCAGTTTGCTTATCAGTTTTTGAAGAAGGAGAGGAGGTTAGGCGATTGCCAGATTGTAGCCACTCCTTTCATGCTCCTTGTATAGACATGTGGCTGTATTCGCATTCTGATTGCCCGCTTTGTCGCGCCCGAGTCGACCCAATTCCTTCCTTCGGTCATCGACGTCCGGTGGTGACTGAAGCGACGGAGGAGAATTCTCGAGAAAATTTGTTAGATGCAACCGCAAGGATTCATTTCATTCCTCTTGTCTAGATTCTATAGATTTGGATTTGGCTTACAATTGTTGTTGTTCCGACTTGTCTCGCCGTTGCCGGAAAATTCTTGGTTTTCCTTTTTCATTTTTAAAGATTTAATCTGTTTATATTTGTCAGTTAGGTAGGAAAAGTTGGATAGCTTGCCTTGTGTCAGTCCAACTGTCCAACGACTATTTAAATGATTGAGCAAGACGATGACTACAGTGTGATATATTGTTTGGTCAACCATTCCTAGTAGATGTCTTGTATAGGTTTCATATACTATTAATTAAATGATTGGTCTAGTCTCTGTGTACGATTTCTACTTAATGTGTTTTAAGTTGGATAAATTAATCATTCCACAGGCTTTTTTTTTTTCTTTTAAAGAACCTTTTAATATGAAATTCCATGAAACATTTCTTATACTTGATGGCATAAAAAAATTCTTTGTATTTATATATACAGGCCTCTACATACAGACAAGAAAGGAACAAATGAAATCTACATGATCGTTCTCAGGCAACGAAGGAATTTTGCGTATAAATAATATAAAAATAAAAATTTAATATTTTATAGAATTTTCACCTGTATCCAAAAGCCAGGAGGAATCCTGGCAAATTTTCAGTGACATTCACGCCCAATTACGTAAATATTTTACAAGTATAAAAAGATGAATATTACATCCTTCTTAGATTATCTAACCTTGCCTGTAAATCACTATCTATCCCAATGTCATCGTTCCCAGTTGCTTCTGCTTGTGCAACCTTACCCTTTGCAGCTGGAGCAGCTACAGCAGATGATGGTGCATTCACAAGCTGCAGATACAAGCAAAATGTTATTGTTAATACTTGAATCTTTTTTTTTTTCATGCACAGGGCATATAAAAGCAAAAGCAGAAAACGCAATTGTACCTCTTGGTTTATGTTAATTCCAATTTCATCAAGAACCTGGCTCACTAGTTCCTCTGTTTCTTCCTCTTCCTCATCCCCTTCCAAAGCATCATCAATGGCATCTCCCATCACTTCAGTCACCATTTCCATCTTCTCATTCTGCCTCTCAAACTCTTGCATAATTTTCTGGAGTGATGGCAAGTTCATCTGTCTATTCATTTGGCCCATTGCCTTTGTCACGCCTTTCATGGCCTCTCCCATTGCTTGTGTTGATTTCAATGTCTGGATAGCATTTCAAAAAACAACTCACTACATCTTTAAAGCCCATAAGCAAAAGAATGTTCTCATATAGTTTTCCAAAACTAATGTTGATAAATTTGTGAATTTAAGGAGACTGCAAATCTCAAGGCCCACAGGATAGAGGAAATGTTACCCTCCAATAGGGATCAATATTTTACTTGTCCCTAACTACAGCTTATCAAGGTACCTTAGACAATCAAAATCATATTCAAATAGTCTTTTGTATTCTCAGTCAGACAGTACCAGCATGGGAAATTTTGATTTCTCAGACAAGCTCTCTTTCTTATCAATCAATATAAACAAATAGATGATCCCCGGCGAATCACCATGCCACATTTTTATGTCATACAAATTCAAAGTTTCAACATATGGCTCTGAAAATTGCAACTCATAGATAAAACTTCGAAGGTTGCATGCAGACCATCCAAACAAGAAGGCAATTCATACAATCAAGTAGATCACTTATACCATTGAAGAAGACAAAGCCAATTAGAAGAATCTCAGTTTAATCTAAAAAGCCATACAATAATGCCACTCCTAAGAGCTACTTGAAATGATAGGGGAGGCAGGAAGCCATTAATTGGACAGAGAAACCATAATGAATAGCAGCACTGATCAGAAGATACCTGAATTCTGAGAGATACACCCTGGAGCTGTGACTTCAGCTTATAGAACTTTTCAATCTGATGTCTTGTCCTAATCAGGTCCTTTGCCATTACTTTTACGGCCCCCTGCAGTAACATCGCAGCAAATCAAATATATGTTAACTGTCAATTCGTTGTACTAGAACCAGTGACACATTATAATAAAAATGGTCTTATTTCAAGTACAAATCATCTGATGTAATTTTGTGAAGCTTCCAATCACTTAAAAATTAACAATTTATATATAATCACTGACCAAAATAACAAATAATATGAAAAAACTAGTCTGAAGAATAAAATTGCTCAGCCAGTTGATATGAATGCATTCAAAAATATTTGAATTTTAGCCGTAACAAAAAAACAGAATTGTAAACCATTTTCACCATCAACTTTGAAGTTTCAATTTCACTTGGATTAGACTCTGCAGATAATTTGTCAAACAATCAATAGAAGCTATGAGTGAAGCAAAAAAGCAGTCAGCAAGGAAAAGTAGCTCACCATCTGCCCTTGCTTAGCACTTTTCTTTATCTCCGCAATTAGTTTCTTTTCTTGAGTTTGTAGACCTTGCCTCTCCCTCTCTATCTCTCTGATGGATTTATCCAGCATCCTCTTATTTTCCCGCAGAAGTTCTGAGACGACATCCATTAATTAAGTCGAAAATCATACAAACAATTGTTTGACCAAAATTGACCAATCATATTGTCAATGCATTAACCATTACCTGGGCCTCTAATCCCAAATTAATAAAATAATATCTCAATTAAGCATTGTCTCGATCAAATTCTAAGTTCAACCAAATTCATTGAATCAATTTTCTCTTTTTCTTATATATATATCAAACAGAAACATACTTCAAGCGAAGTAAATTCCAGGGTTTTATCTTAATAAAAACCCTAAAGAACACGCAAAAATATTTTAAAAATAAAAATATCAATCAGATAAGGATCGAAGAAGAAACAGATGCATAATTGAAGAAAAGTAAAAGAACCTGCGGGAGTTTTTTTCTTGCCGAAGAGGAAACTCATGTTTCAGCGCCGATGAATAATTCCGTAAGTGCGGTAAACGGGGCTTAATTGATCGGATCTGTTCGGATTTCTTATATGGTGAGTTGTTTCTTAATAGGGAATCTAATATAGTAATAATATCCTTGAGCAATTGCTTAAAGAGGGTGTTGTTGAATGTTGATCGTCCAAACGCAGTAATAATCCAGCTTTGCTTCACGCGGTAGTGGTCAAGGAAAGGAATAACCATAGAACCATCCTATATTACACGTGGCACGTGATATTGGTAGGGCCCTTTGCTTTATCCCTCTTTCTTTCTTTCATTTTTATTTTTTTTTTGTCGACAGCGATAGTGGGCTTTTTGGGTGCCTTCGAAGGGCATGTAATTTTTAAAAACGAAAACAGACAAGGCCCATTGTGTTACTATTGGGCTTTCTTAGCCCTTTCTTATTTCAAAGAATGAATCCATCTGCAAGGGAAATGATTATAATGAGAAGATCTTTATCTTTCGCTATCCACTCGTCAAAGCGCGTATTGAAAACACAAAGGCAACGCCAAAGCAAACATAATAATAACATCAGATGCCTTTGAAGAACAAATGCATTTTGACTTTTGAGTCGGGTTAAAGGTTAAAGGAAACATATATACATATATTTTAACTCCACGCAAGAAACAGACGTCTGAAAGTCACCTATTTCCATCTGATTTGAATTATTAAAGCTGCAAATTGCAGTGATTTTGAATTCTGAAGCTGACAAATTGGGGGTAAAGGTTAATGCGGTGCACACGAGTGCATGTGGGGCGATTTGGCTTTTAACAAGCATTACTCACAGTCCAACCCAGGTGGTCACGTGCGGTTCTGTCCCTTTGTGTTTTTCTCTCCACGCGCTCTTCCTCAACTTTGCCTCTGGATCATATATATTTTATATTTCGACGAAACTCCTCTCATCGCTCGCCAGCTGGAATGGCGGGCCATTCCACGTGCCGGCCCACATTATAATTAAAATAATGGAATTTCGCAAGGCAGAAAAAAGAACAGCTGAAATTCTTGCGTTCGCCATTTTAATTTTCTTGATTGTATGTATATAATGTAGGATACGGTTGTTCAATTCCTTTTCATTTCTTGATTATTTTTTTCAAGAAATAATTTGAATAAACTAAAAATTTATCTCGGTAGTTCAAGAATTCGAAAAACCCTAATCAATTGAGAAACAATTACCTAATCAAATCATAAATTATGAATAGTATCATCATCATTATTTTAACCCAATCCATCAATACTTGAACAAATTATTCATAATGGCCTACCTTAACAACCATCCTACAATCAAATACCTATTTCTAGCGGGTGCAAGTTCCATCTATGTTCATATGCTTCATCATCTAAAACTTTTTAAAGCCATTATTTGATAATGCCACTTGGCTTAACTTAATAATAATTATAATAATAAGAAGAAGAAGAAGAATAGAAAGGGAACAAAAGAGGTTAAGTATTATACAGATATTGGGTAAGTGACAGCTTAGTGGATGTTATGAATCTGATTAGCAAACCCTAGAAAAGTACAAGGAGTACAGAGCATATATAAACTGTGAACAGTGGCTGTGGCCAAAGATGCACCCTTTAATTAAGACAAATGTGGAGTAGAGAAGTGATGGAGGTGTAGTGGTGGTGAGTGGTCCTGTATTGAAACCACATGGTCTTGTTACAACTTACGAATTATAATCATAATACGGTTCTACGTCAAAGATATGGTGTTTGGTTGGTGAGAAACATACCCACTATTGCTTTCTGGTTAACTACATTATCCTAGTGGGATTTTTCTTTTTCTTACTTGTTATCTTTCTCTGTTGAATATATATATATATTGCTTTACTTGGTTTAACTACATTATCCTAGTGGATTTTTCTTTTTTCTTACTGTTATCTTTCTCTGTTGAATATAATAATATATATATATATAATTATATATATATATAATATTATATATAACATTTTCTCAAGCCATGAACAAATACTTTTTACTTTTTTTATATGGTTGCATTCGAAATTTTCCTTGATATTTTTTTAAAAAGAAAAATAATAATTTCTTATTATATATAACATTTTCTCAGCCATGAACAAGATACTTTTTACTTTTTTTTATATGGTGCATTCGAAATTTCTTGATATTTTTAAAAAAGAAAATAATAATTCTAAAAATTAGAGAATTAATTAGGGCAGATAAATTTCTTGAAAGTCGATAGATATAGTAATTCTGAGAAAAAAATGCTTTGGCTTTATCATGTTTCTGTCTTTACAGTTTGCTTTTCGTTTTTGTTTTCATTGTTTCTCTTCTTTTTGAGTGAGAGGGTAACAAGTCAACGATGGTGGCCAATGTCCCGTATAATCCATTCATACAGAATATACCTATAATCTAAGTAGGTAGTTGTATAGGAATGGGAATGCCAATGCAAAACTTTTTTCTTTTTTTCTCATTCGGTGAAAAAGTTAGTTTGGATTTTGGATTTTTTTGCTAGATATGATGTCTGATCCTGCTGTATTTTGACTTGTGAGCACAGTTATTAAATTCGTCCCGGATTGGTTTGACAACTTGATTCATAAAATCGGCGATCCGGATATAAAATCAAATCGATTTTACTTTTAAACCATTTAAGAAAAAAAAAAAAAGAATAAATTAATTCAAACCGGTTCAACTACTTAGATTAAATCATTAATAATTTTATTATATTTGTTTGATTAATATATATAAATTAATATTTTTATAATCCATTAATTGCACCTTTAACTTGTCAATTAAACCAGTGACTCATCCATCTGATTACTTAACTAAGTTGAGTTTAACTGAATTTAACCACGGTTCCTCACATGCTTGTCTCCATTTCTACTCACTTGTATTATTTGGTCTATTATTACCACATTTCTTATTCTTACAATCTTGTGGTTTGAACACTTGCTCATTTACTTGACAATGAAACCCATTTGTCAAATCCCTTTCGAAATGTGTTACAAATACTTGCAACAACATCATCAAAACAAAAGAGAAAGTTTGGATTCATATAAAATGGACAAAGAACCTTAATGTGGAATGAAATTAAAATTTTTCATTTTTTATCATGTTCCTATTCTTTATTCTGTATATTATAATGTACTTTTAAAATATTTTAGAGCTCTAAGCCCCCATATAATAGAAGTAGCAGACTTGCCAAAATTAGGAAAAGGGCAAAGAAGAGGAGAGAATGGAAGACCCTCCATTGCAATGATTTTTTAAAGTAGATAGGACAAAATTTACTTGTTAGGTTGTGGCCATGTGCTAAGGCAGTGAAAAAGGAACACATCAATTCTCACAGGGAGAAGATTTCTCATTTCTGTCTGCTTTTATTTTTTATTTTCTCCTCCACTTTCTTTCTTTATTGACCATTTATGTAGAATTGTTCATCATTATTTTTATTATTTTTAAGAAATTAAAAATTGGATTGCATTATATAATTATGAGTTGAAACTGTAAGTGATAGAAAAGAACGGAGAGCAGAAATTAAGTTATTTCATTAATTAAATTAATTGCCCAATATCAATAATTACATTCATTTGATTTCACCCATTAACTACATAATGAACCCATTAGCAATGGCTTGATTTGTTTTCAAGCTTGTAGTCTCATAAACTGGAAGCTCTTCTCTGTATCTTCCAATCCCAATAAGATGATCTAACTCAAAAAGATCAGAGCTTGAACAACTTTCGTCATCATCATCATCTTCTTCTTCATCATCACTACCTTCATCATCTCCAGCATAACTATGAAAACCCCTGAAATCTAATTCACCAATATTCTTCTTCTGGTAACTTCTAATGAAATTTGCTCCTTTAGCAACATCTTCCTTCAGAGACTTGCTCGTAGCAATTTTTTGAGGCTTCGCAATTGGCATCAAACCAGGATCATCTTCATAAATACATTTATGACCACAAGGTCTGGAATCTTCATCAACAATTACACTCACAGGATAAAATCTAACGGACCTTTTGTTTCCATTGTTCTGTTTTCCTCTTGAAACAGGGGTTTTGCTTAAGCAAGACCTTGAAAACGAAGTAACTGAAGAACAAGCAGATTTTGATTTACGATCAGAGCTGACATCATCCATTGCTCCAATAGAACACATTTTCACTTTCTTTCCACTTCCTGAACTGAAAATGGAATTTATAAAGCTAGCAATGCGGCCACCCGGTGAAATTGGTTGCTTTACTTTCTTTAATTCGCCATAGATTTTTAAAGCTCGTAGCTTTGTTTTGCAGAATCCTCCTTCGCACTTGGGTTTTTTTTGATTCTCTGAAAGTTGCTTCTTTCTTGAATTTTCTTTAACACTCGACTCTGTTTCAGAGGAAGAGAAAACACCACCGCCTCTAGCAGAGCTAGAATCGGACGAGGTGGAAGTAGAATTAGAAAAAACAGAGCCACGAGTGGTTTGTTTCTCCATCCAGCTCTCAATCATAACAGCTCGCCGAAGATTTGATATATCTTTGTCTTCTTCAAGAAACATATCTCGCCGAATCGAAGAAACAGAGCACGTGGTGCTCTGTTTTTTTATCGTGGTGGTTTCTTTATATTGACTCAAAACTTCCTTTTCAACTCCACCGTTGGATTCGTCAATCGAACGGTATATAGCATCGAGAAGCGATGAAGAGAAAGATTGAGTCCTTCTTCGTTGAGGACATGGGTTTTCCCTGGAAGATCTCTCTTTCTTATTCATTTTTTATGTGAACTGAAATAAAACAGAGCAACACAAGAGTATTTATAAATAGAAGAAACAGGGGAGTTAAAAGACAATGAATTTAGTTTAAGAGAGTTGTGAGGTATAATGTCTGCTAAGAGAATGTCAAAAGCTGCAAGACGCATTAATAGAAAGGCAACAAGGTCATGTGAAGAAGAAGAAAGAAAGAAAGAGAAAGCTAAAAAAAGATTTGAATAAGCAAACAGAGAAGCAGAAAACAGAGCAAGAAAGAAGGGAAGGAACAAGAAATAAAGAAAGGAGAAAGGGAAAGATTTTTAAAGGAAAGGCCGCGCGTGCGGGTAAATTATATACTTGGGGGAGTTATTGACAGGGTGGCAGAGCAGATTGAGTTGAGTGCAGGGAATTGCTTTTCAATTTTTTTGATTGCTTTACTGTCTGTTTTTGGGAGAGGTGGAATTTTATTTTTTTATTTACAGGTGCTTTGGTGGTTGATGTAATTTTCTTTTCTTTTTTCTTTTTTTCTGAAAATGGTTGATGTAAATTTGTAGTTTGGTAATGATGAGGATTGAGATACTGTGACAAGCAAACTTGGGGTAACTGAAAATTAATGATAGCTCAATGTGAGGTGAGATGAAAGTGTTTTTTTTTTTTTTTGAGGAGGAGGAGGTGAAATGAAAGTGTTGATTTTGGTTGATTTCCTTTTTCTTTTGCTTTTAATATAATTTTCCTTTTATTTTATACATCTTTATTAATTATTTCATTAGATCATGTCATAAGTCTATTCACAAGTGTTTTTCTTTCCTTCTTTTTCTTTTTCCCCCTCTATCTGCAATTTTCTTTTCTTTTTACATTGAGATTGGATGATTACATGTATGTAGTTAATAAATATGGTGAATTATTTTGACAAAAAATTGTTAAAAAAAAAGTAAAAAAGAGTTATTGTTTAGCATCTTGGTGTCAATGAAAAAGGTTTTAAAGGCAACATTACTTTAGGGGTAGAAAGGTTGGTGGTGGTCTAACAAGGAATAAGTTGGGAATCTGAAACAGTGGTTTTACAATGACAAGAATAGTGCAACCTTGAGATGCTATTGAGATTAAGTCGTTACGTTTCGATAAATATTATTTTTTTATAATATTTTTAACTTGGTGATTTTAAAAAATTAATATTTTATAAAAAGTTATTTAAATGGCTAATAGCTAATAAAATAGCTAAATGATATTAAAGATTTAAGAGCTACTAAATCAGTTAATTTTGATGTATAGATGTTAATATAAAAATTTCTAAAGTTTAATTCATGTACTCTTTTTTTTTTTTTACTCTAATATATATAATTTTCTAATTATGAGATAAAATAACATATAATTACTCATCCTAAAAAAAAAAAAGAAACTCTTTTCAAAAAAAGTAATTTAATTAATATTATACTTTGTTGTTTTCTTTGGACTTTGCTCCAAATGATGTCTAAAGATTAGTCCTTCAGGATGATATTAATGGAATTGATTCGTTAGATCTTTTCTTTAAAGAAAAAGAAGAAAGCATCATCTTGTGTTAGTTGAATTGTAATTTTCAACACATTAATTGCTATCATATACCCAATTTTTGGAAGTTTAAAGCTGTTCAATCATTAATTTTACAAGTTAATTATGGAAGATTAGGTTATAGGACAGGATAAGGGAAGGAAAAGACATTATTGGCCACTATTTTGGGTTTCGGCCTTAACCGGACCGGATGGGTTAGTAAGTAGACCCATTGGCCCAAATAAGTTGACACAAGGCCCACAACCCACACTGTTTTGTTTCTTTTGTTGCTTCAAACCTTAATATGTGATAAATAGATGGGCCATACACATCATTTAGTGTCCATAACATTAAATTCCAGGCCCAGTTACCTTCTAATGGATAATTTTAACAAAAAAATAAAAATAAAAATCCAGCAATTATTGAAAAATATAAACATTTTCTGTATTCTCAAAAAAAAAAAAAAAAAAAAAACCAGCAATTATTGAAAATATAAACATTTTCTGTAATTTCTCAAAAAAAAAAAAAAAAAAAAAATCTGTTAAAATAATTAAATTAACCCTTTATTTGCTCCTATAATTACCAATTGCCACCTCTTAGTCCAATAAAAAAAAATTTAAAAAGTAATGGAAAATTAAAAAAAAAAAAAAAAAAAAAAAAAATTCTGTAAAATAATTAAATTAACCCTATTATTGCTCCTATAATTACCAATTGCCACTCTTAGTCCAATAAAAAAAATTTAAAAAGTAATGAAAATTACAAATAACGTAAAATAATTAGAGAATGAATAGATAGACAAGTAGAATAATCAGAGAATCACCTAAGCTTTTGGAATTCACATTTTCTATATATATATAAAATATATTTTTAAATTTAATATAAACACAAAGCATGAACAAGGGACTGTACCCCAAACTTCAATTTTTATTTTAATAAATTTTAGTAAAAAATAATAAATTGGAAAAAATAATTTAATTTGCCCTTCCAATCAATTAAATTATTTTTTGACTTTTTTAACTATTTTCGACGGGTCCGTTGCAGTTTCTTAAGTTAATAGTAAGATACAATTTATTTAAAAATCAATTTTCTTATAATTATAATTTTTTTTTTAATATTGGGGAAGAGATGCAAACTTAAATTTATTGTCAGGTCATATGTATTTACCACTAGTTAAGTTTTGGTGTGCTTATAATTACAACCTTAAACTTGCACGAAATGATAAAAAAACTCAATTTTTACTAAAAATAAGTAAAATAATAATTATTAGAACTTTATTTATTTTTAACTAATAACATAGGTTGTCAGTTTACTTTAATATCTTAAACATGATTAAGTACATCAACTGCCAATTAAATGTATGAATGAGACAAAATTGAATCTGACGAATGACATCCCACGGAAGTTCGGTGGGCACGCATGACTACCGGTGCTCAGGTTGATCCTGGACTTAGATTTTTAGCCCAATTTGAAAGGCTGGGCTTAAAGTTCTCGGCCGAGTCCATGACATTATGAGGGTTCCCGACATTATAATTATATTATTATCTTCTTTTGCTATAAATTTAATTATGACTATATTTTTCAATTTTTTATAAATATTTATATAAATTTAATAAACAAGAAAAAAAAATATTATCTATAATATTTTATTTTAAAATTTATTTTTTGGTATTTTTATTGAGCTATTTTGTTTTTTAGCCTTAGCTGCGATTTTTTTTTTTTTGTTAGAAGAATTCAAACTAAAAATTTCATTAATTAAAAACTTTATATAGATATGAGATACAAATCGATATGTTTCTATAGAAAGTTTAATAATAAATCACTTATATAAAGTATAAAAAAATACAATCTTAAACTAAGATCACAAGATTAACATAAAATATTTAAACTTTAAGATAATATATTATATTATTAAACCATGATAAATTAACTTTTAATACACTGAGTTTTAGTAATTTCTTTTTTTATTATTTTAATGTGATTTGAAATTTTTAAACGAGTTTGATGGAAAAGAAATTAATAACAAAATCAAACTAATTATTTATAAAATGAAATGATAAGTACCATACAGCGAATTAAACACACATCATCTTTAATCTATTTTCTTGAAAGTTACAAATTTACTTTTGTTAATAAAAAAGTATGAAATGATGTTTTTTTTTTTTTGGAAAATTATGATTTTTGTATTGCTCGTATTAAGAATATTAGGATTGAGAGAAATTCATGATGAAAATATTAGAATAATGAGATTGAAAGTTCAGTTATATTTGACTCTCAAGCGATGATGTTGCAGATGAAATTGAACCAGTAAGGCAGAGGCAGCTATGGAGAAAAACGAATCAAAGGAATTAAGAAGCATCAACTTGAACCAGTAAGGAGAAGTAAGCCGTAGAAAGGAAAGGAAAGGAAAGGAAATGAAAGACAGGGAAGCTAAATGAAATTAAAAAAAAAAAAAAAGGTTCAATTTCAATTTTAATAGAAAAAAAAAAAAACCAAATTAACTGATTTGATTTTTATCCGATTCACAATTCGATTTTGTTTGATTAACTTTAAAGAAAATTTAATTTATTGAATATTGGGGAAGAAAAAAGTAAGGCTAAACAGTTACTAAATCTTCAACACCAAGCATTAGATACATACAAGTAAATGGTCACAAATAACAATACAAGAAATCCCTCCTTACATTTCCCAAATGAAGCACTGCAACCCTCTGGCTTCATATCTCTCTGCAAAATACAAGAATTGTCGGAGAAAATTATTTCCACACAGTCAAAATCACTCCCTCCGCTGTTGTAAAAAATCAATTAATACTCTTAAATTATAACAAAATATTTATTAATTTAACGAAATTATCCTTTAAAAATTATAGACTAGTTATTGTATTTAATAAGAATAAGAGTAAAATTAATAAAACTTTATTAATTACTCTTGAATGTTTTCAAAATGACTCAGAACTATCACATTGGGAATAGAGAGAGAATCTATTTTCCTGGTCAAAATGTTATGTCCTCAATAATATGTTCCAAAATATTTCACATTGATTTTTATTTCACTTTTCACCAAAAGATAAATTTTATATCACTAAGTTTAGAAATTTCATTCATTCATTTCAAATCAAACTAATACTGTAATTAATAGAAAGTAATTCAATCAATTACGTTAAAAATAATATTTATTTAATTTAAATGATTCTGAGTATATATAATAAATGCACATAAAATTATTTATGTCTCTATGATTTTTAAAAATTAAATTGGATATTACATTAATCCTTGACTAAATTAACTTTCAATGTTATTAAGTTTTAAGTAATAATATCAATAACAATTCTCTATAACACAAGTTTTTTCCACTTATATTTTAAATTAAAATTTTATATTATGTTTGTTAAAACACTTTTTTTATATAATAAATAATAAATAATAAATAATATTATTAAAAGAATAATAAGAAAAATTAAAAGAAAGAACAAACCTGAGATCTGAGGATATAAATTATATATGATGTTGAGGGAAAAATCAAACATCCTTGACAACAAGTTCACCATTGAGCAACTCTCTGTAGGCAGCAACAGGCCATGAAAATCCTCTGAAAATCAATCTTGTAGCTAAAGGAACATCAATTATAATCTCCTTCATTGCAGGCTTCTTCTCATCACTGATAGCAATCAAATAACTCCTACCAACCCACCCAATCCAACCTGCAATATACAAGAACAAAATCCCTGGAGTGATAAACTCACCCCAGTGCCTTTGGTCACCGCTCACAATCAAATGAGGAAGCCCATCTGACCCACAAAGCAATCCTTGTTTCCCATAGTTATCAAACCGTCGTTTTGTCTTCTCTATTGTCGCTTGGATAGCTAAAGCAGGTGCACTATCAGGAGCGTAGAGCTTCAACGAGGATTCCAGCTTCTTAATTTGCTGCTTTTCGCGTTTAGCAAACTGTTTGGATTCTTTGCATGGTGTTAGGCCGGAGATGTCAGCCACGGCCGGAAGTGGAGCTGATAAGAGGATGGAAGAGAGGGCTAATGCGGCGGAGAAAGCTTGAAGTGGTGATTTAGAAGAGTCTTTTTCTTGGGTTGATGAGTTTTGTGAAGCCGAGCAAACGATCAAGGATCTTGATGATTTTGCTGGATTTAATGAAGAGCCAAGTTTTGGCTTCAACATGGGTTTTGAGAGATTAGTAGGTATGGTAAGAGACATTTTCTCTTATTTTCTTTTCTTTTCTTGGAAAATAAAAGATAATAAGAAGAGAAGATTTAGACGAGTGAAGGAAGTAGAGAGATGGTTTTTAGATTCTAAAAGGAAGGCATTGGTGGTCCAAATGGAAAGTTTGGGAGGATAAGGTGGTGGAATAAGGAAGCTGAGTTGGATTCTTGTTATTGGTTCTGAGATCCTATCTCTCTCTATCTATATATCCATCATCTCTTATAACGTTTGGATAAGAGATTTGCTTTTGCTACACTTCGGCTTTGTGTTCTTTTGCTACAGCTTAGTTCACTTATCTCCAATAATTAATGGAGCACTACTGTTTTACATTGAAATTATTAGAAAATCCTAATTTTAAATTTTAAATTACTAGCAAGATATATGCCAATCTAAGTAAAAGATATTAGTAGAGAGGATTTTTGTTTTTTTTTTTTTTTTTTTTTTTAAGTAAAAGATATTTAGTAGAGAGGATTTTTGTTTTTTTTTTTTTTTTTTTTGAAGATTCACACTTGGAGATACTTAAAAACTTTATAACAAAAACTCATGTATTTAACTTGGGCACTATATAACCATTTTTTTTTTTTTTTTTTTTTTTGAGATTCACACTTGGAGATACTTAAAAACTTTTTATAACAAAAACTCATGTATTTAACTTGGCTATATAACCACCTAGTAGGATAACAAAAAATCATTAAACAGATGTGAACTTTGTAATGATATATGTCATACCAAATCAATTTTTTTATTATTTGTTTTGCTCATGCAAAGCATGGAGTTAATGTCAAAAAAAATATATTTTTAATGAAGTAATATGTTTGCCTTAAACAATGTTAGAATACTTGAATAGTTATTTTTAACTTAATATTTAATTTTTAATTTAATATATTTGAAAATATTATAATTGGAGACTGCATGGTAAGGTAAAAGTAATAATTTAAAAAGCAGCTAAAAAACAGTAACTATTCAATCTATAATAGAAATTATGGCTCAAGCACCAAAAACAAAAAGAGAGTTAACTTTCAAATTTTTTTTTTTTGGTAAGATTTCTATTTTTTACCATGTCTAGAAAAGCAAGACGGAGGCTACAATACAAAACCGTCCGGTGCAGGATTTAGCTTAGCTATTTAACTGTAATGTTTATCGAAATATATAATACAAATAATTATTATCTATGTTTAGGTCACTATTAATCCATATGTTTTTATGAGTTGGAAGTCTCATCATATAAACTATGTTTAATAGATTATTAAAATTTTTAAATTCTTTTGAAAAAAAAAAGAACAATAGTTTTTAAAGTTAAATGATTTTGTTGATGTAAATATAATTTAATGACTATATTAAAAGTAATAAAAATTCAAATGATTTTTCCTTGCCATTCAAAGTGGGAATGTAGATTGAAGGATTGCTTGGAAAGCGAGAAAGAGACAAAACACATTCTTTCATTGATAACAATGTGTTGACCACCATAAATACACAAACTTTGCTTTTTATCCACCAACCCTTAATTAAAAGAAATGGTTAAAATATAATAGATTAACTAAGTGCACGATCCCAATCTGAAAAGAGTATATTATATGCTCATAAATTCTATGAAGTTGAGAAACTTCACTGCTCAAAAAACTTTTCCAATTTAAGGATCATGCAAGGAGTTCCTCAAAAAATCAAGAGGTGCCAGCAGCACCTATTCAGATTCTCTAAGGAAGTGATTCTACTAGTATTGAGTAGAGATTTTTTTAAAAAAAAAAAAAATTGAGAAAGAGGAAAAAGAAAAGATAAACACACCCCCACAATCTGGACAGTCCACCAGCAACTATTGTTGTCGTTCAATTACAAGTACTGTTCATGTATCCTGGCTCGATTCTCTTCCCACCAGAGTCTGGCATGCATCTCCCCAAATTTTTCTCGGCTGCACCACATTTGTGTACAGTTAGATGATGATGAGTCAATGTATTTCTAAAGCTACACAAGTATAATCAAAATAGAAAAGTGCCAATATTCGATGCTAAATTTTTATTGTTACTAGCAACACAATTAATACTCGGTGGAAGCAGCATAATGGACAACAGTTATTTGTTTCTAATGATTATCAATTCAAGTCATTATTGTAATTTAGACCAATTATTACCCAAATATCATGAAGCACAAACAATTTGGATTTAGTCAAATTAAATCCACTCAAAGACTTGTTTATGGAGCATTATTAACAGGTTAGCAATGTTAACTTGTCTCTAAAAACTGCCTAGGTGTCAAAAGGAAAACTGTCGCCAACAAACATGTATATTATATTCTGAGATATTCCGGAATTCCTATATCACCAAACATATTGACAGCTAATGATCAAATCCAACAGAGGCTATAGTGTCTAAACAAGAACTAAGCCCTTTTTCCTTTTGGGAAAAAATTAAAAAAATAAAAAAAAGGGCAAAAAGATTAAGCTGACTGATCCAGCAGTCCCCATCACAGAGCCATAACGGATGGCACACGCGGTGTATATCACATACTCTATTTTATCCCCACCACTGGGTGCTATATGAAAATTCAAGCTACCAGGATTCAGGACAAAGGATCATCATTTCCTTTGTGTAAACTAGCAAAAAGATTGAATATAATGAACATAAGCATCCAAGAATATCTAAGATTAACACTATGAGCAATCTCTAGGTCGTTAACAAACTATTCAGCCAAATCATTATAATTTATATTGTGCAGGCTAAAACCCATTCCATCACTCATCAGTGGAGCCAATGGTTTCATGCCCAGGTTGATAATCTACAGTAAGCATGTTCCTTTATCACATCCTTTTTGCAATCTAGCAACTTATTTGTTACTCTGTTCCTTACAGAATGTTTTCAGATAAATATATATCAATCAGCTGGTCATATATTAACCAAATAATCTTACCTGAATCTAACTCTTCTGAGCTCCCTTTTGCCACCCGGCAAGGCTCTGATAGTGATGTAAACCCCTGGTTCATCCTGTTCGACCCATTCAGTTTCCATATCACTAGCATTGCTGATTGACAACTCTCCTGAGCGATCTGCCTCCCTTGATGAGCTACTTCTTATAGAAGCATCCATAGATGATGTTTCTGTCTTGGCCCCACTAATACTAGATAGTTTTGGGGTTGAGTTGAGACCACCTGAATCACAGTAATGGCGGACTTGCATTGGATGATGATCGAGTGAATCTGAGGATGAGTAGCCCATTCCCATCCCTGTTGGCCGATACAAATTTCGAGGCAACCGTTCTCTGGTCAGTGGTGGTGTTACAGGGCTGTCTTCAGCAGACTCCATCTTTGAGCTCTGAGCTAGGTTTTAGATGACAGTATTAGCATTAATTGAATTAACAACTGCGTTGGTGCAAAGTGTGCACAATATGACTTGCAATGCATGCTAACGCTCATTCCTAGTCATTCAATGGAAGGTCCAGCAGCCCTTGCTATTGAATTGTTTTTTACAGTAGAATGGAGTTGTGTTGCAACCCATTGATACATAAATTGTTGATAATTTATATGCACATTCTGCAGTCATTGCCTCAGCCTATCTCAGACGATTACACTCTCCTTGATCACGTTTCATGTCATTATTTTGGCAAATAGAGTGGAACTCACCTCATCTTCAGATCTTGGGGGTGTTGGCAATGGAAAAGCCTGACGATTAAATCTCTGTACATTGTAAAGCTCCATGACTCTATCATAGTTCTCTGCCCACCATCTTTGAGCTTGCCATTTGTTAAACATGTCTCGACTAAAACAGAGAAAATTAACTACATTCAGAAGCCTTGATGTTCATGCATTTATGATGTTAATTCTGTGACTTAGTCACGGTATGAACGTGTGAAGCATGTGACAACTGAAAAGGCACATTCTGCAGTGATTCAGCAAAACACACTGAGTTGCAAAGACAGGAAGAAGTCAAGCATGAGATAAAATTTTCCCAGAAAATGAATTGGAGCCCAAAAACATTTTCCAATAAACAATAATCGAGTCCGCATCATGGCATTACTTGTTCACATGCCTACAACCTTAAGCCTCAAAAACCTATCCCTGGCCTTCAGCATCCAGCTAGTCTTAATTAATTATATTAGGCAGCTATATTCGAAACTACTTTATTGTCAAAAAGAAATGAAGCCACTTTACTTTAAAAAGGAGTTTTAGTGCATGAAACAGTACAAAAATTTAGGTCGCAAAAACATAATAGTGGATGTCTAATCAGTCAAAACACATAGGGGGACTCAAACCAATCGAAATTATTAAATTAAGTCTCATAATTACATTAACAAATCCAAACAGAATTATTACATTGACACATCCAAGCAACAGAATGATGGAATTAGATCAATGTGGAACCGAAGTCAATAAAAGAGGGAAAGGAAAGCGAAAATTTGTTGGAATAGTAGCACCGGCTACAGTGAGTAAAATTAATGCTTTGAGGGGCAATAAAGATAAGTATTACAACACAGTTTCTAACCACGAAAGTTCTTAACATTGTCCCCGATAAACAAGAAAGGTCTATTTGCCTCTCTTGCCATGTCATTGTTGCTGCCAACATTGACTCACTTGCAGGGCACATTTTGTCTAGCATGTAGTTTGAAGTGGAAGGAAGACTGTGGCCACTGGCCAATAAGAACAACATGACAAAACAAATAGTCGCATAAGGTGACAAAGCCACGGGGAATCAGGCGTGAAGAAATAAAGAAAAAAAAATATTTATTTGAAAAAGAAAAGGGAAGAGCCTTCTCCGACACCGCGACAATCGTCAGTGAAAAAGGTGCCCAACACAATCAAATCTGACCCACCGCCACTAATGAAACACAATGAGTTCTCCTTTTGGACTTTTCTTGGATTGCTTTGCACTAGGCGTGAATTTAACTGTAGCATGTGGGCCCCCCACCTAATTTCTTCATTTGAACAGAACAGAGGTGTCCAAGGTAGTGTTTGGATGCTCTATTTTTAGTGAAAGGAGTTTGGATGCTCTATTCAAATTGATAAATTGTAAAACAACTTTTACTTCATATTTCCTTATTTAATGCAAAAATATTTTAATTATGGTGTGAAAAGATGAAATGAAACTTTTTCCCACTCATCAAACAGCTTTCTAATTTAGCAAAAAAACATATATGCGTGAAAATTATAAACATCCAAACACCTGTTTGAGGCCTTTCCTCTATTTCTCCCCCTCCACCTACTTTGAGTTTTTTATAAAAATAAAAATTAAAAAGCATAGAACAACAGAAGTAAGCGAATAAATATTTAAAAAATAATAAAAAAGGAGCAAAACAATGAAACAATCACTTAGCAACCAATCAATAACGCATACTAATTCACTAGCAGTCCACTCTCTCTATCACACCAGTAACAGTACTAACGTACGACTTATACACACAAAATGCACAGTCATAACTCAGGACAGACCGTCCGATCAAAAGATCAGAAACATCCAAATCCCAATCTATAGCACATTAATATTAAAACAAAGCAGGACCGTCGAATATCTGATCAACAAGAGGGCGTACCTGAAGCGTATCCGCTTGAGATCATTTCCCCCGCGTGGGAGCGAAACGAAAGTTATCAGAACACCGGGCTCGACCTGGGCCACCCACTCCTTCGGTTCGTTCTCTTCAACGAACACAACGGGCGGGTCGACCCGACGCCCACTACCATTTACCGAATTAGGCGTGCCCTCACCGCTGGAGCTCGAAATCCCCTTTAGTCTCGCCTCCATCTCCTTCCCCCATGTCCTTGGCGTCGTCGAGCTCGAGCTTCCGGTCCGCCGTAACGACCACCGGAACCTCTCCGATTCTGCGTCAGACTCGTTTGAGTTATTCCTCAATCGGCTCTGAGTTGTTGGTCCGGTGCACGGATTACAGTGCCGGTATGCTCCGGAGGCCTTCAGTGCCATGTCTTTAAGCTATAAAAACAATATAAAAATGGAAAACGATAACTAGACCTTGAATTATGGAATCTAAAACAGAGTGAGGGTTTTGGATTTTGGAAGTACCTGAGAAGTGAGGGATTTGATTGCTTGATGTTGTTTGGTATTGGGAGCATCACCGGTGGCAGACTCATCGGGTTGACTCAGTGAGTCATCACCGGGTTGCTTTGATCGAGCTATACACGTCAGCATTTTTCAATTCTGAGAAAGAGATAAACGAATCTCTGTTACTTCCACAAGAAAACGCTAATAGTTTATACACATTGTCAACTTCGAGAAATTCACACCTTCGATCTTTTTTTTTTTTTTGTTTAACTCAGACACTCCAAATTCCACCTCAAATAAAAGCTGCAAACCATTAATAATTAAACTGCATGAGAAATTAAATGAGCGGAATTGAATTGCAAGTAAATGAGAATTCATAAACAAACAGAGTCCTCACAGTTAGAAATTACAAGAGTGAAGTCCGAGGAATCGGTTTATTAGCTTCAGTATTAGTTTCTAAGCGCGAAAAACGAGAGACTTCTAACAACCTATGGCCATGCAGGTCTTGGATGCTCAACTCAGATAACGCGATCAGAGATTCTCTATTCAAAATTAATGAAGATATTAATTACACGAATCAAACAAATGAAAATTGATAATAATATAGAATTCTGACATTTTAAAAAAAATAAAAATAAAAGAATAGACACTACCTCATCGGAGTTAATGGCGGAAAAAGATTGCATGGAGAGAGTCAGACTCAGAGAGACCGGCAATGAGGAGAAAAATGGGAAAGAGACGCAATCTTTTTATTATTATTTTGTTTAGGCTTGGTCTGGTGCTGGCTAATCGCTATAATGGGGGATAGATAGTATAGTACTATTAGTGTTGATTTCGGTGAACTGTTGATGAGTGAGCTTTGCTTTTCATGTTTACCTGCTACCGGTAGTCACCGGTTGTAATTCGTCCTCGCGGTTGTTATGGTCGATCGTTCTGTAGCTCTCCATGCCTACTGTTTCTTCTCTTTGGATGCTTACAAACACTGAGTGATCAATGAAGATTAGATTCTCTCCCTTTTCGGTTCTGTAGATATTTATTGAACTTCTGGGCCACTGTCCCGCATCATGGGCCTTTTTGTTCTCCTTATAGGCCCAGATTATATGAAGAAAAAGGCGATTCGTATTATGAAAGAGGCCCATGAATAAGGTTATTAAATATAGATATACTTTTTGTTTTGAAAAATGATGCTTAATCCATCTTAATTAAGCAATTAGGTCAAGTTACCATTATGACACATGTATTTTATGTTTGAACTTAAATGGTGTTTAAATAAAACCTTTTTAATAATAATGATTAAAAATTTAAAATGTTCTACCAAACATTTTCGTAAAAAAAAAATATGAATCAACCATCACTATTATGTGCATGACAACAATAAAATGCCAATTCTGTCGCTTCCATACTCTTTCATGTGAATAATAGATGGTAATGTTAAATAAAAACAGATTCCCTAAGAAATGTTTAAAAATGGAAAATAAAACTAAAAATGATTCTTGCATGTTAAAGGTGTGTCTCGCAAACTATTGTTTATTTGGATTTTTATTTTATTTTATTTTATTTGTCTTTTAATGATTGGATATTAATTTATTTAAAATTTTTATTGATATGATTTATTAATTTTGTCAACATTACAAAATTGCAAAGGATAATTTAATTACTAATTAAGTTGCCCATGTTGTCAATAATGATTATATTTCTATATCGGACGTGCTATCATTTTGTCAAGTACATTGGCTTTGATATATATTTATTTTTGAGAATATATTACTTAAAATTGATATTCCAAATTTGATATCTTAAAATTCGCCACAATTTTAATTAATATAGTTAATATTTAAGATTCGATAAACTTATTTATTAATATTAAAAATAAATTCACATAAATTTAAGTGAATTTTGATTTTTTTTATTTTTAATATCAATATTAATTTTTTCTATAAATTGATTAATTTTAGATAGAAAATATATTTTTATATTGAAAAGGGATTATTGAATATAGGTTTGCTATCAAATTAAGATATACTATAAAACTAAAAGAAAATACAAGAAATATGTATATATGCGAAAATAATTAACATTAAGAGGGGAAAGAAATATATACGACAGTATAGCTTGGTGTGTGGTCTCTATCTATAAGCTCTTGATTCTAAATATATATACATTTATAAGCTATAAAAATATAAATATTAAATTATATGATTTAAGTATTTTGAGAGTTATAGAATTTATGATATTCAACTAGATAATAAATCTTTGAAAGTTATGGAATCTACATAAATAAATTATTTATAACAAGGTATAATTAAATAAAGTTTTATTTTATAAATGTTATACTTGCATCTAAAACTTTGTTCTTATAAATTTAAAGTCTTATTAAATTAATTATATATAAAAATTTTATTATACATATGAATGTATTTTCATGTTTAGATAAGAAAAATGGTATTCAGATAACAATAATACTTCCAAGTTTCAAACTCCTTCCTTTACACATAATATTTCTATATAGAAAATGCAAAATTTTTCCTTTACAAGTTTACACAAGTATTAAATAGTAAAATAAATACTAATAAAGGGTTCTTTTATGAGGGCTGTAGTCATTGTTTTCTCATCATTATTACATTATACCAAAAACAAAGGAGGGAAGTCCATTCTCTGAAAATGTATATTAAGGAACTTACCAGTCTAGAATTGTAAGTGAGATATATATCTTGCATTGCATGTACATTTTATAAAGAATTGCAGAAGAAGGAGAAAAAATGAAAAGAAAAGATGCCCAATCATGATTTGTGCAGATAGAGAGAATTTGAGAGTGTGCCAAATGTTAGGCTATTTCACAGATGCTGTGAACTACGTGTCAAGCATGCAAAATGGATATGTACAAAATTGAGTGAATATGTATTTCTTCCTCGTTGCTCTCTAGGTTTGCATGTTCTAGGTTAGATCTTGAATTTTTTTTCATTAAAATGTTCAAACAGCCTCTAAAACCCTCCACGACTTTCTCGCTGGCTGTCCTCGTGTCCTCCAGTTTCCGCCGTTTCATGCAAGGAGTTTCCTAATAAACAGATATACAAATGTTCGGGATATAGGATTTCGGCGTCTGCTCTGCTCGAAGCAAAACCGGCTCTTTTTGTTTTTTTTTTTTTTTTTTAATTTAACTCTCTTTGTTTGATTAGCAAGTTCAGCAAGACGATGTCGATTTTGAGACGGAAGTCAAAAGTCCAGAGTTCTTCAGAGTTCGCTGAGGTTGAGAAAGACAACCACGAGAAGAAGGAGAAGCCGAAGAAGCAAAACGAAGAAGAGAGGAGGATAAAGAAATGGACGTGTGTGGATAGCTGCTACTGGTTCATTGGTTTTATATGTTCAATTTGGTGGTTTTTGCTTTTTCTATACAATGCAATTCCTTCAACTTTCCCTCAATATGTGACGGAGGTGATCACGGGGCCGATGCCGGACCCGCCTGGCGTGAAATTGAAAAAGGAAGGATTAATGGTGAAGCATCCGGTGGTTTTCGTGCCTGGAATTGCTACCGGAGGGCTTGAATTGTGGGAAGGGCGTCAGTGTGCTGAGAGACTGCATAGAAAGCGACTATGGGGTGGCACATTCGGAGAAGTGTACAAAAGGTACGTATTTTTCTTTTTGGAAAAAAAAAAAAGTAAAATTCTTTTTATAGTTGTGGTTCTTTATAATTTAAACTTTAGTGTTCAGAATATCCATTTTTCTTTTCTTGTAAATAGGGAGATGAAAATTGAAAATTCATGTTTATTTCCTAAAACATCATAGAAACAATAATTTTATAAATATTAATTATATTTATTTTATACTAAATAATAATTTATTTATGTTTTCCTATTAAAATAAAATATAATACCAAAACAATATCAATATATTAATTTCTTAAAAAAAAAAAAGGGAAATCTGAGTTATAATTTTTTATCTGAAAACACAGTTTTATGACTTTATCAATTCTTAAGGCTTAAAAAAGACTCCATTCTTTAGATCTAATCCAACTTAATTATGTTACTATCATTATTTTATAATAATTGTCAAGAATATCCATACACACATCGCACAAGACAAAAGCTAATAAATACACAGAACATAAGAATTTCGTGGTTAAAAAATGGTTGAAGGTCACAAATTTGAACTTCATCTTCATAAATTATAAGTTTATGATTAAACATAAGTTATTATTTAGAAATTTTTATGAAAATGATGCATGGATTATCAATACTTTTAAAATTGAATTAAGAGCAAACTGATATACATTAGCTTAATCAGAACTTATTCAAATAAAGATTAATATAATACTGCTTACTAAAATAATAATAAAAAAATTTAAGACGCTAACTCATTTGGGCAGGAGAAAAGAGGGTAGTTAGACGTAAAATTTTGGGTCATTTAGTTTTATAAAATTCATTTTTATAGAATTTGATTTAAATATATTTAATTCTGTAGAATTGAATTTGTAAAATTGAAAATTTCACAAAATTCACCAGCAAAATTACTGTAATTATTTCCCACCAATGTTCCAATTATCTTGGCTATGGAATTATAAATGTTGGTGGGATTGACTCTTTGAAGCCTATTTCTTCCCCCTTCTTTCTCCTTTGGTGGGTTGAGCATATGTCAGTGGACAATAAGAATCAGGCCTGTTTCTAGAAATAAATACTTTCATATCCACCCTCAAAATAATTTCTCGCCTACTAAACTAGACTTCTTTACCGTTCGATCACGCTTTCTTTATGAACACCGCGCCAGCGAGTTACAGTCTTACATACAGATCCTCTCTAGGTTCTTGGTGTCGCCACGTGGAAATTGTCTCAGTGAGGGGTCCGCACTCCAGCAGCAGGCAGGCGACCTTGAATCTTTTCTATTAAAACGTTGAAACTGCCTCCAAAACTCTCCAAAGCTCACCGCTAACAGCCCTGTCACGTGGTTCCACATCATTTCTCGCCGGCTGCTCTCGTCCCCTCCGGTCTCCGTCGTTTCGTGCAATGGAGTTTCCTAATTAAAACGATATACACATGCTCGGGATAAAATTAGGGCTAGGGTTCGGGTGTTTACTCTGCTCCTAGCCAAATCAGCTCGCTTTATTTTTTATTTGATTCTCTGTCTTTGATTAGCAAGTTCATCAAACGATGGCGATTTTGCGACGGAGGTCAAAAGTTCACAGTTCTTCAGATTTCCCTGAGGTTGAGAAAGACAACGACGAGAAGAAGGAGGAGAAAGAGGAAAAGCCAAAGAGAAAGCAGAGCGGAGGGAGGAGGATAAAGAAATGGAATTGTGTGGATAGCTGTTGCTGGTTCATTGGTTTTATATGTTCGATGTGGTGGTTTTTGCTTTTTCTATACAATGCAATGCCTGCCTCTTTCCCTCAATACGTGACGGAGGCAATCACGGGGCCGATGCCGGACCCGCCTGGCGTGAAATTGAAAAAGGAAGGGTTGACGGTGAAGCATCCCGTGGTTTTTGTGCCTGGAATTGTTACCGGTGGGCTTGAATTGTGGGAAGGACACCAGTGTTCGGAGGGATTGTTTAGGAAGCGACTCTGGGGTGGCACATTTGGAGAAGTGTACAAAAGGTATTTTGCTTTTTGGAAAAAAAAAAAAAAAAAAATCTTTTTATATTGGCTTTTTTGGGAAAAAAAAAAAAAAAAAAAAAATCTTTTGTATAGTTGTTGATTTTAGTAGTTGGAAAAAAAAAAAAAAAAAAAAATCTTTTTATAGTTGTGATTGTTAGTTTGAGACTACTTATGGCTTCATAGAAAAGCTTTCTTTTGTTAGTTTTTTTTTTTTTTTTTCTTCTCTAATTAATATTAGCAAACGTTGCTCAACTAGTATATTGTAGGTGTGGGTGAGGTTGCTTACAAGTAACTGATGAAGATTAAATAAATCTTGTTGAATTTAATAACGGTTCCACCTTACCAGTAACAAGTAACTGAGTTTTTAGAATTTTGGAACAGTATAGATAAAACCTATGAGTGGCATTTGTGCTACCTATTCAATGAGACATTTGATAGACTCTTTGAATAATAGTATAATTTTGACTTTGAAGTTTGTTTCTTCCCCTCTTCTTTCTCCTTATTTTCATTCAGACCATTATGCTGGGTTGAGCATATGTCACTGGACAATGAGACTGGACTAGACCCTCCTGGCATAAGAGTTAGGCCTGTATCTGGACTTGTGGCAGCAGATTATTTTGCAGCTGGTTATTTTGTCTGGGCAGTTTTAATTGCTAATTTGGCTCGCATTGGATATGAGGAGAAAACCATGTACATGGCTGCATATGATTGGAGAATATCATTCCAGAACACTGAGGTATGTTTTTTCAAGTCAGAGATTTGCTCCTTTGTGGCGCACTTTTGCTTCTGGAGTTCCCAAGTCATAGTTTGAACTTTTCACACCGTCTCTTGATGCTTTTTGCAGTGTTCTATATTTCTTTCTCTGTCGTTATGTATTGCTTTCTCAATTAGCTTGTTAAATTCTTTCTAATTGATTGATCAGGTCAGGGACCAAACCTTGAGCAGGATAAAAAGTAATATAGAACTCATGGTGGCTACTAATGGTGGGAGAAAGGTGGTTGCTATTCCGCATTCAATGGGTGTTCTTTACTTTCTGCATTTCATGAAATGGGTTGAGGCACCTGCTCCAATGGGTGGTGGCGGTGGAACAGATTGGTGCGCCAAGCATTTAAAGGCAGTGATGAATATTGGTGGACCCTTTTTAGGCGTTCCAAAAGCAGTCTCAGGACTTTTCTCTAATGAAGCCAGGGATATAGCAGCTGCCAGGTTTACCTTTAACTACAAAAGTCAGCTTACAAATAAGAATTAATTTTATGTTGCCAGCAATTTGCAATCCCTCCACACTTCTCTTTCCTTTTCTGGATTTGTGTTTCAACAAGTGGTACTTAGACATGCTTATATTATATATTTTCATCAAGTCATTTAATTTCACAACTTTTTCAGACTAGTCTGACCTGCTTTATGTTTATGTCTTGATGAAATGCTAATCATGTTACAGGGCTTTCGCACCAGGTTTTTTGGATAAAGATGTTTTTGGCCTTCAAACTCTGCAACATTTAATGCGGATGACTCGTACATGGGACTCGACCATGTCTATGATACCAAAAGGTGGGGATACTATATGGGGTGGCCTTGATTGGTCACCTGAAGGAGGCTACAGCTGTGGTGCAAAGAAGCCAAAGAACAATAATACTAAAACTGCAGGTCAAAATGGGAAAGGGACTTCAAGTTTCACAGAAGGTGTGAACTATGGGAGAATTATATCATTTGGAAAAGATGCAGCTGAGCGTCCTTCCTCCAAAATTGAGAGGATGGATTTCAGGGTAATACTTCATCTTCAGTTAATGCTAAAAAATGCCCCTCCCTATTCTTTCTCTAGCCCTCTGTCATGCACATGCAAGTATGCTCACACATGGATTACAAAATTAATATTATTAGTTGATCCTTCTTGTACATCTTCATGTATTTCTTTGTCTCAATTCCCTATGATTTCATTTAGTCCTTTGGTGATAATCACATCAATTTTGGTGGAAGTGCAATGCTTTCAATCTCATGTATTAAATGTGAGCAACTATAATCAATCATTTTTATGCTGCTAGAGTGCACAAGCAATTATATGAGAAGTCAACTGCTGTTCTTGCATTCTTAGGAGTTCTCAGTCAATTAATGTGAAAGCTGGAGGTCTCTCACACCCCCCCCCCCCCCTCAATTAATGCTGAAAGCTGGAGGTCTCTTCACACCCCCCCCCCCTTCCGGGCTCTTGCTGTATTAACATTTTTTCATAACCAATAAATTAGGTTAAACCCCCCCCCCCCCCCTTCCGGGCTCTTGCTGTATTACATTTTCATAACAATAAATTAGGTTTAACCCATTTATGTCTGAGATTCTAACAGCTGCTTATACCATTGTTGCAAGTATTAATTTTGAATCTGGTTGGTGTTTTTAAAAATGTCGTTGATCTGCAGGATGCGGTTAAGGTGAATAACCCTACAAACAGCTGTGACATTTGGACAGAGTACCAAGAAATTGGTATTGAGGGTATCAAAGCTGTTGCTGAGTACAAAATTTACACGGCTGGGTCAACTTTAGATCTTCTTAATTTTGTTGCTCCTAAGCTTATGAAACGTGGAGGTGCTCATTTTTCCTATGGGATTGCAGAAAATTTGGACGATCCAAAATACAAACACTACAAATACTGGTCGAACCCCTTGGAAACAAGGTGTGAATTTCCATCATTTATTACTTATGACAAAGGGAATTGATTTGATTTTTCTGCACATTAATTAGCTTTACTTTTGTACAGAAAATTCATGAATTGTTCTTCTACTGACAAATTCTTTTAGTTTGCTTTTGTGTGATTCCCATGGGAACAACTCGATTATCATGTTTAAAATGCATCAAATTAGAACTCTTTTAAGTCCTATAGTTGAAAATTTTCTTGCACATATATTCTCTTAATCCCTTTTATAGTTGCTATTGTTGTAATAGAATAATTATAAGTTGTACTTGCTTTAACTGATTATTGCTAAAATTCAGAAGCTTATCTATACTTTACCTCATATATTTTAGGACTGCCTAATGTTCTTTGTTGCTTTTGCAGATTACCAAATGCTCCTGAGATGGAGATATATTCTATGTATGGAGTTGGAGTACCCACTGAAAGAGCATATGTTTACAAGCTAACTTCAACTGCTGAATGCTCAATTCCCTTTCAGATAGATACCTCAGCAACAGGCAGAAGTGAGAACTCTTGTTTAAAAGATGGAGTTTTTTCCGTAAACGGAGACGAGACTGTTCCTGTTTTGAGTGCGGGTTTTATGTGTGCAAAGGGTTGGCGAGGGAAGACCAGATTCAATCCTTCAGGCATTCGTACTTACACAAGGGAATACAACCATGCTCCTCCAGCTAATCTTCTGGAGGGTCGAGGCACCCAAAGTGGTGCTCATGTTGATATAATGGGGAACTTCGCATTAATAGAGGACATTATAAGGGTAGCAGCAGGAGCTACAGGAGAGGACTTGGGAGGAGATCGAGTCTACTCTGATATTTTCAAATGGTCAGAAAGGATTAACTTGCAGCTGTAGTTCTTATAGTAAGCACTGAAAACTTATTTATATGGTTCCTATGATTGAGCGAAGTAAGGTGTTTAACAGACCCAGTTGATGCATAATTCACCATAGATTTTTGAATATATCCTTGGTTCTTGTTTTATTTATTGATTTCTAATTAAAAGATTGACCGGAAATTAAATAAAATTATTTCTATATTCTGGCCTAACGGGCAGGACGGGAGGTTTTCTACCTCGTGGTGTCATTTGCAGTTAATTATGTCAATTGCAATTAACTTACTGATTATTGTTGTTGTACTTGTTTGGCAGATGAAATCATACTCGTATTTTCTGGTTCTCGTCAAGACACCACTACGAGACTACCAGATGCAGCCAATGGCGCGAATAGTTGAGGTATGTTTTTTCACTTGCATACGACCAGGTTTCCGTCACTCATGCCATCCACCTGTATCATCCCTTCATTGTTTTGGGAATGACCGAACAAGATTAACCATATAGATAGGCTTTCCCACGTGGTTCATACCCACCATTACTCCGTTAGCGGTGCGGTTAAGTTTATAGTTGCCTGAAATTTTTCTGGATAAAATTTCTGTAATTTAATTAACCGTTGTGAATAAAAAGTGTTATAATTTTGTGATCTTCCCTTTGAATTCAGAATCTGTCTCTGTTCTTTCTGCATGCCTAAGGTCACCAAGTTCACATCTTCTGGCAGACATGGCCTTTGTCATTTTGTGTTTGTCTCTGTTTTTTGATAAAAGAATAGGTTATGAGACCAGCCATTGAAAGTTATTAATTAAACAGCATTGAATTTTGGTTCATTGGCATTAGAGCCATTTATGTTGTTTAAGCTTTTACGAGTTTATAAGTTTGTAAACTTGCAAATTCGAATTTCAATTGAAGTTTAATTATTAAAAAAAAAAAATCTCAATCTTGTTAATATTTAAAACAACCAAAGTGAGATAAACTAAAAAATATATATATATATTATATATATCGTATGTTATTATAATGTTATTTATTACTGAGAGCAAATTAAATGAAGAGATGATTATTATTTATTAGAAAAAATACAAATATTAACCTCGAGGGTGTAGATGCTTCTGGACAAAAGAGACAAAGGAACGAGTCTTAGTGAGGAGGCAAAAGCAAAGAAATGTTGGTCTCTATAGGCGTCGCTTTATGACTCGTGACTTTCTCTGATAGTAGCATTCAAAGCCCCATTTAATCTCTATCTGACCAACCTCTTTGTCTTGTGCTACACAACAAGCAAAACGACAATGCAAAATTTGCTGTTTGTTAATGACCATTTGATTTTACTAAATTAGCCCCTCGTCCACTTGAGATTATATTCGTAATTGCCATTTTTTTTTTTAATCTATTTTGATGTGTCTAAGGAAGGTCAACAAGATGAAAAAAAAAAATAAAAAATTAAATGAGTATTAACAAGGATGAAGGATCTCTCTAGTGCTCATCTAGAGATGGCCGAACCGGTCCGGAACCGTAACTGGAACCGGTGAGAACCGGAACCGGGCCGAACCGGAATCGGAGAATTCCAGTTCGGTTCCGGTTCTAAATTTTGGAACGGAAATTCGGAGGAATTCCAGTTCGGTTCGGTTCCAAATTTTCTAGCGAAACCGGAACGGCGCGGTTCCCAAGGAGAAACCGGTGAACCCAGACTGGAACCGCCGGTTTCTCTGGCCGGTTCGAACATCCGGTTTCGAACCGGCGGTTCTAGCCAAACTGTCAGTTTTTTTTTTTTTTTAAATTTTTGTTGTGAAATTTCTAATTAAGTTTCAAGTCTTTAAAAATAAAAATTTTTTAATTGAAGTATTTTTTTAATTTTTTAGGTGTATCTTTTAATTTTTTTTATGTTCAATATATATTTTTAAAAACCTGGTTCTTCAAAATTTTAAAATATTTTCAAACTTTTTAAACAAAAAATTAAATTCATTTTGAAAATTTTTTTTTAAAAAAATAATTATGTTCAAGTCTTTAAAAAAAAAAATTTAATTGAAGTATTTTTTTAATTTTTTAGGTTATTCTTTTTAATTTTTATGTCAAATATAATATATTTTTTAAAAACCGGTTTTTTAAAATTTAAAAAGTTTAAAAATATTGCCGATTCGCCGGAAAACCGATTGAAACCGTCGGTTCTTGTAACCGGATCGAGAATCGAACCGGAACGAACCGGAACCGGAACCAGACGGTTCCAAACCGGAACCAGGAACCGGACATTTTCGGTTCGGTTCCGGAACCATGGCCCATGTCATGCTCATCAACCCAAGCAAGAAATCAGACGATATTTTTTTTAAAAATTTCCCCTCTATTTCAAAAATTGAGGAAAATTAAGCAAAATGGAAAGACCTACTGTAGTGGTCAACTGCCTCAATTCATCCAAGCAAGAAATCAAAGAATGAAAGCTGATGCATTTTAGATTTGGTTATAGTTGATAACAATTAAATTGATTGGACCAAAATGTTAATGAATCAAAAAATTTACAAACTCTCAAGTCTTTAAAAAAAAAATTTAATTGAAGTATTTTTTAATTTTTTTAGGTGTATCTTTTAATTTTTTATGTTCAAATATATATATTTTTTAAAACCGGTTTTTAAAATTTAAAATTTAAAATTATGCGATTCGCCGGAAAACCGATTGAAACCGTCGGTTTTGTAACCGGATCGGAATCGGAACCGGACGGAACCGGAACCGGAACCAGACGGTTCCAAACCGGAACCGGAACCGGACATTTTCGGTTCGGTTCCGGAACCATGGCCATGTCTATGCTCATCACCCAAGCAAGAAATCAGACGATATTTTTTAAAATTTCCCCTCTATTTCAAAAATTGAGAAAATTAAGCAAAATGAAAGACCTCTGTAGTGGTCAACTGCTCATCATCCAAGCAAGAAATCAAGAATGAAAGCTGATGCATTTTAGATTTGGTTATAAGTTGATAACAATTAAATTGATGGACCAAAATGTTAATGAATCAAAATTTACAAACTCATAATTAGTTTTTAAAAAATAGAGATGTTTATTTATTAATTTTATTATTATTTTTTAGGAACTAAACTTTTTTTTCCAAAAAATAAAGGAAAGTATCCTATCTTCACCAATAGGATTAGCTGTGGGATTTAAGTGGAACAAGTTGATTCCGCTTCCTTGCTCAATTCCAATCATCAAGAAATAAAGAGATTCCAGAAGGAGAAGATGGTAGGGGCATTTTCGAAAATAAGGTCATCATACGACGACAAAACTACAAGAAACCTTATGGTGCAATTTCCAAATCCTTTAAGCAACTCGCTAACCCACGCACTTCATTTAGCCAGTGGAATACACATCCAATCACAATTTCTGTGATCCCCACCTCATCATTTGCTCGTGGTTATATTGTGGATAGATAGTTAAGGGCGGCTGCTAATAAAGCCAAAAGGGTAAGGGCGCGTTTGGGTGAGTATATGTGTAAGTGGGGCATACAGAAAAGACATGCAAACGAATAAAAAACAGAGAGGTGTAGAAGAAATGGTGGTGGTGGGTGGTGGGTGTTTTTATTCTTATTGGAATTATTACTCTTTTGGGCTTTTGTCATAGCAAAGCAAAGCGCAAAGAGTAAGGGAGTGAGAAAGAGAGAGAAATATATTTAGAAAGAGAAAGAGAGAGAGTGAGAGTTTTTGGGTGGTGGAGAGTTTCAATAGAGGGGACATGCCCGAGTTCTTCCCAACAGCTCAATTCTTTGCTTCTTCTTGACTCACCAGATCCCAAAGGTCTCTCTCTTGCTTTCTCTTTTTCTTTTTCTTACACCACTTATCCATTATATCCTCCTATCTTTACCCTTTGTCTTGTCTTCTATTTCATTTTGTTTTTCTCTCCTTTTTTTTTTTTCTTTTTGATTCCTGTCCTTTTAACTGTGTTTTCTTTTTCTTGTTTTCGTTGTATCTTGGTGGTGATAATTTTTGTGGGTGTAGAGTTCAAGTGGTTTTATGTTATTTGCTGTGTTGTTTATGCATGTGGAGTTTGAGATCATGGTGAGGTGATGACTGTTAAATGATATTGGGACAGGGGAAGACAGACGGTCGAGAGAGTGGTTTACTATTCTTCGGTTTTTTTATATCGTTTTTGGATTTGGATATATCACCTCTTTGAGCCTTTTAAAGATGGTAATATCTTTTTTTTTTTTTTTTCATTTATTGCGTTTTGGTTGCTTTCCCCACTCGTTTTCAGTGGTGCCTTACCAAATATGTCTGGAGGGTTTCTGTGATTGAATTTGGTTTCATGACTGTTTTGAGCTTGATTAATGGGGTTGTTAGGTTCTTAATTTGTTTCATTCTTGCACAAAAATAGAAAGTCCCTTTATAGTTAATCTTCTGTTGGTCAAGATGGTTCCTGTGCTGTACATGGGTTTTTCTTTTTCTGTGCTTTCCTGCTGCATGCCAAGATTAGTGGCTGATCTAGATTCATTGCGTTTGTGCGTTTGATGGCTGAAATACACGTGGCTTTACTAATGATCTTGGCCGCTGAATTCTATCCCAATTTTGGATAATTACATACTTGCCAATTTTAGAGATGTATTCAATTCTAGATTATGTTTTTCTTAGCTTTTTTTTTAGAATATGCCATATTACTGCAAGCTTATTTCAATTGCTGATGATTTTCAAGACAGGGTTATTATTCTCATTCTGTGTTTATTCTTGGTTGCTTGCTACACATATTAGTGCACATTGAAGCTTGTGCAAATACCAATTTTATATCAGTGTCACATTGATGGGAGCTTAGTATTGGAATATGTGATTGAAAATTGTGTCCTTACGAGCTGCCCAAAGTGAGTATCATGAAACGTGGAAGTACAAAATTTTCATGTGGCAACTGAAGTTTCGCAAGGATGCAACCCTTAATAGTTATCTACCAGTGTGTATAGTTCTCAAAACTTGTATGTCTAACTTCTAAAATTTAACTATTTGGAAGCCAGTATAGGGAATTCTTTTCAATTGAACATATTTTAACTTAAAAGCCTGATTGCAACAACTGTGTTTGAAACAAGTGTGTACTGCTTGTTGCTTTAATCAAACAATGATTGACATTTAACTCCTATTAGTTAGGTAGTTCAGGTGATGTGGAATTCATTTTCAGATTTTATAAATTTTTGATAATTGAAGTATTTCTTTTCTTGTTTTTATTAATTTGTGCAATTTTGATAGTTTCTCAAGTCTTAATGTTTCCTTTTCCTCTCTTGCATTAGTTGTACTGGACCCAAATTATTGGCATTTGAAAATACATCGTTTGGCTTTTTTATTTGTGCCAATATTTGTGTTCTGAGTGTGTTTTAGTCTCATCTACAGTTCATTCTCTTTTCAATTTGTTCATGAATGCTGTTCTTTCATCTTCACATAATTAAGGCAGCTCTAGCTCTCGCTCATTGCATTTGTTTTTCCTTAGATAGCTAATCGATAATCTGAAAAGCCAGCAAAAAGAATCTTTGCTTCCTTAAGGATTTTTCTTCGAATTCATGACATATTGATAAACTAGATGGCGGTACCAATTCAAAACTTGCCCGAGAAAAATTTTGGTCAAGTGCCCTTTGCTTTTAATTGCCCCTCCTGGTGGTACTCAAATGAACAACAAAATCCAGTGTCTGTATCCAGAAATATAAGCTTTAAAGTAAAACCTCCACACCAACTTTATCGTGAAGGACAGAATCTAGGTCTTCAACTTCCTGACCAGGAATCATCTTCATGTCAATCCATTGGTAAATCTCACAATGAAGTGGGTGCCATGGGGGAGAGCAATTCTCAAGATCAATGCATTTCATCTGAATCTGGTATATACTTTTGGTTGCATAAATATGTTTGAATTTGATTCTAATTTTCTTTTTGTACTTGAAAACATAATAGACTGTTAACACTGGCAAAATGAAATGAAAGAAAAGAGAATGATGATAGAAGACTATTTTGTGCTTCGAAGAAATTTCTGTAGCTTCTGCTAAATGTTCAAACTCAAAATGATTCATTTCTATGAAATGTTCAAAGCTTAATATTAGCTTCTTTCCTGCCTTTATCAGTTTCTGATTTGCAGATGTAGTTAACTTGTTAGGAGTTAATGAATATAGAATTTTAGCAAAATCACTACATAACTACAATGAATGCATGAAATTTAACGTTAGTTCCAGTGTTTATGTGCCCCTTTCTGAAATTCAAATGATTTGATCTGTTTTACTCATCGTCAGAAGTATTGGAATTTGCATGAAATCTTTACTGCACATCAGTAATTATAGTCATCTTCCCATGTGATTTGTGCTACATTTTGGTAGTAGCACTTGTCATCAAGCCCTTAAACATACAATCAGTAGATGACTTAATTACTTCTGTTCTCTATTCCAAACTCTCGATTTGAGTTTTTGTATGTTCACACATATGCATTCATGTTTATTTCCTTTTGCTCATTCCCTCTTATTGGATTCAAAATGCTGGTCCCTGACTTCCTGGTGCTTATGCATACACTAAATAGACTCTAATGTTGATAACTAACATATTTTATAAATAGATAGGGTTAAGTGGAATGTGTATTTCTTAATTTCTCAGGTTGAAAATAGTAACTTTGTCTTTACTCAGATGCTGAGTAGTCCCCTTTATAATGCGTACATATGTTGTATGCTTAATGCTTGTGGCTGAATGGGCTGCTTCAGCTGGATTATTGAAAATCAATCTAGAATTAGTAAAAGTTTTATTGTTCTAGGCATATGACTAGGCTTGCTTAGCTTCCATGTTGTTGTTTTCCCATGTACTCAGGTCAAGATGAAAATTGTACAAAAGGTGTAGGCGGCAGAATGAAGCCAGTTTTCTTGTTTAGTACTCCAGAAATTGCACTCAACCCTTCACAAGTTGATAATTGTTATTCAATGGTAGGTTAAGCTCTTGTTTTTTATTAATGGTTTATGTTTTTCAAATTTTTTGCAAACTAATGCTTCTCCTTCAATTTCAGGCTCGTGCTCCATTTCCCCATGCTGATAATTACTTTGGTGGATTGTTTACCCCTTATGGACCGCAGACTATTGTAAGTTAGATTGAGTTTGTTTGCCATCCATAAGCAAGTGCATTTGTGACATGCAGTTGTATTTATTTTGGAAGATTATGTGTTCAAGTATGCAATTTTCTACAAAATGTTCACACATCATGATAAGTATTATTTATTGGAGGAATTTTCTAATTCATTGTGGCACATGAATTTTTCTGCAATTACTATGTTAGTATAACCTTTTCACTTCTAAACCATAGGTCTGAGGGGCGAAGATTTTAATTGTTTTGAAGTGATCATCTGAGCCTCCTCTTCTGTTGTTTATATTATATGTAACCACTAACAACTGCTGTTTTATATTGGAAACTGACCAGATTCAGCCCCAGCTTGGTTCTCAGATGGTGGGGATGACATCAGCACGTGTCCCATTGCCCCTTGATCTTGCTGATGATGGACCAATTTATGTTAATGCAAAGCAATACCATGGAATTCTCAGGAGGAGACAGTCACGTGCAAAGCTAGAGGCACAAAACAAGCTTGTCAAAAGCCGAAAGGTATATATACTCTGCATGTATTGTTAGGTGTTAGAGCTTTTGAGGTTTGTGGAGAATCTCACCCAGTTACTATTATCTAATGCTCAAGATGATAATAGGACGAGTTGTATTGATATTTATGCATCAGTTACCTATTACTAAGTTGCTTCATGGATTGCAGCCATATCTTCATGAGTCTCGACATCTGCATGCATTAAATAGGGTTAGGGGGTCAGGTGGACGCTTTCTCAGCACAAAAAGGTCCCAACAGCCTGATCCAACTTCCACTAGTTGCACGCATGGTGTTTCAGATACAATCAGCTTTCATCAAAAGAATGAGATGTCAGAACGTGAAATGTGTGTCTCAAGAGCTGGCCAATCGGGTGCTTCAAACACAACCCGCTCTGATATCACCAGTGTCTCCAGCAGTGACCTTATTTTTAGGCAGCCAGATCGCCGATTCTCAGGTATGTCTACCCACATTGGTGGAGGCATGCAAACAAGTGGGGGCCTTATATGCAGTGGAACCTAGAGCTGCTTTCAATTGTCCGGTCATGATGTGGCCTGGCCGGGCGGGCAATTCATCCTTGGCTTTGTCTAATCACTTCCTACGTGGTTACAAATTTGTTATGAAAGAGTGCATCAAAAAGACTTGTGGTGTGCTGTATTAGTTATGTTAAGCATGAGTGAAGAAGGTTTGCAGACCCATCAGTTTACTACTCTTTAATTGTTATTAGTACTTGGTTGTTATTTTAACAAGAAGTCTTTTTTAAGTCTACGAGTCACCTTGCTTTTCTTTTTAATTGTTATTATTATTACTTAGTTGTTTCCATTTTTGTATGGGTCCTTTACTTATCGAAACACATTAAAATAGAGATTAAAGAAGAGCGTCATGTTCATGGGTCACTTCCTAATTATAACAAATCTAGTGATCTACATTTTCTTTCTATCCATTTACATTTTTGCGGCCGAATCTAATAACGATGCTCTCAATATTTGGTTTAACAGTTGACTCCATTGATTCCAAAGCTTTAGCCTTTATCCAATTTTTAATACTCCAATAGCAATATTTGGTCTTTTCACAAGAATTAAGATGAGATAAGAAAATTGAAATTAATTGATTCTTTTTTTAAATATAATATAATGTTTTAATTAATGTAGTCTCTAAATCTTGAACGAGCACTTAAAGTGAAATAAAGTAAAATGTCATTGAAAATGGAGGAAGTATTATTATTAGAGGATTTATTTCTTTTAACTTATAAATCAATTTAAAATAGATAATTAATAATTTTGATAATTTGTTAAAGCTGTAATAGTATTAGTATTAGTATTTTTAAAAATTATAAATAAAATACAGTGATTTAGACTTTACTTATGATGTCTAAGTTTATTTAACTTATAATTTAAAATTAAATTTGACTGAATTATAAGCAAAACAAAAGAACGCTCTCTTGGAAATTATTTTAAATAAAGGTGGGAAGTTCTATTAAAACAATTTAAAAAAAAAAAAAAAAAAAAAAATAAGCAAACAAAAAACGCTCTCTTTGGAAAATTTATTTTAAATAAAGGTGGAGTTCTATTAAAACAATTTAAAAAAAAAAAAAAAAAAAAAAAAAGGAAAGATGAGCAAAAAAAAAAAAAAAAAAAAAAGGAAGATGAGCCCCGCATTGTCAAGGGACCCATTCTCACGCACCCACATTCCTCCTATTGGATTTCCTTTTTCCCAAAAAATTCAGTACCCTATATTAAAAAATTTCCACTTTTCGTTTTCGTAGCTGAGAAATACATAGGAAAACCCAAGGCACTAGCTCTGGGGCATCAGCTGCTATTGCCAAGCATCAAATCAAAAATCAAATCAGGAGAAAAAAGATCAAAACGACGACCCGCAGAAATGGTGTCGTACGTCAATGCCTTGCTGTACGGAGTGGGCGGCATAGTGGTGGCAGGGATGGCTCTGCTCGTCGCCTTCCAAGAGAAGTTGGTCTACGTGCCCGTCTTGCCAGGTCTCACTAAGTCCTACCCGATTACTCCGGCCCGACTCCGACTCATTTACGAGGATGTCTGGCTCAGATCCTCCGATGGAGTCCGCCTCCATGCTTGGTTCATTAAGCTCTTTCCTGAATGCCGAGGTTAGGAACTTTTTTTTTTTTTTTTAAATCAGTTTTTAACTGAGAATCTCTTGATCGAATCGGTTTTTTTTTTTTTGGTCACTGAATTAGGGTTTTTTTGGGACTACTTGTAATGTTGAAGCTGTTTTTGGGAGAACTTTAAATGGAATCAGATTTTTCCTTTTGTTTTAGAAAATTTTATGAACTTTACTGTTTGATGTGGAGTATGAGGTTTGTGGGCCTCAAATCTGTTAATAGTTCAATTAGCGAAAGCGAGAATTGATTTTTTTTCCTTTTTCTGGTTAGCTTAATTTCGTTGTTATACTGTTATTGTTGCTGTTTAGTGATTCATTTAATTGTACATAAGAAGTCACGCAAATCAATTCAAGTGCTAATGGAAAATATCAAGATTCTTTTAGCTAAAAGTTTGTTCAAATTAGATAAAATCAGAAATGATTTAATATGTTTCCTGGTGGTTTTGTACATTTTATATAAACATTGGCATGGCAGATCTATTGCACAGGTCTCTATGATGTCATCTTATTGTCCCACTTCGGTTTGGGATAAGGAATGACAAACCTCCTCTCCTTGAGCTAGCTTTAGGGGTGAGTTAGGCTGGGTCCGTTTTCTTCATACATCTCATTCGAATGTCAGTGGCAAACACAGAAGCATGTTTCTGACGTTAAGTGTTTGAGAGGAATGAAAGATTTAATATTTATCGTTTTGCATCTCAAAGATGCTTTTTCCTATCTGAACGTCACTAAAACATGCTCTTTTTGTTAATTTCCTTATGAAAACATTGTGATTACGATTCCTCTTTCTTCAGCTTTTTTTTTTTTTTTTTTTTTTTTTTTTTTTTTTTTTTTTTTTTTTTTTTTTTTTTTTTTTTTCCATGTGGTTTTTTTTTTTTTTTTTTTTTTTTTTTTTTTTTTTTTTTTCCATTGTGTTTGATTTTTGTTCTGCAAGGGTCAGATTGATAGTAATGTCATTGGTATTGCAGGTCCAACCATCTTGTTTTTCCAGGAGAATGCCGGAAGTATCCTTATCATAATTGTTATTGTTCATTCTTTACTACTGGATTCAGTTACAAATTGGTTATTTCTATTATTTTACTGGCTCAAACTCCTTCATAGTGGCCTTAACTAGTAACCTGCAGATATTGCTCACCGTCTTGAAATGGTTCGCATAATGATACAGAGGTTGCACTGCAATGTGTTCATGCTTTCATACAGAGGGTATGCATTTAGTAATTATTGTATCTAATATTTATTTTTTCGTGTTATGCATTCTGGACATGGATCCATCCCTTTCATGTTTACTGCTCATCTAGCTGATTGAAAACAAATGCTTCAAATCCTTTTGTGGCTTAAACAGTTATGGAGCAAGTGATGGATACCCTTCTCAACATGGAATCGCAAAGGATGCTCAGGTGTGTGTTTCTTTTAGCTCCTTCTCTTAAACTTTCAATGTACTGCTGTTTGGATTCATGTTATGTTCTCAATTGGTATGACTTTTTTCTTTGTTAGGCTGCACTAGATTATCTTACTCAGAGGACTGACATTGACTCGTCTAGAATAGTCGTATTTGGGAGGTCACTTGGGGGTGCAGTTGGGGCTCTGCTGACCAAAAACAATCCTGATAAGGTATCATGCTGCTTAATTTAACACTTATTTTGGTGGAAAGTATTTCTCTTCCTTTTGCCCTCTAAGAATCTATTAAATTTTCACATGGCATCTGTTTGGGTTATGAAAATTTGTTTACTAAATTTTCCTTGTGCTTGTCAATCTCCTTGTATATTTAGTAATAAGTCTTCCAAATGACTAATGAATAGGTACAAGGTATTAAATATAGGAGTGTTGACCAAATGTGGTGCAACTTTGTATGTTTGCAAAGTGGATGCATTGAAGATAACATTAATATCACTCGTCCTTTATGTTGCATTGTTATAATTGTGATTTGTAAATACTTAGCAGGAACTGGAGGTAGCAACATATTACATTTGATGACAGAACTGAGTAGTGTGTGTTGTATGTTTGGTCAGTTATATTTGAGGAAGAAACCTAATTATGGATAATTCACAGGCAGTTCCAAGTGGTTGGTGCATTGAATACTGGTCTTAATTTATTGTAATTTTTTCTTTTTGCTTTTATAACCTTTTGTATTGTGAATGTGATTGTTTTGAAAGTATCAATTTATGGCTCTCTTCTATTGCAAATGGGGGTAAGGACCTTAATTTCTACGATGAATTATCGCTAGAGAAATCTTTGAAATTCTAATTTTTGCCTCTTTGGCGTTTTGCTTTTTGGTTTCATGTTATATTTATTTCTAAAGTCTTTCATTGATTTCTAGTTTGAGATATACCAAACTTGATTGTGCTAATGTTTATGGTATTTTTACTCCTCTCATATTGTTTTGTTCTATTAACATGAGAGCAGCAAAACAAAAACGAGATTCATGCAATCCTTAGTAATGTGTTTCAACTTGGTTCCTGTTATCTCATTTACTTCTTATTTGGACAAATTTTTTGCTGGAAAGATCTTCCAATTAGCTCAATGCTTGCTGTGACTGCAATCAGATATGTCTTTCTAGTTACTTCTCTTTGTTATTGTTTGTAGAATTTTAGGTGTTTTCTAGTTCTAAGGTCATTAACTTATATAACATTTGTACTATGCATTTTCAGATATCATCTTTTATCCTGTCTGTGCTTTGCAGGTGGCTGGGTTGATACTGGAAAATACTTTTACATCTATTCTGGATATGGCTGGAGTTTTACTGCCCTTCTTAAAGTGGTTTATTGGAAGCAATCATTCAAAAGGTCCTAAAATTCTTAATTTTCTTGTACGATCTCCATGGAGCACTGTTGATGTTATAGGCCAGGTAACGCCAAATGCAAGATTTTGCTATCCATTCTCAACAATTTTTCAATTTGTTGCTCTGGTGCATTCCGTGGAATCCATATCTGGCATTTATGGTTACCCATGCTAGACACTCTATGTTTCTTGGATTGGTTGAGAATCTAGATGAGGATATATAGTTGAATGTCCTCCATGCTGTATCTCTCTATGGTAAATTGGTGAATTAAAAGCCATGAACCAATGTGTTAATACAACATAGCTTTCTGTTAGCTATTTCCCTGATTGCAATTGTGATATATCAAAATGCTGAAAACAACTCAATGATCTCTTCTGTTTTTAATTATTTTTCATTTTTGCTTGCACTTCCAATGCATAACGCATAAAATGGGTCTTCTTGATTGCAGGTTAAGCAGCCAGTCCTTTTTCTTTCTGGATTGCAAGATGAAATGGTACCTCCATCCCATATGCAAATGTTGTATGCTAAGGCAGCTGCTCATAACAAGGAATGCATCTTTGTGGAATTTCCTACTGGCATGCACATGGACACCTGGTTGGCTGGTGGTGATCAGTATTGGAAAACAATTCAGGATTTTCTCAAGAAATATGTTCCAGAGAACAAGGAAAATGAGTCATTCCATGATGACAAAGGTAATCTTCTACTTCTGAAAATTTTATGGAACTTTATCTGGCAAAAGGAAGAAAGATGGATATACCCCACCTAACATAATATTGATGTTAGGAAGTAAAAACAGGGAAATCAATTACATTTTCTTGGGTTGATTTAGGCCCCCCGATCTGGTTATTCTGATTTTCTTCTTTTTTCATTTTCACCAAGTTGCTTTTCTGTTCCAGCTTTTGCATGACCCATTGGCCCATGAGAGTAACCTATTAAAATCACAACAGTTCCAAAACTTGGAAAAGAGCCAAAAGACTAATGCAGGATGGCCCAAATTTTTTTTTGGCTGGTCCTTTTTCTCCATGCCTGCCATGACTAAAATCAAGGAACAAGCTATTTCCATGACTTGGAAGGCTGTTTCTTTGGTTGCCGTGATGGTTTGGAAAGAACCATTTTGCAGTATGGTTATCCCCTGAAGGCAATGCCTTGTAATAAAAGACACAAAATTGACCTTGGTATTTTGAGTTAACCTTTACCTGGTTTCTGCTGTATTTTAATGGTCTGGCATAGGCATAATTTATTATTTTCTTGTTGTAAAATTGTACTCTCTCGTACTTATCTTTTCACTTTTGTTATACATATCTCGTACAAAACCCATTTAGATTATGTTTTCATAATTTCTTTTTAAATCATTTAAATGTTCACATTTCGCACTTAGATAATGATAAAATATTTCATAATTGACATGATGGCTCATGCACACAAATGCCAAATTCTCACACTTCCTCAGTTTTTTTCTGTGTTAATGGGGCCCTCTATTTTTCTGCTTCCAGATTCTGAGGGGAGGTGACTAATTGCATGTAGGAATTTGAAGATGTTATAAATTGGCTCACCACAGGTCCTTAAAGTGTTTGTGCCTTTTGTTTTTGAAACTGCAGCAACTAAAAGTTCTATGTGAAGAATTGCTGATCGCTGAGACCCTCCAACTCATTCTGATTTTCTCTGAAATATTTCATTGGTTTGAGAAGCTTCAGCAGATGCCAGAAAAGCAAATGTGAATGCCTTTGGTATAGCGTACAACTTTTTGACATACATCTTTGTTAGTTAGTCCATTTTGACCTGTTCTCATTGTAGGAATAAAGAACATTTAAAAATTTAAAATATGTAATTGATGTAATGGACTGTTTGCGTCTTTATAGTTCATAGATAATTCTTCCGTTGACAGTCTATGCTTAATTTCTCTCCATCGATTATATGCATTGCTTGCTGTGCCTATTATAAACCTGCTAGTGCTGGCTACTGGAGGCAATGGCCTATGCTTCACTACTGGTTTATAGCACAAAAGAAGTTCTCACCTGAGGATTGAGGAATTTTTTTATAATATTGATGTTAATTTACTCTAATAACAATCGTTTCAGGTTCTTATTATCAATGTTAGGTGAAATTAACTTATTTTCTATAATCGAAATAGAAGTAATCTAAAATTGTAAATTGAAAATCTAAATTAAATCGATTCAGTTTACCCTAGATGATGCATATACTTTATGTATCTGATTATTGGTCTCTCGGGCCTAGGCCCACTCGTTTAACCGGATAGAATGGAACGATGGATACCCTAAAAATACGGAGTGGCATCCTGGTTGTTAATGAGAAATGGAGAGGCCTATGAGATTCTACCATTCCCGATAAAAACGAAACTACCTTTTTGTCTTTTTGACCAAAAACCCATTCGCTGAAGCCAAAGTTTTGCTTAACCAATGACCAAAACAGGAAATGATAAAATTTTAGTAATGGCAAAATAGTCATATGAGAAAAGATTCCTAGTTTCAAAGGCTATATAAATGCTCAACCGCGTGCTATTTGTCCCCTGTGCTCTTTCGGTCCTTAACATAATCGATGTTTCAGAAACGGAGAGGGGCGTCGTCGATTTTCCTCAAAGACGCATAGTGCTAAAGAAAGCCAAGGGTGCGCACTTTAATATCACTGCGCACCCAGCCAAGGGTGCGCACTTTAATATCACTGCGCACCCTCTTCGCCGCTACACCTCATCATGACACGTGCATGGCAGGTATGTGATTCTTCCGATCATCAAAGCAAAGATTCTCTGGTGATCTAGTCAAGGCATGGGGCTATGGCCCCCACAAATTGGAGCTTCAAACGCACTACACTCACGGCTCACATTAGCATCAACTGCCTCTATTCTCCAACTCCACTTCTTCCTCTTAGCAATCCTCAAGCCAAACAATGGATGCCACGTTGCAAAATACTTAAGACATTTTCTTTTTTTTTTTTTAAATAATTTTAATTTTGGTTGACCCTGTTATGAGTAAAGGAAAATATACTTATCTGGAAGGTCAAGTAATAAAATTTTCGAGTATTGGTTTGTTTGTTGCATTTCCCTCTTCAATAATATCCGAACTTTATCTCTCTATTTTTTCTCTGCTACTATCAGTGAAATGTTTGTTGGTGTTTTTGGTTCTCTAATAAGCAAACAATTAATATCTCGATAGTTATTACCCCTTTGAAACTTCAGATTTCCTTTCTTATCCTTTCATTTTTGTCCCTCCTCTATCTCAGTCTCCATTTTTCTATTCCCTTCTTTCTATCTCTCTGCATACTAAAATTTACTTTTGAGTGGAACGGACATGGACGGAGGCGCACAGTACAACCCACGAACAGTGGAAGAGGTTTTCAGGGACTTCAAGGGCCGTAGAGCTGGAATGATCAAAGCCCTCACTACTGGTCTCTCTTATAGTTTTCTTTACTTGCTCAAGTTTTGGATTTTGGGTTCTTTGAGTTGAAATTATATTCTTGTTATTTTCTCCTAGTTGGGTTTTCGTCTTGTTGTTTTTCCATTTATATTTGTATTATAAAGTTTCAATGTCTAATGGGTTTGCTATTTGTTGTTGGATTTCTCTTTTGCAGATGTAGAAGAGTTCTATCAGCAGTGCGATCCTGGTTAGGGTTACCGTCTCTGTTCTTTTATTTGGGTTTGAGATTTCAAAGTTTCTGTGCTGTTTTCACTTTTTTCCACCTGTGGTCGAAATTGCGTTATGTTGGTAGTCAGTGTTGAGCTTGTATTTGCATGGAAGCTCTTAGTGTTGCTTAATTCAATTTTATCATAATTCGTGAAATTTTAAATTGGTGCTTCAGATTTGTGTTTGCAACTTTGTATTCTTACATGGGTTAGTTTTTTTTTTTTTTTTTTTTTTTTAATTCGGTGAAAATTTTTAAATTGGTGGCTTCAAGATTTGTGTTTGCAAACTTTGCTATTTTTACATGCCGGTTTAGTTTTTTTTTTTTTTTTTTTTTTCTCCTAAGAATAGCTGCTTTGGCAATTTTAAAACCCAATTATAATTGGTTCCTTGAATAGCAATCTGGATAGAGAAATTTAAATGTTCTCTCTAGTTATTTCCAGTGTTCTACTTTTCGTCAATACTCTCTAACCCAAGAGTAACGGGTTTGGAACTTACTCAAAACACGCAGACATTGGTGCTGTTTTTTTTTTTTTTTTTTTTTATTATTTTTGTTTGACAGGAGTTTGTATGATTGTAGTATATAAAGTTGAGTTAAACTTGGTAGCCCTTCTGTCAGTTTTTTCTTTTTAATTCTACTTAACAGCTTGCTTAAAGTGATCTGCAATGTGAATTCATGAGATTTAACTTTTTCTTTTTCTATATGATTTCTAAATGTTGGCACTTCAGTTTGCTTCCTTTTACTTCTTTTCTGGAGACACGCGTACTGAGTTTCTATTAGGGCGATGTTTTAGCAAAGCCATAGTGATTACTCTTCTCTGTGGTGTTATGCTACAATTCCTGTGCGTAGTTAGTGGCAACTTTGAGATAATTACTCTCTAACACCTGCAGGAAATATGTGTATAGGCATGTTGCTTATTACCATTTTGTTGTGCTTTTCTAGTTGAAATGATGTTTTAGTGAAATTAAAATGGAGTTCCTATCCTATTCTTAATGGATTCATTATGACAGTAAATTTTGTGCACCTGCACAGAGAAGGAAAATCTTTGCCTGTATGGATTCCCTAATGAACAGTGGGAAGTCAATTTACCTGCTGAAGAAGTGCCTCCAGAGCTTCCGGAGCCTGCATTAGGTATTAACTTTGCGAGAGATGGGATGCAAGAAAAAGATTGGCTTTCTCTAGTAGCTGTTCATAGTGATGCATGGTTACTTGCTGTGGCTTTCTATTTCGGTGCTAGATTTGGTTTTGATAAAGCTGACAGGTATATTTACTACCTCTTCCAACTTTAATATTCAACTGTGAAAAATATTTTATCATTGGAAATCATCCAAGTGCCAAAACAAGTTAGAACAATTAAATGGAATCGAAACTTCATTTGCTTTCATATTCAATAAATCCATAAAAATATATTTGAAATCTGTGCTTTACTGGTATTAAGTTTGTCATAATTACTATGAGTTCATAGTCCAATGAGAATTGTGATGTCTACTGGGTTTAGCGTGAAATTATCTAGTGAAAATCTCTAAAATGTTTTGCTTTAGAAGATCAAAATTTTATTCAGATTCTTAAGATTTGCTCTTCATTTTGATTGTATGACATACTAATTCCTGAACTATTTACAAAGTCATTCCTTCATTTCGTTGAAATGCCTATTACATGTTGATGTATCAGCAATCACTTTTGACAATATAATTTCATGTTGAAGCATGGACATTAACTAGAAGATTTATTTTTATGCAGCATTTTGGGCTTTGTGAAAATGGAGTAATGTTTTTTTCTTATTTGTTGATGGTTGATACCCTCTAGTTGGTAGGATTTGTATAAAAGAATAATAGGTTAATTATATATGTGGTGTCTGAACTTTTTAATTTTTTCTATTTTGGTATTTGAACGGAAAAATTTTGCAATTGAATGTTGGAAATGATTTTTGTACAATTAAATTTAGCCGGGATTTTCTAACCGGAAAATCAAAATAAACTATTTTACCCCATTGCTTTATTTATTTATTTTTAAAAATTATTACCATTCTTTTTTATTCCTTTTTCTCTCGATAATTCTTTTATTTTGTTCTGGAAAAAACAAGGTCGAGCTCTAAGGAGGGTTGATTTATGAGTTTTCCACTACATTTTTATTTTGTTTTGACATCAAAAGAAAATTAAAAGGAATTTTTGAGACTTTTTTTAGAGGAGATATAAGACAATAATTTAAAAAAAAAAAAAAAAAAAAAAAAAAACAAAAAAGATGCATTAAATGGATGTTTACGATTGACATTGTTTATTGACTAAATTGATCGATTTTTTAATTTTTTCAGTAAAATGATTCAAGCCAAATGCATTTTGATTGCATCTCTTTTTAATAGTTTAGATACTTTAATTGCAATTTTTTTTTCCATAATTTAAAAAAAAAAAAAAAAAAAAGATGCATTAAATGGATGTTTACGATTGACATTGTTTATTGACTAAAATGATCGATTTTAATTTTTCAGTAAAATGATTCAGCCAAATGCATTTGATTGCATCTCTTTTAATAGTTTAGATACTTAATTGCAATTTTTTTCCATTCAAACGCCCAAAAAAAGAAAAAAGTTAAGAAGTTCAAGCACTACAAATATAATCAATTCAAGAATAATCGACAAAGACTTGAACTTTGATGTTGTCTTTCCAATAGATTGATAGAGATCGAGTAAAATGAAATGTTAAAACAAGAAAATTGTCCAAATAGCAGATTTTGCTTCAAGATATTTTCCCCTGATGGTGCCTAGAAATTTTGTATTTTTTTTAGTACTGTAGAGCATATTATTTGTTGGTTTTTCTTTATAATCCATGATAATTGAAGGTGAAAGAATTGTGCTTTATGAATATCATTTCCTACAAAATAAAATGTGAGTTATGACACAGGAAACGTCTCTTCACTATGATAAATGATCTTCCCACAATATTTGAGGTTGTGACTGGAAGTGTAAAGAAACAGGCAAAGGATAAGTCAGTCTCAAATCATAGCAGTAACAAGACCAAGTCGAGCTCGAAAGGGGTAAAACTAATTTTTAATAGTTTGCTGTTTAATGCAATGTCTATTACCATTGTTTTAAGTGCCAAGTTTACATTTGTGTTTGATCCTTAGCCTCTGATGAGGGGGTTATTAAAAACGTAAGACATGGGTTCTTGATATGACGTTTACTTGTTCATTTGTCTATAGCTCAATATAACATTTTGCATTTTTATCTGTTCAATTTTAACTGTTATAATTATATTTCCCTGTTTGGCCTTTCCTTTTGCTCTGAATTGGATTACATATAATTTATTTTCAGGCATGTGCATTTTCTGTTTCCAAGCTGTATTAGGTTTCTTGGAGGTTGTCTGTCTAAAATTTAAGCTGTGACACAGATGGTTATGATGGTTTAGTAGTTCATGTTAAATGCTAATACTTTTTGATAACTTGGTACAGCGTGGAACTGACTCTGGCAAATTTTCGAAGGGGCAACCAAAGGATGAAGATGAAGGATTGGACGAAGAAGAGGATGAAGAGCATGGAGATACATTATGTGGGGCATGCGGAGAGAACTATGCTGCAGATGAATTCTGGATTTGTTGCGACATATGTGAGAAGTGGTTCCATGGCAAGTGCGTGAAGATCACTCCTGCCAGGGCTGAGCACATTAAGCAGTATAAATGCCCGTCGTGCAGCAACAAGAGAGCGCGACCTTGATATACAAAAGGTGGGGCTGGCCCTCACCTCTCTACATCCCTTTTGTTCATGCCAGCAGCTCAGTATTTAGTCAGTCAGGCTTCCTATGTTATGTTTATGTTATGTAGGCACCGTATATTTATTAGGGGTATATTTATCCTCGGAAACTTGTTAGTTATGTATTCTAATATTTGGTAGTTTGCACATCTGGACAGGTCTACCACTTCGATTTGGATATATATTATTTTCACTCTGTAGGAAATCATTTTTCCTATTAAAATGCAGATCTTCACTTTTTGTTGGATTTGCCTTGGTGTTTAGCAATACATGCATTCGTGGACGACCTGTCGTCTGTCCTTGTGAAAAACCTCAGCTTCCTTCTGTCTCATAGCAGTAGTTTTGTTTTCATGCCCGGAAATTTTTGAGGAAAGACACTACGAGTGAACGACAGCACGTTTCATTTAATGGATAAAGTCATCAAATGGTTAAAATGAGTTTTATCGGTTGACTTGTATGGATTTAAGGTCATTCCATTGTCGGTTTATTTGATTCCTACCTTAGTGGGTCTTATTGTGTTTTCTCCTCTTTTATGGAGCATTTCCTCCTTTATTTAGTTTATTAGTTTTTACAATTGGTAAGAAACTTTAATATGTAAGTATGGTTAATGATATTCTACAAATATAGTTTGATTCTGCAACCTATCAAAATCAAATTTAGTAGTAGTTTAAACTCAATTGCGAGTTCTTTTCCAAGAAAAAGGGTAACCATGAGATTCATCAATAACTGATTTAATTTATTAGAATAGTTATTAGTGATAAATGTATATATTTTGATGAATATCTCTCAGGAAATAAAATATTGAAATGCAGGAGAAGCTTCTTGGTTGTTAGAGTTTCCTGATTGGATGGTCAGAAAGTGCATATTTATTTTTATTAATGGTACCAACCAACTTTTTAAAATTTCTTTTGAACGCAACACAACCCTTTGAACCTTTGAATCAAGTTCCATATGGTATAGAGTGCAGAGTGCAGGTCCTTTGTTTCGGTCCTTTTCAACGAAGACTTGTAACGTAAATTTACTCGAATTTTAGTTAGGAATATGACCGCAAGAACCATCTATCTTCCACCAAATTTACAGATCATATCTCATTATAGCTTTTATTTGATTCGGTTTTCTCCATAACTATTTTGGTTGTAATTTGAATTCAATAAAAAATTAATTGACTAAAAAGAAAATAATCTGAAGTTTCTATTTTCCACCCACCTAATTAAATTAGGGTAGTTAGAAGAGATTAAGATTTAAGTCTAACTAAAAAACAACATAAAAGCTCAGTTAATGCGGTTTAGATTTTTTTTTTTTAAAAAAAAATTTTCAGTGTACTCTGTCATTTTTTTAAGATATGAGATTAATTTATTTTTAGAATGTAACTGTATGTTTTTGAATATTAAGACTAATTTCATTTTGGGATATTACCATTACAAAGATGGTCCACTAAATCCAAGAATGTCTTCCCTCCCTCTAGCAACTCCTTAAGCTAACATGATTTAGATCTCCTTTATCGCATACTTAATTACTTAATTAGTAGAATGCCGAACGTAGAAGTCTAATCAGTGGAGACTTTTACTGGTCAATGGTCAAATTTAGACTTTCTTAATGAAAATACCAAATGGACCTCACCCACCGACCAATCCCTCGTGTTTTTCCTTTCATTTCAAAATTGGCTTAATTTCCTATCTCGTTCCATGCAAGTTGGTTGCATCCGCCCTATTTCCACTGACCTTAGAACTATTATTCTAAAGAAAATGACTTTGGACCATTGACGCAGCCCTTTCCCACTTACTAACCCTTCCTCACTACTATAAGTACTCGCTCAAATCAACTCTCCTCTCAATCTCACTTCTCCCATTACTGAACAAACTACCCTTTCTCTTGATTTATTTCTTTCCTTTTGTACAAAAATGGCAGCAAACAAAACTTCCTCTCCTTCTGAAGTTTGCCAAACGGTGTCCCATTGGCAGAAGGCTGCGGAGTCACTCCAAAGCTCCCATTTTGATGAGGTTTATGAAATGGCATCGCAGTTTGCCAATGCTCAAACTGTTGACATCCAAGGCACTTCCTTGACGGTTGCTGAGGTCACTGCCGTTGCTCGCCGGAGTAATGTAAGCGTTCAACTCAATGAGACGGTGGCCGGTGACCGTGTAAGGCAAAGCGCTGACTGGGTTTCTTTCAATATCTCGCATGGAATTGACATTTATGGCGTTACTACAGGATTTGGTGCTACTTCTCATAGGCGCACTACTAAAACTGCTGACCTTCAAACCGAGCTTATTAGGTTCTTGAATGCCGGCGTCATTGGCAAAGAAAATCTTCCGTTAAGTTATTCCAAGGCGGCTATGCTTGTCCGGACAAACACTCTAATGCAAGGATATTCTGGTATTCGTTGGGAGATTCTTGAATCTATTTCTAAGCTTATGAATCTAAATTTAATTCCTAAGCTGCCCTTAAGAGGTACTATCACTGCTTCTGGTGATCTTGTGCCATTGTCTTACATAGCTGGATTGTTAACTGGCCGCCATAATTCCAAGGTGGTGACTGTACAAGGCGAAGAGATTACAGGCCTAGAAGCTCTGAAAAGAGCTGGAATTGAAGCTCCTTTTGAGCTACAGGCAAAAGAAGGGTTAGCTCTTGTTAATGGAACTGCAGTTGGGTCGGCTGTAGCGGCAACTGTTTGTTTTGATGCAAACATTTTGGCTTTTCTTGCAGAGATCCTTTCTGCTTTGTTCTGTGAAGTCATGCATGGTAAGCCAGAATATACAGATCCCCTCACTCATCAACTTAAGCATCATCCGGGCCAAATTGAAGCTGCTGCCATAATGAAACATTTGTTAGATGAAAGTGATTACATGAAAGAAGCCAAAATTCGGAACGAGAAAGACCCACTTACAAAGCCTAAACAAGACAGATATGCAGTAAGAACCTCTCCTCAATGGCTTGGTCCTCAAATTGAAGTTATTCGAGCAGCAACTCATTCTATTGAAAGAGAGATTAATTCTGTCAATGATAATCCAATAATTGACGTTTCTCGTGATCTTGCACTTCATGGAGGAAATTTCCAAGGAACTCCTATAGGAGTTTCTATGGATAATCTCAGGATTGCAATTGCAGCTATAGGAAAGCTTATGTTTGCTCAATTCTCTGAACTTGTTTGTGATTATTACAATAATGGATTGCCTTCAAATTTAAGTGGAGGGCCTAATCCAAGCTTGGATTATGGGTTGAAAGGTGCTGAAATAGCTATGGCTTCATATTGCTCAGAACTTCAATTCTTGGCTAATCCTGTAACTTCTCATGTTCAAAGTGCTGAGCAGCATAATCAAGATGTTAACTCTCTTGGTTTGATTTCAGCAAGAAAGAGTGCTGAAGCCATTGAAATCTTGAAGCTTATGTCTGCAACTTTTATGGTTGCACTTTGTCAGGCAATTGATTTAAGGCATTTGGAGGAGAATATGAGGGAGGTCATCAAACAGGTTGTTCGTCAAGTAATCAGGAAAACTCTTTACATTTCTGAAGATGGATCGCTTCTTGAATCGCGCTTTTGCGAGAAAGAAATCTTACAGGTTGTTGAACATCAACCTGTATTTTCCTATCTCGATGACCCAACCAATCCTTCTTATCCATTTTTGGCTAAACTTCAAGAAGTGCTTGTTCAAAAAGCGCTCAAAGATCCTAAATCTGGAAATTCGGATCAAAATGGATACACAATTTTTAAGAGGATACCTGTTTTTATGGAGGAATTGAGGGCAAGACTAGAAGAAGATGTGCCAAAAGCAAGAGAAAGATTTGATGGTGGAGAATTTGGCGTAGAAAACAGGATCAAGAAATGCAGGACTTATCCTATATACAAGTTTGTGAGAAGCGAAGTGGGAACTGAGCTGCTTAGTGGAGCAAAGAAGGTGAGTCCAGGAGAGGACATAGAGAAAGTTCACGAGGCTATTAATGAAGGGAAATTAGGTGAGGTTTTGATGAAGTGCTTGAAAGATTGGAAGGAGACAACATCTCTAACATTTTGATGTTATGTATTTGGAATGTTTATGTAATAATAGGAAGTCTAGCATATTGTTCTACCTAATTATCTTAAATTTTGAGAGATCAAATTATTTCCCTGTAATAAAAGAGAAAAAAAAAATGCTCTCAATTTACACTGTAACTACCTGTGCACGAATGGATATGCATGTTTTACAAGTGAAAACCTTAATTTAAAGGGTCAACTATTTTGAGCTATTAGGCAATTGATTAGCCCATTCAATTTTCCAGACTAATTTGAGGACTGATTCCGGTTGGTTGAGTGAGCAAACTTAAATTACTTCCAAGTCCTCTTCTCTGCACTTTGTTCATAGTTTAAACAAGTGCTTTAAAACAAACAGAAAAGAGTGAGTTAAGTTCTCTGTTTCTTTCAACACGAAACAAACAAGACAAAATTTCAGATATTTTGATTAACAAAGACCACCGCTGTATAATTCCTGTAAGGAAAATATCTAGCAACTATTACCGTTCTCTCAACGAGACATGAAGCATGTATATTACAGTGCACAGGCATGATTACAAACATGAAATTTACAAAAAAAGGAATCAAGGTAGAGCAAATCCATCAATTCACTTTACCGTGTTTTGCATGAACAAAATCACCACGCTGTATTAGCAGTAAACAAGATAACTCCTTAAAGCAGAACTCACAAAACCTAAAAGGGACTCAAGGACCATCCTGTATGCCGTGTGCATTCAATCATCAAGCTCATGCCAAGTTTAATGGTTTAACTCTACACGGGTTCTGCAAAGAATCACAATGAGATTGCAGCCATTTTCCAACAAGGAACGCCTTTCAGACATGCTCAAATGCATGTGCAATTTACCTCAACCTAATAGTTTCATTTAAGGAATTTTGTACTTTGATTCTGTGTGTCGATTCGATGCAATCTGATTCCTATTTTGCCCGAGATGAGATGCTCCATAATTTATCACCACGTTGCAGCTTTGTTGTCAAAGAGGTTGCAGTTCTATTAGAAGCAGCTTTTGACTTTGTAAAAAGCTGCTTATTGTTCTTCCCCATTCCATTAGCAAGCAGCCAACGAGAACCAGATTGTTCCTGAGCTGCAGTACCCCAGAGTTTCTTCTTTCCAGGCTCAGGCTCAGTCTTGAGACCAGCAACACGTACTTCCGTGATGCTGAACTGAGGAATTCTTTCCTCTTCAGACGCTGTATCCCCAATTTTCTCTTCCTTAACCTTTTCCTTCACCACCAACTCTGACTCATCGTCATCCTCTTTATCATTGCTTAGCTCCGAAACCTTACAGTATATTTTTGGCTTTGGTGGGACAAAGACTCTCTCTACTTGAATAAGAGCAAGCATCGGTGTGCCTACTGGTTCATAGTCCCTCAAAGGATCACGAAGTTGCACCATCAATGCAACAGTAAAGTTATTCCCCAGTAAACCACACTTTCTACCTGAACCTCTACCATGTCTTCTCTCTCCTCTGGACCCCCCACGAATCATCTCCAAGGAGCTGGCATGATGGGCAGCAAGTATCTTAGAAGTCCGCTCGCTTATCTGATCTTCAGCACCAATGTCACCAGAATCCAATCGCATCCATTCATCAAGAGTCAGTGACAGACCCATTAATCCATCAATATCATCACCACTTTCCTTTATGTCCATTAATTGTAATCCAGCAGCTCCCTCCAAACCAAGGGACCCACTGACATTGATGCCCTTTCCCTGAAAGGCTGAAGTTTCCCCAGTAGAGCGTGCACCGATGCTCAAAGTTGGATCCTCATCTGACATGCCAGATTGTATTCTTAGTCCCTCAAATGAGAGTGCTTCAATCTTATCCATAGCCAGGGGAGCAAGATTTTCTAGAGATACATATTCTGAGCCCATGTAATTATCGTTTGTGCTTGACTTGAACTCATTAGATCTTGGTGCAGATGATCTCTCCTTCACATTCTTTTGCCTACCAGATATATCTTGCCCAAACTCGAATGCATGCTCCAACGAACTTTGCCTGTGTAAACGAAGAGACATCATAACTGATACATATTTTACTAGAAGAATTAAAGAATAATAATAATTCGAATTCAAATCTCAGAAAACGGAATCACATCCAGATACAAACCTCTCAGGTCCCTCCAAGGAAGCCACAGATTCCCATGCTACTTGTTGCATTGTTTTTCCAGTGATATCTTCCAAAGGCATTAACTTATTTGCCTGCATGGAGAGTTTTTCAATCCCAACTGAAGCCAACTGTTGCAGTATATCCGTTACTCCAGAACCCATTTCTGCAGGTACCACGACAGGACTTGAAACTTGCATGATCAAATTCCCACCACTTTTTGCATTCCTGAAAAGTGAAGGATTCATAGATCGCAAAAATCCACCATTCTTTGTTTGCAGAAATGGACCTAATCCTTCTCCAAGAGAAGGCAATTCAAGTGGCTCTTCATGAGGCAATTCAATTGGACTCCCAAAGCAACCAGAGTTCTTCGGTGAATATTGAAAAGCCTTATCATTCAAACCCCATTCACGCATTAAAGCTTCTGTCTCTAGATCTTCCAACATTTTAGCCCTTCTCTTGCCAATCTCTGCCTGAGCTTCCATCTGATGCTCCTCCTCTGCAGCTTGGATAACTGATGACAGTTCAAAGTCATCAGACAAGTTCCCCCACTCAGGCACAGTCAATGTGCTGTAGTCACACCCCATTTGGTCCTCACTATCAACCCCCAAATCAAACAGAGAATAACCACCAGCTAGGGCATCCTTCTCAAACTGTCTTAGTAAGCGCTCCCTTGGGGATTCAGGTTCACTCTCTGAACTCAAACCAAATGGACTATGATCAATCCCCAGCAAGTCCAAAAATTCATTTGCTACAGAGTCAGTGACATCATCCAAGTTAACTGATGTCTCACTCCTATTTGTTTCATAACCTGTTTTGACTTCCATGCAATTTTCTTGTTCTTCTGGAGAATCAAATGCTTCAGTTTCCAAATTTGTCACACTAATCAGTGCAGCTTCCAGTGCTTTCATCACAGACTCTTTTGAGCACATTTCATCCTCCTTACTAGTGCAATCATGCACAACAAGCTCATCTCTATGACTATGCATCCCGACATCATCAACATGAAGCTTATCGTCCTCTTCGGAACCTATCAGAAAACTACTACCAGTTTTATCTTCTGCTGAAGAAACGTCATCATCCTTAACAGTAAGTTCCACTGGTTTCTCCTGTTCCTGTTCCATCCCCTGTTCAATCACAGAAAATGCAGCATCTTCACACCCATTTTCGACCTTCTCTTCGTTGGATTTAGACTCTGGGCAGAAATCTGACTTAATGGGTTCAAGGTGTTCAGTGAACATATCAAGTTCAGGTTTAGTGGCATATGAAGAATCCAACTTTTCTTCATCAAAATTCTGATACAGCATAAGTACTGGACTGATAAGTTCTGATTTTGATGTTGCCAACACCTCGTGAAGATCTTTCACATCTTCTACAGGTCTAGTTGAGACATAACGCTGCTGGTTCAAAGCACCAGGAAGACTTCCAGAGCGACGAAGTGGGCTCTTCCCATCACCTTGACCAAATCTAGGAATTGGTTTCGCTGTTTTCACAGCAGTCTGCTTCAAATTAAACAGCTCTGGAACATTCTGGTTGTTTCCAAGTGGAACTGAACTGTCCCCAACCACTGTATACCCAAAACTAACATTCATGGTAGCACCCTTTGCTCCTCCTGACAACTTAAAACTAGTAGTCCACTTTCCTGAGCTCTTCTCCTCCTCCAACTCCTCCAGTGTGAGAGGAAGCAATCTTGTGAGGTCAACCCTATGCTTCCCCAAATCAAGCTCCTGGACACCAATTGCAGATGCATAAAGCAAGAAATGCTTCGCCTCATACTTAGCCGAATGGTGAGGTCCACTCCTACTCCCATAGACCAAGCATGTATGAGTCAACTTCTCCTCAAACTCAGCAACACCTTCCAAAACCTTCACAGGGCGGGTAACCAGCTCTCCATCCCGCCTCTTCCAGTGCACACAGACACTGAGATTTTCAAAACTCAAGGGAAACCCTTCAATAGAGTGGACTTGAAGAGAGAAACAACAATTAAATTTCCGGTTCCTAACATTTGATAAGGCTTTTAACGGCTTCCAATTCCAAATGGACTTCTTGTCTTTTTGTGATGAACTTTCATTACCATACTTTATCTTCGACTTCGAATCAAGCAACTGAGATTTTCCAGTTGGTTTTGATCGATTGCTAGGCGCAGAAATTGAATTCCTTGAAGGATTTTTGTCTAGGTATAGAGCTTTGCTTATACTTTCAATTTCGCTTAACAACTTGGCATTACCTGAATTCTCTCCAATTTTTTTTCTAACTTCAGCTTTGGACATCATCACCTATTCATAAATTCAAAACTAAAACATATAAAACAAATAATAATCAGGAAATGAATTTAAAACAGCAAAACCCATTCCTATGAAACCTAAAATTCAGAAGTTCAAAATTTTAAATTCACCGATTTCACGACAACCCAACACAAGATTAAAACTAAACCAAAAACACAAGAATAAAAATATAAATATCTCAAAAACTAAATATCTAAGTTATCACAAATAGCTTATGAGAACTTACCTTTAATTAGAAAACCTTTTCAAAACGAACCCCAAATCAATGTATCAAAGACGCGTCTTTCTTTCTAGAATTTAAATTTCCAACGTAACAGAGAGACCAAAACAAAAGTTAGAAGAAAATCCAACACGATAACGATAATAGTATCTTATACCACAGTGTCTGAACGGCGTCAAACGGCCGCCACTGTTTTCTTTTCTTTCGCTCTCCTCTCTTCCTCTCTCTCTCTCTCTCTCTCTTTGAAATGCCGCTGCTTATTTTATTCGAAGTTTGAAACCAACTACCAAATATCATCGTCAGTAGCTTTCCAGTGTATTTGCAAATCGTGTCCTCATCTTTCGAAAAATATATTTTTGTGCATGGAACTTTTATCTAATTAGAATTCTACCCACAATTTTCTACAGAATTCCTTTCTTTTCAAACTCTTATTTAATTTAATGATCAATACTAGAATGAAGCTCAATTTGGTAAATTATCTTTACCAAAAATTGAACAAAATCCATGAACCTTGTTGATAATATTTGAGTCAACGTAGAATTTAAACGAATTTAAGATTTGAGTTATGAACATTACATAAAAAAATTTTTAACAATGATAGTCAAATGCCAGATGATATAATATTTAGATAAATAAATATTTTATTACTAGCAAAAACTAGAAAATCAAAATATAATCACTTAATTGATTTACTCAAATTTTGATTAGTAAGATTAGTCAAAAATTGACCTACCAAAGTATTTTGCTGTGAGAGTAAAATTAGTCAAAAATTGTATGGGCAGAAATTAGAATAGCAAAACATTCCGGGCCAAACATAATTAAGCGAAAATCCTATGCGTTGGTCTTTTTGGTAGTACTTGGAGCGTCAAGAAAGGAACAAGGCTTAGCTGTCCCACTGGCACTTGCCTTGGATGAAATTCTTAATTCTTTGCTTGCAATGCATAATATGAAAATGGCCTTAGCAATCCTATTTTATTTTATACCAATAAATTTTAATAAATATATATTTGCAACCAAATTTAATCTTTAGAGAAAACAATATATATATATATATATATATGTTATTTTTTACAAATAAAATAAATTCTCCTGGAACTTCTATCCTTATTCCCTCCACAATCACGTGAGAATTGTGAAATTTGAAAAAAGCAATTCCTATCTATTATTTTAAGGCCTACAATTTTTTATTTTTTCCATTTTTTCAAGTTGTGTTCACAACGCTCTGCAACAGCAATAAGCACTCCTTAGTTTTTTCCCTCCGACACTATGCTTCCATTTCCAAGCATTGATTCTTGAAACTAAAAATTGCTTATTTTCTACTAAATAGATGCTTGCTTCAATAAAAATAAATTATCTTTTATCTATAAAATCAGGGATTTAAAACCTCAAATTGTCATTGTTAAATAAATTTTACTTGAATAACGCATTTAATTTGAACATAAAAACGCGTTTTTGTATAAAAAGAATTACATATTTTCTAATTTGATTTAGTTTTATATTCTAAAAATAAAAAAAAAATTGTTTTTTAAATTATGCACTTGAAAATATTCAAAATAACGCGCCATTCTGCCCTTTGTCATTGTTTGCTGTGTCCGTTTTCAACCACTTATCAAATACAAACGAAAAGATAAGAGACCTTAGACAATAGACATTACAGGCGCTGAAGACTTGAAGCTGAAGGAAGGAAAGAAGGAGGGAAAACCATTTGGAACCAATGCAAATGATTTGTGGGTGTGGGTGGCTCTTTCCCGGAAGTTGCTTGCGGGCCTTTGATTAATTCAGATTAATCAGTATTAGTTGGATTAATTTGCTTTTGAAATATTGTTATTAATAGCCTCCATGAAATTTTTTTTAATTATATAATCAAATATGTCATGCCTAAACAAGTAGCAAGAAATAAAAATCAAGAAGGTTAACTAAATGGAAATACAAAGATTATTTATGTTTGTAGAAATAAAATAGCTCTTTCACACCAAAGCACGGAAGTCAGAATCTTTCAAAAAAAATGAATTCTTATTCCAAAAAGAATGAATAACCGTATGGATAAGCTCGTCCTCACCCGTCATATTAGTGGTAGACTCTCCAGAGTCCAGCCCATGAACTAGTGCAGCTCATAGAAATGGCAAGGCCCAAGACAAACCCACAATTGCCCATGGATCTATTTGCACAAATTTTTACATGCAAAATCTTTTTTTTAACTTGCATGAGTTGTGAAAGAAAAATTAAGGGGCATTGAATGGTTCATTGTGTTGGCTATTTCAGTGAGTGATTGGAAAATGTGAGCTTTGAATTGGACAATTCCCAATTCATCCCTTACCTAAATGCACCATATTATTACAACCTCCTTGAGGTGCGGGATTTCCTTTTTAGCCTTACCCTCCACATATCTACACCTTGTTTGGGATTTCGGAATAAAATTGACTATAAAGAGATTCGTATTTTCTGTGGTACAAAAACAGTTTGCGGAAAAAAAATTCATAATTTGCGTTCCAGAATATTCCGCTCCGGTGCGAATTCTAGAAGTTGAGTACGGTCAGTCTAAAAGTGATCACTATCAGAACCTTCAGGTTATTAGCTATGTGGAAACCCGGCATAACCGTCAACATTACTACGCAAAAACCACACGTGTACGGTGATTCGAAACGGTTTGTTCACCTAGGAAATGCCACGTCACCTCTCCTGATCTGTTTATGTCCCTTCGATATAAAAAAAAAGGAAATTATTGGAGGATAAAAATACAATTTTGTTTTTTTTTTTTTTAAGAATCAGAGTCCAATTTTGGTCATCGAAGCCATTAGAGTAAATCCTTTTATTCTGTACAAGAACAATTTAATATCCACGTAATCGTGCACCAATTCAGTAAAATTAATATTATAATATGTGTACGATGCAAACGCAAGGTGTTTTCCAATATATAAGTTATGTTGACGTTTACATTTCGTCTGTTTCTCATTTTTGAAAGTGTTTAGTAAAACGAGTTAATGAAAAGTATTTTCTTAATTAAAGAAAAATTAAATTATTTTTTAAGAAAAACGACTTTTCATTCTTAAGAGAATAAAATATTTCTGTAATATTGATAAACTTTATAAATTTATGTTTTTTAATTTATTAATCATTATAATTACCGGCCACCATTTATCATCGACTATCGGCTACTACCATTGACTGCTTTCATATATATATATATATATTCTTTTCATATTTAATAATAAAATAATACCGCCACCATTTATCATCGACTATCCGGCTACTACCATTGACTCTTTCATATTCATATATATTATATATTCTTTTCAGGATTTTAATAATAAAAATATTAAATTATGAAATTTTAATTTTTATTATTATTAATATTTTTATGATCTTATGAGATAAAAATTTTAATATTTTTAATATTATAACCAAATAACGGAAAATAAATCATTTAATTAAATATATTTTTTAGTAAATTATTTTTTTTGCAGGTTATTTTACGGAAACAAATTTGAGCCTTAATAAAAATCATGTACATTATGGTTACATATATTCAATGTGGTTACTAGTATTAACAAATACCATTTATACAAAAATAATAATAATAATAATAATATATTAAGTTATACTTAAGTTAGACAAAAATAAATATTAAAAAATATAAGAAAAAAGGCTAAACCTTTTAGAGAATATTAAAAACTCTTTATATATATATATATATATATAATATATATATAGATAGAATCTTATCGCTCTTTTAAATTTAGCAGCAAATTAAATTTTAGGGAGAAAATTATTAAAATTGGAGTAATTAAATGATCTAATTATTTTAATACTAAAAAAAATATCTAATTATTTTTTAAAATTAATTATTGTGTAAAAATCTTAAAAAATAAGGAGAAATTGATGAAAAATATATATATGTCACACAACAAAGTCACTCAGTTTCTGTTTGAATAAGATGGAATAGTTTTCCTAAGCATGGGGAGAATGTTATGGCTAATTATATCATCCATTAATAAGTACTGTACGTAATTAAGAAAGAACGTTAAAACAAGAAGAGAAAAGAGAGGAATTAGCAGATAGTACTGTCGTCTAATCCTAATTAGAATCCTAAAGATTAAGATAATCCCAACAATTTCTTTATTATTTCTCCGCGACAGAGATCCGTCTCTCCATATATTTCTCTACATATAATTGCCTTTCCCACCTTCTTCTTTCGTTTGTCTCTCTCTTTCTTTCCTCAGCAACGGACAAGAACAAAATAAGAAAATGGCTAGCAACGAAGACCCTATTGAAGAAGTAGTTTCTAATGGAGATTCATTTGGAAAAGCGAAGCAGAGCCTCAAAGACCGATCTAAGGTGCACTAAATCTTTGCCCTTTTATTGTTGCAGCGTCTGTGATTGTTCCCTTTCTCGTTTCTTTATCTTTTTCTTGATCTGGGTATGTTTTTTTTTTTTTTTTTTTTTTTTTCTGCATTAAAAGTGGCTCAAACGATTTTTTTTTTTTTTTTTTTTTTTTTCTGCATTAGAAAGTGGCTCAAACGAAGGAAATATTGTCAAAACAAGCGAATCAAACAAAGGAGATCCTATCTAAACAGGCAGTTAAGATCGCCAAACAAGCCGAGGAACATGAAAGCTTTATTAGTAAGGTTGGCCTTTTTGCTGGTGGTGTTCTATTAGTTCTAATGACATTTTGTCATTAAATTGATCTTGGTTATAATTTATAATATGTCCTCTTGCTGTTGCATTCCAAGTATTTGATTAATATGAGCGTGTTAATAAATTCGTTGATTTTTTTTTTCCTATTCTTTTGTGTTTATGTAGGTAACTCATCTTCTTGGTGTTCTTGGTTTTGGGGGATTTTGCTTCCTCCTTGGAGCAAGTGAGTATACTGTTTGATTGATGGGATGGTTACTATAATTGCATCCAGAATTTTACCGATTCTTTTGCTTGCTTGTTGATGTTCTTTGTGCAGGGCCGCAAGATATTCCTTATGTATACTGTTTGTTTTATGTTACATTTGTTCCTCTTCGGTGGATATACTATCGGATCAAGAAATGGCATTATTATCTTCTGGTAAGTTTTGTGGTTGCCTAGTTACATCTTATAGGGACATGAATCTTTCTGTTGAGAAATTTGGAAGTATTTGCAACTTGCAAGAGAGGAGGTTTTTAAGACTTTGTTTGAGTTCCGTGGTTTTGTGTAACCTCCTGACTACCATAACATAAGATTAAGTGATGCATTAGAACACATGTTAGAAAATTTGGCCTTGGGATATGGTGGAATGGTGAAGCAGGATTCATTTTCTGAATCACTAACAGATGGGTCAGAAACTTTCTAAATTCTAAGCCAAGAATTTTTACAACATAAAAAGTAATTTGAATGTAACATTAACAGTATATCTAATTGCAAGTGTGATGGAACCATTTATAGCTAGTTGCCCTCAGTTTTGATCTTGCCTTCACAGTAATGTTCCAGAATATTAAGAATTTAAGATATTCATCACCAAAAATTTTGGTTTGTACATCTACTTTTTGGTCATCTGAAATTGAGAAATGACAAAACAGACATAATTGTTCTTCATTCCAGGATTTCTGCTATTACGCTAATACAATCTTCTTGGTCGACCTTCTGCTATACCCAAAGAATGAAAAGCTTTTTATGGTGTGCTTCTCATTTGCTGAGGTAAGAAAATAGTCCTGGAATAGTTTCTATGTTTCTGTTTGATGGATGATAATTCTTAATCTTCTTTTTGACTTACTAAAATGATGTTGTAGGGGCCATTAGCATGGGCAATTATTGTTTGGCGTTGTAGCTTGGTTTTTAGTTCTGCTGACAAAATTGTCAGTGTCCTTATACATCTTTTACCTGGTGAGTTGGTTCTTCCTTTCTGGAGTCACTTATAGATCCTCAAAAGCAATGTAACAAGTACTCTTTGGGAAAAAAGATCCAGATTTTTTTGAAGAGCAAGGGGTTAGTTAAGGTTGCTCTCTTTTAAATATACTCGAGAATGCTCGAGGGTTAAGTTTTGTATATCTTGTAATTGGATTATTCATAAGCTAGTGATAGATATAATTTGATTATTTCTGAAGACTGAAGAGTGACAAACACATAATTCGGTATTTTAGTCATAAATAATCATTAGCGAAAATGACCCTTCAATGCTCACTAAGTCCAAAGCATGCTTGCAAGTTGTATTACATTTTTGTGACCTCAGCTTCATGTGAACTCTAAAATTTAATGCTTGGAATCTGGTTGGGCCAATGTGATCCATTGATCTAACAAAATTATGACAATATATATAAATATGAAGAAAGAATAACAATATAATCACGGGTCGGTGCAACAAAGCAAATGTCTATTTCTAATTAAGAAAAAAGCTTCATGGGTAGCTAGCTAAAATTCCAATTTTTCAAAATCATTCTGGTTATAATTTGTCTGGTAATGGTTTCAGTGAATAGAAGGAATTCCGATTTTTCTCTGCTGGTGTTTTTTTTCCCCGAGGATAATTACTCATTAGACTGAAAATGGGAGGCTTAAACATTTGTTTATGGTAGAAATCACTTGGTCATTTGCCATTAGCTTCAAGAATTTTAAGTTTCTAATAGAACAGTTTCCCTTTCAGGTTTAGTTTTCTTTACTATACGGTGGTGGAATCCAGCAACCTTTGAAGCTATGCATCCTGAAGGAACTTTGCGCAGAACATCATGGCCATATGTAGTAGAAGACAAGTACTTCCTGTTGACATGGTTGTTCTTAGTGCCGTTGGTGGCTTATACCTTGTGGCAAGTTCTCTATTTTCTGATTGTCAATGTCTTACGAAGGCAGAGACTGTTAAGAGATCCTGAAGTCATGACTTCTTACAGGTTCTAAATTCTCCCATCATCTCTCTCCATTATATAAGAAAGATACATTCGTATTATTTAGTCATCTGGGTTAATTTTTTGAATTGTTGTAACATGATTATCTTATGTAACTCATTCATTCAACTTCCATTAGGGAGCTATCAAAAAAGGCGCAAAAGGCAAACAATGTATGGTGGCGTTTAAGTGGTTTGCTTGGCGATCAGAATCGATTATTGATGTACATTCTGTTGCAAGGAATATTTACCGTGGCAACGATGGCATTGACAGTCCCAATCTTCTTATCTTATGAGCTGCATGCGGTTTTCCAAATACTCAAGGTTTCAGCGGCTGTGTGGAATGGAGGAAGCTTTCTGGTAGATGTAGTGCCAAGACAGGTAATTCTCAAAGAGAAGAAGAAATCTGAGATGAAGCCAGCACTAAACCAGCAAGACCAGTCTGCAAACATGCAACAAGAACAACCTGCAAATCCGATAGAGAATACAATGAACGTGACACAATCCAACACGAACCAATCCACCGAGGTTGACGAGCCCTAACAGTCAACAGATATGTCACGAAAAGTAGCTGTTAGTTCTGAAAAGGATTTTCAGTAGTTCTGTACGTCATAGGTTTACCCCCTATAAAAAAAGGGCTACACAATTGCTTTTCTTTCTTTCCAGTGTAGAAACTAACGTTTTCGAGGGCTACCGTTAAATTGGCTACAATCTGTATAGTGTCGACTGGTTTTGTTCTTGGTTGTGAAATTGGCGGTTAGAACGATGTCTTAGTTTGGTTGCTTCCTTTCTGGAAAAATACCGGTTTCAACAAATTTAATAATAATTAAAGGAAAAATTAGTAATAGAATAGGATTATTTTTCTTTTTCAAAAATGATAATAACATTATATGGGAGTATGTAGAACGCAGGTATTTTACCTCTTTATTTATCAGATAATATATATGATATTTTAAAAGCATGGGTTGGATTACCAGCCAAACCCCGTTTTTTCAGGTCCTGTCTTTGTTGGTTAAAAATGATAAGGTTACATTTTCATTTTGTTTTACTGAACAAAAATAATAACTTGAACTATAAAACAAATTTACTTCCTAAAAGAACAGCAATAAAAAATTGTTAAATCACCGGTCATTTTAATTTTTTACTTCTCATCGTTTGCTTTCTCCCAGACAGCCATATTTGAATCTTGCAGTTACACATTTTCTTCTCAATTGCATGTTCTTTTTTTTTTTTTTTAATTTTTAATTTTTAATTTTTTAACAAATCATGATTTCTTCTGATCTTTAAAATCTTGAGCATAAACACAAGGAACAGAGGAGAAAAAAAAAAAAAAAAAAAAAAAAAATCATGATTCTTTATCTTAAAATCATTGAGCATAAACACAAGGAACAGAGGAGAAAAAAAAAAAAAAAAAAAAAAGAAGGAACTAAGATACAAAATTTTTTCTACAAACAAATTAAAAAAAAAAAAAAAAAAAAGGGAAGACTAGATACAAATTGTTTTCATACAAACAAATGACAATGGCCTATAAAATGCGGCAAGACGTCAGTTACAATCAGAAAACACTACACCCCAAAAAACCAACGACTACATATGGAAGAAACCTGGCTAAAACAAATAAAATAAATAAATAAATATGAACGAAGCCCATTGTGTTGTGGGCATGAGAAATTACGAGGCAGCATTCCAATATTGCCGCCTCCTATGATTGCCCATTATCACATCAACTGTGATATGGCTGCTTAACAAATACCCCCTCTTGTTTATGTAACACGAGGGGGTGTAATTGACCCGGACACCAAAGATGGTAGCCTGAGACTAATGCAAAATATATTATACACATGGATGATGGTGATAAACAATGAGGTCATATGCACAGGTCCTTAGCATGTTCTTGCACAGGGCATCCCATGGACATCCATTAGAACGAGATTGAGATAGAGGGGGAGGGGCGAGCACGATCACTCAGACCGTGTAAGCAAGAACCCAAAACCGGAGTTTTCACGAATTAATGGTGGAGGATCGATTTCAGCTATCTCTACTTTTTGCATTGACTTGGAGATGTCATCCACAGTGAATGGGATGCTGCATGAAATTCAAAATTGCAACTGAACTTAGACAATGTGTTTTTGTGCTTATGATGCGTGGGGGAAAAAAAAGCAAGCAAGCAACCATTGTCAGATTTGGAAAAGTATTGGAAAATACTACCTCGAGTCGTCATCTAACAAAAAAGAACTGCTGACAGCATTGTTTGAGTCCTCGGTCATCATAACTCTCATACTAGATATAACCTGTATAAACAAGTTGTTTTCGGATGGAAAAGGAATAAATTTAGCAAGAATTTAATCCTAACATCATAAATCAACATTCTCATCACTGGTTGAAGACAAACTTACATCTGAAGAGACACTATGCGTGCCATATTTATCATCCCAATACATTGTACTTATCCTGTATAGTTGTTGTATGCTCAGCACCTGAAGCAGTAAATAATATATCATACAAGAAAAAAAGGATGAATAGAAGACGGTGTCTGGCATTAAAAATAATCACATTGAAAAGATGAGAGGTACTAACTGGGCAAAGTTCTTTTGTAATTTCATTTAAGGTCTTCTTAGGCTTTTGATGTATGACCTGATTGTGACATTGAAACAAAAAGCCAAAAAGCAGGTCACTACCTTATGCATATGATAATCATAAGTTAACAAGATAAGCTGCAGAACAAGTATTACCAGGAATCCAACAGCCTGTCTTATATGCTTCAATTCATCCCAAGCTGAGCCAGCAAACTGGACGGAAAAAAATATGTTAGATGTATGACAAGATTGTAGGGGACAAATATCAGGAAGAATGCTCAGTGCTCACTTCCTCAGTTGCCTCATAGCACCACTGCTCTAATTCAGCCAAACCCGCCTTCACATATTCTCCATTACTGAATGAGCAACACTCACGACGCAAAAGAAGACTGCAGGATGTATAAGATAAGAACAACACGTAAATTGCATGAAAATGACAATCTTTCCTAGTGTCTAACAATTAAATAAAATGATGAAGATTGAAAACAAGAGATCAAGAAATGGGTTTTGAATGCTTACCTATTGAATAGTTGAACATTGATGAACGAGAATATTTGAGTGAACACTTTGCGCACCAAGTAAGGAGGTACCTACAAAATGAAGTACCAAACAGTGATAATTCACCAAGATGAACATGGTTGTTGACATTCTCTATAATAAAGAAAAAGCATACTCATCAGTCATAACTCACATAATTTGCTTTCATTATCTTCAAATAATTGTTTAAGCTTTTCACAATGCTTTGCCAATGAGCAATCAAAGCTTGCTGAGCAACAGCATTAGCATGAGAGCGTCCTTTTACTAAACTTGCCCGAGAAGTTCTTGGTGCCTGCATTCATATTCACAAGATAATCAACAGATGTGAGCACCCTGGACACATGCATATACGTGCATTTTTGAGAAATAGAGAGTCAATCCTGATTTGCAGTTCTGTTTATCATTTCATTTTTACGCCGTCTTTTCAGAAATTTCATTTAAGAGTAGTGATAAATGAGATTATGTGCCCTAAAGTAACTAAGCAGCAACCTGAATACATAATCCAAGCAATGGAGAGATCTCTTTCTTCAGATTGTCTCTTATCATTCCATATATCTTCTCAAGGAAGGCAGTAAGTTGTTGCTTAAACAGTAATGCTGGATATTTTGCCTCAACCTGCCGTAAGTCATCCAGTCTACTAAGTGCTCGGCCATTAAGAAATGAGAGTCCAGCACTTTGAGGAGATCCCCGTAAACCCTAGGATCCATTAAATCAATCAGATGAAGAAGAAAAAAAAAAAAGGCGAGTATACCACAGGATGAGGCATTTGGATAAGAAAAGAATCATTCTCACTTGAGACATCCTTCCGAAAAGAGAAGCTGATGTTGTTCTCCGCCGTTGTGGTGTTAAGCTGGCTGCTCCAGTAGCTTTAAGTGTATGTTGGAGCAGCAGCAACAATGTGGATGAATTAGATAACCAATAGGCTAAGACATCATTGTTATCTGGGACCTTCAATTACATTCAAGGTTCCAGCATTAGTCATATATTCATAACTTGATTGCGCTGATGCCAAAATAGACAGGCAAATAGAATTTGTCTGAATTTGTTTACAAAAGGCAGACTAATCTCTGCAAATATGGTTGTAATTTACCTCTATGGCTGAAGCTACTGTTTGAATAATACGATCAAACACACTAGTCCTTTCAACTTCAAAAGACCTCCAGTGAAGAAGACATTTGTATATGATACAAGCAGCAACTGGCTTGCCCCCAGAGAATCCCAAGTTTTGAGAAACACACTTGATCAGTAGGTCCTGGTTCTCCTGAACCAGAAAAGCAGATTGCAGAAAAATTAATGAGATGTGAACTTCAGATGCACCGGTATTTTATACGTCAAATAAGAAAGACATCAGAACCTCATGACTATTTTTATCACATCAATTATTTAGTTAAATGATCAACTGATCAATTAAACAAGTTGCTTGCATGTGCACTAAAGCTGCTTACCTGCTGCTTTTCATTGAGAGATTTTTGTGGTTTTTCCTCAGATTCAGGTTCCCGCACATTAGATACAGCAACAACAGTGATATCCTAAGTCACGGAATAAGAAGTACCAAATGATTTGTTAATTTACTTAGTGTACTAATAACACCGCATTTTTTCCATTTAAAAGAAAACACAAGAGTCCCCCTTACTGATGCAACCTTCATTTCTCCATTTGCAACATTTCCATTCTCTGGAGTTCTCTGTTATTTAATATATAAGATCAATTTCTAAAAGCTTTTATGTCACAATAGAGGGACAACTAACCAAAAAAAAATCAAACCTGTATAATAATTGACTTTGGCCGTGCAGATAAGGATCTCCCTGTTGGTGAAATGGCCAGTGCTTGTTGACGAAGAACTTGATTCTCTGACTCTGAGTTAGAAAGTTTTTCCTCTAGCCTGAAATGTAAATAAACTGAAGTTCAGAACTTTTGATGTTCAGTGCAAAAGAAAACATCAGTCCAGAGACAGAGTAGGAAAATGTGTTCTTCCGGACACACAAGCAGCAATGATAATCATGTAGTTGGAGATGAACTCAAGTAACCAGACAGGAGAGGGGAAGCATTGAATAGAGCTAATTAAGCATAAGCCAATAATCTTTTGATCATGCACATCCAATACAATTATATGGCAGGAGTTTAAGAGCCCATGCAGGTATATTTGACTGAGCATTAACAAACCTTTGCACTGATTCCTGAAGCTGATCCATCTTTTGCTGTGCATCTTCAACTTTCTTGCTCAGTTCAGAGTTTCTTGCCTCAGCATCTGCAAAGGCTTTCCTTGCCTCTTCTGCTGCCTGTCTTTCTGATAGCAGAGCAGCCTGCACAGTGATAGAAAATCATCAAGTCCCTAAAGACTCAACAGAAATAATCTTTGAGGAGACTTGCCATTCATTTGTCAATTCCTTTTTTATCACAAAGAATTTTGATGCAAAGCTATTTGGTTCTCATTTTTAGGCTGGTCCATTCAAATGAAGAGGATACACAATCATGTGCTCCAAAACTTGGGCACTAGCACAATTAGCAATCTATAAAAGATACCTGAAAGTATTTTATGCAGGGTTTTAAGCAGGAATACGAAAACAACTAAGGAATTTCTGAACATAGGAATCCAACCAAAAAAAAAAAAAAAAATTTGTTAATGCATCCCTCTGAACTTCTGAAGTCATAAATCCCTAATTGATGGCCACTCAAATAAGAGCCCTTTGTATTTATATGATTTCTGGTCTGTTTAAAACAACAGTATACTTGTCCACAGAAAATATATGAGACGATATAAATTGCTGTAAATTTCACTATGAAATTTAAGTATCCACGTAGAATGCAAACCTTCAAACTCTCCACTTCAGCCGTCAACTGTTCAACCTTTTCTGTGTCTTGAATAAGAACAGGAGTCTCCTTAATGACTGGAGGTGCCTCTTCAATCGCTTTCCGAGCTGCCTCTCGTTCTTTCATTACTCTGGCATTTGCTTCTTCTACTTGTAATTGCACTGCATGCAAAGCATCCTGTAACTTGGCAATTTCTTGGGTCTTTTCTTCTTCCAAATCAGTCTACAATTCAAATCAAAACAAAACAAATGATGTGCATGAGCAGTTTGTCTAACTAACAATATTATTGGTAAAAATTAAAATAAAGTACCCTCAATCTCTTCTCCAACTGTAATCGCCATGTCAGCTCTTCCACACGCTTCTCTAATTTGTCTTTTGCTTCTTTAAGGGCACCTGTTTCTCTTGCAGCCTGCAAAAGCACACTAATCATTACCATCTGAATTCTTCCATAAAGAATGATGCAAGCAGCCCTAAATCCTGTTTAAAACCAAACTACGTCAAGGAAAATGATCAAACCATTTTCAGTTTCCGAAGCTCTCTCCGAGCAACCCTTTGCCTCCAGCCACATTGAGAAACTAAAGCAGCCTTCTGAAGCTTCTTATAATAAGAATATGCTATATGGCGACGCAATTGTGCCTGAAAGTGATCACCAAAATTAACCAGAGTAATCAATCGTGTGGTCTAAGTTCCGGGGGAGAGAGAGAGAGAGATAGAGAGAGAGAGAAGCCTTCTGAAGCTTCTTATAATAAGAATATGCTATATGGCGACGCAATTGTGCCTGAAAGTGATCACCAAAATTAACCAGAGTAATCAATCGTGTGGTCTAAGTTCCGGGGGAGAGAGAGAGAGAGATAGAGAGAGAGAGAGAGAGAGAGAGAGAGAGAGAAACCAATTTTATTCCAATTATAGCAAAATTTCTAAATTAGTATAAATCTTTTTTTTCCTGTAAGAAAATATAATGAGGCATCGAAATAAGACCTGGATAGCAATGGCAGCTTTAGTTTGCTTTCTAAATCTGAACTCATTACGAGCAGTCATTGCCCTTAAGCCAGTCTGTAATGTTACTGCAGACAAATACAGAGCTAAGTATGACTTTCTTGCTGTGAATCGTCTGAAATTCCTCTGGATCTTCAAAGCTGCTGCTTCCCGTCGCAACTCCTCAAATAGTTTGCGAGCCAATACACCTGATAATAGTTGCAAACAGCAAAAAGGTTGTTATCTCTATCAGAATTCAACGGATAAAAACAGTAGTGGCATGATTCAATTTTTACAGACCAGTAAACAACATAACTGTTTTCAGAAACGAGGTTCACAACCATTACCTTTCAAATTTAATTGGACAAAGTTATATTACTCACAACTATTCATGTGTTGCTAATATTTTATGCATGACTCATATCTCCCCACTCCCAGAAGCGGAGAAAAAAAAAAAAAAAACCCGAAAAGAAAACCTATTTCTCACTCTCTCTCTCTCTCTCTCTCTCTCTCTCTCTCTCTCTCTCTCACATGTAGCCGCGCAGCTAAATGTAACACAAATACTAGGACACCAACATGGCTGCACATTCAAGTACAACCATATTGGCATGCATGTGAGTCTATAGGTTGTTGGACTATAAATGTAGCATGTCACAGGAAAGGTTAAACAACTGCTAACATTGGAAAGCAACAAGATACAAACAGGAAAAGTTTGGAAAAAAAAAACAAAAGAGAGCAGCTTAAGAAAATACCCCGGCTATGAGATTGCAAGTGAATAGCAGCTTGTCGTAATGCAATAAACTCCTTGCGTGCTATGTAGGTGCGGATTTGTCTCTGGATGGTTCTAGCTGCATTTCCAAGCACCTCTGCTCTTCTGGCATCCAGTTCAGCCATCTGACCAGCTCTAAGGAAGACCTTTGTCTTACCGATCTGTGAAGCCAACAATTTTTCAGATGGTTTGATACTGATGACTCAAATAATCCATTGGCAAGATGCAACATAGACATGAGAAAGTTACAGATGAACATGTGGAATGTGTTATGAACAACATAAACGGGCAGGAATGGGACTAGAAGTGGATGGGCTAGCCCTTGTATGCAGTAACCAACCCAAAACAGAAAAAAATAAAAAAGGGTAGTCATAGTTGGGGACTTTTAGTGACAGGCGTTCCACACTATTAAGCCTTAGTTGGCATGGTGGCTGTGATTGCCAGCTTTCTAAAATGTGCAGATGTTATTGCAATTGAACAGTCTAATTCTAAAAAGGCTGTTATAGGACAGAAATTAGGGGACCTAGCTAGCAACCTCTAACTATAGCTTGTGATCGAACCGAGGAACAGTGAATTATTTAGATAAGACAGCATAAAGATGGTCTTTGTTTGCCAACATGTATGAGGTGTACCACAGGCAAGCAGCCACATGCACAGTTAAACATATACACAAGTGATACAGCCACATAAAGTCAGAGAATGCAGATTTAATAATCTGCGTTTTCTCGTTATTCATTACACCATAAGCAGACTGAATCAGGCTTGGCCTCCTCATACCAAGCACACCCCATTGTCTTTCTTAAGCAAAAACAAAACATTTCATTACCTGATAACCTTTCAATCCCATTTTATCCAGAATCATTTGGCAAGCCACCTTATCGTCATGGCTGCACAGAAACCATGGACAAGTTCATCAGAGAAATAAAATTCTGCAAAAAATGACCGACGTGATAAACCAGAAAGTATGCTGGATTTTATTTTTTTTGGCCCTTTGAATTATAACTTACTTTCCTTCCAAAACTTCGGGAGCAAGAACACCAAAGCGTAAAAGAAACTCATAGAAAGTTCTTCTAGTTGGATATCCAGCACAACTGATCCTAATTGCCTCAAGTACACCCTGAGTATATTTTTTTTTTAAAAAAAGAAGGAAATATATGCATCATATAGTCAAAAAGGCCAGGATCATAAGCAAATGTGAAATCTTGTAGATTTGCAGAAATCATGTTAAAAAAAAAAAAAAAAAAAAAAAAAAAAATTGTTAAAAAAAAAAAAAAAAAAAAAAAAAAAAAAAAAAAAAAAAAAAAAAAAAAAAGAGCTTATTATACTTACACCACAACGTAGTTGCTGGATAATGTTAGCATTTTCAAATATCATAGGTTTGAGAACATTATTTGGCTTCACACATCTTATATAGTGGGGCTCAGTTGAACTCAAGGTCTCCATCAAAGATTGGAGTTGTAGCTGCAGGTTTTAAACACAACTTCCATCATTAAAATATTATATATTCATATAAGAGCAGAGAGAAAACAGAACACGAAAGACAGTCCTTGTTAAGTTTGGCACAAAACACTCTTATCATCTTTGACCTCTTCATCAAATAAATTAGTTAAGTTCACTTTTAGAAAGGCTGAGAAGTAAAAGTATAGTACCTTAAAGCGTGACCCAATGGAAGAAAATTTAGAGGATTTCGATGATTCCTCTGGAAGTGGAGGAAACAGACCAGCCACGAAAGAGCACTTTGAGGCTGTCAGGAGACCTTGATGTTCTGCCACTACATAATCTTTGTTTTTGTCAAGGAACTGATCAGCCAGATAAGTTACCTGGAAAAAGGATGAAGAATAATTTCACATCTACTGAAGTTTCAAGAAATTGAACAAAATGTACAAGAAAAAACAAAAGGTTACCTCTCCTGCATAATGAGATATGGTAAAACTAGTGCGAGAAAGCTTAGGTTTGATAAACCGCTTGTTGGTTTTAAATGTCTGGTACAACTTCTGAGCAAAAGTTTCATGGGTTGATTTCGGAAACATGCTGCATAAACCAATTAAACATACTTGAGTCAGCTTCTGAAATAAATAAGTGTAAATGTAAAAGAAAGGAAAGAATAGACGAACTAGAACCAAATAAAAAGCTACGAACCAGGCTTCATCTAGAAGTGATATAATTCCTCCAGGTCTCTGCAAAATATTGAAGAGAACAATCATTACATGGTTAAAACCTTATAGATATACTGTAAATGGAGGTCCCAGTGTTCCATCAAGCATATTATTCTTCAAACAAATGAGAATAACATAAAACAAAAACATCGGTCGTGTACAAGACCTTTTCAATCAGATCCAAGACATCTTGGTTATCAACAAATTCTATGTAGCTCCAATTTATTTCTTCTTTTGTATATTCTTCCTGCTCCATTTTGAAGACATGCTGCAAAAAGACCATCATCGTACAGTCAAATTCAGCAAAGTCAATGGTTCCAAAAATTAGTGGGCAATGAAAATGCCAAAAAATACCAACCTGATTAAAATGCTGTTGCAGCTTCTCATTTGTAAAATTGATACAGAACTGCTCAAAACTGTATTAAAAGGGAAAAGTTTTAAATGCTGATGCAAAGATTTTCAGTAAACAACATCTGAAGTTTAAAGGCTTACCTATTGAACTTAAAACTTTCAAAACCATATATATCAAGAACTCCAATCAACTGTTTTGAGTTCGGATCCTGCCCAATAGAACTATTAATTTTGTCCACCAGCCTGCAAAAAAGTTTGAATATTAGCTCGTTGGAATCTAAAATGTATCTGAAGATGATTCAACATGCTCATCGGTTCTCCTTTCATTCGCATTGATGACCATTTCGCTAAGTGTGTATCCATACATATAGGCACAGATAAAAGTAAGCACATAGACAGAGAGAACAGCAATGGAAGTCCCTTTACCAATCAAACAAGCGGGAATAAACGGTTTTAGCCAATGCATCCCTGCTAGCCACTGCACTGTGAGGGTCAAGAGTTCGTGTAATAACCTCTTCTGGAGTCACCATAACACGCTTTATCAATGCATCTTCCAAGCTCTGGGCATTGCACCTATAGTAGAATGCAAGTCAGTTTATCTATATGGTTCAAACAACACTACAGAAAATTAGATGTCACATTGCAGCAAAAATATCTCAGAACAAGATCCCAAGAGACTGGAAGAGAATGAATCAGATGCATACTTGAGCAGCTCCGCTGTCATATTAAGATGGAACCTAGATTTCTCATCCTTAATTACAGAAGAGTCTATCTCCTTTCCCTTCGCAAATTCAATGTTTCCAAGATGTAGAATTGCAGCTACAACCCTAAAAATTGCCTCCTGAAAAGAGAGAATTTACAAGTTGTGGGTGCAGCAGAAATCACACAACATCTTCTAGAAGCTAATAGAAGACTGACCTGCTCTTCTTCACTGATGCCAACTACATCCATTGCCCTTCTAGTTGCAAGATATTCCTCAGCATCATTTACCCCATCCAACTCGTAGCAGTTGGATTGGTTCAAGTAATGGAAAGATTTAGGGTTTCCCAACTTATATCTTTCTCTTTCCTGAAAATTCAAGGGGCAACTAGGAGTTATATCAACAAACACAAGCACAGACGGTATAAATGCAATGGAGTCAGGATATGCTTCAATAATAAGCCAAAGAATCAATACCTCAGGTGGGGCTTTACAGAGGAGATAGAAACAATGATAGTTTCTTTCAGGATCAGAAATTTGGCAAACCCGAGATCTTTCAAGCAAATAAGTTCGGATAGCTGCCCCAGAAATCCTCCCACTCTTGTCAAATTGGATCTCAACAAATTTACCAAAACGACTGCATTATGATCCCAAGGTGAAACAAACATGAGTTCATTGAAGCAAATTTATGCACGCATCAACCCTAGCAATATCTCTAATGAATTCAAGGACAGAATGCCCTAGAACAGATGGAGAAAACATTGGATAAGGAACACGGAGAAGAACAACAAATCAGAATAGCTGAGCCATAAAATGATCCCCGGACAAAATATATCCAATTTAACTATAATTATACATTACAGCAAAACTTAAAGCATCAATGGCATTTCTTGTATTCATGTTCTATATGCACTTAATTCATTCTTGACAAGAAGAAGGTGAAGAGGAAATGAAAAGAACCATAGTCAACTTGAAGACATTATAGCCTATCAATCAAGGAGTGTCCTAGTTAAGTGGATTCCAAATTGGCTTCAAGCTTAGGTAAAAGAATCCATCCCTCTACAATCTCTTAATCAATTAACTTATCAAACCTCTTAATTTCCAGAAGTAACGATACATAAAAAATCAATAATATTGTTTTATTACATTTGTCAGAGTAAAAAAGGTAAACACCTTGAGTTGTTATTCCTGACAGTCTTGGCATTGCCAAATGCTTCGAGAACTGGATTGGACTGCAAATCAGTAACCCAAAACAAAATATCAGTGAACACTTACCTCAAAAGTTTGCAGATGTAAATCAAAGGACAATATGAGAAAGCTTTTCATCTTACTTCCAGAACTTGTTGTTCAACAGTTCGCCCTTCCACCCCAGCTCGACCACCCAAGTATGCAAGATATCGCATGAGCATCTTTGTTGTCTCAGTCTTACCAGCACCACTTTCTCCACTAACTAGAATTGAGTTGCTCTTTCCCTCGTTGATCATTGCCCTGTGCAAGCAAAGCAGAACTCAGCACAAAAATGACAAGAAAATGTGAGATCAAATATTATCAAAATAAATTACCTGTATGCAACATCTGCAACAGCAAAGACATGAGGGCTTAGCTCTCCAAATCCAGCACCTTTATATTGTTCCATCATGTGAGTATCATAAAGATGTGGTAATCTTTGAAATGGGTTTATTGCTATCAGAATATTTCCAGTATACGTCTGCATGTCATATAGAACAAACTTCTTTTCAGTAGGTCAAACAATGAAACGAATTTTATTGATAGGAAATTTTCTTGAAGCAATATTTGTTTCAATACATCAAATGAGAGAGAATTCTAAAAGAATTACATAGATTTCGTTAAGTTCATATCTGGTAGCCAAGTTATGCAAAACCCCTGGTTCATGCAAATATGACAGCTTTGTCATATCATCCACACCTCCTGGAGGAGCTTCAGTGTCCTTGGGAAATACTTTGGATATATTTGCAACAACCTGAAAATTTCCAGTTTGAATATGATAAGACTATAAATTGAAAAGACTAATTTGAAGGAGAGAGGGGATGGAGGAAATCTTGACAATGACTAATTGAAGCCAAATATCAACCTAGATTAAAACTGAAGTTACCAATCAACTGTTGGTTTTATAATTCCTATAGATAGTGCTTTTTGTAACAGGTATATTCAGTATTTGAGGTCATATGTTCTGATTAACAGAGGAAATGCCACTCTTCTAGGTAATATTATTTGTATACGACATCGATAATGCAGAAAAACACCCAACAACAATAAGTATAAACTCACAGTTTTCCCATTTGTGGCATGAACATGAACTTCTTCACCGTTTATCTTAAAAACTTCTCCATCTATCCATGCCTCTCCTGGATCTTCAACCCATACATGAGAATCTACTATTATGTTCACGGATGTGGCCTGCAAATAGAAATTACATTAGATATAAAGAAATAATACTTTTTAAATTTTAGATGGGAAAGATAGTGAATTGAAAATGAATAGGTTGTAAAATTTACTGATACTGACACAGCTACTGATAATGTCTCACACTCATGGTTGAAAAAAGTATCATGGGGATACAATCACCCAAGGAAAAAATTAATGGCAATTAATTTCTTAAGAAGCAACAAGATACGTCCAATGCAAATAACATCATATTTCCCCTGTGATAATTATGAAATACTATAGCTAGATGTGATTAGCCAAAAAAAATCTCAATTATTGTAGTATTGCACACTGATGTTCATAGCATACCAAGCACACAACGCATCCACTAAAGAAGCAACAAAGACTTGTTACTCGATTATCGAATAACTAATAATTAAAAAGAAATGAGGGAAGGGAGGAAGAGAGAGAATAGAGAACGAAAAGATAGAGAATGAAGCGATTTCCATATTTTAGCCATGACAACATTCCCACGAAAACAGAGCTATATTTGACAAGTGTTTCTAAAATTACAGAGAGCTTAGCAGCTAATTATAAAATCAAATCACTAGTCCACATTGTATAATGAACTCCCTGATCTCCAACAAGAATTTCCCAGGTTTCAGCATTATGAAGTTACAAATTATGGTAATACGATTAACATATAAGCTAAATTTTTCTCGCATCACTCTGCGTTCCCTAAATGTAACTAACGGCTATTTAAAAGCTATGGTTCATAGTTTCATAACTATCATCTAATAATGCAAGTAATTAAACAAACTTGAACTGAAAAATAATCCAAGCATACTCGACCAAAAATAAAAATCACAAAAAATATCAAATTAACACAGACTTCATATTCCAAAATCCAATAAAATAAAAGAAAATCTAACACCGACCATCAAATCAACTATACAAAAGCATAATCAACCAATCCAAAACATTACAAAACAAGAAATACTCTCTTCTCTTGAAGTTACCATGGCGATCCTATACTGCGATCTTCTTTCTCCTTCAACTCATTACAATAAAACACCAAGTCAAAGAGAAATGAGACTCAGTGTGTCGGATCGGGAACAATAACACTGGTTAGGTGACGCCTTTGAGAGTTCCAAAGCTTCTTCTCCTTCGGCAGCGGCGGTTGAATTGAATTTTAGCTGGAGAAGAAGATGATAACCAGAAGCAAACAAAAGTTTTTCCTGGATTTTACCCCTTTTCAAACTCTTTTTTTTTCTTATTTTCCTGTTTATTTAAAAAAAAAATTAATAATCCGAATCTCTTTCTCTTTCTACTAAAAATTGAGGTTAAGGAAGCTTAAATACCAAAAAGCAAAGCTCTAAGCTCTTTCTTCCTTCTCTGTTTGTCCGTCTTCAACTCTCTTACTAGTCAAGTGGGGTCCAACCAAAGCGGACGCTAATTGGGCTTCGTGGTCTGCACAAGAGTGAATTATTTTTTAATATTTAACAAAATTTTAAATAAATTTAAATAAATAAATAAGTAAGCAGCTATTAAGTTCTAAAACCGATTTTATAGCGTCATTAGGGACGAAATTTTATAATTTCATTTTTCTCTTATTTTAGACATATACTTGCTGCTATTTACTGAATCAGCCATCGGCCATTGCACCGGAGGAATATACGAAAACGACACAATTTCTGATCTGTACGTAATATAAACTGTTGAAGAAAAGGTGGCACGTCATTAACCGATCCAACCGACTTCGATTAACAAAAAGTAATATATCCACCTACGTGCTTCTCATTTTTAATTCTGTAACGTGGACAGTAATTCAAATTATAATATATTTATATTTTCATGTCATGCTCGAAGGGTTGATATTTAAGTAATTTCAGATTTCAGATTTTGATTATTTTTTATTTATCCAACTGCCTAATTTTGCCCACTACCAACGGTGAAATTATGTAAATTTGTGTTTACTTGAGGCAATAAGGGTAAATGTGTACATTTAACTTTTAAGGGCAGGGAATTAAAAGTACATTTTCCAGCTAAGTAAAAGAGGATTAAGAAATAAAATAAAAAGAAAACGTGAGACATTACAGAATGATGTCCGCCCACCATTTGCTGGCGCGTAAATTTTTAAGCAAAATATTTGGGTCGGAGAAACTTTACTGTGTGACGCCACTTATACTATGATTATGTCCTTACGTTTCGGTATTCGGACACGTATCATAGTGATGTCAGATTCTAGGTAGATTATAAATTGGAACATGTTGTAAAGATGGAGATTGTTAAGGAACAATTAACAGGAGAGGTTACGACAACAAGTAGACGAGAAACAAAAACGTGTCGAAACTCCCAAACTGGGCACAAATTGTCTAGGGAATCACAAACTGTCCGTTTGGTTCAAAATTTATCTAAATCAAATTTTAAAAATTAAAATCGATTCGAACCGAAGTTAAGGTCAGAAGCAAACCGATTCGGTTTGATGGGCTTTTACAGGCATTTTTCAAATTGGTTCCGATTTGGGCCTAATTTTTTTATCTCCTTGGAATTGAGACCGAAGTACAAAAAATTTAAAATCGAATCTCCTTTTAAAAAAATAATCAAACCAAATCAATTTGATGGAAACTTTTTTTTTCTTTTATTTTATATCCAAATATAATGGTAAGCTCGAAACATTAAAAAAAAAAAAAAAGAGAAAAAGAAAAGCTTAATCATTTATAACGACTTATGATTTTTATAAAGGTCGTGTTATGTTCTAATCCAAACTCTAAGATGTATTATTGAAAAGGGATTAGTCATTTGAAATTAGCCAAACATATAAATTCATCCATAAAATTTATTACTCTAATTTTATAACATTTTCAATTTTTATTTTGATTCATTAAATATGTATTATTGAATATTTTAACTTGTAAAATTAAATTAATTAATTGTCTATTAAATATTTAAAAAATATAAAATTATTACTGAAAAAGTTATATTAAGTATTTATTAAATTAATATTTCATATATAAAAGCTAAATATCCTAATAAGTATTATTATTAGTGTGAAAAAATATACAATATTCACTAAAATTTTGAAATTTAAATACATCGATCATCTATATAAAATGGCACCGAATTAAAGTCGTAAAGTTGACGTATTCATTTCGATTTGATACGCTTTAATGAAATAACCAAATGATTTTATGCCAACCAGGTATGTCGTATTTAATCTATAATATATATGTCCACATAATATATTTCCTACTTTAGTCACTCAATAATTTTAAAAGTTTCATTTGCATCCTATTGCAATTCGATAGGTACGGCCACAGGTTACACATGGCTAAATATGAGCGAACCTACCAACCGGACTGGCGGACCCCATCCCACTCCTTCAAGTTTTATTAACAGCCACCGCTCGCATCGCATCTCACATTCATCTCCAAAACCGGAATAAGAAAAAGTATAAATAAATAAATAAACGAAACAGAAAAAACAAACAGAAACGCAGGAAACCAGCCGCGCCGCCGCCCTTCTCTTGCTTTCCTCTCAGACATGGCAACTTCTTCTTACTCACTGTTGCACTCCTCTCTCGGTTCCTCTCTCACTCACAAACGTAAGCACTTCCATCAAAACCCTAAGCTTCCCACCGGCCGCCGTCCAACGGTTATCTTATGCACTTCTTCCACACTAGACCCCTCCCCTTCGTCTAATAACACGCCACCGGTCACCAAGCAACGCCGCGCCGCTGATGAGAACATCCGCGACGAGGCGCGTCGTCAAAATTCTGCTTCGGCTGCTAATACCTTTTCCGCTAAGTATGTTCCCTTCAACGCTGGGCCTGACTCCCGTGAGTGGTACTCGCTTGACGAGATCGTATACAGGAGTCGCTGTGGTGGACTCCTCGACGTCCAGCATGACATGGAAGCTTTGAAGAAGTTTGACGGTGCGTACTGGCGTGACTTGTTTGACTCGCGCGTTGGAAAAACTACGTGGCCGTATGGATCCGGAGTCTGGTCTAAGAAAGAGTGGGTGTTACCGGAGATTGATTCCGATGACATAGTGTCGGCTTTTGAAGGGAACTCGAATCTGTTTTGGGCTGAGCGTTTTGGCAAACAGTTTCTGGGCATGAATGATTTGTGGGTTAAACACTGCGGCATTAGCCATACTGGTAGCTTTAAGGATCTGGGCATGACCGTTCTGGTCAGCCAAGTGAACCGTTTGCGCAAAATGAAACAGCCTGTTGTTGGAGTCGGCTGCGCGTCCACTGGAGACACCTCGGCAGCACTTTCTGCTTATTGTGCATCTGCAGGAATTCCATCGATCGTTTTCTTGCCCGTAAACAAGATCTCAATGGCGCAATTGGTGCAGCCAATTGCAAATGGAGCTTTTGTATTGAGCATAGACACTGATTTTGATGGGTGCATGAAACTAATTCGTGAGGTTACAGCCGAATTGCCAATTTATTTAGCGAATTCTCTGAACAGTTTGAGGCTAGAAGGTCAAAAAACTGCTGCAATTGAGATTTTGCAGCAGTTCAATTGGGAAGTGCCAGATTGGGTTATAGTTCCAGGTGGTAATTTAGGGAATATATATGCCTTTTACAAAGGGTTTAAAATGTGTCAAGAGTTGGGGCTTGTTGATAGAATACCAAGGCTAGTTTGTGCTCAAGCTGCAAATGCTAATCCACTTTACTTGTATTACAAGTCCGGATGGGAAGATTTTAAGCCTGTGAAAGCGAATTCCACATTTGCTTCGGCTATACAAATTGGGGACCCGGTTTCTATAGACAGAGCTGTATATGCTTTGAAGAATTCAAATGGGATTGTTGAGGAAGCCACAGAGGAGGAGTTGATGGATGCAATGGCACAAGCTGATTCTACAGGGATGTTTATCTGCCCACATACGGGAGTTGCATTGACCGCATTGAATAAGCTTAGGAATAGTGGGGTTATAGGGCCTATGGATAGGACAGTGGTGGTGAGCACAGCTCATGGATTGAAATTTACTCAATCTAAGATTGATTACCACTCCAAAGCAATACCAGATATGGCCTGCAGGTTTGCTAACCCTCCTGTGCAAGTTAAGGCAGAATTTGGGGCTGTCATGGATGTTCTGAAGAATTTTTTGGGTAACAGGGTTCCTAAATAAACTATTTGGTGACATTGTAAGTTAAACGCTTAGTACTCCGAATGGCTTTTCGTTTTTAAGAGTTATCTTTATCTATTAGTTTTAATTTGGTCTTTCCTTTAATTCCACTGTAGGTTGCCTTGTTTTTACAATTTGTGGGATTTTTTTTCCCCAGTTCACTTAGGTTTTCATGAGTAGAAACTTAGCAAGCTATTGTTAGACGAATTAACCCTCTTTCAGACATGATCACAGCTTTTGCAATAATCATTCGACGGTACATTAGTGTTTCCTGCCTTTAGAAGAACATATTTTCTGCTCGTGCTAAATAAGATCTAAAAGATAGAAGCTCCTAGGAGCTTCGAAATTCACATGCTCTTTTGCTTGCGATAAGTATGAGGTATTACGGGAAAAAATAACGGGTTTAGCAATTTAAATTCAATCGTAATTTGTTACGCTTGACATATAGGCAGGGTTTTATAGTTAGTGGCTTGTTAGGCTCACGTGCAATTCAACGTTCCGAAACGCTTTTTTTTTTTTTTTTTTTCCCAATTTGTGGGATTTTTTTTCCGCCAGCTTCACTTAAGGCTTAGGTATTTGTCATGCCAGTAGAAAACTTTACAACATTGTTAGACGAGATTAACCCTCTTCTCAGACAATGATCACAGCTTTGCAATAATCATTTCGACGGACATGTAGCTCTCCATGCCTTTACGGCAAGAACATAATTTTTCTGGCTCGTGCCAAATAAGAAATCTAAAAGATAGAAGCTTCCTAGGAGCTTCGAAATTCACATGCTCTTTTGCTTGGCGATATAGTATTGAGGTATTACGGGAAAATAACGGCTTTAGCAATATTAAAATTCAATCGTAATTTGTTACGCTTGACATATAGCAGGGTTTTATAGTTAGGGGCTTGTTAGGCTCACGTTGCAATTCAACGTCCGAAACGTTTTTTTTTTTTTTTTCTTCTGGGGAACTCATTTCTTTGGCATTTTTAATCGAAGGGAAAAACCCTATCATATAGAGAAAGTATTTTTCCATATCGCTTTTTTTTTTTTTTTTTTCTGGGAACTCATCTTTGGCATTTTATCGAAGAAAACCCTATCATAAAGAGAAGTATTTTCCATTCTCTGAATTAATGTCTTTGATTTTGTCTATACAATCAAAGAACAGTAGAAATCATCAATGGCTATAAACAAAAGCCCATGAGAACAAAACAACGAAGAACATTTGAAGAAGGCACAAATACAAGCCAGTATTGTATATATTGACAGGCAAATGTACATATCATTCCAAATTTTTGAAGACCTTTTTCCAGTAAAATAGAAATAAGGATCATAACAATACAAACCGTAGGGCCTAGGCATAACACAAGTGGGTGTATGATCACAAGCTTCGTCTATATCTCATTATTATCACTAGCAGCAGCGGCTGCTGCCGCCGCCACCACCACCACAGTAGAAGTACCAAGAAAGAGTAATTTCATCTTCGTTGTAAATAAGAGAAAAAAATCAAAAAGAAAGATGAGAAAAGCCAAGGAAAAAAATATGATTGGAAGTTTGATAAAGGGTGTATTTCAACGGTAGAGGAAAAAAATTGACACTGTTATGTATTTCAAGCCGTTGGTTTAAGTTTTCATAGCACCAAAGAAGAGACCAGTTTCTGATCCATCACATCGATGAAACAAAATATAAGAAGAAGAAAGGATTTACAGAGAAATGGGAGATTCATGAATTAGGGCCAGAACTTGGAGATGGGCTGACAGGGTAGCCCCGAGAAATTTTGAAAAAAAATGTGAAAAATTATATTTTGCTCCCTCAAAGTATGAATATTATATTTCACCCTTGTCCAAAAATTTAAAGAATTTTATTTCGCCCATCCGAACTTCACTTCACGAGGGAGGGAGGGAGGGAGGGAGAGGATCATTGGTTGGTTGTCGTTTTGTAAGGCAGTTTTGTTTTTCTTTGACACGTCAACATCGTTTTGTAAGGCCTTTGTTTTTTTTGTTTTTGTTTTTTTGCATGTCAGCAGGCGACTTTATGATATTATCAATACTCACAATTTCAAAGCCAAAAAATAAAATCCCTGGCAAATTTTGAGGTGTCACAACGGATACATATGCAATGCTATGGAAGCGCAAGGTGCTTTAGATGTAGTAATTTTATTTGTGCATACAGGTCCAATGTTTATCTAACTTGAATTTAAGTAAACACGATATATTTATGTACAATTTTTTATATCGCCGGTAAGTGCTGTTTATTTTTTAATGAAATGATAGATTAATTATTCATATAATAAAAAAACATAATATCAAAATCCAATCCATGGGATCAGGTATAGAACTAGCTGTTTTTGCAAACATACGAGCTACTTGGTTCGCTGAACGTCTAATAAAAACAAAATCTAATAACTCGAACTCAATAAAGAGAATTTTACAATCCCGAATTGTGGAACCAAAATAAGAGTAATCCTCACTTTCTTAAGAAGAGCTTGGATCACCAATAGGTTATCATTCTCCAGGAGCAACCGATGTCCTTGATATTGCTTTTTCAACCAGCTCAACGCTTCCCGCACCACTATGGCTTCAGCAATCGGTGCACTCGTCACCCTTCCCAGCTTCATAGCTCGACCTCCCATACATCTACCTGCACAGTCTCTCACTATCCAACCTGCTGCTGCATGGACCGAATTGGGGTCAAAACTTGCATCCACGTTACATTTGAAACCTGTCAAAAGTGGATGCCATCTGTTTTGCATATTACTCTCCCATGGTACCAACTGATATTCCTCTATCGAGTTCGCAATTCGCCACGCATTAAGAGAATACTGTACATGTCTCACAATAGCCGCTGAATCACGTACTTGCTGCTGCCAAATCAACTTGTTTCTAGCATTCCATAAATCCCAAGCCGCAACACTAGCCTCCCTGTTTTTGCATCATCCATCCGTTGCATTAAGAATTCAAACCATTTATTTAAGCCCGAAACATTACCCCACCCTCCTATAGAAGTAGATAACCACGCATCTTTTGCAAATGGACAATACAGTAAACAATGGGCAACTGTTTCATCCTCCTGATGACATCGAGGACAAAGTATAGGTACCTCAATTCGTCTTCTTTGCAAAACTGAAAAAACAGGAAGAATGTCTAACAAAGCTCTCCACATAAAGTTTAGAACTTTAGGTGGAATTTTTAACTGCCAAAGCTTGCGCCAAATTCCTTACTGAAGTCTCGGAGGAAGATTAAGCTGTTCCAGCAAGATTTTATACCCGCTTCGCACTAAGTAGGCTCCCTTTGGATCGTGACGCCATATCCATCGGTCCGGAGTATCGGACAAACTCAAGGGAATCTGCAAAATCTGTTCTATCTCCTCCGAACTGAATATCTGGTGAAGCGCATCATTATCCCACTGGCGACTAACCGGATTTATAGCTCAGCAACACACAAATCTTCAATACCCGTGTTATTAGAAGATCGAATGAAAGGCTGTTGAGGGTCAAGCAACCAGGGAACACCAAAAACTAAAGTATCCTTCCCATTACCAATCTTCCGCACACACCCTGCACGAAGCATACTCTGTCCAGCGATCAAACTCCTCCATATCTGGCTTGGGTTTTTGCCCAATGGTGCGTTTAAAAATCCGTATCCGGATGATAACGGGCTTTATAAATTCTACTCTCCAATGCCTTTGGTCTCGTGAGAATATTCCATCCGCTTTTAGCTAGCATGGCCAAATTAAAATTGCGGAGTGATCTGAATCCCATACCTTCCTCTCTCTTTCTTCGACCCATATTCCTCCACGACATCCATTGTATACCTGAGGTACCTTCTCCCCCATTTTGCCACCAAAATCTATTCATTGCTGTTTCAATGGTAGTACAGGTATTGACTGGAAGTAAGAAAACTGTCATTAAACAGTTCGGAATCGCCTGTACAACTGTTTTCGATAAAATTTCCTTTCCGGCGCGTATAAGAGCTTACGTTTCCAGCCTTGCAATCGTTGCCAAACCTTATCAATTACATAATGAAAAACTTGCTGCTTGTTCCTCCCCACAACAGCCGGTAGTCCAAGGTATTTACGCAAGTGCCGTTTAGTTATTCCAGAAATATATATTAATTGGATAGAACTCCTAAATTTAATATCATTTCCAAGGCAAATCATGCAAATCTCAATGTCTTATAAACACTTCTAATTCTACTGTGGAAATGCAACAAAGCCAGCTTCCATTCAAGGGGACATCAGGATTGGCTGGGAAAGTTGATACTGATATGCATTAGCAAGCTCCACCTCCTCCTTAGACCGGAACCTTAATCTAATCTCCATCCTCATCTTCATTTGACACAATGAATCTCTTATCTCTCTTCCTTTTTACCACATGATGAAGCATAATAATAATAATAATAATAATCAGCAGCAGCAGATAAAATGATCTAACAAAAATTTCATGAACTATCAAAAGCAGAACTAAATCACGCAACAAACAACATGCTTGATGTTTTTACACCTTACAGGCCAACTATATTCAGGAGTAACTATAGAGTGATATGCTTTTGTCATCTGATACACTAGCAAGTCGACCACCACGGGCACCAGACCCTTGTGGTGGCTGAAAAGCAACTCCCCAAACTTGATCTGTATGATTGCTCATTGTCTGAACAGCAGCCCTCATATTAAGATCCCATAGCCTTACAGTTCTATCACTTGAGCCTGTTGCAATAGCTGCTCCATCAGGGCTTGCGTCAACACTTAATACCCAGCCTGCATGGCCAGACATTGCTGTAACCAAGCTTTTTCCCTCTGCATCGTACATGTGGACATGATTATCATCTGATGCAGAAAAGAGCACCCGAGGATCAATAGGAGAATAAACAAGAGAACGCACAGGCATGAAATGGCCTTCCAGATGGTGGAGAAATTTTGCTCGAGCTACGTCAAAAATAGAAATAGTGCCATCCATTAAGCCACAAGCAAGTCGTCTCCCATCAGGACTCCATGCAACTGACAACACAAACTTCTTGCTGCTATTCTTATCAGATGGCTTGGGTCCTTCTGGACGAGGAACTGATAGGGTGGCAATCAGTTTCCATGTTGCAGTGTCCCAAAGTTTGACCGATGCGCTACCACCACCAGCAACTGCAAGAGTGGTACCCTGCAGGTAGATCAATTGTTAATATTGGATGAATGCAAATACAAAAATTTTGCATCCTCTCATAATCCAACAGTATCATACCTAACTAAGAGGAAACTGCTAAAGAAGAAAATGGCAGCTATACAGATATCTCTACAAAATGTAGCCCAAGCTACTTAGAAGAAATTATATACATGCCAACAAACACGTGTCTCACTGCCACATTATTAAATATTTTAACAGTATGAATAGCATTAAGCTTTCACCTTAACCTCAGGATACCGGTCGTAATCATAATTTGATAAGTGGAACAAGGAACCAAGATCTTCTATATTGTCAGCTATCTAATACCAGTGAATTTAGCTTCAGTTATACTTGAGGTAATACTGGTAAACCATATAATCATTCGACTACTTGCTTCATAACACAAGAACAAGACCAGTGAATGCAGCAGTTAAATTTCCAATGATAATATATATAAATCGACAAGTCCATGAAAATATACTGAACCCATCATGGCCCTTTCTGCTACTGAAGACCATAAGGTATACTACCCAATTAACAAAAGCCTCCCAAATTCATGAAATAAACCCATTTAGCACAAGATGACCATAAGTAAGTTCCACACTAAACTTTTTATAAAAATGAAATTTGACTTGATACCAAAATTTGGAACTGAAGAGTTTATCTTAAGGCTTGGACACCTCTCCAGTTATCCCTTAGCAATATGAGCAGGAAACAATACATTCTAGTGAAGTTTTAAAAACGCTTAACAAGCCCTAACTCATTCTGCTTCTAGTACTAGCATGGGTGCCCTTACTTCTACAAAATACTAGGTTTCAGAAGTCTCAATGCCCCGCAAAGCAATTATTCTTTTTCTAGCAAAGCTTCATTTTTATAACTATAGTGCCACATGACTTCAGTGTAAGGGTAAAATTATTACACTTGTAACCTAGAAATTAAGGGGTCAGATAGCCTCTCTGCAAAAGTAAAGTAAGCGAAGGCTGCATACATCAACCCTCCTCGGAGTCCACAAATATGAATTGCTTCGTGCATTAGGTCACCCTTCATTGTGCCTCATCTTATTAAAAAAAGTATGAAATTTTATACATAATTCTCAAGACAATAAATCTTAAAGGCCAAATAATGCCAGTAAGTGCCAGCTAGATCGAGTCTTGCTAGTGTTTTAGATGGAGGGCTCAAGGGAAGAGAGACAGCTATCCCATAATTTACTTTGTTCATTAGATAAAGAAAAATAATAACGATAAAATTGTGAGCTAATCTTAAACTTCTATCTAAAGTGCTTAATGGCTAATGTGGTTGGTTACCCTTACGCAATTTGTAGACAAAGGATATGTAATAAATGGTTTCCATGTGGGCTACTGCAAAAACCAACAGATAATTTGGGTAAATATATAATGAATATGCAAACTTAAGCAAAAACCAAATAAGTCGTACTGAAGTCAAAATAGTAACTGGCAATGATTATTCAATGTTATACTTTCACTCGAAGATTATTCTTCGAGATATCGTTCAATCTCAAAAATGGAAGCAAAGATTCTAAATTCCCATTATTTTGTCCAATTTTGCTTACCTTGGGATCAAACTGCATTTGCCAAACTTCCGATGGAGGAGCTTCGAGAGTTGCGATGCTAGCATTGGTATCGACATCGAAGACTCGAACGAAGCTATCAAGGGAGGCAGAAGCCGCGATGACGCCGGAGGGATGCGCCGCCACGGAAACAACACCGAGACAGTGTCCGGTGTTGGTGCGCACTAGGTTAAGGTCGTCAAGTGATCCAGTGAGCTGGTTGGGGCTCCACAGCTTGACGGTCTCGTCAAGTGATCCGGTAAGCAGGAGAGAAGGTCGGGACTCGGTAGCAGGGACCCACGTTGCAGCCCATACTGACTCGTCGTGCGCGTTCTCAATCGATTTTAGGCCTGCAAGTTTCATTGATTCGGATGTAGGAATTGATGTGAAGTAAGAACCCTAGAATTACTTCTTCAGAATTTGGAAGTCTTGTTTTACTCTTTTGGGGGATTTTCGAAAAATCTATGTCGTCGGGGTAGTTAATAGTTTTGTTACAATTTAAGGTCAAAAAAAGGTACCTAAGTCCTCAAATTTATCCAGTTTTAGCTATTAAATACTGCTTCAATTTTATGTATTACTATTAAGTCCCTATAAGTTAACTTAAATGTTAAAGATTGATAATTTAAAAAGATTTTTGATTTATTGATTAGTTAAAAATATTTTTTTTAACTCCATTGATTAAAGACTTTGGTAGTTTTTTCAACTAATATTTAGAATATTTACATTTAATTTTCATTTTCATTCTCATTCTCGTATAAAATTCAATTCCAAAGAAAAATTGTAAATCAATAAAATAAAATAACAAGAATTAAACAAATTAAATTGATAAAAAAGAATGAATAGATATATGAATACCTGTCATTGTCTATTTGGTTTGACGTGCAGTTCACCTCTGGGGCTGGGCCTATTTGGTGGAGTCTAGGAAAAGGAACTCACCTCTTCATCATATTTGGCCACGCAGAAAGTAAAGCTAGTGCCTCATCTTATATACATTCTCTTTAAACTCAATATTTTTCAAATATTAATAATAATAAATAAATAAATAACTAAAATCGAAACATATTTTTAACACCATTGACATCAAGCAATCCAAACTTTATACTCAAACTCTCAAGTCTAAGTAACAGTGGCTCAAAGCTGTGACCAAAAAACACAACTAGAGGCCTTACACCATTAAAAAAAAAGAAAATTAGCACAAAAATCTCACTCACATCCTATGTAAAAGGGAGCTCTGAGAGATGGCTGAAAAAACTTACCCAAAGCTCCTTCCTATATATTAATTAATGTATTTATATTTTATATACCACACCAATATTTATACTACTATAACCGCATGATATAATATATGTTAAATTATGTTTTTATTTTTCCTTTTCTGTTTTCTCTGTTGTGCAGCTTCCAATTCTCCGTCTTCTGTATCATAATTTTTCTTTTTCAATTGCATGCATAGCAGGCCAAATCACCGTAACGGAAATGTGTCTGTCAGCTTCGTATTGTTGACGGGCATCAAATTGGGCCTGTATCTGCGCCACGGCCCATGCTTCTCCTCTCGTTCATGGAGTTTATTTTCTCTAGTCTCCATTCGCCTCTTAGCCTGGCAATGAAAGTGTCGGCCTTGGCGTTGACATCTGGACTGGGACAAAAAACGGATGTTCCGCTCCCATCTCCACGCTCCATTACGCTGACTGCCTCTGTTGACTGCCTATCCAGCTCCTGATAGTCTGGAGAGCTGCACCGAGAACTGTGGGCGCTTCTTATCTTAACATAATCGCCTTTGACTGTAAACTTAAACCCTGGCACTCTGAACGGCGGTGGTGGAGGCGGAGGAGGCATAGGAATTAGCGGAGATTGTCCTCCGTCATTCACATTTTCCTCATAGAAATTGTTGGCTCTTGTTGGCAATGGTGGTCGGCCTGCTGAGGTAGTACTTCGTCTCCTGTAGGGTGCTTGTGGAGGTGTTGATGGTGCTGGGGGTGGTGGAGGTGGCGGAGGCGCTGGTGGTGATATATGATTCTTAAGCTTGGTCCACCTGTTTGATGTGGAGAGAGACGGTCGTGGTGGAGGAGGCGGCGGCGGAGGTGGAGTAGAAAATGAAGAAAATGAATGAATTCTCTTACTTTTGGTTCCTTTTCTGAACAAACTCTGGAACATTGATGGTGGTGGAGGTGGAGGTGGCGGCGGAGGTGGAGGAACAGTAAACACTGGCGATTCAGGCGGAGAATGGTTTTTATCATCGTATAAACTCTTTGTTCTTTGTTTCTTCTTTCTTTTGCTCTGATGGTATAACGAAATCAAAGCCATTTTCAACTCCTTAGTTGCATTATTCTTTTTACGCTCGCTTTTACGCTCTGATCGAGCAGTCTTCATAACTGGTGGAGGTGGTGGAGGCCGCGGGGGAGGCGGAGGAGGAGGAGGTGGCGTTGCTGGCGGAGTTTCGGTATTTGAAAATTGATGATGATTTTCACCAGGTTTGCCTACCTTTTCTTTAGGCGGAACAGTGCTATAACTTCTCCTCTGTTTGCGATTTCTTGCCGCTGGCGGTGGTGGGGGTGGTGGTGGTGGAGGAGGTGGCGTCGGCGACTTCGGTGGAGGCGGAGGCGATGAGGAACGCAGTACGTAAGTATCAACAGGAATTTCCTTAACATTAGATTCTTCAAATATACTTTGCTGTCTACGATGGTAAATATATTGCGATGACGACCACGCCGGTGATCGGTTCTTGCTTATTTCAAAATCATCATAGAACCGGAAGCGATCATCACCGGATTCAAAGAAAGATTCTTTCCTCAGATCTGGGTAGGAGCTACTACTCCTCTTTAACCTCCGTAAACCGCCAGTAGGCGGTGTTGATGGCACGAGCTGATCGTCAAACCAATTATTGGAAACAAAGTGGCGTTCTTGTTTACTATGAGAAACATTGCGATTGGTATTATTGTTAGCATCTTCTGGAAGAGGTGATTCGTCGTCATTTTTTCTAGCAAAGATACCACAAAGGATCGCAAACAAGACGAGAAAGATATTGACAGAGTCCCAACTCTTCTTAACAGTACTGGGTCGAAGTTTATTATTATGAAACGAAGGGATGGCGAAGAAGAAGAGAAGAAATGCAATGATGGACAAGAGTAAGATAAGTAACGGAAGATTAAGGAGAGGAGATAGAGAGCTACGGCGAGGAGGAGGCATGGAGGAGGAGGAAGATGGCGAAGGGAGAAGGGTGGTGGGTCTGTGTTTAATTGTTTAGTTTTGGGTTTTGGTTGGTCTTTGCCTCTTTGAGTTTTGCTTGTGAGGGAAGAGAGAAGGATTGTTTATTTATTTATTTATTTATTTTCTCTCTGAAATTTGAGCAAGACAGAGATGTTGTATAAGAATATTAAATAATTATGAAACGAAATAATGGACATTTAATTGTAAATACTGATAAATAAACATAAATCACATTAAAATATTTGGCTGTTACGGACAAGCTCTTTATTGAGTTAATTGTTGATATTTATGACATAATATATGTGTATTTTACTTTTATTGAGAAATATATTCATTTTAAACTAATTGCCAAGACATAATAATATTTTCTTTTACACACCAAAATATAATCTAATGGTATACTAAAAAAATAATATTTTTTATTAGGTACAATATGCCGGGAATAAAAGAAAAATATGCATTCTCACGTGAAATTTATATTTGAAATTATTTTTATTCAGAGGATGTTTATCTAAATATATAATTATTTGAGTATGAAACAATAGTAATAAATCTAAAAAAAATTTCAGTATTAATATATAGCAAAATATCAAACAAAATTAATTTTAATACAGTCAATCTAGAAAAAAAAAATCAATTTAGACCACATAATTAAAGATTTTGTTAACACAACTTTAATTACATTACCAACAACAACAAGCAACATAAAAATCAGAAAATTCTCGTGCGCATAATGCACTATGTATCACTGTTATTGTACGAATGACAACAATACAATCGAGTGTTATATAATAAAAACATGAACACCTTAATTTTAACTGTATACCATATTAAATAAATAAATAATCAATTATTTTTTATATAAATTCAAGAAAATTTCTGGCCTATGCTGTTGGTCTCAGATATCAAATCAATAAGAAAACGGTGATTTTTTTCTAAAACATTATTGTTTTCTTTTTTTTTCTCTACTTATAATTAAAAAAACATTCATTTAAATCAGTATAAAAATGAAAAATATTAAATTCAACTTTAAATATAGTCTATAATATTATTTCTTAATATCCTGGCTAACATCCTCCAGCGTAAGCCATATTTTGTCCAGATTAAGAATCTGATTTGCAGAGATGTCTTAAACTAATTTGTTAACCAAACATACAAGAACTTCTCTAGTGTAAGCAAAAGACCTGGCAATGTTCATTGTGGCCACGTGTACTCCAGTCCAGAAGACAAACAAAGTTAATACTGTACAGAAAAACAAATGTATTTTTTTTTTTAAGGTGACTGACTTTGTATGATTGGAGCGTGACAGTAATCATTGAAATAATATCCTTTACAACAAAAAAACATTACCTTTAATTGGTTTCTTTCACCTTTCAAAAGAGCAAAATCAAACGCTTATGACTCTGCTCTTTTCCTGTTTATCATTATTATTAACATTGCTCTTCACCAATTTATGAACATGTAAATAGGTTTTTGTTTGTTCACACGTTATAATCAAACATATTGAAGATGTAAAAAATAAAAATAAAAAAAAAAAGAGAAGTTGGACATGACACATAATTTTTAATGTAACGAATCAAAATGTTTAAAATACTCCGATAAAAGTTTAATGCGGTATAAATATATATAACAATGTTTTGGATACTCAAAAATCATGCGAAATTCAAGTTGGACTAAATATATTTTTTAAAAAATTATTATTGTCTTTAATGATTATTACATTTGATAACAGTGATTACTAAATTACAAATATCCAGCTACCAACTATTAACGACTACCTCCAATTATCATTCAGCACAAAACAACTGAACAGACCCTTAGCGGTACAGATAACCAAAAGTGGTTTGAATTCTCAAATTGCATCCGTCAGGAGTAGACTAGCTGGTGCGATAAGCTTTTCACATGTCAAATGGAAAGGGATCAGGCTCTGAAATTTTCAAGGATATTTCTGGAAGTTGTTAAGTTCACATTATTAAATTATCAATCATGAAAATTAAATGTCTTGATAATTTGATAAGTACTTTTATTTTCATATCAATTGATTAAAAATGTCATTTGAAATTCACATAATTTAATCAACTCGATTAAAATTTTTTATTAGAAAATCAATCAGGGTCGAAATAAATGAAATTGGTTTAAAATTATTGTATTTTATTTTTAAAATTAATTGACTTATATTATTTTTCTTCCATTTGGGTTTTAGAAATAGTTTTATTCTGGACATTTAGGGTGGCATTGCCAACCCCAAAGAGAAATTCATTGTTTGGTACATTGGAAAATATAGCAAGAGAAAAGGTATCCTCATGCGTGACAACTACTGGTCCTTCAAAATCATAGCAACTTAGGCCAAACAGTGCCACCCCTTCAAGGGGAAAGATATTATTTGAACCCTAGCGTTTATCTTATTCATGTCCCACACGCCATTTTCTTCCTCAAAAAGCTTATTAAAAGTTTGAACTATCACCACTTTAGTACTCCCGCGCCTGGCATTTGGGAACCCACTTTCTCTGCCCTAGATAAGAAGACCACGCTATGTAAACCCAACCACGTAATCAAGCTAAATCGAAAGTGTCGGTATTAATTTTCAAATTGAAGAATTGAAATTATTTATTTTGATCGAACTTTGATTTTAATTTCAATTGATCTTGACTATTACTCTTCAACTTTGATTGATTCCGACTGCCTTTTCGAGCTAAAATTCAAAAAGAAAAATGAATTGAAATTGATCCAAGTTTACGGAATTGAAATTCAGCCGGTTTCATTTGCCATGTCAAACCCAACCAATCCAAAAACCAAATTTTGGGTGGGTTTGCATACTATGGGAAGGGACGTGTATGGCACGCGCTCACATAACGAGTAGGATTAGAGAATTTGTTCAGTGTTGATTGCAAAAGGAGGTAAGGTGGGGTAGGGACTTTGGTTTCTTGAAAGAAAAATTTTATATGAGTAAAAAGGACAGGTTGAGGGATGATAGCCACCGGCCACGAAGTATCCTCTAAGTCTTCCCAACGGCAGCTTCGTTCGCTTCCGGTGGACAGCCTGTTCTTTCTCTCACGTGAGAGTTTCATGCTCTAATTTAATATTTCTAAAGATTTATTAAAGAAATGAAAGAGAGAAAAATAAAAATCAATTAATCATGTTAATAATGTGGGAATGGTAGCTTTCATTGTTCATTAATTTTCTGGAATTAAATAATTAAGTTCATACATATATATATTTAAATATTGAATTCGGTTCATAAACAAAAGTAATGTCTTTCTTTTCTTTTTTTTTTTTTTTTTTAACACAAAATGAAGCGGCAGCCTGAATTATTAGTAGAATGATCATTATCTATATAACATCACAATTATTTAGTTAAAGGGTAATTAGCTGATTAATTGATCATTGATCTTTCATTCCTCCGTTCCAAATATATATCGTTTTTTAGGACAATTATTTTGTATAAAACATTGCGAGTATTTTAAAGTGTAAAAGATGTTTTTTTTTCTCAAGCTATTTTTTAGCTAATCTTGAGTTAACAAATTAGCTTATTTGCAGTTTTATACATGGTTTGAATATTATAATACATTAAAATAATAAAAATGAGAGTTGATTAAATTTGACGCAACGTTGGTCAAAAACAATATTATGTCAATTATTTTTAGCAGAATTGCAAATATAAGACAGTTAATAAACTAATTACTTAAAATTGCATGTCAATTTAATGGTTGTCTGTGAGATAATTAACGCCAATTATTTATCTCTTTCGAAAACGAAAGTTGGCAATCAAAATGGGCAACATATTATAATATAAATATAAATAAATAATTAATTATATTCCAGCTGGGATTAACAAATTTCAATTGGGAATGGTCCTTTTCTTCTCTACCTATCCTTGTCGCAGTATCTGGACTTTTATTTTAAAGCATCATTTAAATCAATGGCTACCCTGTAGGTTTTAGTATTGTTACTGTTATGATTACCCTCAAAAAGCAATGGGAAATTATTTTTTATTATTATTTATTGAATATAATTCTTTTTCTCACAATACTTAATTAATGATAAAAAACTTTCCAAGGCTAAAAAAGAAGATGATGCTATTTTTCCAATTTTAGGCCCATTCTATATTATTTGAGACCGCAGTTTTCTTAACATTCCTATCCTATGCGTACTCAAACTCGAATTTCGGTCTTTTTTTTTATTTAAAAACGTAATTTACTTACAAAAAAAAAGGATAAATATATAATTTAATTTTTGAAGTGGCCATCCCAGCCTATGAGTTAATGGTTGGTGCCCAATCACATTACAACGCACAGAGGCACGTGCCAGTTTACCACTAAACGGAGGCAGTTAGCGTACCGCTCAGATAAGTGGCGTTCTCCACGCTGGCTCAAGCCTCGTCAGAAATTTAAACGGTGCGTTTAGGGCGTACGCCGGGTCCCGATTGGGAGCTTCTGGATCCTGGGGGCCCGCAAAAGAAACGATTCACAGAAGAAAAACGAAAACCCTAATTAAAGTCTTAAATCTTAAACCCCCAATCACCTTCACTGGCTCCTCCTCTCTCGCAATCGAATTATCAGTACAAGAAAAATGGTGTGGTTTCAGTGTGAAGATTGCGGAGAGAATTTGAAGAAGCCTAAGTTACCTAATCACTTCAGAATTTGCTCAGCTTCTAAGGTTTTTTTTTTTTTTTTTGGGTTTAGTTTGATTTTAAACTGAGACAATTATTGCTCTATTTGATCTTTTATTTAAAGCTCGCTCCAATGTTGTAATGGTGTAGCTATCATGTATCGATTGCGGAGAGATGTTCGGGCAGGATAGTGTTCAGGGCCATACTCAGTGCATTACTGAGGCGGTTCGTATCTCATTTCTTCTTCTATGGCTTATCTTCTTTGCATATCTGATCATATTCAGTTTTTATTATTTGCTTTCTTCTTCTTCCTTTTTTTTTTTTTATTTTTTTTTTATGTGTTAACTTTCTGCTCAGGAAAAATATGGTCCGAAAGGTCAAGGGAAAGCTCCAAATGGTGCCACTCCTAAGACCAACAAGAACGCAAAGCAGCAGCCCGATGTTGATATAAATGTTGGGTTATCTGAACGCCCTCCATGGTTTTGTAGGTGTGTTTATTTATTTATTTTTTTTACTTTCTCATTTCAATTTCCATTAGGTAGGCTTGCTCATTTATTCTTCAAATGATACGCGCCACTAAATTCTGAATCACTGCATTACTTTGCGTTTCCTTCCCGCATTGAGATCAATCACAGTGTTGCTTAACATATGCATATGTTGAGAGCATTAAATTATGAGCTTTTCTGTATTTGAAATACCGTAGTTGTTGAGGGCATTTCTCGTTTGGGCACCAAAAAGAATGTTCAAAAAGAAATAGTTGGAAATAGCTTACTGTTGAGAAGGTTCTATTTCAAGACAAGTGAATAAAGCTAAATGATAATAGTTCCAATTTCTTTCCAATTGGAGAATGTAATGTAAACGAGTCTCTAATGTATAAAATAAAGAAACTAAATCTTCATGCTTGAGCTTTTTCACTCGGAAAAATGTTTCTCAATTGACTGGCAACTTTTACGCAGAGCCTATGCACTCAGTTTTTACAAATATTTAGGTTTTTTAAGGTCCAGTTATAGCTTCTTGGCTCATGTATTGTGATATAGGCTCTAGTGAGTAGTTGCATTTTGTCATAGATTTTGACTGTTCTGGTTGAAATTTCTTTATCTACTGTAAAAGAGATGGGTTGAATTGAGAATCTATTTACAGTCTCTGCAATACCAAGGCTACTAGTAAGCAGACTTTGCTTCTCCATGCTGACGGAAAGAAGCACCGGGCAAAGGCTCGAGCTATTCATGCTGCCAAGCAACAACAAACTAAAGAGACAGAAGAATCTACTCAAGATAAACCTTCCACTGTTCAGATTACTACAAATGGTGAATTGCAAGATAACAAACATGTCGAGGAACAAAATGTGCTAGATGTGCCCAAAGCTGATAAAGTGCACAATGATGCAGGAACAGAGAGTGGTAAACCGTCAAAAAAGAAAAGAAAACTTGATGAGTCTAGGAGCGATGGCACGGGGCAAAAGAATGGGGGTGATACTACAAATGGAATAGGCAATGGTGTGGTTCAAGCTGAAAGAACCAAAGCAGAGGAAATGGAGAGTCAGTTGAAGAAAGCTAAACAGAATGGGCTCAAAGATGATAGGGTGGTAGAATCTGGCTCTATCAAAGAAGATACCAAAAAGAAGATAAAGTTGAAGAAATTGATCAAGTCAGCCCTGATATTGGTATGCCTCATTGATAATATTAATTGTTTAAATTGCGTGTCATTTCTATTTGACTATGCTATGAATACGGATCTTGATTAAATACATACTTTGACTGTTGAGATAAGCTTGATACACAGAGAGGGGACAAAAGAAGGAAGCCCTTTTATGACATTGAATTGTCTTACATTGTCCCGTTTTATAGTAACTTCTATATCTTGACGTTTATTATGTATCATATGTTGTTGCATGCGAACGCAGAATCCAGATGGGGTTTTGAAGATGAAGAAACTGAAAAAACTTGTTCTGAAGTCTATCCAGGAATGTGGCATAACAGAGGATGAAAGCCAATTCAGTGAAATGCTTGAACAAAAGGTCAGGACTTCAACGACTATATAGTTTTTTATGTTTAAATAAATTTTTTTTTTTTCTGTTTCATTGACTTTGAGGATGAATGCTAAGTTGCTAACTGCTAGGGGCAATATCTGATAATTCGTGAATTCTCTATCAACTACTATTAATGTATTGTTCTTTATTTTTGTTTCTTGGTGTGTGTGCAGATCAATTCAAGTTCCAGATTCAGAGTTGATAAGCAATATGTCCATCTGGTGGCTAAAGATTAAAGCTGAGCATTTTGATTGTCTAGAAGAGAATTTGCTAATAGTAGCTGCATCCATTTGCAGAGTTAATCATGTTAAGCTTTGCCTTCGTTTCATAACAGCAATTTTGGGGACCTGTTGGAGATTGTGCCATCACGTAGAGTGTTATTGATAGAAAATTTTTGGAGGATCGTCACCATTGTATTCTTTTACTTTTTCTTACAGTTGGGATTTTTTTAAGTAAACGACATTATATGCCTCCAAATTTCAGAGCCAGACCTATGCATGTTTTTTCTTTTTTGATCAAACATAGAACTGTTAAATGATTATACTGGATGCCTAGACAACCGTAGTTCTTTTGCCTCTATGGAATCAATTTCCCTGGATAGGTTAAAACCGTTGAAACGAGACTCTGAAGACGTGGCTGAATTCACGCCGCAGAACCAGTGAAATAACATTTTACATAAAAGATAAAAGTACATTCCATGTTGACAAACAAGCCTAATAAATCACCGCATGGGATTTCCTCACTTATAAACAAAGCCGCAAATGAGAATGCTATATTAATTAACACTTGTGTTACATCTGCTAATTAACAATGTTCTCCATTATCACAGGACCACAGGTACTCCAAAGCTACGGAAAAGAAGTTTCAAGTTTTTGTATATGTTTCTGAATTGTAGGGTATATCCAATTGTTGAGGAACAATCTTGTAATAATATTTTCTCTGTCCTCTTCCGCTAGAACTTTTTTATCTACATCGTATGAGCAATTTCTTCCAACTGGGTGTGTCTTGTTTTGACTTATACTTGTTAAGTGCAAACTTGCAATTCCAGTGCCAGGCTAAAAGAGTGCAAGGCTAAAAAAGCATACAATAAGCTACTATAACCAGCAACACAACAGAACATGCCATCGCCTGCAACAGGAATTGCAATCAAATTTCAGTGTTGAATAGAGTACAAACGTTGAATGTTTGTTCTTTAAGATTGGAGAGGAGTACTGAAAATGCATTTATCAAACATCATAATTAATATTTTTCACTAATGAAAGAGATGAAGGGAACTTACAGCAATGGCAGCTGCAGCCAGGCCTGCTCGCTCCCTAGGATCCTTTCGGTAATAATTTCCAAAGTAAAGAATTGTGGCATAATACCACATCAATGGGAACACAAATCCTAAAAGAAAACTGATAAAAAAGAGAGAATAGTTAGAATATGTGAAACAATCTGGAAGGAAGTAGTAGTTTGAGAAATACTCACGAAAACCATCCTACACCACAGCCAAAGCATGGAAGTGGTTTGTCATACATCCCAACTTGAAATTCCTCAGGATCTCTAAGAAGTGTATACTTGCCCTTTTCACGGTCTGCAGCATCTAGGGCTTGCCCTGTGATTATAATAGTGGTAATCAGCTTTTTGGACAAACACTTAATACATGCTGCAAAATTTATATACCTGACCAAATATAATTCTACATGACAGATAAAATATGAATGGAATTATGTCATGTGATGTGACAGTAAATGAAACAGAAATGTCACTCTGATAGCAATATATAAACATCGACAGCAATGACGTAAATGAGCACAAAATGGTCCAATATAAAGGTAATTAACAATGAAAGCAAGGATGATTAGACCACATCTCTTCCTGAGCAGGCTAATTGCTGAATAGGAACCTAACCTTTAGATGCTGAATAGTATCGTGCAGATGGCCGGAGAAGATCTATGTGCTTATCAGAGGCTGATTTCACCATCTCAAGTCCATTTCTTAAGACCTCTTTGTCCTCAATAACAACATCTACAACACAAAGTTGGATTCAATTTATGTTGAAATAGCTGAGTGAATGTTGACATGTTAACTAAATATTCTCTATGGTGTTTTGCAATAATCAATTCTCATAGAAAGGACATCTACACAATAAAAAATGTACCTCAGTTGATGCTGGGTGTAGAAATTCTCACAAATTCTTGTTTCTCAACATATGAACATATCATAAACATTCTTTAAACAAACAACAGTCAAATATCAGAAGAAAACATGCATATGGGTCCACAAACATATTTCAGACTGCATTGCCATTCATTGCTATCTACTTTTCAACCATATTTAGATTCATATACATGGCTTGGTTCATAGCAGTTCAGGCAAACAAAAAATCAAATTTTAACAGGGGACAAATTAAAAAATGACGATAATCAATTGTAAATGAAAATTCCCTAATTCAAGAAGTGAGCAAATAAATCAAGAAAGGTACTGTACTTTGATCCATTTGTGCTTGATAAGGCAGGCTTTTTCAGCAGTTCTTACTTGGCAACTGTTTATTGATCCTTAAAACATTAATACCTGCTTCAGAAATTAAAGTTAACCGTTAATATTAATTAACTAAAGTAACATCAAATTTCCATACCAATTCTGTCAATAATGCTTTCATAAAGCAAACAGATGCAAGTATGATAATATGTGATTGGATTAAATGAACGGAAGCTCAAAATGTCAACACCAATAGAATAAAAAAAGAAAATTGTAATAACTGTGATAGAAAGAATCTATCCAATTTCTTGGTAAGGGAAGCTATTCCTATCACATTATATACATTCATAAAAATAAAATCCCCCATGTCCAAAACAATAAGTTATAGCTGCATATTTCAAAGAAACTGCAGAAAAATTCTAACTCAATTCCAAAAACTCAACAAAAGATCAAAGATAATAAAGACGAAGCAATACGCAAAATTTCATCGACGAGAAAATACCAAACGTCAAAAAATGACAGAAACATCGAATTAATTCCAAAAAATAAATAATAAAATAACAGAAAAGAAAAGGGTTCTTGCCTGTGGAAAATAGAGACTGGATTATGAACGTTCTCGGATGATTTTCCGTTCAGATCAAAGAGGAGATACAAAAGAGAGGCTATTTGTAGCGTAGAAGAAGTATAAAGAGGAGAGTTTTACATGACAAGTAAAGGTCTGGTTTGGGCATTAATCCACTAGACGCTGCGCGAAATTGACTCCTCTTGTGTCCCTTCCTCTTTTCTTCTAGCTATGAAAAGGAAATGAATTTTGTTTTAAATTTGGTTTTTTTAATTACTATAAATTAACATCTACTATTAAATTAATTAAATTAATAATTGTGGATCGATTAAAATTATCTGTAGAAGAGCGGTTGGTATTCTGAAAATAATGAGCTCTGATTGGGTGATATGTTTAAAGACCATTACACCCTTATTTTATCTGTTGTGTGGTCTACAAAGCTAAGGATTCCTATTGGTCAACAGTGCTTTGTGGTTGAGAAATCATTCTCTCCCTCCCTTTTTTTTTTCTCATTTAAATATATTGTAAAAAAGAATTGCCGACTCGTAGCCGGCATCGTGTAAACTAGTAATGAGGCCCAAGCCCCTAATTACATGTAACCGAAGAACATAAATAAGCCCACCAGTCCAAGCCCATTGTGTCCTCTACATCTTTCTCCGTCATCATATAGCAGCAGTGACCGCCACTGTCTACTTCAATCAGGAACAGCCACGTTCGGTGGTTTTGAATTGTAGACTTTATGCATTACTCTAGACTATACTGAAAAAGGACACGTTCTGTTCTATTCTTTTTTCTTCTTCTTCAGACTTTTTCAGTTCTCGTTCTGTGTCTTGAGCATTTTTGCGTTCTTTCTTTCTGGGAAAAATTCAAGAATCAAGATTATGGGCGATCAAATGGTTTTAGACAACGGCCATGAAGGTAGCAGGGATCAAGGTTCTGTTTTAGACATATACCCTCTCAGTAGCTACTATTTTGGTGCGAAAGACCCTCTTTCTTTCAAGAACGAGACTTTGGCAGACCGTGTACAAAGGATGAAATCTAAGTACTGTATCTTATTTAGTTTAGTGGTTTTCTTTGCTTTTATTTATTTATTTTTTATTTGTTTGTGTCTTTCTTTTGGGGATTGATTTTTTTTTTTCTTTTTTGGTAATTAGTTACCTTGCCCATGGATTGAGGACATATGTGGAGGCAGTTATTCTGGTTAGTTATTTTTCTGCTTTCTTTTCAATATTTGAAATTTTGAATTGCTTTTTCTTGCTTTTATTCTTTGATGATTTTGTGAATTTATGTTCTTTGTTGTGTGCCTTTATGTCTCTTATTAAGAAAGTCTTATCATTTGACATGATATACTGAGTTGAAAAGTTGTAATGTTATAAAATCAGGTTGAGTTGTTCAAACATCCTCATCTTTTGCTATTGCAAATAAGGAATTCCATCTTTAGGCTTCCTGGTGGTCGTTTAAGACCTGGAGAATCAGGTAAAAATGTCTACTGGTATTCATTAAATCATATAAAAATGAAATTTGGTTCGTATAATCACTCTTGGGATAAAGAGAATGCCTGTAAGGCTTCCTTAACCTTTTCTTCTTCTTCTTCTCTTTTTTTTTTTTTTTTTTTTTTTTTTTTTTTTTTTTTTTTTTTTTTTTTTAAAGAGAAATGCCTGTAAGGGCTTCCTAACCCTTCATTTTCTTCTTCTTCTTCTCTTTTTTTTTTTTTTTTTTTTTGTGTTTTGTTTTTTGTTTTTTTGGATTTTTTTTTTTTTTTTTTTTTTTTTTTTTTTTTTTTTTTTTTTTTTGGAATTTCCAGATATTGATGGATTGAAACGTAAGCTATCAAGAAAGCTCTCCGGAAATGAGGATGAAACTGATTGGGAGGTAATTAGTTGCGTTTTTAGGTGCTTATGTTTCAGTCTTATTATCTAGTGTTGAGTGGAATTACATATTTTTATTTTTAATTGTCAGGTGGATGAATGCCTTGGGATGTGGTGGAAGCCCGACTTTGAAACTTTACCATATCCATACATGCCACCTAATGTAAAAACACCCAAGGTTTGCAAAATTCTGCTGAAACTTTTCTCTCAGCATTTTGAATTTATGAGTCCATGACTTAATTTTTTTATGCTATCTGTTTCTATAGGAATGCACGAAACTCTTCCTTGTAAGGTTACCAATGAGCCGAAAGTTCATTGTACCGAAAAACCTTAAGCTGCTGGCAATCCCATTGTGCCAGATTCATGAAAATCACAAGGTAATTCTTCGTTAGGATTGACATATAATGATGCACTTACCTTTACATGGAGATTAAATTTGTCTGGTAGATCACCTTAACTGGTTGTAGATGGCTTTATTATGTTAAAGATTGGTTGTAAATACTCTTTCTGTGGGTTGGGTGGGTTAGAATACACCATGGATGTTTTACATGTTAGAACTCAAAAGACTTAAATTTCAAGGTAATTTTCATTTGTAATTCATTTTTGTTGTTTTATTTTGTAGACATATGGATCAATCATTTCAGGAATACCACAGCTGCTATCTAAATTCTCCTTCAACATTATCAATTCTTAAACTAGGCATGTTCATTATTGTTCAATACTACAAGGTAAGTATAGAATTAGCCATATATGCTTGTTGGAAAAGGCTTACTGTGGGGACATCTACTCTTGAGAAATCTTGAGCGACGCGTTGTATATACAATAGATTTTTATATGTAGTTAGTGTTGAGCCTTGTAATATATATGGTATATTCATTTCTGTGTGTTACCGTTTTGTGTGGATGCTTCACGGTTAAGGGAAATATTATTCAATAATAATTGTATTTACTTCTTTAGTTATAATCAAATTCTTTTATATACAATTTGAAAATGCCTTCCCTCCCTTCCCTCTCAATGTGAATATTTCGAGAATAATTCATGTTATCAAAAGATGAAAGGAGAAACACAAAAAGAGCATGCCCCTTTAATGGTGGGATGGGTTTGATCAAACATTCATGTGGAAATGGCATTGGATGTACATACATCTGCAACCTTGCCTGCCCTTTATTAGTGTTATTCTTACGCAGATTAGAGATTGTTGCCTCTATTACCATGCTGCCTCTTCATTATACCTCCTCTCTTCCCCTATCCCTAGAGTCACACATCACCATATTGTTAGTTTTTTTTTTCTGGCTAATTTTTCCTTACCAAGTATTACGTTATTGTTATAGCTAAATCCTGTCCAAGTCACTGCAGTTAAAGGAATAACAGGTACTCATAAGCTGAAGTAGAAAATAGACGGAGGGTTTCTTGATGAGAACTAAATTGGTCATCCCATTTGGTTCACAACTACTGCTAGTTTGCAACAATTGATTATCAAGTTGATCGCAGTTTGCAACAATTGATTATCAAGTTGATCACAGTTTGCCAGTACAAGAAGGGCGAATCCAAAGAAAGCCAAAGAGCTGATTGAAGGCATTGGATGTTCAGTTTGCTTGGGTGAGTTTCAACAACATGAGACTCTTAGAATCCTGCCTAAATGCAACCCCCACCTTTCACATTTCTTGTATTAATATTTGTTGTTAAGGGATCACGAGTTACATCTAAATGTCCTTTTGTGGTGTTGTGCACGTATATTTGATGACTCTATGACAATTCCATGGTTTTGAATCAAAATTTGGATAGAATTGTGAGTACCCAGATGAAGAATTCTGAAATTGAAGGTGAATCAAATAGTGTTCTAGAAAGAACAAGTCTTGTGAAAATAGAGGTGGAGAGGAGAGAGGTCAGTTGTTCTGCTGCAGGTGCTCTATAGCTGTTTTTGTGTATTAAATATTCACCTGCTGCATCTTTTCGTCTTCATTCTATTCTTTTCATAAAACCTTAGGGATAACTTCCCTCTAAACTATTTTGATCGATTTTTTTTCCTTTTTGGGACTCTCCACTACTAAAGTATCACATTTTTGAATGGGGATGTGATAAAAAGTATTAAGATCATACACAAGTGCTCGAGTTGACAAGGACCTGGGGAATGGTCCGACTCTTTCCTTTTCTTTTCTTAGTAGCATTGTAGTTTTTTATTTCTTTTTCTTTTTCAACTCTTTCCCTCTGGATTCTTCAGAACCTGTTCTTGTCGAATTTGGGAAAATCGGTAATGCTTCCACTTAAATTGTTTGGAAAAATGATACCACTTTGCAAATTGGAATTGTGAATATAATCATTAGCTTGGCAAAGACTGAGAGGTGGAAAATCCAAGACTCGGGATTATTATCACAAGAGCTGGATATTCTCGTGTGCTAGTCTTTAAGTTGCCATCATTCACTCACGCACACTACGACGCGCATGCCAAATAAGTCACCGATGATACACAATCTGGTCTTTCGAGAGGTAACGCATGAATAAAGGCGCGCAGGCGAGCAAATGGGAAAAGTAGTCTTTGACCACGCGAAAAGTCAGAAGAAGTTCTTATAAGACAGAGGACTGTTACCGTCAAAATTACAACTTGTCAATCGACGACTTTGTTCAAAGAGATTGGATAGAGAACAGAAGAACCTATCTCGACAACCACAGACATAGGGAGAACGACATGTCGTGGCTCACGCCAATCAAAAATAAATTTTTGTAGATGATCATTCATTCATTCTTAAAAAACAATAAAACAAAGACATTTTAAAAATTCTTTTATGGGTTAGTTTAACGTACAATTGGCTACCAGCTGATATGATCCAAAAATGATCGAAAATAATGCTTAAACGACAATGTAAACTATGACATTTTTGACAAAATAAGTTAGTAGTTAGTCGATATGTTTCGGATACGCGTACACTGCACCAGTGACATGGAATTTTGAGAAATGGAAAAAAGGTTTACTTGAAAAAATGGGAGAAATAAACGAAATATAGAAGTGAGTGAGAGAGAGAGAGAGAGAGAGAGAGAGAGAGGTTAGGAAAGAAATAAAAGAGCGCGAGCAAAGACAACGAAAAGTAAACGGGAAAGTTTAAGCATCTTCCTGGTTTCTGTAATGGTGACTGGTCCATGGTCTTTACCAACCAATTTTATCACGACTTAATGCTTTTTATTTAATTCGTTTGATTTTCTTCTCTAAAGACTTGCAACGACTCTGCTCAACAGCTCCTACGAACACGATCATGAAGAAGGGAAGCTTAAACCCTAATGTCAAGCTCAAGCTCTCTCTCCCTCCTCCTGCTGAGGTTTCTCTCTCTAAATTCCTGTAAGCGTGCTACTTCTCTCCTCCTTTCATTTTTTTCTCTGTTCTTCGTCCTTTTTATATGCATTTTTGGTTAATTTCTGGTGGCGGATCGGTTGCAGAACTCAAAGCGGTACGTTTATGGATGGCGATCTGCTCGTGAATCGCGATGGAGTTCGAATTGTCTCTCAAATCGAGTCCGAAGCTGTAAGATGTTTCTAAGTTGTACTTCTTTGAATTTTCTTTATCTGGATAGAGATTTAGCGTTAGATCGGTTGTTGAAGGACACTTGTAACGAGTGTTCTTATCAATTTTTTCCTTTAATTTTAGAATATTCTTTTGTCCTGATAATTTCCTCGTTAAATTCAGTTACTTATGTGAATAAATTTAGTAACTTTCAAAGTGGAGATTTTATTCGCTCGCTTTAAGTATCTTACAATAGTGTGAACGTAGTTATCGATCAGTAAATATGCGCTGCTTATGGAAAACATTTTGTTTACCGTTCTTGAAAAGACAGGATGTTGTATTGGTATATGACAGTTGCCTATTCTAAGCCTACAAAGACTTTCTAGGGATGTCTTCCAATGTTGAGACTGGAGTGAGCTCCCATATAATATAGAAGTCCTTTTACCGCTCTCCTTCCTTGGAATGACTCTACAATGCCAGCCTTCAATTGGCTTCTTTACTATCCTCAGAACATCCTCACAGATTCCTGTATAAGAGAAAATGGAAGACAGCAACTTCATAATAAGCCTGTGCTGTGACATTTACCGACAGTTATAATTTGGCTCACCAATGAAGGCTCCTATCATTAAATATAACCTTTTCTCATCATTTCATATAGAATCTGGGATGCCTCTCTAGCAAGGCATTATTGAACATAGCCATTTCAAGATGCATACACTTTCCAATAACTATATACAATGCCATCTATACCTTAGTGCAGGAAATTTCTTTTTACATATTCAACTCATATTTAGCATGGACTTAGGAACGATGAGATGTGAAAGAAGTAAGAAGGCTATATATTCTTTTTGTTGTGAAAATGAGATCATGAACTGGAAAGCAATAACTAATGTTCTGAACTTTATAAAAAGTATTTTCCTGTTCATTAGATGGATGTTCTACTTACTTTGTAATTCCTTGCTCTACAAATTTTTAGTTTCTTTTATGTGCATGCCTGTTCAGCCACCTCCTATTAAGCCAACAGACAACCAGTTGAATTTAGCAGACATAGACACCATTAAGGTCATTGGTAAGGGAAGTAGTGGAATTGTGCAACTGGTGCAACACAAATGGACAGGCCAGTTTTTTGCATTAAAGGTATGGTACATTCAGGAGCAATCTTGCTTTTCTCATCTGTTTAATCAGCTAAAATATTAATTCTCCTCTAGTTGTTATCAATATGTCTTATATAATATTAAAAAGTTTTGCCTTTCGTTATTTGCAATATTTTGTATTTTATATGTTTCATTGAGCATCCAGAATTTTGCTTAAAGCTAAGAACACATGAATTATTGCTTCATGCTATGGTTTTCTGTTTCTTTTTTTTTTGTTTGTTTGCACTGGTTTATGTGTTGGTTACTGGCTAATGAAAAAATTATTTCAGAGACTTTTAGGTATCAGGTACCCACTCTATGTAGTTAGAAACAATCCCTGCCATTCTGTCATTGTTGCAGCAGAAGTGTTTTGTGTTTGCGTTTGAGGGTTCCTCACAGTTTAATTTATATAATTGCATCTTTTTCATGCAAGATGGAATTCAAGGTTCCAAATTGAAGTGCAGAGACCTCTTTATCATGTGGATTGATTTTGTAGGCATTAGTAATACTTTATTTTGAAAATTAGACCAATTATTTCGTAGTTCCAGAAGCCCCTATTCCTATATGTTCTGATATATGGAGTGGGCTAATGGTATCAACTCTAGATGTTAGGATCTTTTGATGGCTTGTTAAATGTACCTTTTGAGATTACACTGTTGGTTTGAGGTGAAATTGGTTTACTGCATGGTTTTGCTGATCATCCTTGTTATTGTTTCTCCTGAGGAATTGCTCCAATATGGACTTGTTTATAGTCTTATTAATCATTATACTCCTTGGTCCATAATATCTGCATGCTTTGAAATTTACATGGCAGTTCATTTCCATTTGAATTTTGTCATTTTGCTTGTATTCAGGTTATACAGATGAATATTGAAGAGAATGCAAGGAAAGCTATTGCCAAGGAACTAAAAATCAATCAATCATCACAATGTCCGTATGTTGTCATGTGCTACCAATCTTTCTATGACAATGGTGCCATTTCAATTATCTTAGAGTATATGGATGGTGGATCTTTGGCAGATCTTCTGAAAAAAGTAAAGACAATTCCTGAAGCACATCTCGCTGCCATTTGTAAGCAGGTGAAATACTAAATTATACAACCAGTGAATGATATCTTTTTATTACCCAATTATTTTTCTTATTCTTTTCTAATTGGTGCAGGTACTGAAGGGTTTATTGTATCTTCATCATGAAAAACACATTATCCACAGGGACCTGAAACCTTCTAATTTATTGATAAATCATAGAGGAGAAGTCAAGATTACTGACTTTGGTGTGAGTGCAATAATGGCAAGCACCTCTGGACAGGCAAATACCTTTGTTGGTACATACAACTATATGTCTGTAAGTATTTACTTGTACATGTGGTACTGCCGATTCTTTTTTTTATCTTTTGCTAGAATTGTTCCAGTTTCTTCTTTCTACAAAAGCTCCACTATTTAAACTTGTTCATTTGTGATTGTCTTGTAGCCTGAGAGAATTAGTGGACTAAAATATGGTTACAAAAGTGACATTTGGAGCCTAGGTTTGTTATTACTGGAGTGTGCAACTGGTCAGTTCCCATATTCCCCTCCTGAGCAGGGTGAAGGTTGGACAAACGTTTATGAGCTTATGGTAGCTGTTGTTGAGCAACCACAACCTTCTGCACCTTCTGATCAGTTTTCTCCACAGTTTTGCTCATTCATATCTTCATGGTAAGAATTGAATGGTGCTTCAACTGAACATAATTCTACAACAGTTTTTCTGTCTGTAATTTTGGGAATGATTTCGTCTTTTAATATAATATAGTCAAGTTCATTCTCAAGGATATAATATCCAAAATCTGCATATTTTTTATGTTTCTTCTGATTCCAGGTATGTGTTTCTGCAGTTGAGTTGGAATAAAAGAAAATGGAAAATTGTTAAATATATGTATGGATGCATGAGGTTTTTGCATTTTGTCCTTTTTCTTTTTTGATAGAACAATATTTCTACTGTTACATGTAGTCAAACGCTTTTATGTTGAGATTTATTTGGTATTTCCCTTTTGGTGGCCTACTGTATGAATTTTGGGATAACTAATCCTCATCTGGGATTCTATTGTTTCAGTGTGCAGAAAGACCCAAAAGACAGGTTATCAGCAAATGAACTTATGGTAAGTGAAATTCGTATTTTTTCTTTTGCCGCTTCATAAAATTGGACCCTTCTAGATCTGATTTCCTTTCTCTCTCTTTTTTTTGGGTTAATCGTTTCAATGAAAATCCCAGACACATCCCTTCATGAACATGTATGACGACCAGAATGTAGATCTCTCATCTTACTTCACACAGGCAGGCTCTCCGCTTGCATCCTTTTGAAATTTCTGGTAAGTCACGATTTAATTTTTAAATCCCATCTCGAAAATATATGCACATACACGAACTTTAATACTAGTCAGATCCTTTCTGTGTCACACACCTATTTCCTTTTTGCTTTCTAAATTGGAAAAATCAGTTGCGTTTATTCTTTCTTAAGTTTGTCACTTTTGATATGCACGCAAACAGATAGAATATGAGACAGTTCAAGGAAAGATACAAGCTTGAAGTTGTGAATGTTTGATAAGATTTTAGCTGTCAGTGCAACTGAAAAATTAAACAGTGGCTGCCATTACAATGACAAATGCAAAGTTCTTGAAAGCATCAGTACTTGATATTAACATTCTAGCGCCAGGAGATTTCTTATGCAAGTAACACATACTGTTGAATGGAGTGCTTACAATTGATAGGAAAGATGTTATTAGTATTATTATTGTTTGAGGTATCAGAGGATATAGTTTGTGTGTACTTGTGAGGGATAAAAGGACCAATTTTTCTAGTTGGTTCTATTAGGGTTTGGAAATGAATCCACCCCTATTTAAAAGATCTTTAATCTTTTTTTTTTTTCTACCTTTGTTTCCACTGAATAATTTCCCAATTCTCATTACCAATTCGTACTCATTAGATTATAAAATGAAACAGAATCCGTAAGGCTAAAACTTAAAATATTACCTACAGAAATATTTATTGAGCCTGAATTGTAAAAGTGCAGATGAAATTTGCATAAACGAGACATCTAGAATAAATTGCAAATTGTATCCTCCACGAAAAGAGAGAGCTAAATAACAAGGGGATTACGTTTAGCCCAAATAAAAATTGATGGGCTAAATCATATAATGTTAATATTTGAATCTAAGGATGTCTCTCTTTTCTTTTTTCTGGCAAGTATTTCAAAGGCTTTACTGACTGATGGGGGACGAGACATATCACTAGTTACTATCAACCTTTTTCCTCTTAAACTTGCGTTGAGCCTTTAAATCCACAACAATAACAGTGACATTGTCTTTGCTTCCCTTTTGAAGAGCAAGTTTTGAGAGGTATTCTGCTGCAGCTTGAGCAGCAGGATCGACTCCGTCAGCTCTTGTTGCAGACAGGGTATCACCATTCCTTTTGTGCCAAAGAAGGATTCTTCTTCGTGCAATGTCACATACCTCTTGATTTGTCATCACATCCCACAAACCATCACTCGCTAAGATGAGGCATTCATCGTCTTTTTCTCGAGGAACAAACATCACTTCTGGATCTGGGACTATCCATGGTTTCAAATATCTGTCACCTGAATGCAACAAAAAAATATTTAAAGAGAACAAATTAATAATTTTGATAAGCCATAATAAAATACAATGTAATATAAGTATTAAGAAATGTATACCTATGGATCTTGACATTGCAAGGACACCAAAAACACGAGATCCGTTCCATTGTATGATTTTGCCTCCTGCTGCCTCTATCCTTGTATATTCGTCTTCTCTATCTGGCTGTAACCAAAATGAAGTTGATGAGGAGATTGATCTCCTTTAGAATCCTAGGTGTAATTTTCCTGGGAAAACACTGCAAAAACAAGGAAATCATGCCTTACTTTGTGATCTACTGACAACGGCATTGCCACTTTTCCGCGACACAGGACTGCTCTAGAATCACCACAATTTGCAACTATAATATACGTTGGACAAACAATGGTAACTACTGCAGTAGAGCCAACAGTTTCAGGGGCAATGGGTTCCAATTGAACCTTGGAGTCATCAGTATTACTTTCCCTAGTGCCTCTGCAAGATTCTCCTGTCTCAGCATCAACTTTCAGAAAGCAATTTGAGAAGGCTTTCTTCCATTTCTCCTGCCAACTATTCCTATTGTCTCCACCATACAAACTCTCTATCTCCTCGGCCAAAGCCAAATGCATTCGCTCGCTGCAATAATTAGCAACCTATATATATATTTGACCAAGAAGAACCTTATTATTTCATTCTGTATAATAATGAACACATAATTAAAGAGAATAAGAAGAAAAGTGGCTTTACCTGAGAGCCCCCATGTCCATCATAGACGCCATAGAAATGTGCAGTGAAGTAACTTAGTTTCTGGTTGGTGCCATTCAAAACGTGATCACATTCTTCATCCATTAGAATTTGAGTAGGAATATGCAGAAGTCGAGGCACAGCAGCAAAAGCATCTTCCATCTCCGGTCTCCTTCCACAGATAGATGTAAATCCCCAAAGTGGTGTGTTATTCGATTCAAAGATGCTGAAGCTACTTGTCATAGTGACCTTTTTTTCTTCCGGCACCTCAGGAAGTACAGCAGATAATTTTGGATGAGACCTATAGCCATCCTCACCCCTAATACCCGCTGCGACTGGAACAATATCATCCAGAGTCTCTAATTCCACATATGATTCCCTAACACAGGGTTTGGCAATCATTTCAAAGTTACCAACCATTCCTTCAATATCCATTGAATTTCTATTGGAATTAGTGTCCAAAGACAAAGGTTCCTCCCAACAGATACTACCAGTATCACTAGCCACAGATTGAGAACATATATTTTCAAGCATTTGGTCATCAACGAATGATATTAACTCATAATCCTCATTTCGCTCCCTAGAACTCACATCCTCGACTACTGAGGCACGATGATTAATTTCCCTCTCCATACTACTATTGCTGTAACCTTCATTTTTGTCGCGAACAGACTCAAAAGGCATATTTGCCTTTCTTATGGGATTTGATATCAAAATTGTTTTATCTGCAGTACGTTTAAGCCCAGAAATTTCCTTATGGGTTGGTACGGATGACTTATTGCAGATCAGTTTGTCTATGCTAAATGGAAGAGCAACTGCTGCAGATATCTCCTCTATCGAATTCATTTGACTAGCAGCAATCCTGAAAACAAGCTAAAAGCTACAACTATGCTTGCCACTTTCTTAATCTTCTAATTTGGCTGTCTCAAATGGATTTTGTTACGTAAAAGAAATACAAGAAGCCTATGCCAATAAACTGAAGAAATGCAATAAAAATTTAAAAGGGCAGTAATAGATATATATGATGGTTAAAGAATGGACTTAAATTTCCATTAGATGGGTTTCAAAGGAATCAAAAGAAACACTGAATCTAAAAGCTAGAAACAGATGGGTCTAGAACCTATTAAGCTCAGCTGGAGTATTTTCTATCTTGACACATCAACCTAAAAGAGAGAAACAGAGAACCCTCCTTTTCTACCATACAATAAATTGTTTGATCCTTTTGTGGCAATAAAGGATGGATGGAATGAGAAAATCATGAGAATTAGAAACCAAGCAAAGGAAAAGAAATAGAGTGATGAAAAAGAAAGAATTTAAACAAACAAAAAAAAAAAAAAAAAAAAAACAAAAAAAAAAAAAAAAAAAGAAAAGAAAAGACTGGAAAAACACAAAGCTAAAACCAACTTCCCCAAATCGAACGCAATCTATCACAGCCTCTTGAAATTTTTGGTTTCTGTTCTCTTCTATTAATTTGTACTTAAACCACTTTTAACTACCTCAAGTTAAAAGACAAAAACCAAAGTCACCATCTGATCTCCATAGATATAAGATATGTGTCTTTCAATATTTTCAAATATTAATCCAAATTCACTGTTTCCAAGAATTACACACAAAAACTAGTCCCCAAAACACATTCGAGAAATACTTAAAAAAAAAAAAATTATATCAGAGAGAGAGAGAGAGAGAGAGAGAGAGGAACTTCTGCAAACAAAAACAAATAGAAGTAAAGATGTGAGAGTTGCTTGCTTAATGCTTACCCTTACAAGGAACAGCATAGGAGAGAGGAAAGTTGCCAAAGAAGATCAGAGCTCAAAAAAAAAAAAAGATACACATCATGTCAAAAAGAAATATTATTGGAAAAATGGAGAAACGCACACGTGTCCACTTCGAAAAAGAAATTTTTATTTTTATTTGCCAAGTTAAACTAAATTAAACAAACGAAAACACATTCATGTGAAGCACTGTGATATACATATTATATAATTTTATAATTCAAAGGCCCTTTAATCTCACAATTCTTTTTCTTATAGTTTTATTTAAAATAACTTTTTCTAAAAGACTTTAAACTTAATTATTATCCTATCCGAAAAAAATTATTTTTTCGTCTCCTTGGAACAAGGGGAGTGAATACTCTTAATAATACTTAAAGAAAAATAACCATTCTTAATTTTGGCAAAATTACCAAATCTTGGAAGATCATAGCAAATTCGAAATGATCTTTGTGGGAAAAAAAATGAATTTGGCTCTTTATTATATTAATTGACTTAATTTTTTCAAAATTCATTGGTAAATATATTAATTATCATTGTTATTGCTATAAAAGAACAGAAAAGAAAAGCAAATAAGGTAGTGAGAATGGATAATAGAGTCTTATGGTGCGAAAATAAAGAGAAAAACGTATATACACTTGCATATGAACTCATCTCTACATCAAACCAATTGTAAATTTTAATTCAAATGATGGTAATAATTTATTCAAACGAAGGTAATTTAACCATATTGAAAAAGAAAAGACAGTAATATCTTTAAAAAAAAAAAATTTAAATTAATTTGGTGAAAGCAGACCACGTACCGAGTACAGTGAAGAAATTTCTGAAAATGAATGTGGGCATGAAAAGAAGGTCGGTTTGTCAGAGAGTAGGAGTGTGGTGACGTGTAAGAGAGATACATGCACTTTGGCATATTAACTTCACTTTGTAGTTTATGTTCTCCGTTTTAAGCCATATGATTTCGCGCCACGCTTTTTCTCTTTTCTCCGCCGTATAATAACATTAAATCTTTTCCACCATAACATAACATGCTTACCATTTGTATCTATTCCTTTTTTTTTTTTTTTTTTTTTTTTTTTCTTTTTTTTTTTTTTTTTTTTTTTTTTTTTTTAATCTTAACAATCTTGTTTCGCACCTAATGGCCCATACGTATGATTAACTGTATGCTCCACCTTTATAAAAACCGAGAGTTGAAACCCAGTTAGCACTTAGGGTTTTGTGAATTTAAGCAATTTTTTTTTTTTTTTTTTTTTTTTTAATCTTAACAATCTTGTTCGCACCTATGCCCATACGTATGATTACTGTATGCTCACCTTTATAAAAAACCGAGAGTTGAAACCCAGTTAGCACTTAGGGTTTGTGAATTTAAGCAAAAAGGCTTAAATTAGATACCCATGTTTCTTTGGATAAACATATAAAAAATTAATTAATAGCTACATTTTTTTTTTTGAAAAAGCATGGATATGCTAATTAATAGACACTTAAAATCATGTATTTTTATATAGTTTTTAACAATTTATTTTTTATATAGCATAATGTTAATCTTTTTTATCTTTGTTAATTAGATGGATAAGAGAAATTTAATTCCTTTGCTTTTAAATCACCAAATCAAATCAAAGATATTTTTGATTTGAAAATTTTAATAATTTAATTTGATTTTAATCTTTTTCAAGCCGCCACTTTAAATTTGATTTAATTATTATATTCAATTCAAATCAAATCAAATAAGACTACGATCCTAATTACTATCATGTCTCAACAAAATACTAAATTTCTTTTATTTAGTCTTTTATATTTCAGTTGAAATTAAATCGGTTAACACATAGAAACTTAGGGTATTAACAAATTAGTTACCCTCATTTAAAATCTCACCTAATATTAATACGGTAATCAAGTACCGTCTGATGAATCTTCTGACCTTCCATGAAAGATGTGAAGGAAGCCTTGTATTTTCTCTCTCTTATTCATGAACGCTTGATAACATGTTTAAATTAATAATAATTTAATTATATTCTGTAAAAAGGTAATTAAACTTGGAATTAGTATGTTTTTTTAGATAGTTGCGTGTTTTCAAGTGCCGTCTTTCTTCTTTCATAATCCTCAATCAAATCTAACTTTTCGTTTATTACAGTTATCTATCATATTACACACGACACCATAAGCACTGGTTAATGCCTTAATCTGTCTGAACAAAGAGTCAATATCCCGTAAGTGAAAATTCATTCCATGCCAATGGCAAAAACAAACAAAATAATAATAATAATAATAATAATAATAATAATAATAAATTCACGCCAATGCCGCTTCTGATTTGTTTCCTGACATCCAAATCTAACCTCGGAGATGACAGAAAGGATGGATCTGTTCCTATATCACCTTTACTAAACAAAGGAAAAATGACGTAAATAAATATTCAATACATAACTACCAAACTCTATGAGAATCAGTTTAGGGAGTTCTTTGTTTGAGCTAAATTCTGAATACTAAAAATCTAAATTAATAGCTTATTGAGTTGAGTGATTACTTGGTATCAAGACATTTTCTCTTTTCATCCAGTAAGTTATATAGCTTATTGTTTTCGCTTTTTAGACAAAAAAAAAAAAAAGAGAGAGATTGACTGACTAGACTATACCGCTGTAGAATGGTAGTATGTGAGAAGGCAAATCACTAGCAACACATTATGCAGCATAGCGTCTAGACACAAGACGTGGACTAGTGGCGTATGACACCCTAACCCATAAGTACCCTTCTCTTAAGTTCTGTCAATAACAACATACAATGAATTTACAACTTAAATAGGAAATAAAACGACCTATATTTTTAAAGCAAATATTTGACAAGAAAAACTAGGAATTATATCTGACATAAATATAAAGTTGACAAAACATTAAATCATAAATTCACAACAAAAATAAGGAATAAAATCACAATTCCAAGTTCCAAAGCAAATATTTGATGTAAACTGAAGTGGTTATGAACTTGTATGCATCATCAAAATGTTAAAAGTCTTTACCAGAGAATAAGTGGAGATAGGCAAAGGAGATTGTGCATTGATTTAAAAGTTGTGCATCTACTATTTTAAGATCAGGAGGCACTTGTGGTTATGGACGAAGAATGTAGGTTATATTTTCCACTGGAACATTAATTAACTAAAGACTAAGAGAGTGCTAAATGAGTTCCGATCAATCACTTACAACTTAAAAGCAAGTTAAATGAGCTACTTCCCCACAAGGTCAAATTTTGAGGACTGAGCAGAGCTTCGTGCGTGTACAATGAGCCACAATCTTGCAACATGGACAGGTGCAGAACTTTTCCTGCAAAACAGTTACGAAACACTTCAATGCTTCAGAAGAGGGAAGATATCCGTGAGAACCAACAGCTGCTCAACCAGCAAGGGATAATAGATTTACCTCCAATATTTAAAATAGGTGCAAATTAATTAGGTCACAGAAGATGACTTGCTGGCAATTTTCATTTCAGGTATGTATGCATCCTGCAAAAAGGGATACCGATAACTCCAAACAATATGTCCTGCAAATATTGCCTGTATCAGGTTTGCAACAGAAAGCATATAGAAGATATGATTATTTCTGCTTTAGATAGTTGAAGAGTTATTTTATGAACAGTAAAAAAATTATCCCAATATTATTCTTAATTAGAGAGGCATATGGGAACTCCTGTTATTTGACATAATCTTATATCCATAAAGACATTGAGTATACCACCAAATATCACAACTCACAACTGAAATCTGCAGTACTGTTAAATAACAAGGCTCACAACAATTGCAATCTCCAGTAATAACTTCTAAAAAGAGGGGAAGAACAAAAATGGATGGGAAAAATCTTACCTTAAATGGGCATAGTATATTCAGGTAACCAGAACCTCTAGGGCAGCAAAAGGTGAAAAAAGCACATTATACCAAGTAATTATGAATACCTTGCTCTTTAGGCATGAGATGGTCTCAATGAACTACATCAAGAACAAGTAACTGCATTAAAAAGAAAATCAGTTCTACCATAGGATACCTGAAATTTAAAAATTAAATTAAAAAGAAAAAGGCAAAAAGCAACACCTGTAGGTCAGGAAGAGAGAAATTACACTGAATGGAAAGCGGATTTTATTAGAAATATAAAATGTATGTACAAGAGGCATTGTTCTCTGATTTGTAAAAGCTACATGGCAGGATACAGTGTTTGCTGGGATGTAAATGCTACGACATACTAACTTGTGACATGCTAAATTGTACCTTGAACAAAAGATCTTTACAGTCGAAGTTACCAACTTAACACGGGAACAAAATCCAAAGCATTCGAAAGGTTCACTTAAAAATCTTGTGAAGTCTACCAAAGAATCTATATAACCTAATTGTGGACCGTGGCCAAATGACCGTCCATGTAACTGGTCATTTTTTGACAACAGTGATTATGTTTCTTTGTCAATAGTATAATGAACAAGACTATACAGAGAAAGATTTCAAACTATCATATTTAAGTCTGAAAGGTCATCCATTGGAATTTCAAGGCCCATGAAGTCATCATGGTCTTGTAATCCATCATCATCAATGTTTAACCATGAACCCAGATCCTGCCCCTGGCCATCATCCAATCCTGGTAGCTGCAGGCTGGACAAATCAATAGCCTCAGGATCATCCAAAACATCCAAGCCAAAACCATCCTTTTCCTTGCCATTGTTACTAATAGTGATTTCACCCGACTTTGCCTCTGAAGGTAATGTCAATTTAGGTTGCTCGGGTTTCTTGCCAAGAAGGCCATTTACAGAAACAGATAATTGAGTTTTCTGCTTGGGCTTTGTTTTAGATTTCCTTTCTCCCTTAACATTAGATAATGTTGGACGACCAATTTTATTAGTTCCATTTCTTGATAAAACCTCTCTGTTGTGCCCCTTTCCCTCCCTATCTCTCTCACTCCTCTTTCCTTTTGTGCTGCTTGATAGAGACCCTCCAATTCCTAAGGGGCCACTAGAAGTAGAACCACCAACATCATCAAGCAACAATTCCCTCTTCTTCACCCTGTTTGACCAGGTGTCTTCTTTTCCAGTAGACTGTTCAGCTGAGCGATTTGCTGGTGGAAGCAAATCAGGATTAGCAACATAGCCATCCCCATTCTGACTCAACCGAGAAGTTCGAGGACTTGGCTGTGGACCCATAGAAGCTGTAGAAAAGAAAATAAGAATCCAAATTCTGCCGCATGACAAAGAAATAAAGATAGAACTAGAAAAAGAGGAGACATTGTAAACTACCAAATCCCTTCAAGAAGGGATTTAAATGACGCATGTCACATATGAACGAATACGAAAGCAAATTCCATAGGTACCAGGTAAAATACCTGAAACTCTATTTTCTAGGGAGCGGCTTGAGGTATTAGCATACAGTTTCCCAGATTCCTCATTCACAGGAGTGCCCACTGATCTTGCACCTTTCAGGTGGGAAGACCTAGAAAGAAATATATCCCTAAACAAGGGTTCACTGAAGCAGCTTTTGCCTGCATCTTCAAATTTAGTGCACCTGTCTAATGTTCGTTTCACAAAAGCTAAGGCAGCTTGCTTCGCCATTTTGTTACTGGAACTCTTCCCACCAGTGGCACTAGGACCCCAACAAGCCTGCAAAAAAAAGAGGTATGGGTTAATGATAAAAAATTAAGGAAAGAAAGTTCTCACTGTTGCCCTAGGTGAAATATTTGTAATGCAAGTATTGAAGAAGTGAACATTACGAAAAAAAAAACAAGTGAAACTATTTACATGTGCAAGTACCCCAATGCAAAAGCTACTCAGGGAGATGTGGCATCAACCAACCCACTCCCCACTTCCACTTCCCCTTCTCTAAATATAATATTGAAACAGAAATTTTCTGCCATGGTGAAGTTTCAGGGTCCAAAGCTGCATCAATTAACCAGCATGGCAGAATTAAGGATTTTGGAACTGAATGTCCTTTACACAGTCCTATTTCACTTATTTATCTTGTCTCTGGTCCTAGTGACCAGAGGAACAGAAGCTAGATTCACCTTTTCAGACTCCAAAGCAGCAACAAAGGAATTAGAAATAAGCACCAAATCAAATGTATAGTATAGAAGAAAAAGAAACTTGAAGAATTTGGTGCCTCTTATCCATTCATGTTATTTCCATTCTTTCTCTTAATCTATAATAGCAAATCCTAAATCAGTTCTTCCAAGATGAATTTAAACAAATTATACAAGCCTTTGTTCCTAGTTTTAGCAGGCTAACCTACATTACACCTCCGCATTTTGCAAGATGAGTAATTTTGACAATTATTCATGCTAAACCTGAACAAAGATAGATGAAAGAACAAAGGAAAGTGAAAAGGCATTAAAAGGAAAGAAAAATACCATATACTTTTCATAAGCCATCGTGAGAAGCTTGTCATGAGCAAGTTGTTCAAATTCCCTTTACAAACATACAGCACAGTGAGTGCACAATAAGGTAAAATATTTTAAAATGCCAAGGCATGAAACTTATCCCAAGAAAATGAACAAATTCCTTACTTGTCCTGAAGTTCTTTCGTTTCTGAGGCAGATTTCAACAGTTTATCTAGCAAACCTTTCTTCTTTGAAACCTGTTGTAAAACAAAGCAAACTATGAGATGACCTCTTTAAGAAGAATGGCTCTGTTGCAACACGACAAGTTCAACTGAAATATATTGCAACCGAAGCAAAATTTTGAGTTTTTTAACTTCCTACTACTTGGACAAAAGTTCATAAATATTAACATTCCCTACAAAGTCCATAACCATCCTAACAATTTGGAAAGGAGGGACAAAAAAGCAGTTAATAAAGAAAGGATAGCAAGTTATGCAAGAAGGCCTTCACTATACAAACAACAATACCTGTTCACGGTGCTTCTCCGATAACTTGACGATCTCCCCACTGATTCCTTCATCCTCCAACTGCATATCAGGCTGAGCAAAGAAGAATATGCAATAAGAAAATTAAACTAATAGACTTTACTGCCAAGGCTGCAGCAGCATTGCATAAAAATCGAAGCATTGCTCCTATGAAAAGCAACCAAGAAACCACTTCTTATACAACAAACAACAATTACCCTGTGTCCGTGCTTCTCCGTATAACTTGAAACGATCTCCCCACTGATTTCCTTCATGCCTCCAACTGCAAATATCAGGCTGAGCAAAGAAGAATATGCAAATAGAAAATTAAACTAATAGACTTTACTGTCAAGGCTGCAGCAGATTGCATAAAAAATCGAAGCATTGCTCCTATAGAAAAAGCAAAACGCAAGAAACCACTTCTTATACCAACAAACCCCCCCCCCCCCCCCAAAAAAAATAAAAAAAAAAAAAAAAAAAAAAAAAAAAAAAACAAAGGAAAAGGGGAAGCTTGGCAACCCAAACATTAGAAATGAAATGCTGCTAATATAGAAATATTAAGGTTTTGACTGTTCTCATGTTCCACATACTCAAACAAAAATAAAGAAATAGTCTGGAATAGAAGAAAAACGTATGACTATTATCAATGTTCCATCTGAAAAGAAATAGTCTGGAACAAAAGAAAAATGTATTGACTATTATAAAAGTTCCACATAAAAAGAAACCTACCATTGGTTCTGGAAAAATTCCAATGCTTTGAACCTCCAGATAAATATTATCATTTATCAGCACATCATCATAGTGAAATCCTGAAAAGGCCAGGCCAGGAACCAATTCCTGGTCAGAAATAACACCATTTATAGAAGGATTGAAGTTTGAATATATGGCCATGCTAGGAATGCACAAAGCATCAATCTCTGCCTCATCGTGTTTTGTCTTCCCTGTCACTTTGTAACCATTAAATATAGAATGTCCATCAAACTTTAAGTTTTCTACATGACTCAAACCATTTGATCCTGACTCTCCATCCATCTCAAATTCAGTTTTATATGTATCAAATTCCAGGTCCGTATTTCCATGTGTACAATCTTCCTCCGAAATTATTGCTGCAATGAGTCTTTGGCAAAGGGGAATATCTCTTCCTCCAGGCACTAACTGTTCAGACAGCCTTGTTTCAGTAGAAAGCCCCACTTTTCCCCCATTTCCAATCATACCATATCCATTAGGGAGTGTATTCAAGTAATTTACATCAGATGAAACCTGAGTTGGTGATGGCAGAGTAGATTCAATATTTCCCTGGGAAAGAAAAGAAGCAAAAATGGTTTTGAGAATAAACATAGCTCACAGCCATTATAAACTTTTATTAGGAAAATTAGAGGCTACCCAGGTCCCAAATTTATTAAAAAAAAAAAAAAAAAAAAAAAAAAAAAAAAAAAAAAAAAAAGAAAAAAGAAAATTTTGTCCTAACACAATTATAACAGTATTCAAAGAATAAAAAAAAAAAAAAAAAAGAAAAAGAAAATTTGCCTATACCACAATTATAACAGTACTCAAAGAAGTGCTGCTTCTACTCTAAATGGCATGGAGAACTCATTTGTGGACAGAAGATAAATAACATAATAAAACTGTGACGTACGCTCATGATGCATCAAAGAAATGGTACAAGGGGAACTGGACTTAAGATTGAGAACTAGCATATTGACAACCACCAACTATACATGTAATGTTTATAGTTGGTTGGAGAAAAAATAAGCAAGGAATACCACCTTTCATTCACTAAAAGGCAGGAGGAAGAACTATATAGTAGAAAACAGAGATCAACAACACTACCTTTAAGACATTGACAAGATAAAAGTAGACCTCAAACAAACTAAGTAATAAAAATCGATTCAGATTTGCAACTGCACTAACCTGACATACTGTTACATGCTACTACCTAATGGATAGGCATTGTTACATGTATACTAACTATTAGGTGTACTATACATGATTTCTTTCCTAAATTAATTTTGATACAGCTACAAATGGAAAAACTAAATGAATTATATACCAACATTGTTGGGAAAATACTTCTACAATAAACAACCACTTAAACATTGTGCCAAATTGGGCAGCCCAGTGATTTGTGCTTGGGACTTTCAACTTGGAGGTCTCAAGTTAAAACCCCCTATTGCATAATGGATAGCCCAAACTTTACATATATATAATTGTTGTTTCCATGTAAGGAAATTTGTGCAATCAAATGTAATTGCAACTTGGGACACCTGTGATGATTTGAGGCTACTTTCCTATGCTTTCAGGTAATAGGTCTAATCCCATTCCTTTCAGGTAACAGTACATGCAGCCCAAAAATTAGGCCATTATATTTTTTTTATACATAACCACACGCATACGTAGCTCTAGGGTGACATAGGTAAACCAGTTAAAAAGGCTTAGCAGCTCCAGACCTTTCAACAGATGTAGCCTAAGTGGATGGAATGGAGGAAATACTTCATACAGCAAACCCACCTGGATACTGTTGAAGCTGAGTTGAGTTAAATGTGTGTTCATGTGTAATGTTTTTAGTTGATGGCTTTACTATGCAACAGAGGTATGTATAGAACATCTAAAGCAATAACTTCAAGAAATAATAATAAAAAAAAAAAGATTTCAAATTGTTAAAAATAGACGTTGAAACTTTCAAGAAGCTAAAGTGTAAATGCTAGAAACCAGAGAGACATCAGAGACAAATGGGATTTCATTCTTAGCTGCATGCATAACTCCTTTACATTATGATGTTAACAATACCGTGAATTTAGATCATGCTCACCTACTATGTAGAACAACAGCAAACAACTAAACTGTAAAAAAAAAAAGATTGCTTTACCTGATTCTTCAACTGAGTAATGTCTGCATCAGATATAAAACCAAAGAATGTTTCCATTTGGCTCCAAAATGAGTTGGAAAATGCATGAGCTGCAGGCACAGTCAAATTGATTAACAAAGAAATGAATTTCAGCAACAAAACAAACAAACAAAATTTTCAGTGACAGATAGTACCAGGGTTAATCACTGCACTTGCAGCAGCCAATAGCTCTTCATGCCCATCATCTGAACCGACTAAAACAATCAAGCCCAAAATGAATATAGTCTATAAAGGATAATCACAAATTTTGTTATTCAGAAACTTTTCCAAGAGACTTCGAAGTAAAATTACCAAGAAAATCTGCTGTTGCATTGACTGTTGTATGCTTTTGACGTGGATATGCCTTTCGGTCAGAAAGTTTTCTAGTCGGTGGACGACCAGCCTTGCTGCATTAAATATTTAGGTAAAAGTGAGATCTCAAACTGAGTGATTAAACATATCTAGAATGCAAAAGAGGAAATACATTTGCAAAGAACTAAAAATATGTATTTAACCTTTCATTTTTATCAAAACCAAGTCTGGCACTTCTAAGCTGTTTTGCTGTTCCCATATTGCCAACCTTCTCAACCGACATTGGCATAAAAGTCCTAGAGGTGAAACCCCGTCCGGTCCTCCCTTGCCTCCGTATTCCATCTCCAAGGTCTTCCCCAGTGATAAGCTTATTTTTTCTTGACGAAAGGCCCAGAGTTGAAACCTTCTGAACATTTTGTCCAACTTTCTCATCAATCTCATCAGATCTTTTAGCCTTGTCCTTAGATTTAATCTCAGGAGCTCCTGATTCCTCACTTTCAGATAACACAGCTGAAGATAAAGGTTCGTTTCTCAATTTAACTTGCTGGGGAGAATTTCCACTCAAACGCTTGGAAAATCCCAATCCAAGTTCATTACCTGAAACATCAGATACAGTATCCAAAGCAGGACTTTCATCATTATTTGAAACAATTGGAATCAAATTTGTTCTTCTAGCAGTACGGGAAATCTTCTGTGGCCTCTGGCCTGCCCAATGAGCAACAGGTGGAGATGAAGACCGAGCTGAAGCTGAGCGCTTACGATTGGTAACGCCAGCTGTGGGTGGCTTGCTTGTGCAATGAGAAAGCTCCCACTCATTTGGAGCGGTTCCTCTATGGACAACTGGTGACAACTTTGGGGCAATGCCCGAACCCGATCGTGGAGCTCGGATAGATGCATTCATTTTTGTGCTTGAAGTTGGACTTGCTGAATTAAAATCATCACGAAGGTTTGCTCTGAGACATTACAGGGAACAAAAGAATGTAACTAAATACACCATCTAGTATAAACATATTAAAAGAACAACAGAAGAGACTAAATACACCAAAATACCCCCAGCCTTCTCTTGAAATGAAAATGAAAAGTCAAGAAACAAAATCGTCCAAAGAATAATGAAAAATAGTAAGTAATATTTAAGTCTACTTACAACCCAAAAAAAAAAAAAGCTTCAATTCTAGCATTTTTTTGTAATTCCAGTCTGAACTTTTAATTTCGGCAATTTCAACAGCACCTTTGAATTTTTGTAGAGTCTATCAAGGGTAAAATTTCAAGTGCAATTATGCTTGAATTTGCTGACCAGGCAGGTTTCAATCTATTTCTTTTTTTAGACATTATGTGAAAAAATTAATAATGGAATATTTTATTTCAAGAAAGCACAAACTTGGACTTGTTAACATAAATTGACAAAAAGTAACAAATTTAGGTCTGCCACATCAGCAAAAGCGCTAATATTGATGCCTTTTTTGTAATTAAGTCTATTGTTTAATAGAAGAATAATGGCCTTAAAACTGGAATAACAAAAAAAAAAAAAAAAAAAAAAAAAAAAAAAAAAAAAAAAAACTGGAATAAACAAAAAAAAAAAAAATAAAAAAAAAAAAAAACAGTAATGGCTTTATGACGGTTGACAAAAAAAAAAAAAAAAAAAAAAAAAAAAAAAAAAAAAAAAACAGTAATGGCTTTATGACGGTGACAATAATAAACATGTGATAAATAAATGTCTTAGAGAAATTATACATACTTATTAGCAGCTCTGAGATTAACTCTTTCCTTATCAGAACCAATAGAACGTTCTCTTCTGTCATTGAGTAGAGAATTGTTGTCAAGATCAGCCCTAGGGATGGATGACCGCATACTCAAGCCTGATGACTGTGAGATACCATCTGATTTTCCAATTGCCACACTGCCATTCGCAGCTCCTGGCCTATAGCAAGACAGAAAACATTGCCTCATAAGCTGGAGATCATAACAGGCAAAAAGATAAACAAAAGAACATAATCAAGAGATTCTCTTCAGAGTTCAAGTTGGCAGATTGATAAACCAGAAAGATCTAATAAATAAATGCCCCACAACCAGGCTTAGTTTGATCAATTGTCTGAAAAGAAGCCCTTTGCACTTTATATCAAAAGTGAAAAGCTTCAATGAGAATTCTTTTCCTCATGCAAAGTCAGATAGGAAGTTTAGATGCTGCTTGATAACTCTTTTAGTACTTTACAGAAATAGAAAGGTCAACCTTAACAAGAAAAAGATTTAACTACTTCATCGAAGAAAAGATGCAACACTAATAACTACAGAAAAAGTGTTAACCAAAAGAAATAAACTTATTGTGTACATTAAGAGTGGTTAATTAAGCCAAGGGCACAAATGGTGATAACAGGCAACAGGAGGAAAAATAGCACTTCAAGGAGGCACACCTGAACCCATGAGAGTCGCTATTTAACCTAGATCGAGCATCAGTAGCAGGTCTTTGCTGCATTCCCTGTTTGGACTCCCGATAGCCATCCGTGTGTTTAGTTGATACCAAGCTTGGAGAAACATCTGGCTTTATCCCAGAACGCTTCTTCTTCATCTTTGTCTTTTCCCAACCTTCAACACCAATTGATAAAGTTCGATCATCGCCCTGAACTGCACCACTATTTGCCAGCCTTAGCATTTCCCTATCTCTATCTATTGTACCAGATGGCCTGACAAGAGCATTGCCCTGCACATACACATAGATTTTTGTAAGAGTTCTATTCAAAATTTTTTTTCAAGGAAGTAAAGATGCAGAATCATGTATGTTCCTTAGCAAATAAACGTCCACCACAGAAGATGCTAACACATTATTTTATGCATTGTAGAGCAAAATGCCACTTAATCTAATGTTCAATAGAACTGTAAACAATTGGAGGATTCAAAATCAATGACATTTGAAAAATGAAAATTAGCTAAAACTGGCTATCCATGTTACATTGTGAAAAATATGAAAAGAGAGACACCAACCAAAACAATAAAATATTTCAGCATGTTAAAAAAAAATTAGTAGAGAAGATAAAATAGTTGCACTTCTAAAACCATAAACCAATTTGACAAATTCAATACGAGTTAATGAAATGAGTTCCTAAAAGATACAGAAAACCAATATCAGCAAAATATAAGGAGCAGCAAGTACAGGTAGAGTGGACAAGTTACAGACCCTCACATCCACCAAAGAAGTTCGTGTCCGCTTGTTTGGAACAACACTTTTGGTTCTCTCCTCCGATTTTTGCTGTTCAAGTTCAAAACCACCTGTAACAGTGTGATTATGAATTCCCATCTTACCAAGGCTTGGTCCCGGAACTGATCGGTCACTTGATAACAATGCATTTGGCCGATCACTAGAAAAGCCTTCTGCTCTAGATCTTTTCTTTGATGGAATGCTTGGGAAAAACTTGTTGAATACGGATAAGGCTTCATTGAAAATTTTTGTGCGTTCCCTGTTAATTGATGAAATTTAATAACCATTTGCAGCTACAACAAGAAGTAATGTATTCAAAGAACTACCTGGCCTTGACATTATTTTCACGCAAAAAAAGTTTGAATCGCTTGATTTCCTCAGGTGCAGGTGCTTTGCTTTTTGAAGGACCGGATGGAGAATCATCCATTGAAATGCCAAGTGCAACATTCAAGTGTCGCTTAAAGTCTCCGTGACGATTAGACTTATGGTCAGCAGCCACCACCTTTGGATCAAAACGCAAACATTGAAAGAAATTCACAATATCTCCCTGTGATACTACAGAACTGCTTCGTGTCATGTTTGGGAGAGAAGATAGGATTGGGTTCTCCATGCTCTCACGAAAACTACCTGATCTGTCTAACTGAGCAGTTAAGTGGGATCCACCACGCTGCCCGCCAGTGTACAGTGGCCTATCTGGGCTATCAGCAGACAGATCAAACTTACTAGATGTTGCCATTGCATTGGTTTCCTCACATCCTCTATATTACAAACCCAATAAATACAATAATGCATGACACAATTATAGTACCACACATAAAGCCCGTTTGAGCTTTTGTCGGAGGGCAATGCACCTGAAACAAAGAAAACCTATGGATGAGAGCCAAACAAATTTCAACTACTGCAAGATTATAGACTTTCACATATTTCTCAACTCTTCATCTTTTTGATACTCAATACTGAAGATGGTAATATGATCAATGATGAGGAATTGTAGTTAGGTTTAACCAGCAACAGTTTAATTTCACAAATTTAAGAGCTCTAAGCTAAGCTAAGATTGATAAACACAAACTCCTAAGATAATTGATAGCATTAACTTTTTTTCTCAAAGTTGAAAGACATACAGATCTACAATTATGGAATTTTCCATATAAAAATTACAAAAATTGATAAACACAGAAGAATAAGGAAATATTAAGAAATTGCAAGAAATCTCAAAAGTCACAAGCAACACGACCAGCCTCACAGAATTTAGTAGAAAACAAGCTTTACACAGATAAAATTCACCATATAATTATACCTAGAATGTAACCAACACCCAAAAACATAATTTGGCATAATAAAAGAAGCCTTCACTCAACAACCTATTATCATTTGCGTACTCCTACTACCTTTTTGCCATTTACACCTGTAGCCCCACTTTGTCAAGTAAAAATCATAGGCCATCACACTTCACACCGCCTCAACTAACATTCATTTGATTTTCTTCTTTCCCTTGTAATGGCTTCGCAATTAATTGTAAGTCCTACTCATAAATCTTCATGAAGCACATCTAGACTTTGTTCAACAAGTTTCAAATATCATCTTTTCAGTTGACAAGAGCTACAGCTTCTCATAGTAACCTTTCCTTATATAATTTATGCTGTAGCCATAACTTCATCTAAACACCATCTCCTAATACACCATGTTTTTAATAAAAGATTCCATTTCCTTTCTCATATGAAGTTGACTATAGCATTTAATTACCTAAATATAGGAAATAAATTCAAATTTGTTATAATATTTATTCTCAACTCAGACAAGCATGTTCTTGGGATTGTGATTGCGAGTCCTAAATGACACTTTACCAAAGTGCAGGCTTTGGGCACACCATTTCTCCACTTGAAACACAAATCAAAATCCTAAAATGTGACCTAAGCCTAAACCCAAAGTTGTTTGGGTTGAAAAAGTTCTAAGATTCATCATGACAATAATTCAAGCATCAGTAAATAAATCTCACTTCAAACTCCTTGACGGTCCTACGCTTTATCTTCAACTAATCGCTGGCATCCTAATTCTAATCAAGTCATTGCATGATTGGTATATGCACCTAGGTAAGCTGCTTCATAAGGTTACAACCATATCTCCTGATGCAGTAAAAATTTTCAGGTGCTAAAAATAAATCAAGCACATAATGCATACTATTGAACTGAATCGGTTGTAACATGTTCCAAAACAGGCAAGTGTATAATTTGTAGTAATACTTAAAATGAGATTTAAGATAACTCAGATCCAACAAAATTACATTCAGATACAAGGGACTTGAGCATTGCATTAATAAAAAATATGGCAGCACCTGCATTCCAAGTATGAACTGTCTTGCAATGACAAGGGATTTCTAAATTCAGTAAAAGGCATTGACAGATCACAAAAATATAATAACTACATGTTGCATCCACACTACAAATCAACCACGGTCCAAAAACCAGTAGCAAACCTCAGCTCATTAATTACTCACTTGTGCCAACAATAGCAAAGGCAATAGAAAAAAAATGTCATATTTCATGGCATATATCCAATCAATGACACCCAAACGTCTATGCAGCTAAAAGAAGTTAGATTATAATCCTCGCTTAATCTGCTCCATAAACAAAATGATCACCATTAGCACCAGTAGTTGTAACCTGGACGCAACTAGTTGGTGAGTGAGATTGCTGTTTTACAATATACTAATTGCCATTCAACTTCTCTTAAATTCAATCTCTCCATTAAATTGCACTCAATTACAACAAAACAAAATAGTCCTCTGGTCCCTTTTTTCTTTCTCCTTCTCCCATTTCTAATTACCTATATTTCTCCATTCCTGAGTACATTTCCTTACCAGAAAACGACCTTCAAATCACATTAGCCGCTTCATTGCAAAAACTTCTGCTAGCACAAGTTCAGAGATACTGTTCATTCTAGTACTTATTTAATTTATCATCCAATCTCAACTTCATTCAACAAAACATTACATAAAACAAACAAGCAAAAATAAATCAACAATAAAATAAATGAACACCTAAAAAATTGAATCAGCATAAAACCTCGATAATGGAAGCAGAATCCATCTTGAATCACCAGGAAAAAATTAAAAAACACATAAAAACAAACCCTAGCACTTGAATCAAATGTGAATTTGAAAAAAAAAAATTAAATTGGAAGCGAATTATACCTTGAATAGTTAAAATAATGCTAAATAGTGAGCGAGAAGTAAAGATTGAGTGATTCGTAGATTGGAAATTAACAATCGTGATGAGGAAGAGTTAGAGCTCCAAATCGAAGGTTCGTACAAAGCCATGGAGGACGGGGCGCCCTGAGTTTTGATCGGCAATGGAAATTGGCCTTCGTTAATTTACTGTTATGTCCATGTTTTGGGATCGTCAAAAAATGGGAAATGAGAAGTAGAGAGAAGGGTGTTTCCGGAATAAAAGTGTTGAGCCGGCTCGTACACAGCTTCAAGTAAGGCTATGAAATATGTTTGGATTGTGTTATACTGTTATGCAATGAAATGTCCTTTCTATCAAATAACCAAAACGAATTTTCAGTTATAAGTAGTTTTGAGTTCCAAACTGTCTTCGAAATAATATATAACCACATTTTAGACGACATTTATTATTTTTTTTTTTATTAGACTAATCTCCTCTCAGATTTCGTAACTGTTCCTTTTTTTCATCCATAAATTAATTTTTGCCCATAAGAATTTCCTATTGATCGAATGTCTCACTTAATTTTTTTTTTTTTTTCTAATTGTGAGTTGTTTTTTTATTTAATAGTAAAACGAAATTGTAAATTAACTTTTCATATGATTTTCCGGTTTGGTTAATAATATAGAATGTCAATGTTTGGTTATTTATTGAGTCAACGTTTAGAGTTACGGTGAAAGGAAATTAGACCTTATTGTTCTGTGGTTTACTCTTGCAATTGAACAAGAATGAAATGAAATATTAATAATAAGTTGCATATTGTGGCATAATTTGAATTAATTTGTTTAAGTAATCTTAATCTATATTTAAATTATGTACATCTCGTGTTTATGTTCCTTGCAGTTTTTAAATGAATAACTCTTATGAATCAATATAAACAAAAACAATAGCCTGAAGTTGAAGCCATACCCGACAAAACAAATCTTATTTAATTTTCTGGATCTAATAATATTTTGTTTGGTATCTAATTATGTTAATGTCTTTATTTAAAAAATGAAGTTATTATCATCTGTTGAATGATAAATTAAGCTGTCAAATTATTAAATCCGATCTGGATATTGATCCTACTAAAGAATTAGACAAATGGAATATTGATTTAATCGGTGGATCAATAATTCGATTAGTAAGTTATCAAAATATTAATGATATATATTTCATTAAATAATTATAATAAAATAAAAAATAATTAAAAGTATAAAAAATCATTCCTGATCAACCAGGTATATATAGATTGATCGGTTCAATTATGGGTCAATCGGTTCATTTATGGGTCAGCCAGTTCAGTCTAATTCTCTATATTAAATGGTTCGAAAGTAAAAACGATCCAATTTCGAGATAAGTTCACCGTTTTTGCAGATCAACCCGCCAAGTCGGATTGAGTTTAATACCTATGTGTTGAAGTGTGTCGGTGTAGTAGAAACAATGTTATAGATAATAAAATAATTATTAAATGTTATACATAGATGGAAGGAAGAAAAGTTTAAGGTAGTATAACCTGAAAAAACAAAAGGGAAAAACATAGGAACATCCCAAAACTAAAAGAGCAAAATAATCAATTTAGGTAATAAAATCAATAGAAGAGCACAGTAATGTTTGGTTGGCTTGAGTTTAAGGAGTTAGCTCAGTAATTGCTATAAGCAAGATTCCTGAGCCAATTATCCAAAGAGAAGAAAAATAAAAATGGATTCCTTGTTTAATTGGTGCAGTTAAGATTCCTTCACCAAAGTTGGGAATAAGCTTTGTGATACTTCATCCACAGAAGCATCTTGTTAAGCCCAAAATTGCACACACAGAATTAGACTAGAATAAAATATAAATCAGGGAAACATTGAGCTTCTTGTTCCCAGGAAAACAAATAACCTCTTCTTTCTTTCTTTCTTTCTTTCCATTCTATTTGTAGTTCCGTTGTGGATCAGTTAGGACAAACAAACAAGCTGAGCTATTAAGCTTGTCTGAAGCTCGGATTAGCAACCAGCTTTCCCTTTTGAGCTGTAATATTGCCACTTGCGAGTATGGAATTATTCAGACTTAAAGCAGCCGAATTTATAACAGGAGGCCATCCATATGTAGGCAGTAGGCCCATTTATAATGCGAAAACGACTCTTGCCATAGTATAATAACCTGAAATGTCTAGAAAACAAAGTGCTGCTGCAAAGTTTTCTTATCTGCTGGGTTTAAGGTTATCCAATTTGAGATGTGAATATACCTCTGTAAGAACATTGACTGAATTTAACAACAAAAGCTTTTTCCTCATTTTTCCGAAATTTTATTCTTCAAAGAAAGAGAGAAAAATTGGAGAATAATAGATGTTACGTTTCCTGTTTCATTCACAAAAGCAAAGGCATTTCAGAGTACAGCAGCAGCCTGCGCAGCATTTTGCAACTTCCTATACTGTCCAAAAAGGGAGGGGTGGAAATGGAAAGAGAAAAGGGCCTACCTACCACAAGAGAAGGCATATTTAGTCTGCCAACCTGGGCAGTCAGGGACCTCTGGATGAGCTTGGTGATTTTTATTTTTATATACAGAATTGTAACCATAAATAATTTTTACTTGGCGAACCCAACAGGAAATATGCTTACCTGAGGTTCCTCCAACAGCACTGTACATAGTTTTACAAAATATGCAGCTAGCTTCAATTATGATGCAGATTAGGGATAAACCTGTCTGGGGAAAAAAAAGCATTTATACCCTTCAACTTCACAAGAGAGGCCCTTCATCTGTTCCGCCAGATAGTTTAAACGATGAGAATTCAATTGAAGCAAGCTTCTGAAGTTCTGCTTCATCAGGCAAGTCTTTAGAATAGTAGTCCACAGCAGAATCACCTAAAATGAATGTATGAATGTTGTTATGGTTTGTCCAAGTATTAATTATTACTAATCCACAGAAAAAGTAACCATTTAATATTGTGTATGGATTTCATTACTGAGAAAAGAGTCAGTTGATGACCGTGATGAGCTTCTCTTTAAATCTGCAAAAGTTGGAAAAAAATTAAGAAAATTGTTGCTTGCATCGCATGAAAGGAAATGCAGAAGGCAAGGCCATCAGAACTACAAGCAAAAACTAATTGCAAGTGCAATAATCTTCTGTCGTCACACTGAAGTTAAAATCTTTAGGAATCATAGAACTAATTAGAGCATCCAAATCCCATCTAAAAGAAGCCAAAATGTGGTTCATTACAACCTTCCAATGCAAATCAAATAAACAATAGATATTGCTAAAATTAGAGTTGAGAAAAACCAATTCTCATACCAAAAGAATGACGTAACCCTTTGATTGCATCAAAGTTCCTGTACGTGTAGCCAACAAAACTAAGATCTTGAGGAGATAACAGCGTCTGTTAAGAAAGTAGCAGAAAATGAATAAGATATGAAGTCACAGTATATTAAATAAGCAAACATTAAGGATCCTGACACTTTATAATTTGCATGTGAAAATAAAGCATAACATAAGAGAGATTATAACTCTGGAGGGATGTATAGGATTTTAATAGATTCAAATGAGTACAAAAATAGAATAACATGACAAAAGGAAAAGTTTAGGAATTGATTGAGATGGCTTCCACTATTACACCCCCAATCTCTCCGTGTATGTGTTTGGATTGGTGGGGGGGAGGGGGGAGGGGAGGGAGAGAAAGGCATAGTAGCCATATCTAGAAGAGATGATGGTCTGCAAAAATCAACAAGCTGGCACTATTATATAACGGCTTAGTTTCATCCTATCCGCTATTTGATTGATCTTTCTAGATTCTATCATACATGCTTTGCTTCTAGCTCCTACGAGCATGTCAACACTAAAGATCTAATGGCTGATCAGATTGATTAAACCAAACAAAACTGTTACAAGGGGCTTATGTTCCATTCCCATCAGAAAGTTCTTCAACTTTCAGATCAGATATGTACAAACTCATCAATGCAGAAAACTACATACCTTCCTCATGGGTCCTGATCCCCTTCTTGTTAATGGAGGTTCCACCTACATCATGAGATTCTCTGTTACAAATTCAATTTCATAGAATTTTGCTAAACATCAACATAATCTAGAAAAATCCACATCAATGGAAAAAGGAAACAAGTCTTTGGAGTTCATAAGAATATTATCTAGAAGTTACAAATTGCGCTTATGGTCATTCACATGTTCAAATGATTGATTATGTCATACTATACAATGAATGATTTAAGGTCTGGCAAGCATATAGCATATGTATTGCAACTATTTCTCCAAAGGTTGAGAATAAAAGACAGCAATGTTATTTGCAGAATAAAGCTTCATTTAACGCACATGTGAAAGATCCCAACCTCAGTGAACATCATCTTAAATGAATATACAAATCCAACCCAAATGATATTTGGAGAGCTTCCTATGAGTCATCTATATCCCAGAAAAATAAAGAGAACTCCCAGCTTCATATACACAGAAAAACAATAGAATGAAATAGAAACAAGCATATCCACAATTGATTAGAGAGAATTGAAATGTCTCAAATGCTATAAGCCTATACATGTCATGCACTGCAATGACAGTGAAAGGACAGTCATATTGAAGAAAAAAATCACTCACCTTTTTTATCAACAACGAAAATTTCTCATTTGTCTATCAGTCAACCAATAAGGGGTAAACATTCGTTATCCATATTAGTGTTATGGCTTAAAACATCCTCCAAGTATTTAATTTGTTACAAAAAATATTAACATTTGTCAACAGACATTCTCTCTCTTTTTATGAGGTAGACATCCTTGTATCCATCCATCAAACTCACTTCCACTCTCCTAACCCTGTTTTACCATAAAGAAGGTAGGATTTGACTCAAGACTCGAGCACAATCGCAAATAAATTTCAGTAGCAAGTTAGCTAGCACCCTTTTCCCATTTTGTTTTTTCGGTTCACCATTTTTCCTGATTTTAAAGTTAACAAACTAGATAATGGGATTCATTCAGTTTCCTAACCAAATCACAGCAAATGGCCCTTCTCCAAAAATTAAGGAATAAACAAATGTCTCACATCTCACCTCATCAAATTTCATGAAGTTTTGAGTATCAAGATCCCCGTCAACCTGTGGCTTAAATGCTGCCTCCATCTCATAAAGTTTGTCCCATGCAACATCTTTGAACCAGGGATGAGCCTGATGAGATTCAGTGACAATAGAGTAGTAAGAGAAAAGAAAATATAAAAAGCAAGGCATCCATATACAGTAATTATGAAAAAATACTTTAATTTGGCACCCGCCAAGAGTACCGAGCCTATGTTCAGCATCACAAAGCAACCTACAGATTAGATCCTTTGCTTCAGGTGTGAGCCTTGCCTCCTCTGGAAATTTTAAGTGATTTCTCCAGTGCACAATCTGGCATATATCGGTCATCAGGCTGGATGAAATGAAAAAAGACAACCAGAAAGAGAAAAACAGAAGCTGAAAAAGAAAAGAAAGAAGGGAAAAAAAAAGGCATCTAATAAGAGTACAGATGAAAAAGTAATATAGTACCATAATGCTGAATATTATAATAGGATAAGGTTCTTTCAAGCTTTTATAACATATCCTTCTCTCAAAAGTTTAATTATTATTACTATTATTATATTATTATCATTATTATTATTATTCACCGAGAGAAAAAGAAAAAAAGACCATAATTTTTTATACAAAAAAAGCTTTCATTTTTCACCTAGGAAATGACAAAATGAAATAACCCAGACAAGGTATAGCGGAGGAAAAAGATTAGTGTAGGAGACCTTAAAGTAGTTTGGGATTAGAACTTAATTGAGCTGAGAATACTTTATGAAGAATGAATGCATCAAATTATTTAATGTGCCAAGATAATTTAATTCTTAAAGATGTTCTGATTTCATCTGCAGACATGCCAACAACAAACTGATGTTGAATAAACGATGCCGCTAAATGTAAATGAAACAAAGCCTAGGTACAACTAGGACTGACATGCATGTTACCAAAAAGCAGTGAGACAAAACAGAAGATACATGAAGAGCATATAGCATTTTACAGAATCAATGCATAACACTAAAGCTTCTCAGACATTCCATGATCCGATTCAAAGAGAATAAATGCATAGCAGGTAAACCTTTCTGCATGTTGTTACAGGATCATCAGAGTAGAACGGAGGATAACCAACAAGCATCTCATACATTATTGCACCGAGTGACCACCTGCAATCAGAAAATTAGGCCAGAACTCATGAAATGAAATATTTCAAATTATTATACTCTGATACTATCTTTGGGAACAAGAAGATGGGAGGAATAGCAGAGTGACGGAAAATGGAAGAGGTCAAAATCATTTTCGCTTATTTTATTTAGATTTGAGTGGAGAATGAGAGGATACCTCCCTTGATTTTCTCTTCTCCAACTTAATTTTCTTTCATCCCATTTTCCACTCCCTTTCCACAAGAATAATTTATAACTCTCATTTTTTGTATTCCTCCCATTCTTTATTATAGACAAAATCAACAATGCAATAAAGCCTTCCCTTCATTTTAGTGAGTCGAGTATAATTCATTCTAAACTAACCAATCACACTCCATTGCATATCCTTTCTTCAGCAATACTTCTGGAGCAATATAATCAGGTGTGCCAACTGTGGAGTATGCCTGCCATGATTAAAGCAAGGAGAAGAAAGAACCTTGAAAATGAAGAAAATTTTAAAAGACAGAACATTGATCGATGGAAATTTCAAACAGAATACACGTCCTTTTGTAAAATTCATGTGTTAACAGAATTCTTCCACGGATACACATGACAGATCACTGATTGAATAATATTGTTTTTCATGAGCCTGTGAATTCTACAGCAGAACAGCGTAAATAGTAAATACATGAATAATAACAGAGACTTTGCATGTGTAAATGCACGAGCGTGACCATAAGCACATATGCAATGTGTCGATATGGGAGCATGATCCAGCCTCATTTTAGAAAACTTATATATTAGATTTCATAAGTGCCTTAAGCTTCAGAGTTTCGAATGAAATTGTGTTTAATTTTAAGTTATGTAAATTGGTTAAAATATAAAATATGATTTAAACCCCAGAATTAAATTTGCAAAAAATAACAGAAGACCAAACAATACAGAGGATTGATTGTATACCAATTTTCTCCTGTTTATCTTCCAATGCTGTAATTGTTCTCGGGGGCTTTTCCAGCGCCCTCCACCAGCATCTGGAAATCGACCATCAACATCCATTGATTCCTTCAAGTTCTCATCATCAAGTACTTCATCTTCACTAATGGCAGACAAATTTGAGCAATCAAGAGGCTTGCAAAGACCAAAATCAGAAAGCTTTATATGGCCGTTTTTGTCCAGCAATAAGTTATCAGGTTTTATATCTCTGAGGAAAAAATGGTTGTTAAATTAACAGCAGCTTCACAAGATCAAGCTAGAAATATAACACAGTTTAAGATATTTCAGTTTCTCATACATTTTCTAATTCTTCTTTGAAAAAAGAGTTGCTAAGTACTCACCTATGAATGTAGTGATGTTCATGAATATATTCTATAGCCAGGACAGTTTGAGCAATATAAAATCTAGCCACAGTTTCAGTCAAGGTTTCTTCTCTCATTAACAAAGTCATAATGTCACCACCAGGTAGATATTCCATGATTAGATACAAGAATTCAGCATCTTGAAAGGAGTAATAGAGTTTGACAATGCAGTGACTGGAAACTTCTGCGAGCAAATTCCTTTCAGCTTTAACATGTTCAACCTACAGTGCATACGCAAAATTAGTGTGTAAAGACTAAACATGTCTTATTGAAAACATGGGGACTTTGCTCCTTTTTCAGTTATATAACTTCTCATGACATGCCCATAGTTTCTAAACTCAATTCATCTCATCTTGTCTATAGAAGTAAAATGCTACAGTTAAGTCCCCTCATCTCAGCGCACTTGATTCAACCATTCTCATGACAATGTTACTCGAGGACCTAAAATTCTTCAAATAGAGTACTCCTATTTAAGGACAGGAATCATGTAATATAACTGTATTTTGCAATTAGAAACCTATTCACCATCTACATATATTAAATTGATAACGTGGCTTCATATATGATAATGATGATAGCCATTTCTTTTTTTTCTTTTCAACTTCACAAACAGTACAGGTTACGAATCCATTATGTACAGGCAGTCCAGCTTATCCAACAAAACCTTTTGCACATCAATGATCTCTTTTAAGATTCCTGGTGACATTATCAAGCATTGAGTGTTAGGAAGAGTAGATAACCTTAGACAGATTATGGAAGGCATACAAGTAAGATAACACGTAGAACCTAAACATCTAAAGAAGAGAGTAGGAGAAGATATCAGTTCTTATGAAATATAATTACCTGATATATATGAAGTGAGAAAGAAAGTAAAGCGTCTATTATGAAATTTCAAGAAATAAATGAAAAATCTTTCAATAGTTTCAAGTATCACCTGTCCCCTGATAAGCATTTCTGACTTCTTCAATTTTTTCATGGCATAGATATCGCCAGATTTTTTCTCCCGACACAACCTCACCTGCAGAATCCACCATTAGCATGATATCAAATGCCCAGTAGAACTATTTGTAGTTGTACCGATAAGGTTTGGGAGGAATAAGGGGGAGAGAGAATAAATAGAGTAAGAATCATTCAAGAAAAGGAAAAAGCAACATCAAGGAAGAAAATCTGCAAGATGTCCAGGATATAAGTAGGCCTTAATAGAGCCAACACCACCAAACTGTAACTCTGCCAACACCTACACTAGCACTGGACTCTTTTTGCCACTCCTTAACCTCGATAATTTCTCTAAAAAGAAGCTTTTACACACAAAAAAAAAAAAAAAAAAAAAAAAAAAAAAAAAAAAAAAAAAAAACTCATTTTTAGTTTAAGAAAGCATAGTTCATTAAATGGGATGTATAAGTATGCACAGAATAATTCTTACACTGCTTGATGAGCCCAGATGAGAATAAAAGATTATTAGGTCGGCAATGTTTAATGGTGAAATATTTTGCAAGAAAAAAAAAAAAAAAAAAAAAAAAAAAAAAAAAAAAAAAAAGCGTAAAACTCATTTTAGTAAGAAAGCATAGTTCATTAAATGGGAGTGTATAAGTATGCACAGAATAATTCTACACTTGCTGATGAGCCCAGATGAGGAATAAGATATTAGGTCGGCAATGGTAATGGTGAATATTTGCAAGATGTTTGCACAGCAATCTTTCTTCTCCCAAGAAGGAAAGCTCCTTGCTCCTTTCATACCTAGACCTTAGCTCTTCCCACCTATGAGAGCATATTAAACTAAATATGGATCTGATATCTTGTGCAATACATAGTCAGAAGTTAAAACCTTGGAATTCTTGAATGTAATACACAAATTATGACACATCAAATGGCAGTCTGCATGCATCGTTTATATTCAGTCATACAGCTAACCTCTCCAAAAGCCCCTCTTCCTATGATGGTCAAAAGGTCAAAATCATCAACACAAATCTTGTGCCTTTTCAGTCGCATGTATTCTGTCTCTTTGCGCTCTAAATCCTTTAGTCGATTAATTTGTTCCTCTTGAGACACATGAGAAGTAGCCAACTGTTTTTCCAGCACTGAGCGCCTGTAATTAATAAAATAAGCCAGAAAGGAATATACCAAGATCCATAACTACATTCTATAATAATTAATTATCTGTTTAGTGGACTAAATTCACCTATGATATCTATCAAATAAACTGCTACGCACACATGACAGATTGATTAACAGAATGGAAAATGGAAGATTGATTAAATATAGAAAAATGCATAATGCAGTTATGAACTAGTCTTCTAATAAAGCAGAATCAAAATAATTGAGTAAAATCCCTCCATGTTACCTTTCTCATCAGTAAAAACACATTGGACGTCAAGCTACATACATTAATTGTCGGAAAAATAAAAAAAAGCAGCACCAATACAATTTATATATACGCACACACAAGAAACCTATAGAATTCAATTAGAAAATGTTCCGGCTGTAGTTTTCAAGGTTTCGACAATGCAAAATGAGATCATCCGAGGTTGATCAAAAGGAAATTAATAGATATGTAAAGAGAAACAGAAACCTTTCTTTGCGCTGTTGGATATGCTTCATCTGAGCCTTGTAGTGATTCTCAATGTAAAGCTTGGCAGCAGCCACCCTTTCCCGGGTCAAGCTGGACCCTACCTCTGCTCCTTCCTCCTCCTCCTCCTCCCCTGCCATGGGACCCACCTCGTCGTTATCCTGGTGGTCCTCCTCCTCCACCTCCTCTTCCTTATTGCTATTATTCTCCATAGCGCACCTCCTCCCTCTCTTCGTCGTGGATTTCGATAGTTGTGACAACGGAGCAGGCTGACTAAGGCAATTTATCAGAGCTTGCACCTAGGGGACGAAGCCGAACAACAGCTGAAGAAAAGACAAATTTTCTCTCTCGCTTTATAATTCAACATAGGGCCTTGTCTGTCTGACACGTAGAATTATAATCGACCGGATCGAATCTGACCCTACCACAACTGACTGTTACTACCATTTGCAGCTTTCCTCTCTTTATCATCCCAATATCTAACGGTCTCAAATCCTAGGTAACAGGATGGGACCCAGATTTGGGATTTTTTGCGTAGATAATCAACGGCTCGGAATCTGCGTTCATTTTGCTGAAGGATCTGGGGGCCTACAATAATTGAAACTGTAATTCGCGAAACTCATGCTGAGGTGCTGATGTGTGCTTTGAGCTGTATATGCGCATTTGATTTCAGCTGAGGTATCAAGAAGCTAACTAATTAGTTAATAGTAACTTTTTTATTATTCACCCAACCCAAACGTGATCCGCTCCACATGGAGTTGCAGTATATATGGATATTAGAAAACCCACCTCATGACCTACCCAATGATGGATAATTAGCAATGATTAAATGTAATCTTTAAATCATCATTAAGAATTGATTGTACAAAAATGGTTTTTCCTTTTGTAGCTTGTTTTTATTGGATAGATTAGTTTAAAATTGAAGTGTAAACTTAAAACACAAAAGTGAACCACAGCCAAGAATTGGCAATCGAATTATCTTGGAGAAAGGGGGTACGGGTACGACTATGAGTTGGCAAAATTTGCATTATCATTTATTCCCCAATCAATGGCGAGACGTTCCAAAATACTACATAGTAACGATGGCAAGTCAACGGGAACGAGCCAAGCAGTTTACTTAGCTAGGGCATCGAATATCGGGGCCAAGATATGTGCCTGTACTGAAGAAACAACGCCATCAATCACGATTGCAAAAACATGCAAACAAGATTTGGACAAAAGACATTTTCAAAAAAAAAAAGGGGTTTGGTCAAAAGAGGTTGAAACTTGAACCATCCCAACATGGGGCTGTCCTGTTCCATTGTCTAATTTTACGAAATGGCGATGTTAGGACCAGATTGTTTAGAAATGGGCAACCCAGTTTGGGTTGCAAATTGGGAAAACAAGATTCATGTAAAATAATTTAAAAGTTTGGGATCTCTATCAGAAGGTCTCTTATTGATCCAATGAAAGACGATAAAATAACTAAAAAGCATCCATTTATTTGTTGGGATGGGCAAAATAAATATTTTACATGGACCCATCAAAAAAATCTGACAATCCTATAATCTAGTACAGTATGCAACCCACCCATGGCAAAAAAAATAATGCAGAAACAAAATATCCAGCCTACAAAATCATATGCTATCTCGAATGAGTAATTAATAATTATAGAAAAGAAGTTCCTGCAAGGCCATGATGCAAGAGATTATGAGCAATATGATCCCTGGCCTGAATAGCACCAACTGATCTCAAGCCATTTTCAGCAATCATCTCATCATCAAAAATATCAAATTTTAGCTCTGGCTCTATCTCCTCATTTCTCATCTCGCAGATGTTATGCAAAACACAACAAGCCCCAAGAACAACAGGCAAGTCTTGGAGCTTAACTTCAGTTCTCTTCTGTAAACAAGACCACCTTCCTTTCAATCTTGCGAATGCTTCCTTAGCTACCCTTTGAACCTCACCAATCTTCTCATTAAAAGCATGTTGTGTCCATGTCAAGTTTTGGTGGGTATAAGGTACAAGAACCCAATCCATTAAAGGATGCCCAGAATTCCCAACGATCCATACATCCTTCAAAGCCCCTCTATTACCCCTCTGGTACAAAGCAGACTTCTCTAATACCTGATCATCAGGCATTGAACCAGGCCAGCCAATGCAGACATCAGTAAAAACACCTCTAGGATCAACAACTCCTTGAACTGTTATTGAATATGAAGTCTTTTGATTCCTTTCAGTGTGTCTCTTGTTGAAATAAGCAGCTACGCTAATCTTTGGTGCGATAATTGGGATATGGGTAGTATACATTGAACCACCAACATTTGGTATACCCGACATTGATTCATATTCACTTCTAATAAACCTCAATCTCTCCTCATCAGGCCATTGAAGGAATTTGGGCATTAACACATTCCTTATAGCCGAGCAAACCTCAAGAACCAGTTTATGACAAGTGGAGATCCCCAATCCAAACCTTTTCGATACAAGTCTCAAAGGCTCACCCGTGGCTAGCCTCCAAATGCAAACCGCCACGCGCTGGCGAACAGGAATGGCGTCTCTTAACATAGTATTCTTTTTAGTGACAACTGAATCCAGCTCATCGCATATCATAGCAAATGTGGCCTTACTCATTCGAAACGATTTTTTGAATTCCTCTTCTGGAAAATCCGGATGGCTACACCTCTCCCACCAGTCCTTTGACCTATCCTTCACCCATAGCCGCCGATGCTGACCTGACCCACCGGCGCCCCCACTACCACTAACCTGAGCTGAATCTCCAGAAGCCGCATTTTCAATGGCCAGCGCAGCAACTGTGGAAGCGGACCGGCGTGCCCGTTTGGTTCTAGAATGATCCATTTCATCCAAATCAGAATAATGGTTCTGGAGCTGAGAACTATAATCATTCATAACTTCAACTTTTCGCTTGTAATTAGAATCGAAAAGGGTTCTATCTTGTTGAGAATCAATAACCCACTGCTGTTGTTCTTGCTTCTCCTCCTCATCCAACATCAAAAGAGAAGCAAGTATGTCTCTCATTGCACTCTTCTTCAAATCATCTTGCTTATCATGTTGTTGAAATGGGTCCTTATTACCATCTCCATCTTCCTCGTCACCCTTTCTCTTCCTCTTCTTTAAATCATTGTTCACACCAAAAGCACCAGTACCAGTAGCACTAGTATCCATGTCCTGAAACAGACTATAGAAATGTGAAATCTCGTCCTGATTAAGAAATGGGAAAGATGAGATTTCCATCAAAGTGAAAGCGAGAAAAAAGTGTTTGAAAAAATGCCTGAGAGGGGAGATGTGAACTCGCAAATGGTTTTCAGATTGGAAGAACAGAACTGATTATTGAATGGAAATTGGGGGTAATTTGATATTATATACAAGCGAGGTGGTGGTACGGGGTAACTGGTAAGAAGAGGGGGAAAGGAAGCGTGTGAGATAATGTGAACGCGGAGGAGAGGACTCATTGGACGGTGACTTAGGACTTCTTTTGGAGTATTATTATATGTTAAGGTTTTTACGCGGTTGGGGATTGGATTTGTATGGTTTAATGGGTGAGGGTTTTAGAATTTCTTTTTTTGTTTTACAAGACACACGTTGCAGAAAAGGGCAGTGTGTCCGGAAGCTTCGTAAAATGTGTACGGGGAAAGTGAAGGGAAAGAGCTTCTATTTGAAAACGAATATAAGGTTATGACTGTAAAATCACAAATATATATTTGTCGCTTTTAGTCTCTTACAGATTATTTGGTCTCCTTATTACAGCAACGAGAAGCCAGCGGTAAATGGATAATTGTCCTAAAAAGGTAAAATACATCTCAATTTTTAAATTTATAATTTTATATTACAATAACAATTTCGTCATTCTACTTTTAAGAATTAACTATAATCTCTATAATTAAAATAATTTTTTAAATTAAATAGATACGTGATATTTATTTTATAATTAAAACATAATTTATAAACCCATGTGTATGTTATCCTTGTTATGATAAGTAACAGTGGATTATCGATATCTCCTTTTAATATATTAAAATATATTGCTTATATTTTTTAAATGAAATTTAGTACTTGATTAAACATGATATTCATATATAAATATAATTTTTTTAATAAAATTTATTTGCAAATAAAATAAATTATACATATATTTGTTTTAAACATTGTGTTTCTAAATTTATAATATCAAAGCATATGACTGGCAAAAGACAAAATAGTTTCTTATTTCGTCAATAACTTTATTTAAACAATCATACGTTATTCTAACAGTCAATATTATACTTATTATTATTAGTATAACTAATGATTTATTTTTTCAAATATTTATTAAATTTAAATATATGAAATATGCATACAAAAATCGATGTGAAATTAAGATAAAACATAAAAATGTTGATCTAAAATTAGCCACTTTTATTTGAAATTGTGTAAGAATTTTCCATAAGTGGACATTCCAATTTCAATTTGAGAAAAAAAAAATCTCTGATTTATTATGCATATATACAATTGTTTTGATAAACTAGTATAAACATATTGAATTAAATTTTATGTCATGTACTTAAGAAGTAATTATGATAAAAATTTTTAATTTTATAATTAAAAAATAAAGTATCGAATCATTAGCAAAATGTAATGAATTCAAATTGATGGTTTAACATCAAAATAAATCAATCGATAATTTAATTCTTTTGTTCGCTTATTGAAAGACCGTGAAATTTAAAATTCAAAATTCTATTATATAGTCCGCAATATCTTTCTGCCGAAAACAAAAATATTAAAATCTTTTTAACTTTAAATCAATACGTACAAGTAATTGCAAGTGGGTTTCATATAATCACAACATACGAGTAGGGTAATGAGTGGACCATTATCCTAAAAGTCAATGGAGTGGTATGATATTTCCTTGTCATGAGTTGGCCTTTTCCTAACGTGTGTTTTTCATATGGTTGAGTGAACTATTTATATGATTTCAATGTTGTTATACCTATCATTTACTTTTATCTTTTTTTATGAACTTGAGATATTTCAATTCAATAAGGTTGCATTACATGTAACAACAATTGAAGTGACTAAGATGTTTTATTCAAAATCCTCATAAATGCAATCAAGATGATACCTCAACATCAAGGACATATACCTATCGAGTATCAACATTATAAGGGTGAAAAAAAAAAAAAAAAGATCTAGTGTCAAAATTTGACCTTTTTTTTATATTATAAGATTGAAAAGTAACAAAAAGTCATTGGAAATGTACTTGTTTAAACGTATAAAACAAGGCTAAAATTCATAAGTCATCTTTGTTTTATTTTAAAATTATTTGATATGTCAACGACTATTAAATTAATTGAATAGTGCTAATTAAGTAGTAATTTGATTGATTTTTTCACTTATGTGAGGGGCGAGAGGTTTTGAATTCGAATTCTCTCGACCATAGTTGTTTTCCAAGGAAAGACTGCCCAAAGAATATAATTTTTCAAAAGTAAAAAGAAACTAATTTCTAGAAATTTTTTGATTTTTATATACTCGGATACAAATCAACTTTGGTACAAAAAATAATCATATCTCAATTATGTCTAACATGCGCGATTATAATCCTCAATTAAATAAAGCTTAATTTTAACAAAGAGGTTCAATATGGATAAATAAAAATTTTAAAAATTTAATGCTAAAATTAAATAAATTAAGGAGTTCAAATATGTGTTTTCCATTTTTGGGGGGTTTAATACAAGGACCATATGAATGCAATTATATATTTTGCAATTGGTCAAAACTCAAAACCATGGACTGGCTTCGTTGTTGTTTCTAATTATTTGTTTCCTTTACTAAGTAAACGGATACATTATTGCCGAGGGTTGACTAATTTGGACCCATATGAAATAATTCAACAATACCGTGTACTTCAACTATAATTTTATTTTTCAAATATAAATAATGGACCAACGGTCCCTATGAAAAATACAAGTCATTGTTTACCTAATAAGTATTAGTAGACATTTTTTCTACTACCATTCTGATTTTAGTAAAGCCTTAATAGAAACAGTCATGTCCTATATATATAAATTAACATTTTTTATTTGGATATTTTTTTATAGAATTTGGATCCATGTTGTTTTATATTATTTTTGATTGGTCCAATGCATTCACATTATTTTTAGTCCAGTGTTATCAGATGTCAACCACCATATTTACTTTGAAAATAATTAAAATAATATGTGATTAATCAACGTTGCAAAAATATTTTATTATATATTTTAGAAGATTTAATTTTTTAATAAAATATGGTTTAATATTGCTAAAGTTATTAAAATATATATGTTGATTAATCAACGTTGCAAAAATATATTTTTTTGAAATAAAATATAATTTAATATCAATTAAATGATGGTTTGTGAGTTGATAGAGTGTGAAATTCATAAATTTCATAAAATTTTTATAATGTAAAATTTATAAATTAATATCCTATTATTTGATTAATCAATTTGTACTGTTTTCATTTTCAATTCATACCCCTCAAAATAATTTCTTTACGCATCTCGCCCGCATTTCATCCCAATTTACGAACACAACCTAAACCAGAACTTCAGAAGTAGTGGCCTTTGTTTATTTGCTTTATCTGTGGCCCAGAAAATTTAGCAGGAAAAGGAAGTGGTTGTTAGGACTGTTGGGGTTCCAAAAATACAAGAAGCAATTATCACTAAACACAAATCACTCTTTTCCATTGTTCTTCCATGGCTTCTCTTGTCAGTTCATCTGCCGCCATTTCTGTACAACACAAGGTAATATTATCAATTATTCCATTTATATATCAATTTGTAGTGTAATTATCAATTACCTCAAGAGTATTGATGAATAATGATGATTTAGGGTTTTTTTGGGATAGTTAATTATTTGCCTAAACTGGAATTAGCTTCTTAATAGTGCATTTGAATCAAAATTGGTTCTGCATGTAATTTGTCTAATGCAATTAATCATCTTTGTTGCCCATTTTTGACCAATTTTGTTTGTTACAGGTAAATCGTCTTGGTGCTAGACCAATATCTACGAACTCAATTTCACGTTTTTATCAGAATATTGTTGGCAGTGATAGGTTTCACGGGCTTTCTTTCAAGACAAAAGCCAAGTTGTCCGTTGAATCAAATGTAGTTGAAAAAGAATCAACCAGTGTCAATGAGAAGATTGGTAATTTATTCTCCTGGTTGTCCACTTTACTAGATAACAAGTTAGTTCTCTTTCTATTTTTTGAGCTCTAATAGATTGATTAGAACAAATAGACAGAATAGACCTTGTTGAAGCGATTTTTGAATGTCACTTTGATACAACGTAACTTTCTGAATCATTTCATAAAGTGACCTCCCTCCTAATTTTTGGATGGAAACTTCTTCTTCAATCTATGAAGAGAAAACAAGCTGGATATTTGGAAATTTGACAGGCCATTCTGCTTATCGTGTTCAAATTTTCGATGATAATTTAGATTATGTTATCTCCCTTTCATTTAATGTTGGTCTAGTTGCTTATTATGTGACACTATATCATGTTGAGTATGTAAACAAGCTTTGAGTAAATGTACCAAGGAGTGACTATGATTATCAAAAATGTATTTAGTGGTTTGCATGTACCTTTCAATTGTATAAGCTCCATAGCAAAGATGAATGCATTTCCATACCCTCATTTCTCCATGTGAGAGCATATATGTGTACATCTATGACCTTTTGAGATGAGATGCGTCATATGTAAACTAAGTTCAAGAACAAAACTGCTAACCGTTATTCCTTTTTGGGGATAAAGTTTTATCTAGTAATTTATTGGTATTGTTGCAGATTATGGAGTTGTTAGTATTCACCATGTTGGAGTGCTTTGTGAAAAGCTTGAAAGATCACTTGAATTTTATCAGGGCATTTTAGGTACGTCTCTTTCCTTGCTAATGCCAATAAATCTTGTTTTTTCTTTTTCTTTTTTTATCTCTCTTGATACAAGAGAAAACAATGAAAACCATTACAAACTACTTTTCAATTTGCAAATAGGTCTTGAAATAAATGAGGCAAGGCCGCATGATAAGCTTCCCTATAGGGGCGCTTGGCTGTGGGTGGGTTCTGAAATGATTCATTTGATGGAGCTTCCAAATCCCGACCCCTTAACTGGACGACCTCAACATGGTGGCCGAGATCGACATACTTGCATTGCTATTCGTGATGTGTCTAAGCTGAAAGCAATCCTTGATAAAGCTGGTACACTTCTCTTTCTCCATAAAATGAAAATGAAACGAGGTTTTTCCTAAGAACGTGCCTGAAATACATATAGCTCTGCGCTTTACCTAATGAAGTCAGGAAATCAAATAGTATATTTTGCAAACAGGTGTGTGCTTACTGAAGGAATGCTTTTTCTTATATTGTTTTTGATTTTGTAGGCGTTCCCTATACGCTTAGCAAGTCTGGCAGGCCTGCAATCTTTACGCGAGATCCAGATGCAAATGCTCTTGAATTCACTCAAGTGGATAACTGACATATTTTACTATCCATAGCTAGAAATTTGAAAAAATGAAAGGCTTTGGTCTTTGTCCATCTTTTAGGCTCCAAATAAATGTATACAGATCACAAATATTAGATGTACAGTGACATGGATTTATGTAGCAATTCAATATAGAGGATCACAAGTTATAACTAACAGTATGTGCCAAATTAGCTTTGTTGTCTTTTCTCCTGCTGGTGAGTAGTTGAATGGCTATGGTCAAGTATCTTTATGGCACTTGCAAATGCTGGCGTGACCGCCACTCCTGTATGGCTGAACGTAATGTGTTATTTGGAATTAATATAGAATGCTGAAGCCTAAGCTTTGTCACTGGTGATACCCTGTGTCTGTCAAGCCATGCTTTAATTGCTCTGTGCTCGTAAGTAAAACCATCAGCAGCAATGTACGGTTCATCCATTATTTCCTGCATCAAGCAACATCGGTATGTGCTTAGTACACAGAACTACATGCCGGAATAGAGAATGAAATTCTTTTAGCTAAATTTCCATCTTGTGAAGAATAACTTGTTACCTGAAGGATAGGACAAAAGTAGTAACTCGGTGCATAGGTTTTGCTTCTTTCCAACTTTAAGCTAGCATCCGCAATAACTACAATTCTTCTGAGAACTGGCAGAACTTCAGTATCAAGATCTGGTCTATCCCTGCATCTAAGTTTTGAGCACTTCAATGCAATTTGAGCTAGCTCCTCGGTTTCAAGAAGTGGCCAATCTGTAACTGATGTATCCAGAATGTTGGCAAACTGAGAATTTATTATTGCATTTTCAACAGTCAATATAAGACCATTAGGACGCCGAGCGGTTAATAATTGGAGAATTATAATTCCAAAAGCATATAGATCTGATTTTGGTCGGATGGTCCCAGTTCTCAGGTATTCAGGATCCATGTAGTAGAGCGTACCAGCAAGAATAGAGTCTCGATACTCTGTGATGTTGTCAGGTACAACATCTGTAATGAGTTTTGCCAGCCCAACATCTCCAATTTTGCTCACATAATTCCTGTCTAACAGTATATTACCCGGTTTTAGATCCCTATGAACTATAGGCTCGGGCTTTGAGTTGTGTAAGAATGCAAGTCCGCAAGCCACTTCAAAAACTATCTTGAAGCGAATAAACCAAGGAAGAGGCGGTTTTTCATTTCGGTGGAAGATACACTCATCTAAGCTTCCATTTTCCAAGTACTCGTATACCAGACAACCATTCTCAGGACAAGCTCCAAGCAGCAAAACCAAGTGTGGATGGTGTAACTGGCTTAGAACTTCAACCTGCAAAAAGTTCAGTAAAGAATATCAGATTGCAGTCACAAAAAATCAGTATTTCACGCTATAAATTACCTCTCTCAAGAAATCCTCTTTCTTGTTAACTACATCATGCCTAAGAACCTTCACGGCCACTGGCGTGTGATCAAGATTGCATTTGTATACTTTTCCATACCCTCCTTCACCAATCACATTACTCTCAGAGAAGCAATCTGTTGCCAACTCTATTTCATCCGTAGTGTACTTTTTGTACCTCCTATCACTCAAGAAGATTGCATCAACAATTTTCTGTTTCTCTAACAACTCCTTTTCAGCCCTAAGCTCAGCCATCTGCCTTTCATAAGCTTCTTTAGCAAATAAATTTTTTGCCTCCTCTATCTCCGTCTTGGCTTGTAAATACCTTGCTTTCTCTACAGCAGCAATTTTTCTCAAAGTTTCTTCTCTTTGTAGGGCAGCATTCACTCTTCTTGCTTCCTCAACAAACTCAGACGAAACTAATTTGACCTGCAAAAAAGTAAAGCAACAAAATTAGAAGTAAGGTTGTGGAGATAGAAGATAACTTCCTTCGCACAGGCCATTCCAAATATTTTATGTTCTCCAGCTTATTTTTACACATTTAGTAGAATAAATCCAGGCGATACCTAGAATATCTTTATTTTAGTCCTGAATTCTTGAATGTGGTCAAAATCTAACAGGTGGTCTGAAACATTAATTTCCATTGTTTTTTCCATCTTTTTACTGCTTGAGTTATCTTGAAATGAAAGAAAGTAAAAATTTATTTGCAATTTTAAAAAGTACAGAATGCTATATAATTATTGAAGAACACCTCGCTTTGAGTGTGCACCAGCTCTGCACAAGCTCTTCTATACATGGTAACTGTATTTCGTAATTCTAGCTGTAGCCGTTCTATTTCAGCCTGTACATATGACTGCATAAAGGGAAAATGTAAATTTGAAAAATTCTTCAAAACACCACCTTAATTATATATAAGTGAAGAAAACAATTTAAAAAAAAAAAATTACCCAGTCAGTTTTTATTGAAGCAGTGGAATCAAATGTCTGACTCTGAGTACTAACAGTTAGAGGGTCATCTTCCAATTTCTGAAAAGTCCTGCCAACATCTACAGCAGCATTTACAGAAGAATCCCCGTGTTCAAATGCTTGAGTTTCTAGGGGACTAAAGTCAGACTCAGACACTGATGATGCTCCAAAGGATTTCTGAACTTTGGATTCTACAGGGGAAGAATAAACCTCAGGCTCAAAAGCTAAATCATTGATGCTGCCAGAACCTTTTGTATAACCTCTTTTAGTAAAAACCCAGTGCCTACGGCTGGTCCCTACAAAAGAAGAGACAATAAGATGTAACACTAACTCATACTCGACCGTAAAAGCAAGAATTCGAAACATATATACCAGTAATGGAAGAGGAATTTCCTGACTTTGTGATGATTTTGTGTTTATATACAACACGAACATTGCACGTCTCTGGAGCACCATTCAGCACAGTTATTGGTACCCCTGGTCCCCTTAGCTTCCTAAATGATAATATGATGTAATTATTGTATTAAAAAACAGACATATCATCCTCCTCTAACTATTGAATTGCACTGGAAACAAGGAAAACAAGTATGAAAGATATGTGAAGGAACAACCTGATTATACAATTGGGAGACCAAGAACCCAATATTAAACTATTAATCCCCCATTCTGACACAAATTTTAAGAGCGTGCTTGCAGGATTGTCACCCTCTAGCACCAAAGTTTCCGTCTACAAGCATAATTAGATTGAAATTACAAACTTGAATCACAAAATTCAGAATTTTAACAGGACCTTAGCTTCAAAGAGAGAACAAACTATAACCCAAAACCTTTTGAGTCTTGCATATCTTTTTAAAGGGTAAAAAGATTTCCTGGAACTTCACTTTCACATCCTGCACGTACAGTGCCACCACATTCTCGTCCACTTCTTCAACGGGCAAACGATTTCCAGCTTTAAAGAGGCAAAGGAAACGGAAGTTAATTCTTTTAGTTAATAAAAACCAATCAGTCTGATTAATTTGAAAAAAAAAAAAAAATCAAGTCCACCAAAACAGAAGCACAAAAGAGAGAGAGACAAGGAGAAGGTATAAAAGTGATGGCCGGAATGACGTGGACTAAGATGAACCGATTGGCTTTGGGCAATAAATTCTCGACTGCCCAGCGAACGGCTCTTCGGCTTCCCTTTCCTCCGACACCTACACCGCCGTTCACAGCAACCGCCACAGACAACATCTCCGGCGCATGCCCACCGCTAGCATCTGCTAATTCATTTCTTCGATGGTAGGCACGGAATTGAAATTCGGAGCTGACTATGAAAAGACAGGAGAGTAGACTTTGACTTTCTCTTCGTCTTTTTTTTTTTTTTTTTAAATTTTTAATGGAGTCCACCAAACAAGTAGAAGCACAATAAGAGAGAGAGACAAGGAGAAGGTATAAAAGTGATGGCGCCGGAAATGAGCGTGGAACTAAAAGATGAAAGCCGATTGGCTTTTAGGGCAATAAATTTCTCGACTGCCAGCGAAACGGCTTCTTCGGCTGTCCCTTCCTCCACCACTCTTACACCGCGCGTTCACAGCAAACCGCCACAAACAAAACTCCGGGCGCTATGACCCACCGCTAGCTCTGCTAATTCATTTCTCAGCGCATGGGTAGGACGGATGAAATTCGGAAAGGCTGACTATGAAAAACAGGAAGGTAGACTTTGGACTTTCTCTTCGTACTTTTTTTTTTTTTTTTTCAAAATTTTTAATTCAATGGACGAGTCAACATCTTATCTTTTTTTTTTTTTTTTCAAAATTTTTAATGGAGAGTCCAACATCTTTACAGTCTATGCATACACAAAATAAATTCAAAAAATCCATTTGATATAAATAAAAATATTATTATTTTTTTTATCAAAAAATCCATTTCCCTCAAATGTGGTTGGAAACAAACTAATTGGAGAGGGCCATGGCATAAATTAACAGTTAAAAAGAAATAATCTGAGGGCCTGTATGCCCTAGCGAAGGTTCCCTTGTCTTCTTTTTTCGTTACGTAAACAATATGAGCGTCTCCAGTCGAACTTTTTTCCCTATCTCTATTGATTTAACTTTTTATCAGAATTTTACAGTTAATTCATAAAATATTAGGAATTTAAGAGGTTAGATTAATTATCAGTTTAGAGATATATTAGTTCAATAAAATTTCCAAATTTGAAATGAACGAGTAAAACTATTACAGATTGATCAGGGTTTGATTTTTGGAATCACACTGAAAGTGTTTTTTGTGTGTGTATTTTATAATTATTCTAGTCTATTCGATCGTCTAATGAATAAAAAAGAAAATTTCTATAAACTCATGTAAAATATGCAGAAAGAACTAACACCAGAGTTCAAGAGTTCTTGAAACCCTAGCTGGAGCAATTTACAGAAAAAATTCTGGTAAGGGAAAAAATAACTAACACCAATTTGAACTGAACCAAAATTAGTCATAGATCTTAAACTTGAGGAAAGGATATGCAGCTGTTAAAGATCACAAATAGAAACAGAATCAACGAGTTAATGAATATATATACCTATGTATAACATATATAGTTGCACATATAAACTACAAAGATGGCAAGAAACTGAACATATATAGAGAGGAGAAGAGAGAGAGGTGGATGACAGATAGAGGGTGAGCACGCAGAGCTACGAGCATGAAGTATGAATGCAAGAAAACCATGTGTGCTCACTCTCTTCTGTCACCCTCCATACTTAACTTGATGACTTGCATATACACATAAGATAAGACAATATATATAGTTATTTCTTCTATGTTCTAAATTCCTAAAAGTGTAAGCTACATATATAGCCTTGGAAATTACTTTATGTACGAGGAAACAATGCCTAACAGATTTTGATTGTAAGAAATGTTTGTTTGTAAGGGATTTTATAGGAGATGAGATAGAATAGGATTACACCATCCATGAGAACATACTTGGGTATAAACGTATTAAATTAAGCAATTACTTAATTTCATGCTTTGATTCCATTCTTTTCATATTATAATTTGCTTTGGACAAACTTAATATATTGCGTGAGAACTTATTCGTATTAAAAAATCTTAAATTTTGATGAATGACTGCACTACCAATTTAATTTAAATTGGAATTGGATATATAGAAACTAAATTGATAACATTTCAATCTTTTTTTTTTTTTTTTTTTTGAATTGGATATATAGAAACTAAAATTGTATAAAATTTCAATCTTTTTTTTTATTTATTTTTCTCTTTTTTTTTTTTTTTTTTTTTCTCGTGAGAATGCATTTATGGCTATGTATAAAAATAGAAATAGGGTTTATTTGGAGAAATAATTAAGAGATAATATTGGATAATATAGCAGCCTCCATGGGGTACCCTTTCCATGTTGCTTAAAACAAGTTCATGTATATTCTTAGATTGAATTTATTTAAATAAATAGTTAAATACTAAGCATGTATAATTAATTTTTAATCATAATTATAATATGATTTTCATTAAGTAATTGTATCCCAAGTCAAAGACAATTCAGATTATTTCTTTTTGTACAAAGAAAGTGATTATGAGAAACTAATAAGTTAAGTTTGATTAGTTAGTTAATTATTAAACCTATCATGTAATAGTTTTAATTAGAGGAATTGAGTCAGTATCTTTTCAATATATATATGCCAATTATAATCAGGGCAGAGATGGAATCCAAGTTCTTCAATAATGGTTATCTTTATTGAGTAAAGAAACCAAAGAATTGAAAGAATAACAGAAAAGCAACATTTACTTGCTCGTTGTGCTTATGAACCAATCTTTGTTTGACAAAAATCAAAATGAAACAATTAATTTAGATCTACCAAAGCAGAAAGTGGTACAAAGGATATATGCTTTATGTTAATTAAATAAATGACCGTGCCAAGAACCATTGAAATTGCTCATACAAGTCACTCTAGAATGACATCAACCTCCCTTTTCAACATTCTCTCCATTTTCCAGTGGATTGTTGTTGTTTTTTCTGTCTAAGATATGATATGCTTAAGGAATAATTACAGTAGATTGAGTCTTGCTAACTAAAATGTACTTGCAATAATAAATGAAATCTCTAACTGATACCCACTCTCCTCATCTCCATCAGTTGCGAAGCTAACTCCCCGATGAGGGTAAGCCAACGGGTATTTCTATATGTTCGTTTTTCCATATAAAATATTGTTTCCCAATATTTAAAATGTCATTTTCTCATATCAATTTCTGTGTTTCTATTTCCATGCTACATAAGTGTGAGGCATACCAATGTATTCTTGAAAAAGATGGAGAGGCCATGGCCCCTTAAGGGCTACTCTTCTGATCATCATATTCCTATAAGTTGTCATATAATATGATTATGGTAAACGAAATAATTTTTTTATAATAATAAATAATTACGATTAAATACATTTAAAAGAAACTAATTAGAGCAATTCATATGTTTTTCAGTATAAAACTCTTACATGATAATAAAAAAAAACTTCCCCTAATTCGTAAGTGAAAAGGGGATATAGCTCTAGAGTAAAAAGATTCTGGTAATTATATATCTGATAATAATTGTTTAAACCTGTTGGTTTATGACAAGGAGCAGCGTACGTGGCCTATAGAAATGCATCAGATGCCTTCTAATTAAGGATGTATTAAAGAAGTGTTTTTCTAGATGAATCGCCACCAGTAAACTGTACATGTTCCCTCTCCTTAGGACCCAATTCAGAGCAGAATATTTGTCATCTACATTCTAAACATGCCTGGAATTTCTTGTTGGATTATTCAACTTCTCAGTACCATGGTTAGTTATTTACCTGAGGTTTAGAGGAACATGGCAAGCAGAAGCAATTGCATAAAAAACAGGATAGCTGAACTAAAATCTTCAGTAACATTAACATTTAGTGAACTTCAAACAATATGGGATTTTACTTGACTAAGAATTACAGCAATATTGAAGTTCTTTTCAGCTAAAATAAGACATACCTTTAAAAACCACAACTGTATATGTTTCAGATGGACATGAACTTTGGAAGTATAGCAGGTCCACTGATGCTTTCATTCCACTCAAGTCCATCCCACCAGTCCTTGCTTCCATACACTGTTGGCAAAGATGAGACATTATGAATTTTGATTGGTAGCCATTTCAACTTTGGACAATCGATCACAGCAATACTTTCTAGGAATGGAAAAGATAATGCCCATTGACTTATACTCCTCAGATTTGGAAGGTTTCGGATTGAAAGAGTTCTAAGGCTTGGAAATTCCTTTGAATCTTCTCTAGGTATGACATCCCTGCTGATGATTTCTTCCATTTCTTCGCAGTACATCAGATAAATAACTTCCAGCTTTGGAAGTTGTAAAACCCATGAAACGTTCTTCAACTTATGACAATGCCAAATATTTACAGAACGAAGATTTCGCAGGCATTCTCGAGTTACAAGATTCTTCCAGACAATTATTAAGCTGGGAAGGCCATGCAGAGCAAGAACTTCCAGGCTAGGAAGCCAGCTGTCCCCAGCCTCTTTATCAATTGCCAAGCACTTCAAGTCATAGCAGTTATTGATGCTAAGCCTTCTCAACCTTCTGCCAAAATTGGAATTTGATGATATTTGTAAATAAAATAACCCTACGCACTCTTTTATGTACAAATACTGTATGCATTTAAGTAAACTGCTGAAATTATCAAGCCTTTTCAGGGTCTCTAATTCATTGACAGTGATACCAACTGTTGTCAGGTGCTTCAAGCATTCCAAGTCTGCAAACCCAACTTCATTCACACCTTCAGAATTATGATCCTCCCAACCTCCATAACTGTAATATAAATTGAGGACTCTTAAATGCAGAAGGCCTGAGACAGACTGCTGTGGAATTTTCCGGAGAGAATTTGTACGTTGTAGATCCAAATGCTTCAACTTTGCCAGATCTCCAAGCTGTTCAGGCAATGCAGTTATCTTTGTTCCTGACAAATCAAGGTGTTGTAACTCAACTAATTTATTGATAGTGGAAGGTATCTCTCTAAGACTGGTAAATGACAAATCCAAAACTTTTAGAGAAGGCATAAACTGGAAAAATGCATCTGGGATTTTGCTCAGGCCACTGTTATATTGTAGCAGCAATGTTAATAAATTGGTGCTTTCAGGGGCCTCTTCTAGTGTTGTGATTCCATTGTCCATCAATGAAACTCTTTGCGCTCCTCTCCACATTTCAGCTCCTGGGGCTGTAGACAGCCCTGTATTGGCCTCTACTAGAAATAGGCAGTTGTTTAATCCACTTTCATTTGCAATCCACAAGGCAAAACTTCTAACAACATCGTGCATCTTTACTTGGGTTTTCTCTTGATCACCTGTTTCTAATAGGCATGCAACTTTCAAAGATCCAATAATAGCATGTCCTTTATTATGCACATTACTATTGTGAGAGTCGTCTAGAAACCCTTCCCCTATCCAGTATTCTATTAGCTGCTCTTTATCAATAGAGTAGTCTTCAGGATAGAGAGAACAATATAAGAAGCATGATCTCAATGTATCAGTCTCTAAATTGTCATAGCTGAATTTTAGTAGAGTAAATACATCTTCCATACCTCGAAGTTCAGATGGAGACTTATTTAATACCTCTATTGCATATTTCCATTCTTCTTCAGTATCTTTATTTGCCATGGCTTTTCCAATAGTGATTAAGGCTAGCGGCAGGCCTCCACATTTTCTGACAATGGTCCCAGCATAAGATTGAATAGGCTGCGACTCCAAAATCTTCTTTCCTCCTACCTTGTCACAGAAGAGCTGCCATGAGTCATCCTCCCCCAAGAATTCCAGTTTCAGCTTCTGATGAGCATCCATGTCACTGCAGACATCCAATGAACGTGTTGTAAATATTACCTTGCATTTGTTTCCCTTGTGTGGCAGAGGAATTCCAATGTTTTGAAGATCAATCGCTTGCCAAACATCATCAAATAAGAGGAGAAACTTTTTCCTTCTCATAGCCCTATAAATTTTCAATGCCCGTTGTTCCTGACTTTCAGTTTCTTCCCAAGATAAGCCTAACCTGGCCCCAACAGCTTGTTGGATCTTATCAGCAACAAAATCCTTTGAGACCACAGCCCATATCACAATATCATAATGGTGTGATTTCGTAAGAAACTCGTTGTTAATAATCTTCAAGAGGGTTGTCTTTCCTACACCTCCCATTCCATAAATTCCAATAGTTCCAACTTTCTCTTCAGCAAGAAATTGTTGAACCCGCTCCAACATCATATTTAGACCAACTGCAGGCCTACTAGGAATCTCCTGAACTGCTTCAGGAACCAACACATCTGCTACGACAACATTGAAATCTGATTTCTCTATAAGTTGATCAATTTCTGTTTTCAATGTTGAAACTTTCTTGCTCAGCTTGTATTTTAAACAAGAATTTGCAAGAAAGCACCCAAAGCATTGATTTCTGTGTCTGAGATCAGCTGTGATCAAGTTTGCTTTAGTTTCAACTTCTTCTACTCTTTCTAGCCATCCTTTGACTCGGGTTGTGCAAGTCAATCCCTCCAATTCAGCACGATCAACCTCTCTCTTTAAGTCATCCCTTCTGTCTTTCAATTCCTTTAGTGCACTTGTAAGAGAATGAACTCGGCGATTCAAATTAACAACATCACTAATCCTCGTAGCTATACTTTTGCATGAGCTGCAAACAATGCCTATCAAAGGAACAACAGAATCCATGGATAAATTCTCTGTGCCCTTAGCTAACAAAGAAAATTGGAGAGAGAGAAGCATAACCTAATTTGTTGCTCGTCCTGTTTCCACCAAAGTGGTGATGCGAGGAGGTCAGCTTCTTGAATTTGCGCAGAAAAACACTATACTGAAGAGAGTATACCGTCATAATAATTGGAAAACAACTGTTCATCAAACTTTCTTACTGAGACGCCGCCATTGTGGAAAAAATTTGAGTTGACTGACCTCTACTTATTTGCGAACAATGTTGACCATCAATTGAAGAGTCACTGAACTTCTAAGAAAGTTTCTCCCATTTCCGAAGGAAAAATATATTACTCTGTAAGTTTAATCTAACCTCAAATGGGAGTTACTTTAAAAAAAAGAAAACACTCTAATCATTTGCTTTCTCTTCACCTAGTTGGACTGGATATAGTATTAAGCAACCCCATTCTGATTCCAGAAAAACAGCATATCATAATAATCTCACCCCCGGGGGGGGGGGGGGATTAAGCACCCCATTCTGATTCCAGGAAAAACAGCATATATAATATCTCACCCCCGGGGGGGGGGGGGGGGGGGGGGAGGATTCAATCTTTTTTACAAGATTATTAAGAAAACAAATTGCAGAGCCTAATTTCATCTACGGACTCACATTCAAAAGTATTTTTTTTCTTTTCAAATCACTCCAAATGACTTAGGCTGTGAACATGAGGAAAATTGAAGTCGCTACAAAATAGATAAGAAAAAGAGCAAATAGATGAATGCGGACCCCATATTTGCTTGCCAAGTGGTGATAATGACTGCTTAATCGCGCCGTTTTAAAACACCCGCGTAGCCCAGTGAACGGATTCGTCGTTGAGCGGGTTTGGGCTTCCAAATGATGGAAGTAGTCGCTAAATAGGGTAAATGGATCAAGCCCACCAAAGAACTATGACGAACAATCACCGGCGAAAAGGGACGGCACTCAGTCGTTCAAAAAGACACAAAAATAAACGACAAGTCATTTGTAAAACAAACCAAGTAATAGACGTGCGCTACTCCATGTCGTTTAGCCAATTTAATAGACTTCATGTTGTCGGGGGAAACTCTTTTTCTTCACAATGTAATGTAGAAATTGGACAATGCAACCCTGCATGGCCATGGAATCTTGATCATTATAATCCCCATGATACTCCGTCATCACTTGTCGTGAGCATATTTTAGGAAGAAAAAGAATAAATGCACACAGAATAAGTTTATAGATATTTACATGAATCAAAAAATTATATTTATAATTATCAATGCAATCGCCATTTTTATCATTTTAGTATATAACCTACATTTTTCTTTTCGTATATTCCAGAATTTCAATTCTTGTTTCTGCTCCTGTAATATCAATTCCAAGGGGACAAACAACAAATTTTCCGGTTTTCTCATTAACATACACATGAAGTTGGTTCCGTTCTCAAACTACTCTTGAAGCTGACAAAACTATCACCTGCTCTACCCGAAAATATACATCAATTGATATATTTAACTTTGCAAGGCCATCACATTTTTTTTTTTTTTTTTTTTTTTTTTTTTTTTTTTTTTTTTTTGGAAGTTTTTTTTTTTTTTTTTTTTTTTGGAAGTTAAGCAAGGCCATCACTTAAAAGCAATATGTAAATGATAATCAAGAAACTGCCTTTCCGTCCCTCCATCCATTTGTGCCTCCAATAACCTCGACGTGCAGATTGCAGAAAATGGGGAACCACAGGATCCCTTAGAAAACTGGATCATGTCACGGAATCTAGCAGGACAGCCTTCATTCTAATGTATTTGCATATTATCCTTCTACTGCAGTAACTGCTTCTTCATCAGTAGAATCAGGTAAAATGACTTGTTCGATGGGTTCTTCATCAGTAGCCTCTGTCCTCGGTTCTTTATCTTTGTGGACATCAAGTAGCTTCTCCTTCAGCTTTGTCATAAGTTCTTCCCGTGCAACATCATTTTCAGCTAGAAACTCTTTAAGAACCTCCTTCCCACGGAAAGTCTTGTCACCCACATCATAATATCCACCACCCCTGCTGCCGATAAATTTGTGTTTTACACCCAATTCTATGAGCTCTGTTTCACGACATATTCCCTTGCCAAACTCAAGATCAAATACGACCGTTTTGAATGGAGGTGCAAGTTTGTTCTTTATAATCTTCACTTGGACTTGAGTTCCCAAAGTCTGCAAAAACAATAGAATGAAATCAAGAATACAGAATGAAACGAATAATGCATGTGTATGGCAGACTTGAACCTCGAGACATAAAAGCCCCACTCGCCCCAACCATTCACCATTTGGTGAAACTTGAAAGCCAAGCTCCTCATTTCATGCTGGTGGCACATAGATACTACATATGTCTACTTAAAACTGGCCCTACCCCTTTTTATGATCAAAAAGTGCCATCTTCAGGTGCAAGTGTAAATTCACAAGCAAAGAAAAGATAGTGCCGTACCTCTTCCCCCTTCTTTATGAGCCCCACCTTTCTTAGGCTTAGCCGTACTGAAGCATAGAACTTCAGAGCATTACCACCGCAAGTTACTTCAGATGGCCCACTAAATCCTCCAAATGTACTAAGCTTTGACCTCACCTGTAGAGAGATACACGAATGAGGACTATGATCATCAAGTAAATACAGACATCACACAGAGTTGCTGACAAATATAAAAAAAAAAAATAAAGCTACATTAACACATGTAAAAGATAATGTAACTACAAAGAAACTATAGAAGGAAGAACAGTAATAATACATCAAACCGCAAGTTAAATAATAAAGGAAAGGGATAGACACATAACTGCACAATTGATGACACCTCAGGCCGGCTCATCCAGTCTTAATCACTAGGGTAGGCAGTGCTTTATCCACTTTATAGACAGATCCAAAATCTTTTAATGAAACAGTTTTTTTTTTTTTTTTTTTTTTTTTTTTTTTTTTTTTTTTTTTTTTTTTTTTTTTTTTTTTGCCAGGCCAATTACACTAATAATACATTTCATAAAAGTGATAAGACTTCATATATAATCAGAGCATATGCATGACACAAAATAAGGCATAAAAGAGTCATACTTGATTTATAAAGATCAAAATCGTTTGTGACATTGATAAAGAGTGGCTCAATTTGCGCAGTGCCTGGCTCATCAATCTTGCTTGCATTGCCATGTGAGCATCACCCATCTCGCCATCAAGCTCACTTTTAGGCACAAGGGCAGCTACCTGTCACCAAATAGAATAGGACATGTAACTGACTTAAAAAGCAAATCAAAGACTTCAATTGAATGATGTGATCGAAATAATATCAAACAGTGCAATAATGCCTATGTTGTGTATGAATCATTTTGTCCTTTGGGCTAAAAAACCCCTCCTGACATGGTAAGACTGTTGCCTAAGACAGGACACATGGCAGGAAAAAAATCAATTACTGAGAAACACACAGAGTCTCTAGCAGGTACAAGAAACTACGAATGAAAGATGACGCTATACCATGTAAAAACCATGATAATCAAAAGAGCACCTTACTTACACTGTCAACAACCACAACATCCACAGAACCACTCCTTATGAGCATGTCCACCAGACTGAGAGCTTGTTCACCACAATCAGGTTGTGAAAGAAGCAAGTTCTCAGTGTTTACACCAATGGCCTGAGCCAATGATGAGTCAAGAGCATGCTCAGCATCAACAAAAACACAGTAACCTGCAGAGAAGTAGGCATATCAATACCCTATAAAAAAGTGAAGTCAACAATAAAAAATTTTTACAGCTCTTAAAATTTGTTGCATAAAAAATCCCAAAACTTCTTGTGGTAGCCAACTACAGAAAGTGACACGTTGTCCAAAACAATTCTCCAAGTTACCCCCCCCCCCCCCCCCCGGCAAAAAAAAAACCAAGAGGGCCCCCCCCCCCCCCCCGGCAAAAAAACAAGAGCGGGTAGGTAATATTGACATTGCAAGGATTCAATTGCAATCGTAAGACACCAATATGCAACATGAGAGTCTAGCACCTTGGTAGTTTTTATTATAAATGGAGATAAAAAGATATATTGTAGCAGATTCATCACTTAACCTCCTTTCTTCTGTGCTTCAGCAATTACGTGTAGAGCAAGAGTGGTTTTCCCAGAAGCCTCCGGACCAAAAACCTCCACAACACGCCCCTGCAAAAGTCCAATCCAAGGATTATATAAGCAGCCAACACAATCTATTGAGTAAATGTTGGAGTTTGATTCTCACTCAAAAATGCTAAAGAGTTAATACAATAGAAAGGAATATTGAATTTAAACCTAAAAAACTTAAGGCTGTAACTTTAGTGGAAGTTTACAATAGAACTTGTTAGTTACTTTTAACCATTTCAATTTATGCAGGAATAATCATTGCATATCAGTTGCCAATGTAGAAAGGGAAGAAGTAATAGAAAAACAAACAATCAACTTTGAACTTTTAGGATTAGGAAACTTTTATAGATTACATATACAAATTCGAGAACCACAGGCCATATACATGCACAAAAGAAATCAAAAATCATTTTGATGAAAAACAATCAGTGTACCTTTGGAAGCCCACCAGTTCCAAGTGCTATATCAAGAGCAAAAGAACCTGTAGACACAACCGGAACATCTTTTGGAGCAATTGACCGACCAAACCACATAATAGATCCCTTTCCAAATGCACTAGTGATTTGATCCAGGGCATGTTGTAGAGCCACCTCTTTCTTGGACATATTGTCTTCAGAAGAGTCACTACTTCCATCCGACTTGGATCTTCTTTTACCTTCAAATATTTAGAAGTTGACATTTGTTACCGCATTGCAAAGAAAAAAAATATCAAATAAGCCTCAAAGATTAGTACAGTATCACTTGTTATCCTCAAATCACCACAACTCAAATTCACATAAAATCTAGTTTCATAAACTTAGTAATACAATTCTCATTCTACGAATTTCAATTCATTTGAGTAAATGCAATTGAAATTTGATTATTAAACATAATCATCCATGGCAACATGTTTCGTGCCCATGAAACTTCAACCTTAACATTTCAGGACAGATCATCTGATTTTATAAACAAAGATTTCAAATACCTGTTAACTTATTTAGGTCTCTTTATAACGTGTTAATACTCAAAAAATAACAGCACGTCAGTTATTTTTAGCACCTTTAGTTGCAAAATCACGAATCTGAGAAGACGTCCCCAATATTCCTCTCCTTGGCCCCTGCAAAGAATTACCTTACAAATGTTAAATGCATAACTTTCGACGAAAAGACAGATTTTCAGGTCAAAGTTAACTTCTCTACTTCTTAAAAAGGAGTGCAATCAAACAATAGAGCCGAGCTCATTTGACTTAGGCTATGAAAGATTTATCGCGGTTTAAGAAATCGATCATTAACTTCCAATATTTCTTAAAACTTCTCAGAGCAACCAAACAGAGTACAAATAATCAGACGTTACAAAAGAAACAGAGGCGGTTTTGTAAGAAATGAAATGAATGCATTAAAGGAGAAACCTACCTCTGGTTCAAGTACCGCGCGTTTCAAAAAGGAAGCCTTTCGTAGAAGCCTGGCCATGGAAAGCTGTGCGAAGCACTTCTCTTTTCCAAATACAAAAATGAAAGAATGTGAAAGAAAAATATTTTCAGTAGGGAAATATGCAGTCCGAAAATTTTGGGAGGGAATAGCAGAGGCTGTAACAGAAGAGAAAAAGACTCTTCACTCTGCTCTGTTTTTAGGGTTTTAGCTCTTTATTTTTGGTTTCCCTCCTTTTGTAACTTCTTCTGAACTGTCTGGTTTAAGGTGAATTAAGTAAATTTAATTAATTATAGATTGAACACAAAACGTGTGGGCCGCCTAGTACATGGCTGGAATACCCGACGATTAGTAAGAGAGAGAAGCCCGCCACGTGAGGAGGAAAATAATTTTAACCCTTTGTTTGAAAATAAGGATTTTTTAGAGAAGATAAAATATATGAAAAATAATAAGATTGAAGATTTTTTACTTCTTTCAAAAAGGTAGGCAATTATTAAAGCATAGATAATATGTATTTTTTTCTCTGATCCATGAAATTAGATTTTATTTTTTTAAATCACCCGGTATCCGACACAGTCAATTAATCCGAATTTGGGTTCTATAGAGGCCTATCATAGGGACGGCTCTCCTAATCCAATTTTCTCCATTCACAGTGCTAGAGTTCGAACCCTACACGTTATTTTAAGAGATCCAGAACTTCATCCCACTCGACCAATAAAATTATAATTTCTTTAAATTGATAAAAAAATAATAAATGAATTGAAAAAATTGCATTCTTAGTGTGAAATAAATTTCATTGTTTATTTTTCTCATTATTTTCTTCTCTTTGCATCAAACAAAGCCTTTTTTTTTTAACTGAAAAAAATGAGAATAAAAGCTGAAGTTTTTATTAACAATAAAATGTGATAAGTTATGTTCATTTACCTAAAAAAAAAAATAAAGAATAAAATATTTGACTTAGGATGGCAGGGATCATTTCTCTTACTAAGGTTTTAAGTTTCAACCCTATTAGAAGTTTTAAGTTTTAACTTTAGATATAGAGTCCCTTTAAATATTCAAAAGAGAGAATTAACTCCTTTTATATACATGCTTGAAACGAATAAAGAAAAATTACTTTTTATAAATTTACTATTAAACTTTATTACTTTTTATAGCATTACTATCTTGAGAAAGGAACAAGTTAACATTGATTTGATTTGATGTATAGTTTATTATTATCTTTATATTTGAAGTATAATGAAAAATAAGATGCCTTGACTTAGAAAAAATACATTAGTTTGATGGGTGGTTTATTATTGTTTTCATATTTGAAGTATAATGGAAAATTAGGATGAGCTTACTTAGAGAAAACATTTTTTTTTCAATTAAAAGAAATAATAACTTTTTTCTTTGCATAACATTTCATGTGTTCACTCAGTAATAATAAAAAATTATATTTAACTTTCATAATTAAAAGAAATAAAATATTATAATATAAATTTAAAATTTTTTATTTGAAAATTCTGAAATTTTATTATTAATTATTTATTCTACTAATAATAATGTCAAGTTTTTTTATTTTATAAAACTTTCAAAAAAATAACGGATATAATATATTTATAATAATGAAATTAATTTTTTATATTATTTAAATATTTTTATAGTTATTTTTTCTTATTTAAAAACTTTTCAAAAAAATAACCGCTATAATATATTGCTATAATAATGAACAAAGAAGTTTCATTTTTATTATACTTCACCTTTGTTTTTTCCATATAAATAATAGCTTCTTTATTATAAAAACTATTATATATCTAATTTTAATTATAAAAATATCATTTTTAAAAAAATAAAAAATAACAGTTTCAAAAACATTATTTATTATTAAAAAAAGTGTTAAACAATTCAAAACTCTGTTGAGTTTTACAAATTTATATTGACACTCGTTTAAACTTATTCAAACAATAAAAACCATAAATGTAAGAGACGATATTCTGTCGATCTAGTGCAATAAATTGCCTTGCATCCACAGTAGCAAGTAACTGCACCAACGTTACTTCCTAATAACTAATGTTCAGGGGGCCTACTATTACGCATTTATTATTTATAATAATAATATCAATTTTTATGATTTTGTAAAATTTTTTAAAATAAAGGATATACTATATTTGTAATAATAAGATTAATTACATATTAAAAAATAATGTAATTTTTTTATGTTATTTGAATAATTTTTATTTTTTCAATAAAAATATTTTATAGAAAAAACTATTTATATATTATAATTTTAATTATAAAAATATCATTTTTAAAAAATAAAAAAACAGTTCAAAAACATGTATTTTATTATTAAAAAAAGTGTTAAACAATTCAAAACTCTGTTAGTTTTACAAATTTATATACACTCTTAAATCTTATTCAAACAAAAAACCATGAACATAGTAAAAATAATATGCAGTAGGTAACAATCATGCATCCACAGTAGCAAGTAACGCTGACCAACGTACTTCTAATAACAATATCATATATACCATTTTCCTCAAGGAAAAATTGGCTCATCAGCTTTAATACGAAATCGACAAAACGAAAAACAATTTTCCCAACAAACAAATGAAAAGAACCACCAACCACTGCAGTGAAATCAATGACTTGAGATAGTTGACTAAGGAAAACATATATAGATTATAAAGCTAAAGACATTAATGTTTTGGGTATAAAAGAGTTCACAAAACCTTAATACCAACATACATTGATTGATAAAATAAATAATAACCCCTAACTATCTTCACCACCATTCTCTCCAAACCAAGAGGACAAGGGAAAGAAAAAAACTCCAAACCAATAATAGTTCATAAAGGACTAACGAAAATAAATAAATTAAAAAAAAATAAATGACTCCCAAAACTTCAAAACCCCTCCCTTTCTGTTCCTCTCCAAAGATATCAGCAAATTCTCCCTCCAAACTTCAATCGAACTCTACTGTTGCTTGCACTCTGGAGGCCTCTCACCCTGCTGACCATCCCCAGCTTGTGTTCTTCCACCCTTCTGTGTTAAGTAACACGACATTAAAGAATAAGTTTAAATATTAAGTAATAAATAATTAGACGTGAAATAAAAAAAGAGAGAAAGAGGATCACAAAAGGACTAGGTTCCAAAAAAATGAGCAACTGATTGGCTGATGGCTACCTTATGCCCGGCTGACAGCTGCACCCAATTCACAAACAATAATTAGCATCATGTAAATTATTCAAAAAGAAAAAATAAAGATGGCAATAAATTAGGATCAACTAAAATGTCTACTGTATCAGACCTTCTTTTTGGTCTTGCTTTCATCCTCGTCCTCATCCTCATCTTCATCCTCTTCATCCTCATCATCATCATCAATATCTTCATCGTCGTCGTCGTCATCATCATCATCATCATCTATTCCAAGGTCATCCCCCTGGATAGCCTCACCCGTAAACCAAGACACAGCATGAGGGATGATCTTGTCTCGAATAGTTGACCTGAATTAAAAATTTAACACAAGATATACACGTGAATTCAAACAAACCAAACAAAGCAAAAGAAAAGAGATTTGGGGGGATGATGGAGTCAGAATTCCAAAATTACTAGTAATGACAACTTGAGGCATTAACAACATACTAATCACATAAGAAATACATTCATGCCTAAATTGTCAAAGAAAACCCACCCAACGTCATAATCTTGTTCCATTTGATTTTGGAGCTCCTCCGCCTAGTCAAGAAGATAAGAAAAAGAATTAGAACAACAGTAAACAACTTCTATATGAAAGAATTAGATCAACGATAAGCAGCAAAGCTATCATCAAACTTATATAATGTAATGATAATCATACAGTATCTTCATCAATATCTTCATCATCCTCAGGGACTTGAGGTGGATTGAAGAAGTTGAAAAAACTTTCACAATCCTCAGTTTTTGTGATTGGCTTGGCATTCTTTGATCCTTTTTTTGGCTTCTTCTTAAGGAGCTTCTGTGTTAAGGTTTTTCCTGGATACCATTCAATCTCCGTCCTACAAAGAGCCAGGTACCAAATAGATATCAGCAGTGAGGAGAATAAGAACTGATGGGTTTTCTTAATAACCTAATTGCAGGAAAACAAGCTTATCAGCAAAGAGAAAGCTGTCTGCATTATAACAATAGGAACAGAAGTTACCCTATGGCTTTCTCGAGAATGGGCTCATCTTCATCAATCATATGATATGTCTTTGTCAATACTGTGTTCTTGAAATAAGGATTGGTGTCAAAGAAGAATTCAAGCTTGAATCCCTTGGGATCATCTATCCTGCACCACTTGATGTCTTTAAGGTACTTCAGAGCCCCTTCATCACGCTCCGTTATCTATACTCAAATGAGAAGAAGCAAAAAACAATCAATGATTTGAAAAGAATTCAACCTCATAAAAACTAATAGACCAAAATATGACATTTCAACAACAAACCTCCTCAGCTAACACTTCATTGTTCTTCATTGCAGTGAGCCAAAAATCAGGGACACCTTTTTCTGGATTGAACATATTCACATATCAAGTAAGGAAAATTAACCAGAAGGGGCGAAGTCATCCTTGAATAATGTTTGGAACGTACCTTCAACAGTTTTATCTCCTTCTTGCTCCATTCCAGCTTCATTTGCAGCCGCATCAACTTCAACAGCGCCATTCACAATATCATATCTCTGCAAGTGATTGTTTCAATATTATTAATGCAGGCATGACAAGTGAAAACAAAATTAAATGCACGCAAGGAATTGCCATGCTCTAGGGGAGCAGATCATGATAAATCTCTATTTTCCAACAAGAACAATAATATCATTTAAGCATTGTTCATAATTCAGTATATAGTCTAGAATCTTTCTAGCTCACTTGCAGGTAGATTTTCATGAGCCCAACAATGATGATAGAATCATACCTTGGCGTACAGTGGTTGGTACAGTTTTTGATATTTGGCTTCAAGTGCTGCTCTCTCCTCAAAGAATTTTGCCTCTAGTTCATCATGTTGGCTCTGTACGTCAATAAATCTTACATATTTTAATAATGTTTCCACACATGAACGCAAGCAGATTTGGACAAACCAAAAGCAAATAACAGGGAGAGACATGCAATGGCAAACAGGCAAGAATAAAGGGGGGGAAAAAAATACCATATTTCAGTACAATTGTAGGATAAATTGAACATTACAAGCTAATAACTATACTGGAAACTCTGTTTTGCAAGAGCAATAGGAATCCAGTCAAATGTAGTTGTACAGTTGCTGCAATGCTCAACCTCCTAAAGCTACAGTAAGAGACATACTGAAAACACATACGCTGGATTAAAAACCCAATTTATCTAATTCAGTCATTAACAGAGTCAAAAGGTTCAATCAGAACAATGCTACAAGAAACTACTTCATTTGTGTAATTTTGTTGGTTATGTTAAGCAAATGGACGACATAAACTCATGTAGTCAACAATTCCATCTTATCGTTTTCCATGAAAAGGAAATCCTAATGATCGCAACTGACTAATGTGAATATTTGAAACTTCCAACATATTATACTGTTGTAATATTTTAACCCATAATAGAAAAACTCGCAATTCAAGCTTACCATATTGACAAACACAAAGCATAAATATCAATTGCGTATCAAAATTAAATGAATGAAGTGCAAAGACAAATCATCAAAATCAAAGGACATGCCTGGATCTCCCTGAGAACCTCAACGCGTTTCCTGACGTTTGGAGAGAGGCTCTCCAGCACATCAGTGTGCTCACCAGCCAGAGTTTGTAGCTTATTCTGCAAAAACAGATACCCAATCCGATCAGCGAATAAAACCTCACTCATAAACAGAAAATTAAGATAGAAAACCAAACGAAAAACTAAAACAATAGAGTAATACTGTTAGTTAATCCATTTGAGCTCACGAAGTAAACAAGCTATATCAAACCAAACTCTTGCCCCAAAATAAACTTGAATTGTAAACAAGAACAGTCTATTTGGTTAGAAAAAGGGAAACAAACTTCATTTCTTAATTTTTTCAGCAACCAAACAGAGAACAGAGTAGGTCACTAACCTTGAGCACGTCAACGAGGCCTGCTCGATTCTCATCACTAAGGGCTACAAAAAGCACAGCCAAGACAGAAAATAAGTTACCAATCGAAAAGATTAGAGAGAAAGAAAGAGGATTAGGGGTTCAGAGAAAAGAGATTACCGGCAGTGAGATCGGCCATGCTGAAGTTATCTTTGTCGTTGCTCATGGTGATGATTAAATAGAAAAGCTAAAGCTAAAGCTAAAACCCTAGATTGGGGTATAGTGCAGAGAGTATGGGAGAGGCGAAAGGGGTTGAGAGCGAGAGAGAGAGAGGCGTCTTTAACTGAAACCCTCGTTCAAATCCCCTCCCTCTCTTTATAGACCTAATAACACCTGCCTGCCTCACGCTTTATTATGTTAGCGGCAGTGAATATTTTGTATAAATTTAAATTTAAATTAGTTTTTTTAAGTCTTTTTAACTTTGACGCAAAAGATAAGACTGCGTTTGTTGGCAAAACAGTTGGTTTCAAGAAATGTTGGGTTTTTTTTTCTTATTTTTATTCAGAATTAAATTTTTTAATATGTATTTATTTACAATAATTATCAGTTTTATCATTTTATAATTTTATAATCTTTCTAAAACAAATATTTTCATTGCAAATTTATTCATCAAAATTATCTAAATTTTTTCATGATTATTTAGTACAAATATTTAAAAAAGGGATATATTGTAATTTTAATTGCAAAAAGGTACTTTTTAAATGCAAAAACATAAAGTTTGATATAAATGAAAACTAAAAAACAATTAATCTATATTCAAATTACTCAAATTTTCTACAAGTAAAAAAATTTTTTTTAATTTTTTTTTTCAATAGAATATTTTGCATTGACCTAGTTTCTTTTAGAGTATCAAATGCCCAAAAAAATAAAAAACGTATTTCCCGTGAATAAATGAAATCTTAATTAATCTAAATGAGTTTAAAGCATATTTTATCTTATAATATCCTTAATGATTATCAATTAAAATATTTTAATTTAAAATATAGATAATATTTAATTAATTAAATTAAAAATTAAAATATAGATAATACTTAATTTAAAAGTTTCCAAGGTGAAAATAAATCTAGAATTTGGTATTTTCTTCTAATAAGGAAATAATTAAAACCCATTCATACGTGATATTAGTACATTTTTATGGAAAAAAATATAACAATTTTATTTAAACAAGGAAATAAAACTCAGGGACCCATATATTATTGGTACGTTTTATAGTATATTTGTGCATTATATAAATTTGAATAGGTTTCATTTGATTTTTCATTAACAAATTGAATTCAAATAAATTAATTCGGATAATTTGAGAATTTATAATGATAAATCCTTTTTGAATTTTTTGTATTATTTTTAATTACATTAATTGATCAAATTAGCAATGAAATGTAATTGTCATTTACTAGATTTACTATAAAAGTTACCAATAATATATGGGTAAGTCCATAAATTTTATTTCCTTGTTTAATTAAATTGTCATATTTTTTTCCATAAAAATTTTCTAATATTATGTTTGAGTGAGTTTTAATTATTTCCTTATTAGACGAAAATACCAAATTTCAGATTTAATTTTCAAAATATGATTGTTAATTCTAAATTTAAAAAAAATATTATAGTAAATATGACTAAATCATAATCTAAATAATATTTCAAAACTAATGATGTCCTTATAATTTTTTCTTCAACCAGAAGCGTAAAAAGTTTATTATTAATTAATTGTATATTTCAATATTTTGTTAGTAGTAATAATAATATATTTATTGACTAAAATATATATGAAATAAGCATAAAACAAAAAAAAAAAAACAATTATTAATTTATTCTAGAAAGAGAGATATAATTAAAATTTGGAATAAATAAAAAAAAAAATAGTGAGTTTATTTTTATGGGATGAAGATTATTTGTAATATTATTTAAATTATTATAATATTAATAAGATTATTTATAGAATTGTTGACTCATATGGAAACTAAAATTTGATATTTTGTCAGAGAAGGAAAATCTTAAAACTCCTTTGCCCACAATCCATAATATTAGTATGTTCTATGGAATGAAAATCAAAATTTTTTTTATAAACAAAGAAATAAAAGTTAGCAATCCGTATTATTAGTAGGTTAATCGCAAATATAGATAAATGCAAATCTACTTGACATATCAAAATCTAGTTGACATATGTGAATGTAGTTGACATGTATAGTCATTATAGTTGACATTTATAAATAAAAAAAGAATAATAAAATATATTTTTTATCTATAAATGTACATATTTTTAATGCCAGCAAAAATCAACATATGTTTGTTTATATATTTTCACTTTCCAATTGCATCCATGGAATATACTAAATAAAATTAAACTTTTATTGTCCTCCTTAAAAAAGAAAATAAATACATGGATAGGGTAACACATGGACCGTTCTAATTTGATCCAATCCGAGCAACCTAATTCAATCTAGCCCAATTTAACGGGTTTGAAAATATAATGGGTTGAGTTGTACTGATCATTTTTATAATTTAGGGTTGGGCTGGATTACGGGTTCATTGGAAAAACTGCATACCCGACCCGACCCGACCGGTAAATAATATATATAAAATTATGAAATATTTAAGTTAATTTAATTTGATTTATAATTTTGAATATAAATACTAAATTATTAACATATTTAGTAAACTTTGCTTTTTAATAGTATTTTATTTCTTTAGTAGAACTTTTTTTTTTTAAATGTTGCGAATATATTGTAGTTTAAAACATATTGTATAATTATATTACTAAGTATTTTTAATTTTGTTGGTTGTTTTATTATTATTATTATTATTATTACTAAAAAATTTAATTTTAATGTTGTTATTTGAATATATTTATGGTTTGTGAAAATTATTGTATAATTTTATATATTTATAACTTCTCTTAAATAATTATATTTTATTAAAAATATTTTATTTAAAATTATTTTTATTATTTGTCATTTATTTGACAACAGATTCATATTGAACCCCTTCCTTACCCAATTCAATATGTTCATAATCTGCGGTTTTATGCATTTAATGAGTTTAATTGAGAAAAAAAAAATCTACGACCTAATATATTCATAATTTGTTTTTTTTGGTACAAACTCAAATTCTAATTTTATCTACAAGATGTATTTTTTTTTTCAAACGACATAAAATTGAAAAAAAATAACGGAGGCATGAAATAATAAAATTATTATCATTTTATATTTACAATAATTTTTTGAAGATGTGCTACCATTAGTATTACATGCAAATTTTTGTGTATCATATTAAATTTATTTTCTTAATCGGATCAAAAATGTATTTACAGAAAATTTAATATAAATAAAGATAGGACTTCGATAAACAAATATATAATCATAAACATAATCACGAATAATTGTAAAATATAAAATATAAATAAATAAAAAATTAATATAATCACAAACAAAACAAGTAGCAGATAGTTCACTTAGCTTAGTTGGCGATAGCATCAAAATATCAAATGATGATGTGGAGCTGTTTTGAGAGTCGCGCCTCGCTTGATGTCAACTGGAAAGCACAAAAAATAAAATAAAATAAAATAAAATGAAAGCAGAAAGAGAATTTTGTTTTTTAAAATGAGATCCATTGTAAGGAGATTGACATCAAACAGATCATAATTATAACATATCAAATTTCAAAGAATTAAAAAAATGATAATAATAAATCCAGATCTATATTGAAATGATTAAAAACCTAAAAAAAAAAAAAAAATATCAATTCTCATAAAACAATATGAAAATAATGAAATAACCAGTGAATGCACTATTAAATTAAAATAATTAAAAAATAGAGAATAGACTATAACACCAGAAAAAAATAAATCGGCAATCGTCAAATGATTGATTTTTAAGAAGTAATGAAGAAAAACGAGAGACGAGATGGAAGGCGGCTAGGGTTTTATACTGGAAAATCGCGTTTGTATATATATATATATATATATGCAATGTTAATTTAGAGAATGTTATTAATTATATCTAAACGCGTTAAAAAATAGAACATAAATGAATTTAATGTTATAATCTATTCAAGATTTTTAATTTAAAGTGAATGAAAGGTTAAGTAAAAAGAAAAAAAAAAAAAATTTACTCAATGGTCTTTTCATAGGTGTTTATGCTCTACTATTAAGTCCCCCTTGAAAATGTAAAATCCACTATGGTTGAAAAATGTTGTCTTTCGACTCTAGGGAAGTTTTGGTTATTGAAATCTCATTGGAGAGCTTGTGGAAATGTAAAATTTGGTGTTTGATAATATAGGAGTACTACATGAAAAAAAAAAAAAAAAAAAATATATATAAATGTTGTCTTCGACACTGAGGTAAGATTAGTTAATGAACATCTCATAGAAGAATCTTTTAGAGGAATATGAAATTTGAGATTTTTATAATATAGGAGTACGTAAACATGAAAAAAGAGAAAAAAAAAAACAGAATACAGAGAAAAAAAAAAAAAAAAAAAAAATCGAATTTCTCTAGATGGGTCCTATGAGAAAGTGCATATCATATGGTGAGAAAGTCAAATTCCTACTAATAAAATAAGATAATTTAAAAAATAAAATGACATTAATACACAATTAATTACCTATGTTATTAAGAAAAATTTTATTGTTTCCCAAAAGTTTTGAAATTATTTTCCAATAAATCTACTTTTATAGGAAAGTAAATTTTCATAGAAAAAGTTGAATTCGGATAACCAAATGCCTCTTTAGATAAAAATTTTCACCCATTTTCCGTTAAAGCTTTGAATAAGAAACATTTTGTATTGTTTTTTTTTTTTTTTTTTTTTTTTTTTGTATTTTTTTTTTTATATCTTTTTAAATATATAATTGGTAATAAATGCTAATCACTTCTCAAACGTTTGAAATAGTATAGTAAATAACCTTAATAGGGCGCGGTTCCCGCGACACTTCATTGAGGTGCCTCATCGGTGTCTACTAGCCAGCGGATGGCATATGAGATTGTAATCATATTATAATACATAAAAGAATAGAGAATCTCCTATTTTTTTTTTTTTTTTTTTTTTTTTTAAATATATATTTTGTATAAATGCTAATGCACTTCTCCAAACGTTTGAAATAGTATATAAAATATTATAGGCCCATTTAGTTTAACTGTTCGTATCAGTGGATGGTTATTAGCTGTCAATATTTTATTAAAAAAATTGAATTCTATGATTTATTTTATTCCTTTCCCTCACATACATACACATTTATATAATAATACAATGATTAATATTAATTGTTAATTGTCCTAATAGTTGTCTGTTGTTAAACTGTTTCATCAAAGGTTTCTCATACATAATGTTATTTGTCACCATAAAATATTTTTTTTTGAACAAAAAAAAGTTATTAATAGAAAAAAAAATCATTTTAGAACTCTTAAAGTTTTATTATTTATTACTATTTTTTTTTTTTTTTATGAATTTTATCACTCTAAGGAGTTCTTTAATGATGAAAGTAAGATTTATAAGAAAATTATGATAGGTAAATTGTAAATTCTTTAAAAGATTTTGCTAAGTGGTTAAAGCTCCAAAAATTTAAAAGTATAAGAATAATTTTTATACTGAAAAAAAATTGAAATAAAAAATCTTTAAATGATTTTTTTAATGAAAAGACATAAAAATATGGGAGCACAATATAAAGCAATAGACGTTAAGAAATTCAAAATATAAAACACAGTATACTTTAGAGTTTTAAGATTATTTTTTTTCTTTTAATAGCAATTATAAAAAATAATTTATAACAAGTAAATAAAAGGTGTAGGATCTTTTTATTAAAATATTACCTTTCAGAACATCCATGAGGCCAACGCACAAGGTTTACAAGCAAGACTACTGAATCCTCACATAGGGGCATGAATCGACGTCATCATGCATATCACCTGCTGTCCTGCTTAGACAGGCTCCTTCCTTCCTTGTGGTCCAAAAGCAAAAAATTCACTGCATGAATTTGTTTAATTCAGGTTCTGCCTGCTGGAATAAATGGTTACAGAATAGCCCCAAGCAGCTTTCTTGTTTTATGCCTTAAATTCAACCATAATAGACCAGAATAGGGCCTAGACACTAGGAGGAGCAAGAACAACTTTGAACAAAGCAACATAAATTTAAAGCTCTTTCCAAAACATACTAGAAATTCAATAAACCATATGGTAACCACTGGATTATCATGCTCACATGGAGTTATTTTTCACAATATTCACTTGTCTAACAATCGCAGTGGAAGTATTGGGTTGAGCTGCACCTACTCTCCCCACCCAAAGACAGCTTTTTCCTCATCCATAAAAGAGAAAAAATATATCAGACAAACAAAAGGAGATTGAAGTCTCATTGGGTGGATGTTCCAGCTTCCGCATTCTCGCTAGCATTGGCTGCCTTCTCTGGTTCCAAAATACGCCCACTCATTGGATCAACTGGACGTGTGTCACGAGGTCCACCTTTACGTGCTATTGCAGCCATTGGGGGTGGAGGCAGTACCCCTGCCCTGAAAAGAATTCGCTGGACAGGATCTGAAGGCTGAGCACCAACAGATAACCAATACCTGTAGTAACCAACAGAACAAATACTGAAATTAGAAGTTAAAAGAAAAAACTCAGGTATTTGCTTCCTCATTTAATTTGACAAGACAAATGGTGATGATCGATAAGAGCTTGGAGACGAAGGATTTAACATTTTTTTCTTCTCATTTTCTGCCTGGAGAAACAATGTTATTGGCCTATTGCTTAGTTTTCTACTTCTACTACAATTCCAAACAAGGACATTTCATATCAAGCTAAAAGGTGGAGTGAAGGATATTTCAGAACCAAAAACAAGCACATATCTGAATCTTCTTTGTCAAAAACAGCTTTAAATTCAGTACAGCTCAGAATATAAATTTTAGTTAACATCATTTTACCATAAGTATCATGGTATAGGGCCCATAGGCATCGAAGAGGAATTCTGGAAATCATCATAAGAACGACAGCCATATTGCTGAAACTAGCACAAAGGAAGTGAGCCATGGATTGGCCAAATGAAGACGTCCGCAGATGATAAAAATATATGTAATTGCCAAAAGAAAGGAACAAATGTTGCATCCTAAACCATTACATTCCTACTAAAAACTGTAGGTTAATATATAATGATATTTAGAACTGAGGTATTACTAATGCACCAAAATGGACAAATTTAAATTCATTCTGATCAATTAAGCATGAAAAGGATTTTCTTGACCTAGAGGCTCATGCTAAACAAATAAGAAATAAAATACAAACTTCATATGTAATCAACTTCACCCTATATGAGCATATCTTAATGATCTTTGTGATAAGCTTTCTAACACTACAATCTCTTATGCTGGCCATTCATGTCTTCATTTAGTGATTTAACTTCCTCACTTCATTCTTCCAGTTTCATAATGTTAGCATTGCTATCCTCTTCATTTTCCCTAGTTAAAGTATGGCCTCCTTGATAACTTGAGGCTTTTTTCCTCCCTAGTTTCATTGATGCAGCCAGTTCACATTCTCTCGGTCATTGCTGGGGAAGCTGCCTCATAATTGAGTATTAGGTCATTTCAGCCAGAAAGATTTTTCAACCACTTCGTGATTCTACCTCCATTCCCCACCCCCCACACTTCTCTCTTCTTACATTTTACTTAGGTTCTCTCAGATTCCCATCATCCCTAGTGCTTTGATCTCTTTCAGTTCTACTTCAATATCCAATATCACCTTTGGGTGGAAATGGACAATAATCCTCCTGATTCTGTTCTTAGTTATGGTTTAGCTCCATAAATTCAAAGATATATCATGGTTCTAAAAATATTCTTTTTACCTCAAGTCACTTTGTCACAAGTTTGAGTTTCAAAAGTGCTTATAGAATAAGGCTTTCGGATGCAAAACATTCTCAAAAGGTTTACAACCTGTGATTGGTTGCGATGATGCTAAGACCTCATATGCAAGGATTTTGATAACATTTTAATCTGTTCAGTCAGACTGATAGGATCATCTACATACAGGAGCAATACTTATCAGAAGCAACACTCATAATTAAAAGAAAAAACTTAAAAACAGAAAACATTTAGACTTGCTGCTAGCTGAAAATGCAATCCCAAGACACTTCCCTCCAAACCACCACTCCCAACTTTTGGAGGGAAAAAATAGGAAGAAAAAAAGTGATCTATAAGAGTAACAGAAGCAAAAGAATATGTACTAAACTAGAAAAATCATAAAATATAAAGTGGTGTCAAAAGCAATATGTAACTATAACTCTGTTTCAATCCATGCAGTCTGTCAGAAGCATTTGAATACAAACAAAAATAGAAAAAATCAATGGAACTAAAGTTTCAAGCAATCGAATCAATATTTCCAAAGGAGATATAACTGAAGGCAAGAAAGAATGAACATAGACACTGAATCTTGCAAGAGAAAAGAGTAAATGGAAGCTTACTTCACTCTCTCAAAATTAAGACCCATCCTTTTGCCCCCATCTTGACCTGTAAAAGACAGAAATATTTTGAAAGGACTTAGATTGCAATACAACAGATGACCGACAGAGGAAAACAGCAGAAAACAGTGTTTGATACTCCTTGCTCCATTTGGACAACAGAAAAGCCAGAGGTGAAGGAATGAAATGCTTAATGAGTTTATTAGCAAATCGTTAACATTTCCCCTTTGATCGATGGAAATTATAATCTTTGTCTAAACAAAATCACTTCTCATATTAGTGATCCAAAAAATAACAAATGTGTGAAATTTAATCAGAATTTCTGTTTCTCTTCAGTTTCCCAACAATTTCTTAGCAACAAAAGGGGCAATGCTATTACCCAGCCCCAATTTTCAGCTTAGGTATTAATTAAGGAACAACAAGAACAGCTAGTCACCATATAAAAGCTTGAATTTCACAGAGAGAAAAAGGAAACCTGGAAGGGGGTTGTAGTAACCAAGGACTTCAAGGTGTTTGCCATCTCTAGGGGATCTGCTATCAGCGGCCATTACCCGATAAAAAGGCTTGTTTTTGCACCCGAATCTCGACAATCGGATCCTTACCACCATCTTCTGTAACCTGCTTTAATTCGTTGAATTGATTTTACGAGGGAAATCGACAAGAGTAAAGAACTGAATCCTTCAACTCACTAGCAGCTAGGGTTTTGGGTTTTACACGATTTTTGAGTGATAAAATGCGAGAGTCGTTTTATCTTTGTCGTTTCGAGGGATAAAGTGTAATTTTTTAAAAATCAATTTTAAGATTAAGTAAATAATTAATCCTAATTCATAAATTGCAGTATAAATAATCCTTTTAAATGTCTCACGCAGTCGTTCGACCATATGTCATTCATATTATATTAGTCGGTACATCATTCCTAAAACGCTGTCGGTTAATCGATGACCATTGTCGTGAAACGACAGAACGTCTTATAACTATTACCGTCCATATATAAAACGCCGCTGTTATATGCACCGAATTCGAAAATGAAGTCTCAGTTTCTACAGAAAACTTCATCCTCTTCGTAGTCGGAGATGAAAGTAATTTGCAGGGTAGACAAGAACAAAACCTTTCTTCTTGGTCATATATGCAGATGAGAGGACAAAGTTTCCAAGTCCTTGAAATGGAAAAACCGCATATTGAGACCCCAAAATCTCCTTTCGCTTTCTCTTCTCATCGTAAGTCGCATCTCAAAAGCGAAACTTATCATACTCTTGTTCGAATTTTATCCCAATGTTACAAACATCCTGAACTCTGCGAACCGGCCCCACCCCCTCAGCAGCTAAGAACAGGTAACTAGCTGGTATTCTATGACTCCTTTTACATGAATTCGTCCCTTTTTCAGGCGCAACTTCTCGCCTCTTGTTATTTCTCTTGTTATTTGATTAAAATCTCGTGTTTGGATGCTGAGAATTTTGATTTTAAGTTGATAAGCCTTTTTTTTTTTGAATTACTTTAGAGTTCGTTTGGATTTAAAAGTAGAGATTTTGGTTTTGTTTTTTGTGCTTGAAGATGCAAAGGGAAGTTCCTTTAGTAGCATAAAAGTGTAACAGATTAATGCTCTTATAATTTGAAGCTAAATATAATTTATCATTAGTGAATTTCTGTTATAAGTTATTGATCTTATTAATGCGATGATGCTAGTTTTGGTGGCAGACGATCAGAGTAATGAACAGGGAGGAGCATCTGAAAAAGTTGTGTGCGAGAACATTGAATTGGCCACCCCTAGTGAAATGGATCACAATAATTCCTCCACTCGCAATAGTTTGTCGGTTAATGACAAATTTGACTCTGTTGGCTTACATGATAATACGTTTAGTGACACTCAATTGGTGATTAGTGAGATAGAGAACATCATGAGAATAGAAGAAGGTGACCATCGTTCTAAACAAAATGATGGTACTAACGAGACTGATTTGCAAGATCAAGGATTTGGTGAGTTGCAGCACTTTCTAATGGATGAATTAGAGCATTTAATGAAAGGGGATGAAGAAGTTTCTAGTGATAAAAATTGCAATTTCACGATGACATCATTGGGTGGGAATCTTAACCAGAGTCATAGTGAAGCAGTTGCATTATCTAATGACCGAGAACATTTGGATCTTCAAGCAATTGTAATGGAGGAATGTGAGGTTACAGGTCAGCAACAAGTTGACAAAGGATGCTCTAGTCGAAAGATCCTTGAAATCATTGACTCATCGTTAGATACAAGTGTGGCTAGTGCTGTTTCAAAATTGACAGATAATAGTGACGATAGAACTTCTGTGTTGACGACTAATGAATTAGAAGCCAATCATGAAATGCAGAAAAAAGACATGGAATCAGGGAAACCAGTTTGTACCAGTATTACTGTGGGTTCTCCTAATCATGTCATTGAAGATGCTGAAGTAGAAGAGGGACAGGTTTCTGGTGAGTTTGAGGTCAATGGAAAATTAATTGACGTGTTTTCTGAAGATATTGCAGCATCCCAGGAGCAGAAGAAGCAACTTGCTGAAGAAGTTAGAAATGAGATGGTCCATAAACGTAAAGTTGTTGTTTATGAAGATCCTATATTTGCTGAAGAGTCACATGGATTTAAGAAACAAAAGAAAGGTTCTGAAACCAAGGAGACAAAGAAGGGAAGCAGAACCAAGGGAAAGAAGAAAGGTAATACTGGTTCTAATAACTTGGGATTGTCTGCCAAAAAATCAGATCAAAATACAACTTTAAGCCAAGGAATTATACGTAAAGAGAAGGTATGATTCTTCTCGTAATTTTCTTTTGGCTTTACTAGTTCATGTGACTGTTTCGTTTCATGAATGTGTATTTTAGTGACAGAGTATGTTGGCTTGAAGTCATACTCTTCCTTCAAGTACAGGATCTTTTTGCTTTTCTTTTGTCTCACCATGCAGAGTCTTCTTTCTTCTGGGTGCAAGGTTGGGTTGCGTGGGTGGTTGTTATTGTCATTGAGAAATTGTTTGCACAATCTGTTTTGTTTTGTTTTCCTAGGCTAGGTAAGGTCTCCCTATCACTGGAATTTTTAGTGTTCAAGTACTCGTAACAAATCCTTAAAACCATTAACTCTGAGTGTGAATTAATTGATAACCACAAAAGTCCAAGTGATGCCTCTTCGTCTGTTGTCATTCCTTGTACATTTATTTCAACATGTTTTTCATAACTGTTTATTGTGAATTCCTGAAATTATGGAGGGCTTAGAGCTACAGGACCATGGTGAAATTGTTAGGTTAAAATCTGGATTTTAACCCTTTTTTGTCATTGTTCAGCTGCCACAGGATGCTGGTCTATGCAATAAGCAAAAGCGGGGAACTCCTTCCGAGCAAAAGAAAGTGAAGAAAAAGGTTGTACATATTCCCATCCTTATTTCTCTGGTGTTAGACTGATTTCTTTGTCCAAGTAGTTTGTTGATTCTGAAATTTTGCCGGTTACTATTTTTTGGTCAATTATTTTTGTTTTCTACAATTCATCTAAAAAAGTTTATCTACGCATCCTTGAGACCAAGGTTACCTTTCTTTATTTGAAGTTTACAAATTTTAAAAGTTCATTTTCTTTTTTCAGGAAGCAAAACGAAAGAAACGAGCACAAAAGAATCGAGAACTTGGTGTCAAGAGGCTGAAACTACGTCCAGTAGAGAAACCAAAAACTGTGATATACTGTCGCCATTACATCAACGGGAGATGCTATGAGGTAATTGTGACTCTGCTTTATATTCTATTATTCTTGTAATCTTGTCTGATCTTTTTATTGATTTCTGAACTGCTTCAAATAACAACATCCTTATGTGGCAGCAAAGGTGCATTCTGCCAGTTATTAGAAAACTCGAATAAGAGCTTAATTTTGTGAGCTCTGCTTTGCTGTTGGTTGTTTGATAAACTGTATTACTAATGCTTATGCTGATCTCTCGTGAATGTTCTGCACTACTGCTTTTGTGTCGTATCACAATGACTACTTTTGTTTTGTTGCATAATTATTGTTCTTTTCATTACTCTTAGCTTTCTTAGAATACATGCTCATGCAATACATGCATGTACAAGCCATTTTGAAAAGTTCAAGCTGTTGTATTTATTGTTATTCTCCTCCTTAAATGTGTGAGATTCATTGTATTTGACAAAATTCTTGATCATATGAAAAAATAGCCAAAATAGACCCGCCTCTTGAGTAATCTCTTGTTTCCTTTCACTCCCATTTTCAGAAAGGATCAATTTATGTCTACTAGCATAAAGGCAGTCCTTAAATTTTTCTTTCCTTCCTCTTTTTTAAGCCAACCAAACTATTGAATTCCCTCATATTCCCTGCTTTTAATTGGATATCCTATCAACGAAGGTCATTTGGGGTGGAATTCCTGAAATGGGGTTCTCTACTGGACGTGGGGCAGCCAGTGCTTGGAAGAACTACTCTTTTATTGAGATTAATTCGTTGTTTCATGACTAGTGATCTATTTTAGTTATTTAGCCTGCTGCTTTTTATTAACATTTTTTCCCATTTCTTTTACAGGGCGAAAAATGCAAGTTTTCACATGATACAATACCAGTGACAAAATCCATGGTAACATTTTGCTTGGTACTTTTATTTAGGATTATGTCTGTTTTTGTCATGTGCAGCTAACAAGATGGGAAATCAGTTTTTTTATCAGTGGGTAGTCATTAAGTGGGTTCTTTATTGTTGTGTGTAGTTATTAGTCTTTAGCTCTGCATTTAGTTTTGTAAAAGGTTGTGAATTAATGAAAGATGGGAGCAGAATTTTAAACAAAGGTTTGAGTTCCTAGAACTCAGAGATTAGTAAATTTTTCTCTTAACAAGCTCTAGAGTTCATTAGGTTCTCTCTTATCGAACCCTAATTCTATTCTTAAATTCAATCAAATAGGCCCCTAACTAGGTCCACACTTGGGACCGTAACAGGAAGGGTTTTCCTTTACCTTCTCAGAAGTTAGAATGGAGATTTTGCTACTATATTCTTATTTAGCCTGAATGTCATAAGGCTGGGTTTTGGATTTGTTTAATCTCTCTTCTTTTCAATCCATATAACTTCAAAGGAAGGTCTCTATGTGACAATCTGCCAGTTTTATTTTTCTGGATTCCTTATTGGTTGATTTGTTGAGTTTATTATTATTGATGCTAAGTGTTATCTGTCACACATTTGGATATTGCAGCCCTGTTCTCATTTTGTACATCGCATGTGCTTGAAAGGGGATGATTGTCCATTTGACCATGAGCTCTCCAAGTATCCATGTACTAATTATGTGACAACAGGTTCTTGCAGCAGAGGTGAGGGTTGCATGTTTTCACACAAGGTATCTTCTTCCCTTACAGAATCCTTTGATTTGTAATTACTTACTTGCTTATAGTGCACTAAATCAGATATGTGTGTTCCCTATCTTCACCTTGGATTTGTTATTGAGCTCATTTCGTATCTAATTGACGCTACCTTTACCTCAGTTACCTCTCAAGGATGATCTTCCATCTAATTCAAATGCTTGCACTCCTGAACTGAAGCCTGCATCCTTGATGAGCATTTCAAATTGTAAGAAGCAACTTGATAGTGGTGGAACTTCCCATAACACCATCAAAGCTTCTCCTGACAGTGTGGGAAATATTTCTCGGAAAAATCCAGAACAAAATTTAGCCAAGAGTGTTCCAAGTGCCCCTGTGCCAGTACCAAAAGGCATTAGATTTTTCTCTGCTGGAAAGTCATGTGTTACTAAATCTAATCCTTCTGCACTGGGTGGTTCAGCTGTCACAAGGAATGAAGGGTTCAAAGCTGGATGTCAGACAGATCAAAATGCATCTGGCACAGTTCAAATTTCAAATGAGATTCCAAGGGGAACTCCAGCTGTTGTGACACCCAAGGGGATAAATTTCCTTTCCTTTGGCAAACCTCCATCAGGATTTTCCAGCACTAGGAAATTAACAAGCAATACTGGTGCTAAGTTATCTTTACCAAACAATTTTAGTGTGATTAAGCGATCTATCTCACATATAAACTTGGGTAATAGCATCCAAGCTAGCAACGAAACGAGCCAAAGTGTGTCAAACACATCTCCTTGGTTGAATAAGATGCTGCAAACTGAATTTGCAATGGAAACTCAGAAGTCAAAAATTTTGTCATTCGGAGAATCTTCAACAGATGGTCCCAAAAGTACTACACAAGGTAGCTTGCCCTCCAGTTCAGCCACATGTGTTGGTAGATCCGCTCAAGCAAGTGAAATTGCACCCAACAAGTGTGAGAATTCAAGTGCAATTTCACAGGAACGATCAATTTCTCCACTTGGTTTAGGTCACTCTGCAGATTACTCCGCACCTGCATGCTTAAAAAACACACCAAATTCAGTTCAGAAGGCACTGATATCAACTCTTGCATTTGCGGCAAAGGTTGAATCTGGAATGAAGATGAAGCAATCCACCAATGGTGCTATTGCTGTTGATAGTGGAGTTGGCAAGGAAACTGCTATGGCCAAAGGTCCACAGAATAACTCAGCAAAAGCATAAAAAAATTTGGATTTATATCTAGTATTGGCGGTAAAATGACACAGTAAATAGGAGCTTGGAACATAACCTGATATAAGTTGTGCCGTATGTGAGAATCATGGAGCTAAATCTTAAGCTTTGGGCACCCGAAACACCTCACGAAATAGAGAAGGCCATTTCCTGGTCATTTAGCAATTGATGGTTCAGTTTTACCCTTTCCATCTGCAGCATTGCTTGACAAGGTACAGTTTGCAAATCTCCGCTCCTCCTTGCATTCTTATATCTTCTTTAATTTTCGCAATTGATTTGCACATTGCACTTGACAGCTTTTAGTTGACAATAATAAATCTTAAAATTAATGGAGGTGAACTGAGTGCATATTTTGACTAATCTCGTGGAATACACATTTTAAAGATTCAGCTGGCTGCAGCAGCCTTGGCAGATTCTCCGATGGTATCACTGCCGAATCCTAGCTTATTTCCAGACAACATGGAAGTCTATTTACCAGAGAACGTTGCTTTGCTTTCTGCTTCATAATGGAAGAAGTTGCCGTGGCTGTACATATTTTACACTGTTAGTTTGTCAATCAAATGCTCTAGCAACTAGCCAGGTTAACATTAACAAAAATCTCATTCCTGGTCTGTCATGAAATTGTTCTGCTAATAGCAGTAGGTTATATCATGAACATATCTTATAAATATTGGATGATATTTATTTTGAATTGAAATTTAGAATTAATTTTTATTTATTATAATTAATTCTAAAAATGGATCTTTTTTTTTTTTTTTTAAATAAATTTATTTTTAGAATTAATTCTAAAAATGGATCTTTTTTTTTTTTTTAAATAATGTCTTTTTTTTTTTTTTTAAATAATGTCTCATTGAGATGTGAAGATGAAGGCAAACCATAGTGGTTCACTTTGTGCAGAGACACTCAATTGCACATCCACTCCTTTGCAAACAAGCAACAGTGTTGCTACAATTTCTATACAGGAAATTTCCAGTTTAATTAATTAGAAGGATTCAATAATTTTCTCCCAAATGTTCCTTAGGGTTAACTAAAGTAGAGCATACAGCATAGAGCATCTATTTATGAGGGGATGTCCTTACCAAAGCCTTGGATCTGATGAAGAACCGCGCAAGAAAATGCAAATATTAATTAATGCTGTCTCGAACTCAGGAACCCTAAATTAATATCAGAGTGTACTATATATTCCCCACATCACAGCTTTTTTCCAACCTTTTTTTGAATTTTTTTTTTCTCACTGGCAATAATTCACAGCCAAACCAAGAAGAAATATCATAGACTGTAGCAGTATATTCATAATGTCTTCAAGATTGCACTTTATTTGATGATAATATGTTCATATTCTGAAAAGTGGGAGCCAATATTTTTTCAAAAAACAAAAAGCTTAGGGTTCAAAAGTATTTGAATTTTTTGAACTTTAAGGACTTTATAATCAGTATCTCCGAAATTTCTTTCAGCATTAGGCTCGCATGAAAAGCTAAACCCATATAATTCTATTCAAAGGGTAAGGTTGATATTTATCGAATTTCTAGATATTTGCAATGTATGTATTTTTATCAATGATCGCATTTAGTAATTAGTACCCTCTCTTTTGTAATCTCCAAATCTTAACATCCTCAAAGGGGGAAAAAAAAAAGAAAAAAAGAAAAAAAGAATTTAGATCCAAGTAGAGTTTTAATAATTTGAATCCTAGGCCATTCCTTTAAGGGAAAGAAAGTTGCAGGAAAAATAAAAAAAGTGACATATTTAGATCTAATAATGTATCTTCTTTTAGTATAGAAAAGATATTAAATTAGCGAAATTATAAATTTAAAAAAAAAAAATCATCCCTTTTCATAATCCCTCCCTCCTATCCAACAAAGTTTCATCATGTATGAGCTCTCTTTTACTTTTAGTTCTTTAGATTATAGCAAATTGTTCTTCTTTTTGCTTTCAATTAGAAGAGTAAGAATCTACATTATATTATTAATCATTTGTACTATAGCAATCAAGAAGCTAATTAAGAAGTATTTAAAGGAATATCCCATTGATTAATTTATTAGCGCCTTAACAACTTTTGTGAAAATTTACAAAAAGCCCATCTAGCTTTGGTAGTTAGTCCTTCACTTCACATAGGAAGATGTGTCCAGTTAAAAGTGCTGGAGCCAAAAAAAAAAAAAACATGAAAGAGAGATTCATAGCTTTGGTAGCAATCAACACTTCACCCATGAAATGTTACTATTCCCCTTCTTTGCTTTTTTTTTTTTTTTTTGTTACATTCCCGTTCTTTGCTTTTTTTTTTTTTATCAGCTTGCTGTTTGTACCTAACTCGTCGGGGATTTGGAGTAGATAAACCATTGCTTGGAACTTTTTTTAATCGATGTCCATTCTCCCTTCTTTCCTTTTTTTTTTTTTTTTATCAGCTTGGTGCTGTTTGTACCTACTCGTCGGGGATTGGAGTAGATAACCATGTGAACTTTTTAATCATGTCCAATTCTTGCCCAGGCTCATGTGATGTTATAATTACTCCCACTTTTTTTTTTCTTTTTAATTTTAGGAGTGCAAATCAGCCATGTCTTGTTTGCTATTCCAGATTCCAATTACAGTAAATAAGTCTTTAATCTTTTTCGCAACGCGTCAAATTCATAAAAAGAAAGTTATGCTTGAAAATATTTTTTCAATTTATAAAAATTGAACACTCAACTGTCATTTTCATTCGGAATTTGAAAATTTTGGATGCACAGGTAATGAATGGACTGAAATTTGACTCTAATCGTGTACAATCTAGTTTTCCTCTTACTTTTAATTGAGAAATAAAAAAGGTTATTTTTTAAATTTTTTATTAAAAAAAAAGGTAAAATAATTGCATGGCGTCCAGATATTGGTCCGGATTTTAACTGCCGCTAGACGCGGAGAGCACACTGGTAAAACGACCGGTCCAGTAACTTGATTGAACTGGATTCCATTTTATAAATAGCATTAGCTAATTTTTCTGCAATTCTATTTCTTACTCCAAATCCGAGAAATGACAACCTCCGTCAAGAACAACTTCTTGCCTCCGTCTCTCATCTCAAATCTCCAGCAAGTTCTCATCGCTAGAAATGACGTCGCCGATGCCGGTGTAGAACAGTCCTCAAACAATGATATCCATGATGATCCCAATCCAGTTGCTTTTAATGCATCTTCTTCTTCTCCAAGTAGTCTCCAGAGCAATGTCTATGGTGATTGTGAAAAGGAAATAGTTTTGGTCACTAATGGAGAAGGAATAGAGTCCTCTGGACTCACTTCTCTGGTCGAAGCTCTTGTTCGTGATGGCCGTTTTAATGTTCATGTCTGCGCTCCCCAATCGTAAATTCCTTCTTCCACTCTGTTTGGTTTCCGAGAAAATAATTTCACTTTATTAATTTGTATGCGGTCCTTGCAGTGATAGATCTGTTTCTGGCCACTCAGTAACGATTAGGGAGACGCTCGCTGCTCGTTCTATTGAAATTAGCGGCGTCACTGCTGCTTATGAAGTTTCTGGTAAATGCTGTTTGGTTCTTTTTATTATAGTGAACACTGCAAATTTCGCTATCTTAAAAATTATTCTTTGTTGCCAGGGACTCCTGCGGACTGTGTTTCTTTAGCCTTATCAGGGGCACTGTTCTCCTGGACTAAGCCTGCCCTGGTAGGTTTATTTATTATATTACTTCTTAGATTATATAAAAGAATGAATCTGAGCCTTAATTAATTGTTAAATAAATACAGGTGATCAGTGGAATAAACAGAGGATCAAGCTGTGGTCATAACATGTTAGTAGTCTTCTCTGTCTGTCACATCCTCACCAACCTTTCTCTATTTGATCCTTTGATTAAATATATGTAGATTAGATTTTTTTTTGTTCTTTTTTTGGCAAACTGAGACTCTCAGTGGTCCTTTAGAGAATGTGAATTACAGTGAAGTGTCTGTGCATGATAGGTTCTACTCAGGTGCTGTTGCTGCTGCAAGGGAAGCATTGATTTGTGGCGTACCATCTCTTTGCATATCATTGAACTGGTTATTTGACTTTCCTCCTCTTGAATTTTTTGTTTTCTTTTCTGAATTTGGATTATTTGCTGTTTTCATTATTCAAATTTGGACCTTTTCAGGAAGGATGGAGTAAGCTGCGAAAATGACTTGAAGGATGCAGCCAATGTTTGTTTGCCATTATTGTATGCTGCGATAAGGGATATAAAGAAGGGAAACTTCCCCAAAACTTGCTTGCTGAACGTAGAAATTCCCACTTGTCCCATTGCAAACAAGGTTTTAACTTTGTGGGCATTCGTTATAAAACAAAAGAAAAAAAAAAATCCCAAGCAGGCTTTATATATATACATATGTATAAATGATTAAATGGCAAACTTTGATTTTGACAGGGCTTTAAAGTAACAAGGCAGAGTGCATGGAGGTCCTCTTTGAGATGGCAAGCAGTGGCAGCAAACAGGCATCCTTCTGCTGGCAATTTCATGTCCAATCAACAAAGCCTGGGTATGAAGCTTGCACAACTCAGCCGAGATGCCTCTGCCGCAGTGAGAATAAATAATCACATTTGCAATTCTAGATAAATATAAGGAATTACTGTGACTCTTAACTGTTAACCAATTCTGATATTACAGGGTGCAGCTCGCCGCTTCAATTCACATAGGAAAAACGTAGAGATTGAATCTGTTGGAATTGCAGGAAAAGTTAATCCCCCAAAAACTTTGAAGAAATACTTCCGTTTAGAGGTACTCCTATAATCTAATCTCTATATTTGATTGAATTAATGCTTTTAATGCATAAATTAACTTTTTAATTATGTGCAGCTTTCAGAAAAGGAGCAGGAAGACATTGAAGAGGATCTAGATTTCAGAGCACTTGAGAATGGATTTGTGAGTTAGAACCCTATATTTCTTTACATAGTGATGAAATCTCCTGTTCTTACTAGTTTAATAAATTTGGCAGGTTGCGGTAACTCCTTGTTCCTTAACTACTGAACCGGAGATCCAAAACGTGTTGTCTAATTGGATGGCAACTGCCCTTGCCACCGATTAATAATGTTCTGTCGAATTGTATTCGGGGTGTGCGTTTTGTTAAGTTATAGGCTATGCTGCGAGGCCTTACATAGTCAATTTAGATTGACAGTGAATGGATCTATTATTATTATTATTATTATTATTATTATTATTTTGAATATGAATGGATGAATTTTGATTTTTAAATTTCTCTGTGTGACATAATTAACAGTAGACAAAGAAGATCCCAATCCTTTTCCATCCGGTGCGGTGACATTGAACTTGGATGATTTATGAAACCGCTTCGGCATACATTAACAGAGTACTTTAGTAACAGTTGTGATAATCTCCTGTGGGCTTTTGGAATAGAGACAAGTGAGGTAATTGTACGCACCGTCGGCCGACATTTTGATACGTGTAATCCATGCAGGTAAAAGGTCATCTATTGACCGATTGATCTAGCCCTTTGAAATTTCGTACGTTGACATCTGACGGTTCAGATTCATACATCTATCAAAAATATAAAATATAAATAATTTTTAAAAATTCATATTTTTTCTTGATTTGGTTTAAACAAATATAATCTCATAAATCCATACACATGTATGTAGACATCTATCTATATACAGACTTAAATTCGGAACTGCTAATTTAACTTTTATTTTTTCAAAAAGAATTGAGGCTATAAAAATTGTATTTAATTTAATTAAAAATTGAAATTTGACGTTAATATAAAAACGGAGTATGTTGTTAAGCTCAAATATGGGAACTGGAAATGTAACGGAATACTAAAGTGTTTGGTCAAGTTTATAAATAAAAACAAAAATAAAATGAAAATAAAATTTTTTGGTTACTTTACACAAGAAAGCAGCGATTGTGCACATCCAGTCATAATCTAGTGGTGAGTATATATATGACCCGAAAATAGATTCATATTCAAACGTCTTTTTTCATTAAAAAAAGAAAAAAAGAAAAGAAAGTAGCAATTGTGCATTTGTGATTGGCATTTATTGTGTGTAGAGATGACAAAATAGATAAGATTTACTTAAAATTAATGAACAGCTCACTTATGTAGTCAATAGTTTTTCTTTTCTCGATCGGTTTTAAGTGAAATACCATAATGAATTATACAATAAAAATAATTTTCTGTTAATTCAAATTATAAAAACTTTTTACCATCGGAGATGTTCAAACTCAATACGAACTCGTTGTATAAGTGAGAAATTAAATTAGGCTTGGTATACAAAATCAATAATTATTTTGTTTTAAAAAAATATTATTTTTTATTACCAATTATGTCAGTTTTTCCCTAATGACCAGATACAGAAACGCTCATTTCCTTTATTAAAAAAAAAAAAAAAAAAAAAAAAAGTCAAGTTTTTCCCTTAATGACCAGATACAGAAAAAAAACCGCTCATTTCCTTTATTAAAAAAAAAAAAAAAAAAAAAAAAAAAGGAAAACTAGGTAAAAAAAAAAAAAAAAAAAAAAAAAGGAAAACTAGTTTGATGGGTATGGATTGGCCAGACGTCATAGACAAACAAATCTTTCCTTCCCGTACTGAATTCTTAACGGTTTTGGAAGAACCGGTTCGATTCCATTTCCGAACCGAAAGTGTGGGTGAAGAGAGATCGGTCCATAATGAGATGCCCCCACAAGGTGACAGGTGGCCGGTGGTTATATTTTGTTCATTTTAGTATTAACGTAGGTAGGGCCTTGTTCTTGAAGAAAGAGGCAGGAAGGAGTGGCAGAATGGAAATTTCCAGAAAATAGAGGGATTAGGATTAGGTGGGGACAAATGGCAATTGCCAGAAAAGGAAAAAAGCGTCTAAGAGGAGTAAGACGTGGCGCCTCTTCTTCACTTCTTCAAATAAATACTCGCTCGCTCATCACACACCTTACCCAAAGGAAAAACCAAAAGAAATGTTGGCTCCCGATTTTGAATCTTGCGGTGACGGTTGTGGCGGTGGAGGTGGAGGTGGAGGTGGAGGCCTTTCTCCGTCGCTTTCAGCAACTTTCATGCCAAAACCTACTCAACCGGAGGAAGAAGAACCTTTGCAATCAATTTCTGTCAAAGAGGAGGAAATGCCAGTGGCTGGCAGTGGAGGAAGCGATGGTGGGCCCTCTTCTTCAGCTTCTTCATCCTTAATGACAACTGAAATTGAAAGGAAGGCGGAGACTATCAAAGTAGTTACTATTAAGGAAGAAGCAGGGGAAGAGTATGATGCAGGGGCTATTGGTGACGTTGATAATGGTGTTAATAACAATGGATCGTCGTCTTCTTCTTCTTCAGTTGATTTGCCTAAACCGATGGAGGGTTTACATGAGACAGGTCCCCCACCGTTTTTAAGAAAGACTTTCGAGATGGTGGAGGATCCTGAGACGGATTCTACTGTTTCTTGGAGCAAAAATCGAGATAGTTTTATTGTTTGGGATGCGCATGAGCTTTCCAAACATCTGCTTCCCAAATACTTCAAGCACTGTAATTTCTCTAGTTTCATTCGCCAACTCAACACCTATGTAAGTTTTCTCCTTTTGATTCTGTTTGTTTTGGTGTTTTTCTTTGTTTGATTATACCTCCTGTACATGTGTTTGATATTTGGAAATATCAATATTCTCCCGTAATTAAATAATTTTGCATTTTGGGATTTTTACTGTTTTATGAACAATTTTTACGTACTCTGATATTGGGATATGTGTCTCCCAGGTTCAGGAACATGTTTTATGGACACCCTAAAAAACGATTTGATATTTTTACGCTTTTGATTAAGAAAAAGATAGTCGATTGTGTTGTGTGTTTGGTTTCTTATGGTGGAAAAATGGTCTCAGGGCTTCAGAAAGGTTGATCCTGATAGATGGGAGTTCGCAAATGAAGGGTTTCAAGGAGGTAAGAAGCATTTGCTCAAGAACATCAGGAGAAGAAGTAGGTACAACAAGCAACAACAAGGAGCAGTAACAAGCGATGATTCAGCAAAACTCAGTTTAGAAGTCCAACTTGAGAAGTTGAAGAATGATCAAGATTTATTGAAGGTTGAAATCTTCAAACTCAGACAGCAACAGGAGAATTCGGAGAATCAACTTAGCACTGTTGAACAACGCGTTCGAGTTGCAGAGTGCAAGCAATTGCAGATGTTTGTTTTCCTTGCCAAAGCAGCCAAGAAGGGTAGTTTTATTCAGAATCTAATCCAAAAGAGAAAGCGACAAAGAGAACTGGATGCGGCTGAATTCGGCAAAAAGAGAAGACTGCTTGATAGCCAAGTCCGTGCAAGGTTGCTTGATGCTGTGGATGCCAACCAAAGTGTAATTTGTAGAAACCAAGCTCAGGAACAATTGGCTACAATGCAAACTGAACTTACTGAGATATTAAAAGAGGATACAGAGACCAATACAATGTCAAAACTGTTTGAAACTCCAATAAGTGATGAGTTTTGCAGTCCGGCTATCGCGACGTGTGGTACCAATACTCAGGAATCTGTTTATCATCTAATGTCAGAGATATTGCTAGATGATGATACGGTTCCTGAGGTTTTAGTTGATGAAGACTTAGATGTGAATGACTCTAAGTTTTACCTTGAATTGGAGGATTTGACAGGAAAGCCAAGAAGTTGGGATGGATATGTAACTGAGTTGGTACAGCAAGCGGGTTGTATTTAGTTCTTGATTGCACTGGTAAAATCTTTTATATGCTTCTCTCTATGCATTATTTGCAATTGACTGTTATAAGTATACATGCTTAATTAGCAGATATTGATACCAAATTCTATACTGGTTGCAGGATGTGAATTGTCAGGCAGGTGGCCCTTCCATTTGAGCTGCTCCTAGCCCGCATTGGAAATGCTAGTGTTTGACAATGGTCATACATGTTCATATTTCCTGAGTCGTTTTTTTCTTTTTCTTTTTCTTTTTATTCTGTCACCAATGATGAATCATCTAGACTGTAAATATTCCCACACGCAGTAAATACCATAGTTTTATCATCCTGCATCAAAAGTTTTAAACTTTGTAATATCAGTAGTCAGACTTTGGGTATCAAACTACATAATAGTATGGAATAGCACTTGAGGTTTAATTGGTTTTTTCTGATTTGCTATGCCCTTATGAGGTGATAAAGTTAACATATACAGTCTCTGATAAAATGATTAGCTAATAAAATAATTATTAGTTAATGTTAACCAGAAGGTTCAAACTTTAAACAGAACAATCTGCAAGTCATGACACGTGTTCAGAAAAGGAGAAAGCTACGATATTGTACAGTTGGTGGTGGGTCTTTGTAGCAAGTTCGAGATGATAATAGAAAATGTAATGGTTTTAAAGTATTTAGGTGAGATTTTGTTGCCTAAAGAAGCAAAGTTATGGATAATTATAACAACCTCCTTGACTAATGACAAAGACAAGCATTTTATATTTGTATAACAACCTTTCCATTAATGAATTGCAGAGCAGAGTAAAAGAATTAAAAGCATAATTAATACTAACACAAACCAAGAAAAAGAAAACTTATAGCCCTATTAGTATCAAATATAAGTCAAGAGAATAGGTTAAGCCTTACCACCCCTGGTAAGGAACTTACTATTGGACCTCACTGCCCCTACAGATTTTGATGAAGAAGAAGATGATATAGTTGACCTGTCAAACTCTTGTTTATCCTCAGTAAATGCTTTAGTAAGAACTTCCTGGAGTTCCATGAATCTTTGTTTCTTTTGGAGTCTTTCCTCTGAAGTTTCATTTCCTAAATAGGCTAACTGTGATAACTCTTCTGCATCCATGATCCTGTTCAGCACCTCTGAGCACCGAGGGAAAAACCTTTTCCCAAGCTCCACTGCTCAGATCAATGTCAAGTAACAGAGTCAGTTAACATACAATTCCTAAATTTTTAGGATTGACCTTATTTGGATATCTAGAATTAGAGTTTTTAGGATTGACCTTGTGTTTTAAGACAACACAAAGAAAAACTCTACATGTAGGTTATTTACATATGTAAAAGGAGTGTTACCAGTTCTAGAGAGTGCTTTCATCCTATTCAGATGCTCCTCTTGAATTCTAAAAGGTGCCTCATTCAAGTCTACAGTTGTCTGTGTACTAGCCAAATTCTTATTCTTGACGCCAGTTAATGGAAATTCATTAGTTCCATCCACTTGAGCAATATCCATTGCAACTTTTGCTTCCATGGGGAATAGAATTTTTGCCAGTCCAACTGGTAAGAAAATATCAATAATGTCAGTGTCCTTTATAAAAACAAATTTAATTTTAATTCTCCAAAAGGATTATAAATTAATATGCAAATCAAAAAGAAGTTAAGAAAGAATATGGATAGACAGAAGGATTCTGACGAAAACTCACCTCTATTTTCGAGGTATAATAATTTCATTCGCAGGTCATCGCCAGCCATAGCAAGAGAAAGAGAAGCCTCTCCAAGCAATGGATCTCTTCTTTCAGCTTGTTCTAATATCTCTATACATAATCTCTCCTTGGGAGAAGCTTTCCCTTCCTCAATAGATTTATAGTAATCTGAAGCTCTAGTAAGTCTCTTTGAGATTTGGAGTGCTTTTCTGCCATCGGAAGTAAGATCTGATGGTCGAGCTCCCTTAGTTAACAGAGAGACTATAATCTTAGGCTCTTTTCGCATTGCAGCAACATGAAGTACAGTGTATCCCCTTAAATTTCTACAGTTAACATCAGCAATACCAAGATCAAGAAGTTCAGTGGTCGTCTTCGCGTCGCAATATGCAACAGCATAATGGAGAGCATGAGCATCATCCAAATTGGTATGTGCCTCTTTCAGTAGCATTCTAACTAATTCCACATCATCTGAGTCCAAAGCTCGATGTATTCTCTTTATATGTTTATCAGGATAACTTGTGGTTTGAGGTGTGTCTGAAGCAATCTCTAAACGAGAATCTGTAATTTGCTTTACAATGTTTTGGGGTAATGCCTTGTCAAGAGTTACAATATCAACATATGATTTCACAACGATCTCAATACATCTTGTCAACAATTTCTCACACGCTTTACCACAAATATTTGCAACAGATAGAACCACCAAGATATCATCAATTGCAACCTTTTCAAGAATGTCTAGAAGGTGCCTCTGCAATTAAATAGAAAAGCTCAAAAATTCTGGAAAGAAATCAGCAAAATGTTAAAAGCAGGGGATTGGTCACTGTAATCTTACCCAAAATCTGCTATTCTCCATCAGAAAAATTGGCAGACAAAAGAGAAAAATTCACAAACAAACTTCTAACTCTTACCTGGTAGAGAGCCACCAATTCAGGAACCTGAAACGTAAAAGCAGCATATAGCACCTCAACCATAAAATCCACAGCTGGTCTACAAGCCACATGGGAGCAATCTTCATCCACGCAAACACAAACGCCTTTAGGCAACGGCCTCACTTTTCCATTATACAAATAGCTCAAAACTGTTACAATCGAATCAAACCCAATATCATAGTCTTTGGCCAACTCTTTCACTTCAAAATTTTGACCTTTCTCTTTGGCTGCAGAACCCGAAAACACTGCCTTAAAGAAAGGACTTCTCGCCGATAGAATGCACCGGTGGACCGGGACCTCCCGGTTAGAGGCGGAGATTGTGATTTTAGCGTCGGCGAAAAAGTCAAAATCTGAAGAGTCAAAGATGGATTCAAGGCTTTTAGAGAGCTGTTGAAGAGCAGAGATTTCTGGGTTTGGAGGGTTTGGAGTAGAGAGGGTTTCTATGCAACAGGTGCTGCTTCCATTGCTGATCTCGTTCGAATCAGAGAATCCAATCCTATTATCCATTAAAAGAACAAAAAGCAGAAAAGTGGAATTTTTGATTGAGGGTTTAAAAAAGGGTTCAGTGTTTGAGACAAAAAGAAGCCATTTTTGGAACGAGTACAGATTGCAGAGCGAAAAAAAAAAAAAAACAGAGACAAGAGACCTCTGAAATCAATCACTATCAAGAACGTTAAAACAGAGTATTATATGCAATTCCTGATAAAAGGCAATCAATTTAGGGAAGATGACGGCCATGGATGATAAAGTCGATATGCAAATATCTCAGTTCGCAACAACTTATAACACAAGCGACGAAGAGTGCGAACAAACAGGGAGACTAGACCAGACCAGAGAAGTACAAAAGAGACAGAGCTGTTTTTCATGGGCTTGTCATTATTGAGTAATTGATTCCTGAATTTCGACCGTAAAAGAGGATCAACCCATGTTCTCTTTCATTTCTTCTTCAGTTTCTCTAGAAATTGAGGTTTTTGCTGCAGTATCTTTGCTTACTGGTTTTTGATAAAAGCTGTTGTCATCTTTTTGTCTTCTGATCTGAAAGGTGATTCTTTATTGAAGCGTAATCCAATGGCTGGGCTTTGTGCTTATAGCATCAATTGGGAGGTCAAGCATTCATTTTTGAAGTGCTTCCTTTAGCTACATTTTCTTTATCAATATTTCACAGTTGAAATTTTTGTTTAACCCGTTTTCTGCTTTCGTCATGGACTCATGGCGTTTTTGCCATTTTCCTATTTATTTAGTGTTCTTGGTTCTCTCTCCTGTAAACGTCATCAAATTGCTAACTGATTGCCGTCTTTGGCTATATATATAGAGAGAGGAAAATACTTCCTCAAATTCAATTCATAATCTCAAAATTTTAGAGAGTAATATGAAAAATAAAATCTTATATTGAGAATAAAAAACATATTATTCCTATAATTTAATTTAGCTGAAGATTTTAACTTACAATTTTATAATTTACAGAAACATCAATAAATATATACACACAATCGTTATTGGACGGTATTACAAGTTGACGGTGGAATTGGATAATGACAGACATTAATTTAGTCAACTTTATAAACAAACGAATTATTCATATTTGTTGCTTTCAACTGGCTGGTAGATGGGAAGGAAGGTAACTGAAAATAACAATTAATAATTCAATTACAGTGTCTTGAATCATTCCATAAGGTCTGGCATCAGGCATGCTTGGTTTAAGGGTTTGTTATCAGAGTAGAAGAACTGCAGTATGGTAATAAATGATATAATAATGCTTAGAATCTACCTAAGAAGGAGCAACCTCATCCTCGGACTAAATTTTGATATCAAAACCAAATCCTGTTATAAAAACCACAGATGGATTTGATAAAAATTCAGATTCTCAGCCAAACAAGCACATCAATGAAATGGGTAATGAAAAACAATGAACTATCTCGTACCCTGTAATTGTTACTCAAGAAAACAAGCGAGCAAGATATCATTGCTATGACAGTACTTTTCAGTTTAATCTTTCTTATTACCTCGAGGAGCACAAACTTTTTCAAGCCCTTTTCCAACTGGTGAACATACTTTTTCAAGCCCTCTCCCAATAGAAGCTGCAAACCCACTTTCCCTTACTGGTGGTGAAGAGGGAACAGAATCACTGGATTCCTTCTTAGGGTGGTGGATAGTTTCGACAAGGGCTTCCATTTCTTCCTTGGCTCTTTGAAAAATAATTGGCCCTTTGATCTCATCAATGGGAGTGTTTTCATCAATATCATCATTTCTGCCATGAGTTTCTATGTTATGAACGTGAGTTGACTTATCAGGATGAATCATTGCTTCAATCTCTTCCTTAGCTCTTCCAATTAAATTGAGCGGTTTGAAAGCGTTTTCTGCCTCTACCTCAACAGATTGATCTCTGAAATAGCAATAACACAAAAAAATCAGACATTATAAATGAATTTGAATTTTAGAATCCATGTATGCATATGATAAAAGTTGATTTAATTATGTTGAATTCAACAAAATTGAATTCACAAGAGTGAAATGAACGATTTTTATTTATATTGAACATGAAAACATGAAATCTCAAATAGATTTTATATAATTTTATAGAATTCATTTATATCAGACAATGCTAATTGATTCCGTTGTATATGGAAACCTTTTTTCCTGAGTTTCAGACTCTTTCTTGGTGTGGATAGTTTGAATCAGAGCCTCAATCTCTTCCTTTGCTCGCTCAAACACATTAGGAGCTTTCACATTATCCAATGGGGTGTTTTCATCAATGTAGTTGTCAGTGCCATGAGTTTCCTTTTGATAATGATGCATTATTTTCTCCTGGATCTCCTCCTTGGCTCTTTCAAATATATTAGATGCTTTTACATTCTCATCTGAGCAAAACAAATGCCATTCATCAAACACAAAGAACAGGTTGACACTCTCTAGTTATCTCATTGGCATAATTACAAGCACAATATCGACAATAACAAGAAAAAATCCAATATACAATCAGGGTCTCAATCATATTACAAAATGTGGTTAAATAGTGAATTACAATACCCTTAACTCTCTCAAGCACTACAAATTCTTCATCAATTCTCTAATTCTATGGTTCTTCTTGAACAGTGAAATCATCCAATCATTTTTCAGAACAAAAACGAATAATTTGAAATCAATTTTGGGTACACATTGGAAACAAAAGGAAAAATAGAACCTGAAAGGTGCTTCGATCCGGCCATTGAAGATGGAAAAATCTTAGGCAGACAAAGGTCCCAAGATTTTTCCTCTGTGCTTTCGATTCGATTCGATGTACGAGCTGGCGGTTAAAGTTCGAAGAAAATATAGGAAAGAGAGACAGATAGGACACAACACGTTTTTCGGATTATGATTCGTTGTCTGCCAGATCGGACACTTACTTAAAAATGATTATTGGTTAGGTTAGGATTCTTTATACCCAGAAAATTATGAATATTGGTTAAACTTCCTTGAAGTGTGTAAGAAGAAAACAAAAAATACTAAACCAACCGTTATAAAATTATACCTAGTTGGGCTATGGTCCAGCAAACTTTTGACAGGCCCAAAACTTTAGAAGTCTACAAGCCTAGCCCAACTTCACGGTGTAATATATAATTTTGACCGATTTTTCCTGTGGCCCTTCAACAATAACTTTTAACTTCGACATTTCAAGAATAATTATATTCTTCAGAAATAATTTTTTTAGAGGGTTCATTTATGATTATGTATTTTCACATTCATTTTAACGATGAACATAATTATTACTGGAATCTGAAAGTACAGGATAAAAATAAGTATTTCACAAAATTCAGGGACATGAAAATAATTATAGAAACTACATATTCAAATTTATACATTAGCCCCAACTTTATCGCTCCAAATAAATATGTGGATCTTGTTTTTTAATGTCTTCAAGCAAAAAACTAGCATGAGATGTCATGCTATGCAGCCCTCGTGATACCAGACTTAGTAGGCCCACCTGACCTGAAACGTCTATTAATGGGCCTTAACTTGAGACCCAAGTGAGGAGTACACGTTGAAAGATAATAATAAAAATAAACATTTATAAATGCCTTGTATAATATATCCGTACATGGCAGAGAGTAGGGCTTGGGAATAACTTTTGGAAGAAAAATAATAATTGAAAAATAAAAAAGAAAATGCAAATTCAAAGTTGAACGCCCACCACCAGACACAGACTAAAAAAGTTCGACACATGCTTGTTGGAAATATTAGAATTTGACAAAGACCATAGCTTAACGTTAGATATTTCTACGCGGAAAATATATAAACTTGGAACGTTGTTGGAATTTTGGAATGAAGAATAACAATTTCTTATTTTCTTTTCTTAAATAAAAAAAAAATACACATAATAGATTATAAGACAACAGTAATAATTCTCTTATAACAATGTAGAATCTATAATTATAATATATAATATGCCAATGGCGGCTTTGGAAAATTTGACAGCCTAAATTTTTGAATGGTGGGTTTATATAAATTTTATTTTTCTGTGAATTTTTTATTTCCAAGTTGGTAGCAAATGATAATTTTGTTTTGTGCAATCTTAAGGATTGTACAGCTTGTAACCCACAATCCCTACATATATAATATAATATATCCAAGCAAAGTATCAACTTAAATTAACTATTAATTCATAAAATTTCTGCACAAAGTCAATCCCTCCAATTGGTTCATTAATTAATTGATTAATTAATATACAACTAACTAATCAGTTAGGGTAGATGGGCTTCATGGCGGCCAATATTACCCAAAAAAAAAAAAAAAAAATTTGGAAAATTTGACAGCCTACATTTTTGAATGGTGGGTTTATTTAATAAATTTTTATTTTTCTTGTGAAATTTTTTATTTCCAAGTTGGTAGCAAAATAGATAATTTTGTTTTGTGCAATCTTATAGGATTGTAGCAGCTTGTAACCCAACAATCCCGTTACATATATAATATAATATATCCAAGGCAAAAGTTATCAACTTTAAATTAACTATTAATTTCAGTAAAAATTTTCTGCACAAAGTCAATCCCTCCAATTTGGTTCATTAATTAATTGATTAATTAATATACAACTAAACTAATCCAGTTTAGGGTAGTGGCTTCATGGCGGCCCAATATTACCCCAAAAAAAAAAAAAAAAGAATTATATTAAATTATTAGACAAAATCTCAAACTCATTAGTAATGTAATTGCCAGAATTATCTGATCTCTTCAGATAAGCGTATAATTATAGATGATAGCAACTGATGAGATGTTATTTTTAAGAAACAACACGTAATTGTAAAATATTTAATTTACTAAGTGTATTTTGTATTTTTGTTCCTATACATAATTTCTACTTCATATAATGGTTTTTAGTGTTAAGGTGGTTGCTAGGCAAGGCAGTACTCTCCTCCGCAATCCCTCCTTTCTTTAATAGTATAGAGTGTTATATATTAGTTATATATACTTATATATATCAACGAATAAAAGCTGTGAGTAAGATCTCTATGTACAACTATTGAATTTGTGGCTTAATGTGTCTTAATAAATATTCAACAATAAAAGCTTAAAGCATCTCTGATACAATCATGAATTGTGCTTAATGTGTCTTAATAAATGGAATTTATAGATGATAATGTGTCTGAATATATATTTTTAGATATTAAATTTTAAAAATAACTCTCCAATAATAAAAAAAAAATCAGTTTTAGCGCAAAAAAAATTTAATTGTCAAGAAAAGAGAAGACATAAAAGACAATAAAAAAAATAAAAATAGCAAAAAATTGAGTCATGCTATCTAACAGACACTCCAATAATAGAAAGTGTGATGGATAGTATCTCTTTTTGTTTTGATACATTAGACTCATAAACTAAACAAATAATAATATTGTAAAATATTTTTATTTTAACTTTCAATTTTTCAATGTGTCAAATAAATTAAAGCAAGCCATGATTACATCATAAATGCTCTTATTTATGCTTTTATGCATTGGTGGTGGGTGGTTGGTGAGTAGTGACCTCTCTCAACAATCATATCTCAACATATTTAATGGTCTAACCATATATAGTTTAAAAGCCTAATTACTGGTAAAAATTTCAAAATTTTAACTATTAATACATCTTTCTCTTAAATATTTTTCAATTTTAATTTTTTTAATTATAAGATCATAGCAATGTTAACTAAATTCTAATGAAACTAAATAATTCGTCGTGAATTTGTTTAATAGTTCCAAAAATTATTTTCAAAATTGAAGATTCAAGTAGTTATGAAAAATATATACATAAATAACAATACACAACGGCAGGACCAGACGCTGTACGAGTAGATAAGTGTAGTACACGTCATTACTCCCGACGGGTCAACCATCACCTTCACCTTGACAGCTATGAATTTGCAGTTAAAATTCAACGCCAACTTTGAGTTATTTTTACTGAAATACCCCCGTTTCCTTTATTTTTATATTCTTCCCGGAAACCTGGTGATTTTGTTTCCACTCATCTGTCATCTTCCTAATTCTTTTTTTTTTTTTTTTTTTTTTTTTTTTTTTTTTTTTTTTTTAAAAAAAAAAAGGGAAAAAAATTCTTTTTTTAAAAAACAACCTTTTTTTTTTTGGGGTTCTTTTTAGATTTCTTTTTTTTTACCCATTTTTTTTTTTTTTTTTTTTTTTTTAAAAGAGATTTACTTGTCTTTATCATTTTGTTTGTGCTGTTACTAAATTAATGAACTAGACTGGTAAAACTTTATTATTATTATTATTATTATTAGGTTCTATACGTGTTTCAAGAAATTATAAAATTACAATGAATATATTAGTATTTTCATTCAACTAACTTAGATTAATTCAATGTAATTCAAGAATAAAATAATTATACCTGCTATTTCACATCCTATATCCCATTTTAATATTTAAATTAATTAAAAGTAGTGAGTACATAATTTTTCAGATTCCGTACAGTCTAACCGTATATCTACTAAATGTGATTATTTTTTTATTTATATACTTTAGACGGGAAGTGAAAATATAATTTAATTTTTCTTTAATATGTTCAAACTAAAATTAAGCCATCATCATAAAATTAGACTAGAATAAAAAAAGGAGCATTCAAAAGCATCATCTAAAACCGGGGGCCAAACTAAAATTTCCATTTCTTGATCAATTCCCAATCAAATCACAAAATGAGAATGATCTTGATCTTTGACCAATCTCAGTTGATTACTTGATTTTGACCCGTGATTCATTTCTCCCAACATCGTGAGTCATTGGTAATGACTAATGATGGGCCGAGAAGAAGGGAGAAAAAACAGTATTCATGGTCTTCCACGTGGATATTTTAACTAAAAGGAAAAAGAACTTCAAACAAATAATAACTTGTGCAAAAATGAAAATCAACGTGTGTTTGAATTTTTTATTTTTTTATTTTTACGAAAGGATAAAATATTATTAAAGTGAAAGAGAGAGACAGTAAATAATAATATTATATAGTATATCAGAATAATATAATCCCATAAACGTTTATTTATCATTTAAAAAAAAGTTAAGAATCGTTTATTAACTTTTAAAATTTATCTTTATATTAAATATAATAATGATTTTTAATAATTTGTTTTATTATCATTTTTTCTTTTAATTTTATTCGTAAAATAAAAAAATTTAATTAAATAATTTAATTAAATTAAAAGATACTTTATTACTAATTTAAGTAATTTAAAACCACTAAGATACGGGGAAAAACGTACAAAAAGGGCAGTAGGAAAATTAAATGTACTAAAAGTAATAAATGCATTAAAACCCACAACTACAAGAAGTCTTCGATAAGCGTGTGCATGACTCAAGCCATGACCGAAAGTTGCGGTTGACTGTGAAGAAACACGAACAATAACAAAAACAGAAACGAAAATCTCAGCTAGTTTTACTTTTACAGACATTTCAATTTCGTGTTTTTTCATGGAAACCCATAAACAAGCTTCCTTTCTTTGACCGCCTATCAGTCTCTCTCATCTCTCTCTCTTTCAGTCTTTCTCCCTCTATCTCAACATCTCCATTTAACTGTTTTTTTTTTCTTTTTAATTATATCATATGGAAACAGCAGAACCTCTTTTCTATATTACCCTTCACATTTTTCGGAAAGTTGTATTCAAATTTTCAATCTTTGAATCTATCAAATAACTCGTGGTTTTGAACCTTGAAAAATAAAATGAATATATAAATAAATACCACGTTGAATATCATCTCACCTTCCATAACTTTTCCATTCAATTCAAACCCCTAATCTCTATATGTTATCGTCTCTCACTCGATTCTCATAATATAAAATATTCCACGACTTCTGTACACTGTCTTCTTCCTGCTTTTCAGCCACGTCTTTGAAGGTTCTAGTGGACCCATTTCCTTTCTTGTGCATATATATAAGAAGAGGAGTCAAGAAGCATTCTATTCACTTTAACCCATTATTTTGATTTAGCTTTTTTTTAGTTATCACTTATTAGCCATTCTAAGACAGTGCTCTATTCAAAGACCTTTTTGATTCTTTAATCTTGATCACAGGTAATACAAGACGAAAACATACAATTCCTTTCTTTCTTCCTAAAACATAATAAGTTTATCTTTCTTGTTTCCTTTTGGGATGGTTACTGCTAATTGATCTACATGTTTCTTTTGTTTTATTTGTTGTCTTTTTTGACGAAATGATTGGAATCAATTAAGTGTGGTGTTTTTGCTATTTTTTCTTGTTGTTGATGGTTTTCGTTTCCACCTATTTGCTTTAACTTTCTTTTTCCATTTATTCAATATTGGCCATAAATATGTTTGGGCCAAGGGGCATGAATGTTACTGTACAATTTCCACATTTCAATTCAATCTCCTTTTCAAACTTTGAATTTCCTGACCTTTTTATTTAAAAGATTGCATTTTCTGCCCATTCTCAATTCACAAGGATTCGACAATTTATATTCCTAACTTAATTTCTTTACTGTTTTCATGATCAGGTGCCGTCATAAGATTATAATTCCACTGGTGATTGGAAAATTTATGGGTTTATCGCTTTCTTTACTCTATTCAGCCTGGGAAGAAATTGTACGGCACAGCTTCTTTCGTTTAGCCTACAACTATAGTTTCGGTCCTAAATACGGTGGTATCCCCTTAAGGACAGATAGTTTCAAGAACACTTCTGATACGGAAACCATGACCAAGTCACTTCAGTCAAATTCGAGAGGAAGAAAAAATTCTATAAGTTTGAAGAATTGTAAACCCCAGAATGTAATGCTTGATACCAGTTTGTCATTCAAGAATCTAGTTCAAGATAAAGTAGAGTCAAAGCCAGCACTTTCTCTTCCTGAACCAGCAATTTTGTTTTCTCCTAGACCGGTTAGTGAGCTTGAAGCTGCTGCAGTTAAAGTTCAGAAGGTTTACAAGAGTTACAGGACTAGAAGAAATCTTGCAGATTGTGCCGTTGTTGTTGAGGAGTTATGGTTAGTATTTTGATCTTAACAGTTGATCACTATTTTGGTTAATCAAGCTCATTGCTAATTATTAGCGACTAATTCTCTGTTTAAAATTTTTCAGGTGGAAGGCTTTAGATTTTGCAGCTCTAAAGAGAAGTTCAGTGTCATTCTTTAACGTTGAAAAACCTGAAACTGCTATTTCAAGGTGGGCAAGGGCTAGGACAAGAGCAGCCAAAGTTGGCAAAGGCTTATCCAAAGATGAGAAGGCTCAGAAATTAGCTTTACAACATTGGCTTGAAGCTGTAAGTCTTTTAAACACATTTTCATATCTCCTAACACCCATGATGGAACATTGGAATTAACCATATCATTCAATTTTCTATGTGTGAACAGATTGATCCTCGCCATCGGTATGGTCACAATTTACACATGTATTATGATGTCTGGTTTAGAAGTGAGAGCACTCAACCTTTCTTTTACTGGTGAGTAATGACAGATTTTTTGTTTTGTAATCAAGAAAGTACATTAACAATATGCTTTTTATTAAATTTTCCATTTTTATTCATTCTTGTGGAAAATGCAGGTTGGATGTTGGAGATGGTAAAGAAGTGAATCTAGAGAAATGCCAGAGATCTGTACTGCAAAAGCAGTGCATCAAATATCTAGGACCTGTAAGTTGAAAGCAATATATATCTCTTAAATTAATAATTATTATTCCATTAAAAATACAGTTCAAGGGAGTGATTTCTGATTTCTGTTGTTTATCTTGTTTACAGAAAGAAAGACAAGCATATGAAGTAATAGTTGAAAATGGGAAGCTTGTTTACAGAGAGAATGGAAATCTTGTCAATACAATTGAGGGTTCAAAATGGATATTTGTGCTTAGCACGACAAGAGCTTTATATGTTGGGCAAAAAAGGAAGGGTGTGTTTCAACACTCTAGTTTTCTTGCTGGTGGTGCTACTACAGCAGCTGGAAGATTAGTTGCCCACGAAGGAGTTCTTGAGGTACTACACTATTTCTACCAATGCTTATTTATATATTTGCTTGGACAGTTAAATCAGTTGCTAATGACCTAAACTTATCTCTAATGTAATGAATTCAGGCTATATGGCCATACAGTGGCCATTATCACCCAACAGAAGAAAACTTCAGGGAATTCGTTAGCTTTCTTCAGGAAAACCATGTCGATCTCACAAATGTTAAGGTATCCTTTTCTTATCCATTGTGCACTGAAAGATGCACTTTTATGCACTTGTTTAGATTTGTACCCATATGCCTAAACTTATTTGATTTTGATCTTGTTATGCAGAAATGTGCAATTGATGATGATTCTTATATTGGACAAAAGGGAGAGTCAATTTTGGGTTCTGCAGAAACTTGTCAACCCATCAGCGCAAATAAGTCTGATGTAGATTTGTCCATCAAGGAGACAACAATGGCGGCTCTTAACAAAGAACAAGAGATTAAAATTAACTGTGGTGCCAATGTTTTTGAGTGGCCTGAGAGATTACCTTGCAAATGGACAACAGGGGCTGGACCTCGCATTGGGTGTGTCAGGGATTACCCAACGGAGCTACAAACAAGAGCATTGGAACAAGTCAATCTATCCCCTAGAGTTCCTCCTGGGACTATTAGCAATTATGGGCCAATTCCTTCTCCAAGGCCCAGTCCAAAGGTTAGGGTGTCCCCTAGGCTTGCTTACATGGGACTCCCGAGCCCAAGAACACCAATTCCTGTAGGCAGCTAAGCCGTTTCATCAAAAACGACAATGGGGTCAAGAATGATTGGCAGCAAATGGGGCACTGCTGGTGCGTTATATTTAGTTTAATTAAGAAAAATAAGGATGGATCAAAGGGACTAACCCAAAGTTTTTTAATTCACTTCATTCTTTTAATATGGCTTAAATGAGCCAAGTTTTTATTTTATAGTTACTAAACAAATTCTGGCCCCTTATTTTAGTGTTGGGTTTTGTATATCATCCCTGTATACAGAAAGTTGAGACTTGATATTTACATCAATGAAGCAGAATTATTTCCATTTATAAACCTTCTTTTATATATATCTCATTAAGCCATATTAAAAGAAATGAAGTGAATTAAAAAACTTTGGGGTTAGTCCCTTTGCATCCATCCTTATTTTTTCTTAATTAAACTAAATGGGCACTGCTGGTGCGTAATATTTAGTTTTAATTAAGAAAAATAAGGATGGAATCAAAGGGACCTATACCCAAAAAGTTTTTATTCACTTCATTGCTTTAATATGCTTAAAATGAGCCAAGTTTTTTTTAATTTTATTTAGTTACTAAACAAATTCTGGCCACTTATTTTTAGTGTTGGGTTTTGTATAATCATCCCTGTATACAGAAAGTTGAGAAACTTGATATTTACATCATGAAGCAGAAATATTTCCATTTATTAAACCTTCTTTTAAATATTATATATATATATATATATACATATATATACATCTTAGAAAAATCGCAAGATTTTGATTATCACCAGTTTAAATACAATCCCAATAAGCATTTTTCTAAAGATCAATTTCTATACATATATATACATCTTAGAAAATCGCAAGATTTTGATTATCACAGTTTATACAATCCAATAGCATTTTCTAAAGATCAATTTCTAGTTTAACATTGGATTATTATATTATTATTTTTTGCAAATCAGGGCCTTTTTTCATATGATAGTAATTTAAAAAAAAAGGGGTAAAATATTTTTTTAAAATAAATGGAGACGGTGTCTTTCACAGTACAAAATTCATTTTTTGATATTGATGCAGCAGACTGAGAAACAAACTCCATTGAATAATCAAATCAGTCCATCAAAGTGTCAATTTTGTACCCAACAATCCCCAAAAAAATTTATAAAAAAAGAATAAAGTGTTTTTGGCAGTCAATTGTTAAATATCCAATAATTAATTCCAAATTAATAATATGCTTATAATTAATCTTTTTCTGGCCCAAGATAGACTGACAATAAGCTATATAATAGGGGCAATACTAGAAATCCACTGGACATTTCATAAACATTGTTTTGTTGTGACCTTCTTGAGAGATCATGAACTCTTCTGCTTCTCCCTACTAATAGTACTATCTTCTACAGCAGCAACAGCAAGCTAGGTATATGTATTAGGAGGCTAATATTTCAGTGTTTAGGTTTGCTTTTTTTAGCTTTCTGACTTCTTTTATCATACTTCTCTTGCTTCATTTTGCCTCATGACCTATGCTGACATTACAAATGTCCAAAAAAACTGAGATTAGATACTCATAATACGTAAATAATGGTTATTTTGTTAGAGGCAAATAAGCTTTCTTGTCATCTAATAAGAAATACTGCATTTGTTTTATTTGCAACATTCTCTTTTAATTCTGATAATGAAAATTTACATGCAAAAGTGATGCTCTTAACATAAATTTATGAAATCTCCCGTCAAAATTGCAGGAACCCTAGAAATTAATTCAAACAATACTATTTTAAGTGATTACTTACTGAAAATTCCCTAAAGTAGGATCTGTTTACATTGGTCAAAACTCAGAACCAATTTCAACAGCATTTTAAACAAGGGAAAATCTTGTTTATTTTCTGGGTTTCAGTTTAAAAGAAAAGACATCAAATTAGTGATTAGACAATGATGTGAGTAAGTAAAGCTTAGGACACTACAGTGACAGAGATAGGTCATTACTAATTAATTAACACTGCATGATCTGAATGGATGGTTCAGATTCAAAGTTCCATGACTTATTATAAGCCAGATAGATTGCTTGTTATCCATCAGCCAACCTGTATGAAATTGACCAAACGTTGTGTCCTATGAATAGTTTGTTTAATTAGTTGCAATTAATATATGTAATTAATCTGAGTTCAGTGGCAACTGACAATCTTACCAATGAAGCTTCATCATAATCTGTTTGTTAAAAAGTTTCAGTTCAAATCTTTACATTGTAGAAGTCAAAATATTTGAATTAAAACTACCCAGAAACAGAAAGGAAAAATTTTTGTAGTGGAAGCTAACAAATACTCTCTTCTTTTATTGGCACCAGCAACAGATTATCAGAGGAAGAGGCTCTGCAGTCTAGGTAAAGCCCAAACCCTATATGGATTCTTACTAAATTCTTATATTGCATAGGGTCCTGTTGAGAGCTATAAAGAGGAGCCTTTGCAACGGGAAAGCTGTATAAAACTATTAATTATACAATAGTTGTTTTTCATTTCTAAGACATTTTTTTGTGAGTTGTCAAATAGAAAAGATATAAATTTCTTTAAGTTGTTTATTAGATAATCTTCTTGAAAAGAAAGGTGGAATCACTTGTCTCAGAAGCAACATTGCTTGCTCCACCAAGAAAACCAGAGAAAGGAAATTTCATCTTCGTATTGTATTTGTATATATATTTTATACATTTTAAACATTTTCTTTTTTGTCTCTTTCTACAAAATCTTTGAATATTTCAGCTGTGTGCATGGTTGTCCTTCTGAAGTGAGTCTGACCATCCATGCCAAGAACGAAGAACCACTTCTCTTATTTCTCAGTCTTCACGGATACAAAAAAGATCACCATCGTCATCATTATCATCATTAGGGTTTTCTAATTAAGAAATATGAGAAGAAGAATTTGCTTCTTTATAATAGCAAGTCTGCAGATAATCACTTGGTGGTGTTGTGTAGCAAGCTGGCAGCTTTCATCACATGATCCTGCTGCTCCCAGACAGGGTTAGCTGTTCTTTCTTATTCTTTTCTTTTTCAACAGTAACCAATTTGTCTGATTCATTTCTTTTTTAATAAAGAAAACCCTTTCTTTTCCAAACTTGTTTTAACGTCAAATGTCCTCCAACATAAAAAATTTAAAAGCTTGATTTTAACCTTTTGTTGTATTGATTGATCTGATCCCAATTTCCATTTTTTCCTTTCCTTTTTGAAGTTCATACAAACTTTTTACTAAAAACACTTCTGTCTCTTTCTGCTTTTGGAATTTTTTATTTACTTATTATCCTTATTTTTTGATCAAACAGGCCAAATCCCACAATTCCAACAAGCTGCATTCGGACCAAATCAGGTAATTTTCATCCTTCATACAACTCTTTAAAGCTCTTTGTTAGTATATATCTTATGATCTTTGGTTTTATGTTTTTAGGGTACAAAGAGAATTAATGGAGTGGCTTATGGTAAAGAACAATCATTTAGAGGGCTAAGTAGACTTGGGTCAACACCGCCAAATTGTGAGAATAAGTGTAAAGGGTGCGTTCCTTGTAATGCCATTCAAATACCTGCAACAACTGATCGCAAAAGAGTTGAATATGCTAATTATGAACCTGAAGGATGGAAATGCAAGTGTGGCTCTACTTTCTTTAACCCGTAGGATTAGCTTATGAGTTAATTACTTAAGTTCTTTTTTTTAAGGTTTAATAGGAATTTTTTTGTCGGAAGGTTAAAGTTTTGGCTGTAATCTTTAATGTATACATCTTTAGGTTAGAGATTTCCTTTTCTTATATTATATCAATTATTCTTGTTAATCCCTTGCATTAGGTTTTAACTTCAAAGAAACTCTTATTTCTCACCAACTAACTTTCCTTTATCTCTCTCTGTTTAAGAGTTACGTGGTTCTAATTACAATTCAGTGTCTAATAGAGATTATTCTCCTATGCCAACCCTTTTTTTTTTTTTAACGAGGAGAAAGAAAGTATTAACATATTATATTGATTAATGCAATTTAAAAATGAAATATCCTATTGGATATTATAAACAAAACCTAGTTGATATGTGTACTTAACAACTTGATTAAGATTATGGAGGTATAATTATTGGATCAGCTTCCATTATAACATATATATATTTTATTTTTATGATGTGTAAGTTGTCCTGGAGCGATATTGAGCTATGAACAAATACAGTATCGATAAGCTAGCCTGGAAGGATAGTTGGCCAGTTGGTGATAGAGACATAAAACAACTTGGACTTTGTATCTTTATGTTTTTTTTTTTTTTTTTTTTTTGAGCTATGAACAAATACGTATCGATAAGCTAGCCGGAAGGATAGTTGGCCAGTTTGGTGATAGAGAACATAAAACAACTTGGGACTATTTGTATCTTTATGTTTTTTTTTTTTTTTTTTTTTTTTTTTTTTTTTTTTTGACATTGTATCTTTATGTTTTTATTCCATAGGCGACCACAAGAAAAATAATATTCCATGAACATATATATGCCCAGTGAAACGCGGACACGAGAATCGAAATCATGCATTGAAACTGTGCTAAAAGGAAACTAATCGCTGTATACGCATCTCCGGAGTTAATCGTGTTCGTCATGGAAAATTTACTTCTCAAAATATATAGCACCTTAACAGAATATATTCCATATAAGAATTTTACTTGAACGAAAGATTTAGAGTCTAAAATTAATGGCTAATAATGTTTTTCTTAAAAAATTCAGAGGATCCGAATTAAAAAAAAAAAAAATTTCCCATTTTTGTAAAATTTCTTAAAAAAAAAAAAATGGACCCAGAGGGATGCCTCCACATGCCATCTCTGACTCTGTTGTTGAGATCAGAAGCTTGAAGTATGAAATTGTCAGCCATAAAAAAATTATACTTATGCAGGCATACATAACCTTCAATTTGCCATAAATTGGCAATTGCTGAGATAATATGCATTTTATGAAATCTATCTTTTATTACCAACTATTTATTGACATGTGCAGAATTTTCTTAACTCTTTCATATGAAATACGATTTTTTTTTTTATTTACTTTACTCAGAACTTAATTATTTTGCACCTGCACATAATTGCACGTGATAATGATTAATTTAATTTTGGATCCTTCCATTCAAAAAGATTGAAAATAAAAAATGAAACATTCAATCTAACCATAATTAAGCAATTAATATAAATTGGTTTATCAATTTTTTTTTTCCTTTATGTATTCTACAAATCATATAATTAACTAGCAATATACCCGTGCTATGCACGGTTAAAAAAAATTAAAATAAAGTAAAATTGAGAGAATATACATATAATTTATAAATTCTTGAATGAAATTTTTTTATTATGCTATTAAAAAATATTACAAAGATATATCAATAGTAAAAAAAAAATATAGCCTGATTTTTTATTATTAAAGTACAATTAGTATATATGCATGTGTTCAGTAATATGGATTAAAAATATTGTAATTTATAGAGATAAATAAAAAAAAGTAAAATGAAAGGTGATAAAATTCATTAAGTTGATTAATTTAAAAAATAATGTAAAAAATAATTAACTCTTTATTTCATTAAAATCCATGAATAAATAATTTATTTTAAACAATTAAGAGTTGTATAAATCTTCAACTTACTTATATTTAACATAATTTAATTTAATACAAAAATTTTTAATTTTTTAATATAAAATAATAACTGCCCATATCATTACAATTTATAAATTTTGTAATTTATTTATATCACTGAAAGTTATATAAATTATTACTTAACACACTACTAATTCTCTAACGTTATATTAATCGAATGCATTTAAGACGGTTTAATTTAATCATAATTTAATTTATTTTAAAATAAATATAAAAATAAACGATTAAGTCATACGCATGTCATTAATTTGGAAGCCTTACGTGGTAATATCAAGGAAAATTCTGCCTGTTTTATATATATATATATATATATTGATTTGATAGTTTACGACTACAAAAACATGTTAAATAATCTTTAAAAGGATTGATAGTTTTACGACTACAAAAAACAATTTTATATATATATATTGATTTGATAGTTTACGACTACAAAAACATGTTAAATAATCTTTAAAAAATGAGAAAAAAAAAGTTTAAGTAAGGACTACTAACCCAATTAGTGGAAATAGTTGAAATGTAGAAAATTCTGAACTTAAAAAAAAAATGAATAATATATTTAAAAGTAGAGACCAACACACATTTGCCAATAATATAGAAAAATATAATACATATAGTATTTCTAAAAAAGCTAAAGCGTTTCTTGATGATAAATAATTTAAATTAAAAAAAAATGCTAAACTACACCATTTAAAAAAAAAAAAAAGAAATGGAAACGTTAAAGTAGGAAAGATATATTAACAATTGTTAGAGTCGTTTATTACTTCACAAATTTAAGAGTAACCATTTGTTACAAAACAATACATTAATACACTAATTGAATAATTCATTGTTATTAAACTCTATCATTTTTTTAAAATAATAATTAATAATAATTACTTAAAACCATTAATACATTAAATAATCAAATCAAACCAAACCAAAAACACCAATTCAAAATAAATCTAAACTACATTAATACATTAAATAATCAAATCAAAAACAATAATTCAAAATAAATCCAAACGAAACCAATACATTAGTACATTAAATAATCAAATCAAATCAAACCAAACCAAACCAAAAATACTAATTCAAAATAAATTCAAACCAAACTAAACAAAGTCAATACATTAATGCATACTGAACATTTCACATGTTAACTTTTTAGGTAAAAAATGCTTGCTTTTATATATTTTGATTAGCTCTGCTTTCATATTCAAAATTCAAAACTTTGTGAATTGTCAAAGTATAAATTAACTATAGATTGTACGTTTATCATATGCATCACATGTTGATTACAACTTCCTTTAGCATGCAGAGAAGTTTGATTAAAGACTATTAGTTGGAGATTCACCAAGGTAGGCTCTATGGTAAACCTAATTCAGTTAATTAGATACTAATACTATCAGTTTCTTCTTGGAATTTTAGTCCAATTTTATAGAACCTACCCATTTCCTTTATTCACACAAAAAAATGTTCATTTTTTGGAAAAATTCAACGAAGTACAACTATCACCAAGTCAAAATAATTATTTCAATTTTAATATTATTATGTTAAAACTTAAAATTTATTAATAACTTAATTTATTTGAAATAGTGATATCAATTACAAAATACTCTATGTTAGAAGAAATATGAATTCATCAATCAGATTGGTTTGATTGGTCTTCCTACCTATTTAGAAAATATAAAAAGTGAGAAGTTTCGAGTTTGAGTCATCTCCACTTGTTAATGTTATTCAAAAAGGACCCAATGGGCTTTTTATATATCCAAAAAAAAAAAAAAAAAAAAAAAAAAAAAAAAAAAAAAATCAATCCAATTCTCTCCATGCATCCAGAAAAAGAAAAAAACATGATTTTAAAAAAAAAAAAAAAAAAAATCAATCCATTCTCTCATGCATCCAGAAAAAGAAAAAACATGATTTTACAAAATAGGTCATGAGTTTGAACTAAAAACAATCTCTTTAAATATTCGTGATGATTTTAAATTTAGAATCTTAATCTTACATATAAAATTTACTCAGAAAAGCGGTTGGCTCATTATTAAACTCCGTTGATAAATTGAAGCAAAATTTTTGATCAGCAACCGGGCTTAGCGGTATCATCACTGTATAAAAAGGGGCATATGAGTGATTATTCATGGCACGACAGGCCCAAAATGTGGCTGCTTATGGTTCGCAGGTTAGGAAATTTGATGCCAAGACATCCTTGAACATGAAGAAACACACATTCAATTCACACGATAAAAAGAGAAAGTGAGAATAGATAAAGCAACAGTTCTACTGATTAAATTTAAAAAGCCTAACAAATTATTAGTGTGAACTCCAATAGTTTAAATCACTCGCGATTATATCACGTGGAAAATACGCTCAAGGATCATGTCACGTGATAACGGGATAGTTCCCACGTGAGACAGACAGCATCCAACCATTGGGAAGATTACTACTTCATCCTTTTAGATTTGACAAAATTAAGTTGACCCACAATTTATTCAAATATCTACGTGGTCTCCAAAATTTGCCTCCATGTATGGTCCGTGCTTACATTTTTCTGGGTAAGGTAAGTTTGCTCGATAGCTCTCCACTTTTTGCATTTGTCTTTTTCGTCTCTCGATAATCATATAAAAAAAAAAGAAATTGAAAAATAAATAGAAGAGTTTAAAGTATTTTATTGTATTTTAATAACAATAAAAGTGTGCGGAAGAATCATATAGTTTGACAGAGTTGGGATGATTTAAATATTTGATTAAATTATAAAAATTATAATTAGAGCATATTTGACAATATTAATTATTATAATAGCTGTTAACTGCTTTTTTGAATATTGAGAAGGAGATTTGAATCTGAGTCGATGATAATACTGTATATGTACTTACCATTATATTATGTCTTAGTATATATTAATTCTTAGCTAAAAGTTAGTATTCTGTAAAAATAACTGTTTAACTTAAAATGATAAAAAAATATTAATAATTTAAACGTTCTAACATTTAGCGTTTTAAAATAATAAATTTTTTAAAAATCATATCCATTATTTTTTTTTTTCCGAATGCACTTAATTAGATAATTAATATCTTTTTTTGTCATTTTAAATTAATTAAATAAGCTAAAAACTACTTATCTCTAATAGTAGATAACAACTATGAATTGCCGAATAAGCCTTTAATCTGAAGAAACCTAAGGGCAAAATAGTAAAAGTATCCACTTTCTTTCTTTTAGTTTAACTTTCGGCACGCGTACTAATCACGCGTCGCCAACCATCTCTTTTAGTATAACAGTAAAGATAGTAATTAATTATAATTAATTTAATTATAAAAAATGAAATCATTGAAAGAAAAGAAAGACCCACACACAACGTTGCCTCGGTGTTCAAAGTCTTTTGCTTCAAATTAACAATGAGAGAAAAGAAAGAGAGAGAAAACTGAGTTTTAGAGAGAGAAAGGAAGATGATAATACCAGGAGAGACCGTCAGCTTCTAATATTCTTTTTCTGATTTTTATTTTTTTTCATTATCTGTAATTAACCTAACCCTAGATTAGAATTTTTTTTCCCATCTCTTAATTCACTAATCTTTAGAGAGCTACGAAATTCTAGATCTCCAATCCCCTCAATTGGTTTTTTGATTTGGTTTCTTCGTTTCCGTGCGACTTTTTTTCGATTTGTCGGTGCGGTTGAATCGGTGTACAGTATCGTGTTCTGTTTTGTCTCAGCATTATTTTTGTATTTTGCATTTTAATATTTTTTGGGGGTTGGATTAGGGTTTGTGCTGCGTCAAGGAGGTTTGAATTTTTAGCTTTTGTGGATTTTCTTGATGGAACCGCGAGTTGGTAATAAATTTCGGCTTGGTAGAAAGATCGGCAGCGGGTCGTTTGGGGAGATCTATCTCGGTTTGTTATTTCTGTTTTTATTGTTAAGTGTTCTTATTTTTGTTAATTTGGTGATATTGAAATTATTGATTAATTTTGTTGTTAGGTACTAATATCCAGACAAATGAAGAAGTCGCCATTAAGCTTGTTAGTGTTTCTCTCTAATTTCTGTTGGGATCTCGTGAATTTCTTCAATTTTACGTTGGTGTTTGAATTTAATTTTAGTAGATTACGTGGAATGTTGATGTTTTCTTTTGTCTCATTCACTTTACCTGAATATTTGGAATCAACAAAGTGGCTCAGTAATATAATATAATTGGAGCATGAGTTTATGTTGCAACTTACTAAGTGACTAGTTTAGGTTCTAGTACTCTGACAGAGCAAATTAAATGATGGGAGGCCCGCCTTTGCACCAGTAATCGAGTGATGAGGTGTTTTACTTGTAACCTATTAACGAAATGATGGTGGTAGCAACTAATTATGTGAGCTCCACTATTAAATTCGAACCCAACTCACCTTTACTACCGAGATTTTATCCAATGCCGATGAGGCCTTTTATTCTCTTCTGTAATCAAGCTCACTTAGATTGCATGCTATTGCCTTTGCCTCTACAAAGGGAGCCTCTGCGAAATTTAAATAGGAGCTTGGCAGAAAATTTTTACTTGTCTCTGTTTCAGCCCCATTTGGAAATTGCTTTTGGGATGGAGATCATCATATGGAGTTGCGTCTTGATATGTGAACTTCTTTCGCAGTCCCATTAATTTCTTCCCTAGGATTACAATGGATGTAGAGAGTCTTGAAGTCAAACAATTATTCCTTACTTCTGCTACTGCTAGTAATCATTATTAACTGTTTGGCAAAGATTTTAGATTCACATAGCTTATTTGGAATCATTGAGTATGTTCACAACAAAGTATCATGAACAAGTGAGCACGGAATTCTCCATGCACTAGAACTTCTCTTCGAACCTATGGGATGGTGTTTTGTGAAAATAGCATGAGTAATGCTATTGTCTATTACACTGCCATTTTTTTTTCTTCTCTTTACCGGCTGTTGTTTTGGCCTTATTCCTGCTTTCCAGATGATTATTGAATTAAGATTACGTGTAAATTTTGCTTGGAGGCAACTTATCTAGTGAGTAATGTTTAAGTGAGAAGTACTCTATGAAATGGGGAATTTTACTTACCTTAAGAATTTGCGTTGGAAACAACGGATTCATATAGCTGACTCCAACTAGTTCGAAACTAAGGCTTAGTTGTTATTGTTGTTGTTTAAGAATTTGTGTTTGTTGCGGAAATTGACCTTTGCTTTTTTCAATTATTTGGATTTTTATGGAGGGAATCATTTTTTCCTGCTGTGCAATAAATGCTGAAATCAATTTCTAATGTTCAGGAAAATGTCAAGACAAAGCATCCTCAGTTGCTATATGAGTCAAAGTTATACAGAATCCTTCAAGGAGGAAGTATGTGACGTCTTAAGATTTAGTAGTCGATTTATTTTGTGTTTAATTCTATTTTTCATGTGCTTTTGTCGTTAGTTCTCTTTTTCTGCTTTTATTATATACTTTTATAATATTATATAGTATATATATATATATATGCGTGTGTATATATATATATGCATATAATATAATATCTCTGTTTTTTTTTTTTTTTATTTAATTTTTGGCAGCTGGGATTCCAAATGTGAGGTGGTTTGGAGTTGAGGGAGACTATAATGTCCTTGTGATGGATTTGCTTGGACCTAGTCTTGAAGACCTATTTAACTTCTGCAGTAGGAAACTCTCTTTGAAGTCAGTTCTTATGCTAGCTGATCAGATGGTAGGTTTCATAAACTTTGGGTATTCCTTCTAGTAGGTTTCGTGCTTTCTGAAAATTACACTGGGCTTTTGTTTTCTTTTTAAGATCAATCGTGTTGAGTTTGTTCATTCAAAATCATTTCTACATCGAGATATCAAGCCAGACAATTTTCTTATGGGCTTGGGCAGGCGTGCTAATCAGGTTTCAGTTTGAAGTATATGTTTTTTGTATAGTTATGTAATCTTCTACATTCCTGAATGTCCATATTAGATGTACTTACTAGATTGTTAATATCTGCAGGTGTATATGATTGACTTTGGTTTGGCAAAGAAATACAGAGATAGTTCAACCCATCAACACATTCCTTACAGGTCAGCCGATTCAAGCAACTCCTGTTGATAGGTTAAACTAAATGCAATTATATGGTGGTGGTAACATTTGTAACAGTTTTGAAGGAATTTATCCTTGAGCACTGGATGTTGAGATTGTTTGAATGTGTGTTTTTATACACTGAAGGTTTGGGTGCCAAAATTGGTGAAGGGGAGGGGAATGGTGGATTTTATAGAGGAAGGGGGGTGAAAAGGGAGGAGAAAACATTTACTTTGTGTTTTGGAAGATACAACCAAATGATAAAGGGAAGGGAAGTTTGTTTGGACAAGGGTTAGGGAGAGGGAATTGCAACTGTGGAAATGAATATTTTTCCTTTTCTTTGAGGTGAAATTTTTTACGTCCTGAATTGGGTTTAATGCATTCCAAAGCCTAAGAGGACGATATCAGTAAGGGGTTATCCTTTTTGTCTCTTTCCACTCCTAAAAACAATTAGATGCAAGAGGGTTTCCCCACCATTCTCATTCCCTTCCATCACTTCTCTATCAATGCATATTGAAAAAGCATTTGAGCTTGTTGTCTAATGTAATCTATGATTTTTACTGTTATACATTTTGTCTATTGTAGTATAGTTATTGTAAACAAATGCTGACAACATTTGGTAATATTCTTTGCAGAGAAAATAAGAATTTGACTGGAACTGCCAGATATGCAAGTATGAACACTCACTTGGGAATTGGTATGTGCTTCCTATCTTTTCCCACTTTGCCTTCTTTGCCATTCTGATGGCTTTACCATTGGGCAGTCCCTTTCATCACCATGATTTCATTTATTTCATTCCTGACTCATTGGGCTGTTGTAGAGCAAAGCCGGAGGGATGATTTAGAATCTCTGGGTTATGTTCTCATGTACTTCCTAAGAGGAAGGTGATTCTTGCTGCCTGCCTACCTCTTCTTGTCTTGCTGGCTCTACATTGGTGTTTTGTTCACTGATGTCCCCTTCTCTGCAGTCTTCCTTGGCAAGGATTAAAAGCAGGAACTAAGAAACAGAAGTATGAGAAAATTAGTGAAAAGAAAGTGTCCACTTCAATTGAGGTAAGCTGCACCTTCAGTTAAACATTCACCGTCTCCAATTTTATTAATCTGACCAAAGACATATGCTTTTGCAGGCCTTATGTAGGGGTTATCCAACTGAATTTGCATCCTACTTTCATTACTGCCGTTCTTTACGATTTGATGATAAGCCTGATTATGCTTACCTGAAAAGAATATTCCGCGATCTCTTCATTCGTGAAGGTAGGAATATATTATTGTCTAGTTTCTTCAACTCTGTAATGCCTATTGTGGTCTCCAGTTTTGATTTATCTATACCTATTGAATTATAGAATTGGCATTTAATGTTTTCATATATTGCTCTTTGTCATAGGCTTCCAGTTTGATTATGTATTTGACTGGACAATATTGAAGTATCAGCAATCGCAGCTGGCTAATCCTCCAGCTCGTGCCCTCGTAAGTTTTAACGTGTTACTTGTGTTTGTCTTCTGTTGGGCTTTGGCATAGCATGCATTTGAATAGTTCTTGTTTATATTAGGGCCCTGGAATTGGAACTAGCTCTGGAGTGCCCCCTGCTATTGCCAGTGCAGATAGACAGACAGGTACTCTCTCGTGCTTCTCACTTTTAGCATAATGCTTCATTTTTGGGTAGCAATGGAATCTGTTCCCTTGCTTGCGTGGAGATGTTGCAGTTTTGTTTTACTTTTTTGTAATTTTCAAAAATACTTTCTCCAGTTTGTTCTTTTACCTTTTGTTTTTCATATTGTACATGAATTTTCCTGGTAAGGTTTGAACAACCTAGCTGAAATTTCACCTACTTGTTTGTCTCTTGAGCTGGCAGTGGAGCATACTTGATTTGATGATGAATATCTGGTCTTGTAACTTCAAGTTGCAAAAACTTGATCTTGGCGTTAAAACATGCTTGTGGTTTTTAATTGTTTCTTGTCCTTGTCCCAGGTGGTGAAGAAGCGAGACAAACTGGTCAGTCAATAGATTCTGCTCGGCGCAGACTTTCAGGGTCGGGGCCTATCCTAAATAGTGGAAATTATGCAAAGCAAAAGAGTCCAATTGCAAATGATTCTCCCGCTAGTAAGGATCCTCTGGTAAGTGTTGAAGGTTTCCTGGTCTTGTTCTGGATGCTGAACTGTGTAAAGGTCCTTCCTTGATGCTGTGATGCGCAATTGAATTTTATGGCCAGATACATTTGAAGCTTGTATCCTAATTGTAGTGCGGTTTTGGCATCAGTTTTGAATGATATGTGCTTTTATTGTTTTCCCCCCCACTAAAACCTCTTATTTATGGTACAATTGCATTGTCAAGCAATAATATTGTGCCTTGTGGGCAGTGGGTTTGCCTGATTGTGATTTTGCAGGACTAGTATTGCTAATTGATATGTGTGCCTTTTTGGTCTTCGTTATAAATATTATGTGATACTGATGGATATTTTTGTATTGCATTCAGTTTAGGCCTAACCTGCATTATTCTGCATGTCACAGTTACCGAGCTCTGCTTTCATAGGACGATCAAGTCGATCCACAAGGCAAGCAGGTACCGTTTCTACTAGCCGCGATATATTTGCTGGAAGTGAGGCTGATCCGCAACGCTCGCGCACAACTGATGCAAGTCCAGGAGCCGCCCATAAAATTTCTAGTGGACAAAGGAGTCCTCCTTTAGGATCTGCAGACCCCAGGCGGTCAGCATCAACCAGAAATGCCACGCACATGAAGAGCTATGAGTCTGCCCTCAAGGGAATCGAGGGCCTGAATTTTGACAGTGATGATAAGGTTCATTATTAGGTGCTCAGTGCAGTGCATTGTTGTAAATCATGAACTTGGTGTGCCGCTAAACTTGCAGTGAATAGATTATTCTCATGAAGTTGAGTTTCGGAGAAGTGCTTAGAGGCCATATAAATCTGCATTTTCAATTTGCACGCTCAAGGCATCAGCCTGATAATGCGAAAACGGTCTTGGGAAGCTGAAGTTTGCAAATTGTAGAAGTCTTAAAATTCGACGTTTGAGTGTGTTAATGCGGTACATTTTCTTTTTTCAGATATTCCCATAGCTTAACCTGTTTCTGTTGCCACTTTGTTTCATTTAAGCTCTCATATTTTTTATGTTCCTTTGAATCAGAAGCGTTAAAAACCTGAAGCCAATGTAAATTGGGCGTTGTATCCATATTCCTCTTTAGTTTGTGTGTTTTGGGCTGCAGGGTAATGTGTCGGGTAACAACTTGCCAAGCACTATTGGTCACCTGCTCTTAATGATTTTTACCATCATGCTATATGAAAATCGAATGCTTCTGTGTCGAAATGAAATGCTCGATCTTTTAATCTTGTTCTAATCTATTTTGAAGTGTAATGATAGGTCGTTGTAATAACCTTGACACTGCAAAACCTGGGGTTTCAATGTCGTTTCAATATATGATTGTAACAAAGTCCAAACGAGGCCAATTGGTCTCTTCATCCTCTTGTCTGATCTGTTGCCCTTTTCCCGTTATTTCGTTGCTTAAACACTTATTTCCATCACTTATGCAACAACAAATTGGGTTGAGGAATGGTTCAATAATTGGTTTGGGTCCAAGTTATAAGTATCTTTGTATAAGAAACTTAGGATTGAAACATATTCTTCAATATAAATAGGAAGTCATCGATTGGAATATTTTCTTGAGGCTTTTCGTTCATTCTCCGATCTATGCAAGATTTTGAATAGCAGAGACATGAAGAAGACTTGCTATGGATTCAGTTTTATAGAAGTCATTTATTTGTCGCTCAGGCAACAGGGAGACTTTATCCTTTTATGAAGGAAAACATTCCCTGTCGTCCATTCATTTGAAAGACTAAATGTTCTCGCACGAGGAAAACATTCTATCTTTCCCTTGAGCCATTTTAACATGCTAAGAACACAGCATCCAATTTTAAGCATAAACTTTTCACTGGGTCAGCACTCTGGCTGAATTATCGGTCCTTAATCCAATTACAAGTATGGAAGGATTCTAAAGATTCATTATCACAAGAAAATGATACTTCAGTAATTACTGGTTTAATCAACTATCTTAATTGGTTAACAAGACACGACAGAGTTCAATATTCAAAAAGCAAGAAATTAGCATATGAAAAATGAAAAGGGTTTTAGAACTAATTGTTCTCTCCCTGACTCAATGTGATGATATAGGATAGGAAGATAGAACATAGAGAAAATCACCTTTGCACTTAGGTGAAAGGCAATTACATCGTCCGGTAAAGCAAAAGAAACATAAAACCAGCTACCAGTTATAATACAGATCAAATCATCTTCCACTGTAAGCACGTTGAAACTTATCAAGTAGCATTGAATTCTGTTCAGATTCGGATCATATTAGTCTACTACTCATTGTGCAACTCTGGATCAAACCCAGTTTCTGCAAGATAATCCTTAGAACCTCAAACAACTGGAAAATGAAAATGCTAATCTCCAAAAATTGGGGACAAGACACAATATCTTGAAGAAATTACGGGACAGCTAATCCTCTAAAATTGCCTCCCAGCTTGGGAAAAATGTCATAATTAACCAGTTTCTACAAAATGATCTTTGTTCATCCTAATCTCCTGAGGATCCTAAAATCCCCATGGGTATGCGAACCGGATTCAACAATGATACCCAGAACAGTTCCTTTCTAGTCACATTGTTTGTATGTTTGCATCTGCCTGAACCCAGGAAGTTATTACAGAGAACAAGCAGGATTTCTATTGCTTTTTTTTTCCCTCCCTTTTTACTAGGTTGCAAGCTAGAATCAAATAGGCACATAAAATTTATATGGTAAGAGGAAACTACACCAATAATAACGGGCATTCAATTCAAACCAAATCCTCAACGACATGCATATGCAAAACATGCCAAAAACAGTTCAAACATTAATCAATGTCACACTTTAATGTAAGTTATTTGCCCCAATTAAATATAAAAAAGGAAAAATCACAATCATATGACTTCAATTTCAAATATAAGCTCTATGACACCGGTATAAGACTCCAGGAAAGGAATAGACGCCTAAAAAACTCCCAGCTTCCTATCAGAACTTGTTTATCCGAACACAATATTTCTAGAACCAACAAACTTATCACAATTCCCAAATCAAGGCACTTTCATCTCCACAACCAATTTAAGAACATTCAATTATCATATACTCGAAAAGAACAGTACAGTACACAGCTTAGAAAGCCCAAAAACATAACATAGAAAAATCGAAGAATAGAAGTTAAATTCAGAAATCACCACCAGCCATAAACGACTCTACTGTACCTGTCCTTGAGCCACCTAAAACTCTTCTTCAAAGACCCTTTAACTTTCCCTTCTACAGTGTAAACCTTATAGCTAGCCACTCTTTTCTTCCTTTGCAACTCCGGATCATTAAAGCTCCAGTTTTTAGAAACCGACCCATTCATTGACTTCCCCTTTTTGAACTTAACATCGGTATTACCAATCTGGGTTTGGTTTGGGTAAGCTGAAGATGCATAAGACGCACTGTAGCATCTGAGATCTTGCATGCCACTCACGCCTGTTGATGATGATGATGCGGGTCCCAGTGCTCCATGGCCATTATATGTCTGTAATTGCATTCTTCCATCGCCAAAAGACTTAGATCTGAAATCTTCCATTGAAAATTCTGGGCCTCTCTCTCAATTTCCTCCAGGTTTTGTACAATTAATTTAATATTTAATGGAGCTTTGTTATTTTGTGTTTGCTTTCTATCTGTCTGTGCAATTATTTTTAAGCTGTGGCGTTGACCGTATGAAGAAAGCTGTGGCGTCGGTGGTGTATACTAAAAAAAGGTTTTACTGGGTGCGAATGCTTTCATACTTAACTTTTGACTTTTCAGTTTTTTTTTTTTTTTTTTTCCCACGATCCCATGCCAACTTTTTTATAATAAAAAAATGTGCTCACTTACTTTCTTTGTAACATGAATAGCAATATTTAGATAAAAATTTTTGAAGATTATAACATTTATTACAACCATATAATTAAAAGTTTAGATTTTTTATTTTAGAAGTTTGCACAAATTTATATTTGGTATTTTACGTTTAAATTTATATATTTAAAAGGTCATTAATTTGTTATCGACATTATCTCTTAAACTTTTTTTTTTGAATAATTTCACCAATTATTTTTCTATTCTTTCCCCATTTTTATAAATATAATTAAGAATATATTTATATTATGAAATAAAGTGAATTGGTGTTCATAAAAAGAAAATTTCTTTTGTATATTCCTAATATGATATAAAAAATTGAATAAATCTTGTCAAAGTAAAATAATTAATCAAATTTATTAATTAATATTATTTTCAAAAAAATATATTAACATATTAATATAATAATTTGTTGAAAACAAATCTATGAAGTCAATCTATGAGAATAAGTTATAACCGATCCTTTGTAGGAAATGTCCCTCAAAAGAAAAATTGAGAATACAAGGAAGGAGCTTTAAATAATTCCTGAATATTACAACCGACGGCAAACTAATAATAAAATGACAAAAATGAAATATAGGGCAGAAAGGGGATTGCTGATGCATAGAAAAGAGAGCATACACAGATTGAGCATTATACATTTACAGTTTTACTCTAATGATTAACGATTAAAATCCAGTAGTACAACAGGGGACTAGTCCCCGCATAGCCAAAATTGCTTGTAACATTTTCTCTCATGCACAAAATGTTGGAAGCAAACCCATCTCTGGTAAATCCTATATATAAAGCACAAGTCGGTCGGTTTCATCTTAATTCAGCATTGCCTTTCCGATTCATTAGGTCATGATAATACAATAGCACACACATGGGTTGACCAAGAATGCAGAAAATGAACCAAAAGATCATATTTCCCACCTGTGCCATTAAAAGAGCAAGTATCATGATATGACCTTTTTTTTTTCCATGGAGGCTGTATGTGGCGGACAAGATAGATTAGCTAAAATAAGATAGGAAATAAAATCTGAAAAGAATGAAGACATACCATGGAGCTTCTGAACTTGTTCTGGAGGTAATTAGTGATCCCGACCAATGGAATCTGATTCAAACAGGAAAGCAGCAATTTTTTTTAATATATAATTTTAATCTTGATGAAGAGAACAATATTTCCCCCTAATCCATCAGGAGATTCATTGGACCTAGGACTATATTATAATAGGTAGACCTTTTCAATCCCCACCCCAACTCCATGCCAGAACCCAAGTTCCAAAGTAAAATAAACTTCTAACATATTACCTGAAACATAATTCCAATAAAAGCCCAGAGCTTGAACATGTGGCAAGGAACAGCAATGCACAACTGCGAGCAAGCAAAAAACACGATTAGCTTAAGCAAATTTTACGGTTTCATCTCACAAGTATGTCCACCGGACCCCTAAACAGAAATAACTCAAAAATAAACATTTAGACATACATCACCATGTGCAATGATGACATCCTTAACAAGGGAATTCAAAATTGGAAAAAAAAAAAACAAAAGGTCAACCCTTGAATACCTCATGAAATACAGCTGAAACGAAGAAAGCAATTAACAAGGCTACCCCCTGCATCATCACAATAGAAAGAAAAATTGTGATTATCGAGACCAACAAGGTATTAATGTTAACTTTTTCTAACATAAACCACAAGAAGCCGCTTGGTATATGAACCAACTGCTTACAGACCTAAATAGAATAAAAAAAAAGCAATGCTCTATGCTAATTCAAAACTTTAAAGTTCTCATACAACCTACATCAAAATCTAGGCAAGGTTTTAGAACATCTTGAAATTGAAGCGATATTCTTCTATGCATATGGCACACAGTAAAGCTTCCAAAATAAGTTATATCAAGTAGTAATTGAATTCTAAAGCGAGAAGCAGAAATACCCTTGGTATTTTATGCCGCAAGCATGGAAAGTAGATATGGCGAACCATCCACTTATGAACAGGCTGTGATAAATACGATCATGTTAGTAACATTATTGACCAAAAATTCTGTGCAAGTGTTTGTTAGTGTCAGCGTGTGCATGTGAATCCACACATGTGCAGGCACATGCATTTATGTGACATTATCTGATATTTATTATCACAAGATTCAGCAATACAATTAGAATGCAACAATTATAAAATCAAACTTGTAAATGATTTGCTCAGATTGATACTTGAACTCTCATCAAGCAATTTATAGAACACTCCAGTATTAGAAATTTAAGATTGTACAGAAATTAGAAGTTATAGATCCATTAAAATTATAAGGTTGATACAAATGTTATTAGTACGAAACAACCTCATGGGCTGTATCATACTAGAGTTCCAACACCACTCATGTGACGGATCTCAAACAACATTGTCATATCTGAATATGCAGCTTATAAAATATGTGATATATCAGACTACATATTGCCAAAAATAAAAAATAAAACCACAAGTTATGAATAAAATAATCATCTTAATATAGAGAAGTCAAAAGAAAAACTATGTTATAATTTCAAGTAAAGAAACATACCATATTCCACATTCTCCAGTACTGATGAAGCCACAAATCCAGAGAGGTAGATACATGACAACATTTACAATTTGAAATAAGCAAAGGATTCTTTCAGAGACATACCCAAAGGAAAACATTACTATAAGAAACTTTTACCTCCTCAACTGTCCTTGCATTCCACCAATCTTTATAGAACTCTCTGTCACCAAACCGAAGGAGCTCAGCAAGTATATTTAACCTGCGTTGCCAAATGTAATAATAATACACCTCAAATGTCATGCATTGGTCAAACAAATCAAAGCCTGTGTAAGACATGAGCCAAAAAAAACGTACAAGTTAAACATAAATATGATAGCATGATCTCTGAGACATTAGTAGAAAAGAAAACAACCTTCGTGACAATCATTAAAAACATTTCAATAGACAGAGAAAGTGTAATACTTGAGACTTGGGAAAAGAAAACAAAAAGAAAAGGAACTCACCATAGATGAAAAAAGCAGTAGAACATGCAAAGCCACACATATAAGTTTGGAACTGAGAGCTTCAAAACCCTTTCAATGGCATATAATAGATCCCCCTTTAAGGGATGTTGTGAATTCTGGACAATAGGATTGATATACTGCAGATTATGTCCACAACCATGTCAAGAATGCATGTGCCAATTTCCCAAAACAGCAGAAAGGACAAGGAAAGCTAGTTTTGAACATAAAGTTCTCCTTACTTGTTCTATGATAAATCCCATGAATCCTGTAAATATTATTAACTTGACAAATTGACGAACCACCCAACCCTTTCTAACTGAATCTGTTCGAGGATAACTTGGCTACAATAAACAAAGGAGAATTAGAGACCCATGACAAGGAAAATATAACTTAAGCACTCCACATGACAAGGAACAAGTGAAGACATTATATTGACAAAAACCCCGCCCACAGTACCCAAAAATAAGAGTATGATATGAAGTATAATAAACTGACACCACCACACAAATTTTAGAAAATCAATGGTGAAACTGATTTGGATGGAAATGCAGTCATTACAACAATCTCACTATGTAGCAGAACATTCAACACGCATACAACAGTATCAACAATCATCCCCAGCTGCCACCACCCAGTAGAAAAAGAAAAGATAATAACAATTGAAAAAGGAAGCCATAAGTATAGGTTTCTTTCCTAACATATCAAAGACAACTACTTGATGCAATGTTGCACATATCAGTTATTAAAAGTATGCTTTTATAGGTCAAATTATTGGAAGAACTAAAAATCAAACTAAGCTAATCACAAGTGCTGATTAATAAGATATGTATTGACACGAAACAAAGCCATAAATGAAAGAAATATTGACCTCTTGGTCAGCCAATTCCTAGGACTAATTTAGAACAGACGACTCAAGCAATTAAACACCAACACGCCCAAAAATTTCATGAAAAATCAGAAGTAAAATATTCAGAGCTTTGAGAATTTTAAGAACAAACGAGGAGACACCGTATCACAAATCCATGTAACTACAAGACCCAGTATGCATGTCCAAATCCATTCAAAATAACAGGAACAATGTCAAAATAAAATAATGGATTTTACTGAATTAAGAACAGTAAGTATGCCAATCATCGAAATACAGAGAAACATCAGAGGAGTGTCTTTCATTGCAACACATCCTTGCAGATAGTTAAATCAAATCAAACATCATTAACAGTGATAGGAAGGCATGCCAACAAGCATTGGTATTATTGAAATAATACAAATGCAAAAATTTCTCATTTTTACAATCTAATAATACGATCAGCTACCTGGTAACATAGCGTAGGAGCAACCATGAAGTAGACCAAACTCTTGAAGCTAACATCACGTGAAGAATCTGCACCTGAAGTATCGGATAGTGCATCTCCCTGGCATCAAGTAGAACTACACTGAATGAGGGATGGCCATTTTGTTTGTATTCCGTAAATATCATTGCAGAAGATGGAAAATCTATCCAAGCTAAACATTTTTTTCCACTTGGGAGGGGGGCAGGCAAGAAAAAAAATTGTGCATTTCTAGCAAAGAATACTGATAAAACTTTTTCAGGCGTGTATCAATAAATTTTACAAAAGAATTAGAGTTGCACCTTGTCAGCTGAGTTGGCAATGGCTCTCATGTCATAGTTTGTATGTGCATAAGATACTAATTTCAACCACACGATACAAGCAAAGAGCATCAATGCAACACCAGACAGAACAGCAGACCCACAACTACAAAGATTAGCAAAACAAATGATTAAGCATTTTAGCATCCTTGCTAATTACTAAGACAAAAACGACACTCCACAAGATATAAGATATTCCATTAATATGCTGCTCAGAACAAAATGAAATGAAATTAGCAGGCCAAAATTCCTAATATCACTACATCCTTCTGGAATTGTACAAATAGACAGAGATGGAAAGAGACATGTATGTATAGACAGAAGAGAAGAAGAGGGGCTGAATCAAATATTGAAAGGAAAACTGAAAACTTTGCACATTTGCAAAATTGCAATGCTGAAAGGCGGAGAACAGAAGAAGCCAACCAATGTCGGCAATTCCAGCCACCAAATCATAAACATTCCCAAGGCATTTGATTCCTTATCTCAACATGTATTTCCAACAGCGTTTGCTCTCAATAGCCTTTCTCATAGTACACACATTCTTTTAACGATTCTGAAATAGAATGCAGCCATTCAATTTTCAATTTCCATAAAAACAAGGGAAATTTGCATTCCAACAGTATTTTAAACAGTTATAAATAGACAGCTAAGGCAGCTAAATCTATCAAGAGCAAAGTGAAAAACCTGAGAATCACAGAAACTGGGTACAAAACTGCTGTTGTGGTAATGAGCATATGAAAGAAAATAACAATCTGCAATATTAAAATTAAAGTTAATATCAAATAAATGTCTTCTGTTGGGAAATTTCAGTAAGCCACCCCACTCTTAGCACTAAACAGAATAATCGTATAGAAAAAAACTCACAGGTGCAGATATATATTTTCGATATGCCAACTTCTCAACTAGATAGGCGGCAAGAGAGAATATAGGGAGGGTAAGACTGCATATAAACCACAATCTTATCATGTTTCACGTCAACTATCAAAAGGAATCAAAACCAACTCAAACAGCATTTGCATAAAAAAATTACTTTGTCAAAATTAAAACTATAAAGATAATTACCAGCACATAAGAAGGGGCCAATCTCTCAACGATCTTGAACTAAACCAAAACCCCGTTTTAATTAACCAACCATACTGCAAAATCCATTTAATACCATAAATTGCAACAGTAAGTTTCCTCAACCAACCAGAAGACAAAACGTAAGAAGTCAAATATACCACCCACCATTCAACTATTGATGTAAATTGCCAATGAGGAAAAAAAAAAAAAAAACAAACCTTCATTAGATTTTCAATGATAAGCCTGCTGTTAACAGCAACAAGCACTACTATACAGAGGTTGAACAGACCTGCATGACTCTGATATAAATGTAAAAAGTAAAAACTAGTTAATTAAGAATAAAGCATCCATTAATATGAAAATAATTTAGACATTCTTAATTACTTCTCATTCAAATACGCATAGCAGCTCAAAAATCAACAAAATGGTATTAAAACCTTAACTTCACAACCTAAAAGTCATTTCACCAACTTAACAAAAATAAGTAATTTTATTTTCGTCATCAACCTGCACCGTAAAATCCACCTCTAGAGCAAAAATACAATCAAACATACTCATTTATAAGCTTCAGTAAATGCAGAGCCAACAAATACAAAGACTTCCGTCTTAGAACCGTATATGCATATGAAAAATAAGCAGCAGTTTGAAGAAAAAAAAAATCGGTTCAACATCCATACTTGTTTAAATATAGCATCAGAGCTAAGCGGACTCTCCCTGAGCGCTCGATGAGCCGGCACCGATGGCCGGTACGTGAATTTAATATCCGACCTCCCACGATTCTCGCGATTGTCAATCTTATCCTTGTCACCGCCGCAATCTTTTCCATTAATTTTCTCTGTCTCCGGTTCCGTCACCATACCTGGATCCATCATCACCTGGCCACCGCTTTCAGATTCCAATTCAACAATATTCGAAGTCAATTCCGGCAAAGCTCCATCCGAGCTGGTGCCTTTCCGTCTCCGTCGAAGCGATACGTTAAGATCGGAAGACGACTCAGCAACACCATCACCTCCGCTAGTAGTGGTCTCCAAAATCGTCATTTAACACTAAATAGCAAAAATTGTGAATTGGAGAGGGAAAAAGAATCCAATCATATAAAGCATATGTCAAATGAAAAAAAAAAAAAAAAGGGAAAAACAAATGATTGTGTATTTATAGCAACAAGAGTAAGTTCATGGAAAGGCGTGTCGGTGAATGGGAAGGCAAGGAGCAAAGACCAGAGGAGGAGATTATATATGGATTTTGAATTTTGAGTAGAAAAAAAGACAAGTGTGACGAAATCCGAAGTGGAAGGTAATGAATGCGTAATGGAGTTTAGCGTTTTTAGTTGAACAGTCGCAAGAGAGGGCCGAAGGCGGTGGTCGACGTAAAGCAGTGAGGTGTCGACAATTAGAATTGCAATTTTATAACAAACTATCTTTGCCTTGAAGCTTTCTTTATTGAGCAGATTTTTTTCTTATTTTTCTTGTAATTTCTTTTATTGTATTTCTGGTGGTGTTTCTGTTTGCTGAGAATAGATAGACAAGTTGGACTGGAAAGAGATATTTTCTAAGTTAATTATTTTGTAAAGCGATTTGTTATTAGATTTGTAATCTAAAAAAATATATATATATCAAGTTTTAACTTTGTTTAATTAATTGGTTATTGATTTAAGAAGAAACAAATTACCTCTAATAAATTAATTTTTTTATGAAAAAAATAGTTAAATTACTTAAATAATAATAATAAAATATTATTTTATTTAACTAAATCACTATTTGTTTCATTATACTTTAATCTCAATAATAGAGATAAAGCTAATATTCGCAAAAATTACTTAATATTCTTTAATCTTTTCAAGATAAACAAATAATTTTAAGAAAAATAATTTCTAAAAAAATGATATATAAAAATGAATGAAAAAGTAGTTTTTTTGTAAAGTTACATTGATTATAGAAAAATAAAAGTTTCACTCAATTATAGCCGAGAGCTTTCCAATTCGAAAAATAAAAGTTTCACTTAATTATGATAGAGAGCTTTCTTCGAAGGTGAATGTTATATAAAGGAAAACATTTTTAAGAAGTAAATTATTTTTTTGAAAAAAAAAAGTGTAAAACTTAAAATCTCAGTTAATGCTATGGGAAAGTGTTTTTTTTTATTATTATTTTTTGGGTAACAAGAGATGGTATATTAAGGTATCTGAAAGGATCCAAACCAAATCCAAGTTTCCTATGGATTGTGAGCTTATGACCTTTGACTTACCTACCTACCATCTTTGTCAATTGTCACCTTCTTTGTGAGAAGGGGCACAGTTAGTTTTAATTTTTTTTTTTATTTTAAAAAGTATTCATTTTTCCTATATTATTTATTTCTCTAAATAAAATAACGGGATACATTAAATTAAAATTAATGAATATTTTCTCATAAAAATTTTAATAAAAAACAGAAGAAGATTTTGATTATTTTTGTCGAAAATGACATATTTAATTTATTAAAATGCTCGCTTCACGCAAAGCGGTTAGTAACTGAAGGGTCACGAAATGTGGATTGTGGACAGAGAAATTGACTGCCAAGATGTCTTATATAATGAATTGAAAGAAGCTTATTAGCCAAGGGAATGGGTTCGGGCTGATTCGTAGACAAAGCTTCATTTCTGTTGCGAGGAAAGCTTCTCCCTTTTCCGAAATATGAGTCGTTTAACGTCGTGTTGTATGTCTGATGTGATTCCCAGAGACAAAGATCACCACACATGTTCATCGTCGAAAGTCCAGATACAGATCAGACGCGTCGTTTAGTTTCAATCCTAAACTGGTGCGGATTAGACTCTAAAAAAAAAGGCAAAATTACATGTACGTGTACGTTTTTCTTTTAGTTTTATATCTGTATAGAGTAGTATAAGATTTCAAAGATTCTCAAGAATCAGTTATCACTTTTTATTCTGTAATTGTTAAGGCGGACAAATTCAGTTATGGGTCAGACAAGTTTCAGACCTTAGCTGTTTAGATGCCATATATGCAAAAAATGGCATCTAATTACAAGTTTTGTAGGTTCTGTAATTCAGGATGAAACTCAAGGCCACTTCGACGCACTCTTTTTTACTTTTTCTTTTTTGCCTTAACCATTATTTACCAAACTAATATCCTTACTCGACAATATCTTGTTATATTTTCGTTTTTCCTTTTTTTTTTTTGGGAGGAAATCTTGTTATATTTAACAAAAAGAAACTAATAATGCTAATCTAAATTGTCATAGAAATTGTAAGTACTTGCTTGCATATATAAAGATTTTGATGAAATATTTAAAACAAAAGAAACATTAGAAACCCCAAGGTAGATAAAGGATCTTAATTAAAAGAAACAAACAATGCAACAAAAATCATCAATGCGTTGTATAGCATTGCTGAATCTTGGAATGAAGTATCACTTACTGGTCAGCAGTAAATAAAGATACCAGATCCTACAAAACAAGACTTTATAGCTTTAAAAACAGATATAAAAAAAAAAAAAAAAAAAAAAGAAACGAAAAGTAGACAAAAAAAAAAAAAGAAAAAGAAACGAAAAGCACAAACAAATGGGGGAAAAAAAAAAAAAAAAAAAAGAAAAAGAAACGAAAAGCACAACAAATGGGGGGGAATTGCCCTCTCTCTTTCTCTCTACTAACAATGAGAAGACAAAATCTCATTTAGAGGAGATCAGCAACATTTGATGGCAGCTCCTCAATCACCACATTGTAGAACCTTTGGATGTCAAACAGCATCCTGTCGTCATCCTTCGTTACAAAATTAATTGCAACACCCTTCCTCCCAAACCGTCCACCACGTCCGATACGATGGAGATAGTTCTCTGGCTGAGTTGGGAGATCATAATTTATAACAAGGGAGACTTGCTGGACATCAATACCACGGGCCAAAAGATCAGTGGTGATTAGAACACGAGATGACCCAGATCGAAATTCGCGCATGATAATATCTCTCGTGTTCTGGTCCATGTCACCATGAGTAGCAGAAACTGTGTGGTCTCGACTCCTCATCTTGTCTGTCAACCAATCAACCTTGCGCCTAGTGTTGACAAAAATAACACTTTGAGTGATGGCTAAGGTTTCATACAGATCACAGAGTGTCTCCAACTTCCATTCTTCCTTATCCACGTTGACATAAAACTGCTTTATACCCTCCAAGGTAAGTTCATCACGCTTCACCAGAATTCTAACAGGTTTGTTCATAAATTTCCTCGTGATTTCTAGAGCCTCAGGTGGCATTGTGGCAGAGAATACACCAACTTGAATCTTTGCTGGAAGAAGCTGGAAAATATCATAGATCTGAAGGACAAGCAGGACAAAGATTAGCACAACCGATTCAAAAATAAAGCTGCAGCTGCTTAAAGCATGAACAGGAATATGGTATTTTAAATGGTTTTGCACAAAGAGAAACACAAACACAAAGACCTACACCATATGCTTGTGCATTATGAGATGGAAACTGCAAGTAAAAAACCTAGGAACAAAGAATGACCTGATCCTTGAAACCACGTGAAAGCATTTCATCTGCCTCATCCAAGACAAACATCTTGATATAATCAGGACGAAGTGACTGCCTTCGCAACATGTCAAACACACGACCGGGAGTGCCAACGACAACATGTACTCCACTAGATAGAATACGTTGATCTTCACGAACACTGGTACCGCCAACACAAGCATGCACTTTGACACCAAGATAATCCCCAAGTGCTCGCATAACCTTTTCAATCTGCTGTGCCAGCTCCCTAGTGGGTGCTAGAACCAAAGCCTGGCACTCCACCACGGCATAATCGAGTTGTTGGAGAATACCAGAACAGAAAGTAGCAGTCTTCCCTGTTCCAGATTGAGCCTGTTGAATCACATCAAGTCCCTTGCAGAAGGGAACAATTCCTCTCTGCTGAATTGCTGAGGGCTTTTCGAAACCTGCAACAAGTTAAAACTTTAGATAGATCCTTAAATGAAATAAAGGATTAACAGAGTAACAAAAAAAATAAAAGGAAATTTCCGTGATGCATAAATACATGTATTTCCACGTAAACGTGCAAGCTACATCAAAAGCACATGCAGAGAAATTCAAATTCTTTTTTAGAAAAAAGTTACAGAAGTGTTTGGCTTTTTAATGTGTGAGATCGTTTTATGTTGATTTCTAACAATTCATATACGGAAGCATGGCTTTTTTCAAATCCATTTGATGATGCGTAATTGATGTTACCATATGCATAGATGCCTCTCAGGAGATTCTCTTGCAAACCCATAGAGTCAAAACTATCATAAACTTCATCATATGTTGTGAAGAAATCCTCTCCATCAGTTGCAAGCCTAAATAGACAAAGTGTTTAAATTATTTACATAGTGTGTAAAACACCCAAACAGCAAATGGAACAGGAATAATTGCAAGGAAATAAAGTAACTTACAATTCATTCATTTTGGAATCATACTGTTTGGCATCAAATTGCGATCCTTCTGGTGCTAGTCCCGCCATAACTGGAACAACAATTTACTCTCATAAAGAACAAAAAAAATATAATGTCATAACTTCCAAACAGAAAAAATAATAATAATAATAAATTGTCAAACAGTGTACATACCCTAGTGAGAAAATTTATTATCAATCGAACTACTACTACAATAAAGTAGAATATGAAAGCTACTTCCACAAATAGTAATCAGAAGATTTACTAATCAAAAATACAAAAAACAACAATGAACAAAGCATAATTAAAAACCCAACATTCTATCCTAACTGGATTCGAAATAAGAACGTATCCCCAACTTTCAACAATTGTTATATCCTAACTGGATTAAAAAAAAAAAAAGCGTATTCCACACTTAATCGTAAGCACAAGAAACATAACAAGATATGAATAAAAAACAAGCGCTGGATCGAGGATAAAGGGTCAAGAAAGAGAAAAACCTTGTGGTCGTCTATGATGGTGATGATGATTTGCGAGGAGAGAGCTTTAGCTTGTGCTTGCTTCACTTGCTTCTTCGGATTAGAAAATTAGGGTTTCCCAAACTCCTCGGATCTAAACCGTGGAGTTGAGGAACAGAAACGAGAGCTTAACAACTACAACTGCTGCGAGTGTGTTATGGTAAGAGAGATTGCTCGCTGAGGGTTCCGCTTTTATATTAAACTATTATTTTATTATTTTATTTTAGTTTGTACTTTTCCGATTCAATTACGGATTCGCCCCTGCTTTTTTTTTTTTTTTAAATAGAGATGGATTCGAAATATGATTGATTAATGGGCTTTTAACTTTCAAGCCCAACACCCTCCATTACTCCTTATTCAATTCTTTGATTACATCACATGAGTTGCGCAAACCAAGTGACAGATTCAATAAACTGAGAATTTATGCTATAATATTTACATCACATGAGTTGCCGCAAACGCAAGTGGACAGATTTCAATAAACTAGAAATTTATGCTATAATATTATATATAATATATATAATATAATATACACTCTAATACGTTAGGCTTTGTTTGAGAAGGAGAAGAAAGAAGACGATGAAATAAAAAAAAAAAATAATAAAATCAACTTCACATTAATCAATGCAATTTTCTCAATTTATTCGTCATTGTTTCCCTTAATGTAGGTCCCTCGTCTTTTTCGAATTAGGAAAAAATTTTTACCCAAATATTTTTCTTACACATTTTCTTTCCTCCAAAAGGATCATTCTTTTCAAAGAAAAGGTTAGTTTAAGAGAAAAAAATCGATTTTTTGGGACAAACTTATTGACAAATAATTATCTCGAGATATATACTATCCGAAATCCTTGAAGGAAGAAAATATAATAAAGTCTATTAATACAAAGTTTTTTTTTTTCAAAAAAAAAAATTGTCTTTACAGTTATTGCAGTTCATGCTCATTTAAGCAAAAGGATAGATGTTAACCGAGACCGCGGAGCTTTAGCTACTTCGTCAAATCCACTAATTAACTAGGTGCTTCCTCATTTTAACTTCTTAATCTCTGTACACACACATTTATCAGAATTACAGAAGATCAATGAATTTTTACACACATTTGCAACGAAATGTGCAATAGTGACTTCCAAACTGAGAGATGATATCAACAAGACCTCCATAACCTCCAACAGCAGTCACCTGAACATAGCAATGGTGTCAAAGGCCTACAACATGATGCTCAATTATATGGGTAATATGGGGGCAAATATCATTTCTAAACTATCAGCACTTTAAAAAAAAAAAAAAAAAAAAAAAAAAAAAAAAAAAAAAAAAAAAAAAAAAAAAAAAAGCAATAAGAAAAAGTTGAAATTAGAAATATACTCCTGACGGGTGTATAAAAAAAAAAAAAAAAAAAAAAAAAAGCAATAAGAAAAAGTGAAATAGAAATATACTCCTGACGGGTGTATGGAGACCGAAAATGCTGACTGAGGAGCACATGGAATTTGTGAAAGAATTGTGCCATTTATGTCAAAACGACTGAGTAAAGGCTCTGCCCCAACAGCTAAGATCTGAAATGGTGATACAGCAAAAATAAGATTGGGAAAATATTTGCAATAGAAAAATGTGAAAATTTTAGTGTGATAATAAGTTTATAGGAAGCAGAGAACATGCAGCACAGTTACTGTATAATTGCTATTGAAGAGAGTTTCATGAACTGGGGAACTCAAATTGCTTAATAGAACATAATAGCATATCAAATTGCTTAATTCTCGAGTGCATGAGCAAATACAATAAATTAATAAAACTAACGCAGTGTTAAAAAATGTAAACTTAGGGATAAAACAATTCAAACTACATATAGGGGAACTCACTTGGTTGTCATCAAATATAACATCCTGTATAGATGCAGGACAAGAAGACCTTGAAACACATTCAGAAGCTGGTAGATTCCAAACTGATAAACTCTGGCCATTGCTACAAGCCTATGAATATAAAATTTGGTTAACAAGGCCATACAACCATCACAAAAAACCACCCTTGAAATTTAAAATCCAAAAAGGTCAATTAATGCATTAATATTTATTTATTTTTTAAACATGTCAATTTCTGCCAAGTATAGTCTTTAACATGAACTGTTGGTACAGAAAAGAAAAGAATAAATCATGTCTTGGCAACATGAAATCTTACCAACCAACTTTCACTTGAATCTAGAGCAATGCAGCTAACACACAAGGATCTCTTCAACTTCTTATCCTTTGCTGAACCAATTACTTGGATACACTTTCCACTTTTGCAATCTAAGGAAATCACAAATACATGCTCTAAGGCACGAATACTGATGATAATGTAATTAAATAATTTAATTATAAACAAAAACTGATGTAACTACCAGATTTTTTTGCAGTTGCATTGAGAACAAATTCATAAATGGGATTATAGTGGCAACTGGCAACTATAATTCCAGATATCGAGTGGACTTTTGTCAAAATGGGATTATATTAAATCATGCAATGACTTTCAGTGTTACCAGGATTAAAAAACATCATCTGTTTTATAGAACGTTACAAGCAATGAAAAAGCTAACAGAAAAACCAAGTAACAGGAACATTTTTTTATGTTGACTTTGTGATTTAAATCCTTGAAAATCAAAGGTGGTTACCCCAAATTCGTGCAGTCCCATCTTCTGAACCAGTTATGATCTGAATCCAAAGAAGACAAAAGAACCATACAGAATTAGAAGTCATACATTGCATCTCCAACCCAAAATGTACAGCTGTATGCATTATTGTGCATTGCTCCTCTATGAATAAGTTAAAAATTGTCAATAAAAAAGAATACATACATTTTTGAGGAAAAATGTCTCAGATATTAACCCAATGAATTGCAAAAGATTACTAACACAGCTGACTTACATGATATTCATATGACATTACTGAAAAAGAGGAAAGAAAAAAAAAAACAACAAACAAATGCAATAAAGAGAAAGTGACAGCGCCTGAGATCTTCTTGCTTAAGTCTATTGCTTATTGAAGATTCTGTCTCAGAAGGCTAAGAAAATGTTGCTCCTCACAGAGTGCAAGATTTATATTCTATTGCAACCATTTTGTATATGTACTAATGGGTTGAGTATCTTGCTATAATGATCCTAGAATGTTGAATATAAGAGATAATCTTAGCCTATCAAATTCTTTGAAAGGTTCCTTTTACATGAACTTTTTTACTTGGTTTCATTCCTCGCCTGGCAGACTCCTTAATTTGCAGTCAATGTCAAGATCTCCTCCTCAAGTGTTTTTTTTTCTTTTCCCTCTCAATTTGAGAAATTCACATTCTTACAGAATTTATATGATAGACTCCAGCAAATCTTAGAGTGTAATAGACAACTGAATAATTTTTAATAAGTTATAAAGATTTAATGAACCAAAACTACAATGAACAAGAAAAAAGGAGATATAACCTGATTGGTAGAATTACGGGGAACAATGCAATGCAGGTAGTCAAAATGTCCCTTAAAAACCATTCGGATCTTAGAAGTCTCCTGAAAAGCTCCATAATAACCATGCCAGTGTCAGCACTTGTTTGAGAATAAATCAACATATGTGAAGTCAATAGGAAGCAAATAAAACTCAAACATTTTGACACAGGAATTTAATAATATGAGTGATTTATTCACCTTGAACAAATACATACCACATCCCAACAGTAAGCACAAGAATCACCAGCAGCTGAGAAAATGCATCCTCCCTAATGTACAAAAGGTGAAATAAGAAATTTTTATCTTGCATATAATTATCTGCCAAGCTAGGGGAGAAAGTTGAATATAATGGTGGTTAGAGAGAGAATCTCAAACCTGAGTATCCACCGCAATGGCATTGTTTTCAGGGATAGGAGAAAGAGCGCCCCAAGGACCTCTGAAAGACAGTAATAAGAAAAGCAATGAAGTGTCTGAAGATGAATGAAATAAAAATAAATCCCTGTTCCAAAACTGTCATAACAACAACTGCAGCACAAACATTTACAATATTTATACAACTATGAACCAATAATTACAATACAAAAACTAAGCATTAATCCCAAACTAGTTGAGATAAGCTATATGAGGCCTTTGTTTCCATTCTGCTATATTCATAACTATGTCCATACTAATTTCAGTAACATAATTACATTTAACGAATGACCTACTATATTTTTCCTGAAATCAAACTTATGTTGTAGGATTTTCTGAAATTATATAAATGAATTATGTTTAGTGACAAATAGGGATTGCATTCTATTCATATAGCAACATGCTTGTTAGTTCACAGGCATTGGATCAGTATAAGAAGATACAAGCTAGTTAGGCTAACAGCTAGCAAAGGAGATTTATCATGTCATGTGAATATACAGAAACAAAATATATATCAAACAAAATTATAGTGCAGTAAGATAGCAAATACGCTCATTCCATTATCTACAAGTAACAACAGAGGAGTGAATAGCTTATGAAAAGATGCAAAACAGCAAAATTTAAGCTTGTGACCACTCACTTGTGCTGGGGATTCACCAAGTCAACAACTGGCTGTATATGATTACCTGAGAAGACTAAAAAAATTTTAACAAAAAAAAAAAAAAAGAGGGAAATGATCAAGCATGAATACATGGGGGAAGCAATTATAATTTAAACAGTTACTACTATTTCATCTAAATTACCTTTTAGGGAAATAGGCGCCTCTAATTGTGAAAATTCCTTCCACCTCCATCCTCGAATCCGACCATCATCACCACAGCTGCAAAGAAAATACCATAGATAGAGTTATCACTGCAAATGGATTGGACCGCCAAAGCAAGCAAGCGCAAACGAGAAATGGAACCTCAATAACAAAGCATCTTCACCATTCCCATAAAATTTGAGATCGTATGCTGGTCCATCGTGCCCTTGAAGGAACGCAGTGGGTTCAATCCTAAACAAGGATCCTACATGAGTAACCAAGAACTAATTCTCCTGATAAATTTATAGAAACTATTGCATTTTACTTACTGTTGAGCTTTGGCATTGCTAAAACCCAATGGCTGTCGGCAATAACAAAAACAAAACAAAATAAATTACGCCATCCAAATAAGTAAACTAGATTGCAATTACAAGAGAAATCGAGAAATTGAAAGGAGAAAGACAAGAAAAAACAAATGAAAGGGAAGCACCAGATTGGAGATGCAAGAGGATATAGAGTAAGAAGCAATTGATCCGTCGCTGGAGGCGACCACGACGGTATTGAGGCTGACGTCTGAAGAGGGAGCCCAAGCAGTTCTAAAGACGGTTAGGGTTTGGATCTCTCGCTCCTTCAGTATGCTCTCTCTATACGCGTCCTCATCCCAGTTTGTTGCGTCTCCGCACATTTTTCGTTTCAGTGTCCGTGTTGGGGGTTTAAGCTTCGTTGTAGCTGCACTCTGGTTTTAGCGTTCCGTGAATACTATTGCGAAGAGAACGGGCCCCAAGACGGGAAATCGGAAATAAGGTGCCCGTGCTTGGAAACGACGTCGTAAACAAATAGAATATATATTACAGAAATGGAATGAAATGTTTTCATTGCCTTTGCCTATTATGCAGAAATCCTAAGTTAGTAAGTTTGATATCATGTTGTTGTTTTATTATATTTTTTAAAAAAAATATTGAGAATTTCTTAAAATTACATATATTCTTCTTGAGCAAAATGTAAAATAGAAATTGCATTATTAACTTTTAATAATTAAAATTTATATTTCTCCAATCAACATAATTTGTTAATTCTCCAACGTTTCACGGAATGAGCTTTTTTACTACGCTAGGATCAAATATTCAATATTGTATTGAAGGCTATTATTTTGTTTGGAAAATAATTTGTGTGCTTGAGGAATTTAAATTTGAACTTTCAACCTGAATTAAACAACATAATCTGAATTTATAAATATTGAATTCTTATTTGATTTGAAGTTTGACAATTATAAGTTAAAAAGTTATATATATAACATAATCTGAATTTATAAATATTGAATTCTTATTTGATTTGAAGTTTGACATTATAAGTTAAAGTTATATATATATATATATATATATATATATAATATATATATATATTATATAGACATATATTATTTTATTATATAGGATGAATATTTGATGATTTTAATTATTTTTTATTATTGAATTAATTTGTAATTGTTATCACTTTAATTTTATTAAGAGATTTATATATCTATTCCAATAAATAGATGATTAAGTGTTTTTAAATTTTTAAATATTTTCTCTTATATTTTAAATCTGTTTGACTTGAAAAAAAATAGTATTTATGCATTAAAAAAAGAACAGAACTATATTTTTGTTTTGAGTTACCCTTTAGGGTGTTAAGAATTTATTATGTGCATATTTTTTTTTCTAATGTACTGGATAATTGGTATTATCAATATAGCTAAAGTGAACATCATTATTAATTCAGATATCTTCTCATTTCTTTTCTTTCTTACCAGCAGAAAAAAATAATTTATTTTTATTTTTTCACTATTGTATTATATAAATATTGATTTGGAGTTGAGGATAGAGGTTGAAGATTGAGTCATGACTTTTTTTTTTTTTTTTTTTTTTTTTTTTCTTAGCTTAAAAATCTTTATTTATAAATTAGGGATTAAAATATTAGATCTAGAAATTGGATTGAACTTTTTTATTTTCAGACCATTTCATTATATAAAATAGTTGTATTAATCAATTGTATTTATTTTAATTTTAAAACATTTATACTTTAATATTAGGTGTTTTTTAAAAGAGTACAAAAATGAGTGTGCGTGCAACACCCGTCATAAAAAAAACCAGTATTCTAAAGAATGAACCAGCACTTTGTTTTGTCTGAATCAAATTTATATTAGGTGATACTAATAGGCTTTGTTTTGTCTGAGTCAAATTATATTAGATGATACTAGACAGAATTGGACTTTCATGCTAGATAGAAATACTAGGTTAACTTCAACAATTTCTTTGTCATTACTAGGCAGAATTGGACTTTCATACTAGATAGAAATGCTAGGTTAACTTCAACAATTTCTTTGTCATCAACCTTATTCTTATTGTCATTGTTATTGTTATCGGATATTCAGTAGTCGGTACCGATTCAAGGTTGGACTTCAAAAATCTACTAGACTTTTGAGGTCTTCAGTGTTTTACAAGAATGTGTAGGTTTTTTTTCAAGAGAATAAATCCAAAAAGAGAACAATAATAAGAACATGAACAATAATATTCAAGAGCCGTAAAATTCATAAAAAAAATATTGAAAGCCATTATTTTTAAAGTCTTTTTAAATATAACAAGAAAGAACATTAAAAGTTATTGTGTTTAAAGGTCATAGAACTCATAAATTAGAGAGAATATCAAGAGTTATGAAGAGCAGTCTGCGCATCAAAAGTTAATTTTTGTTTAAAAGCTATAAAGGTCAAAATTAGAGACTAATTTTTAAAGAGGTATTATGTTTAATATCCTGAAATCAGAGAGGTAAGGGATATGTGTTTTTCTACAAATTCTTCAATTTTTCCTAATCAAGTTAATACCAAATGCTCAAATTTTAGAGAGTCTCACTCTTTAGATAGAGTTTCACTCTTCAAGCAAATAATATGTATGTTATTTTTTCTGAAGAGAAAAAAATATATTTAAAAAGAAAGAACAATAGTAAGAGCATAAACATCAATATTCAAGAGTTCAAGAACTCATAAAAAATATATATATATATATACTAAAAACCATTATTTTTAAAGTCATAATTTTTTAAAGTTATAAAAATCATAAAATTATAAATCAGAATAGGAAAACACCAAAAGTCATAGAATTAAAGAGCTATTATGCTTAAAATCATAAAAACTATAAGAGAACATTGAGAGCCATTGTATTTAAAAGCTAGAAAAGCGATAAATTAGAGAGTAATTTTTAAAGAACTATTATGTTTTAATATACATAAATTAGAAGTTATATGGATTAAGCAAATTGAATGGTTAGATCATGTTATAACTGCATTCTTATTAATTTACAATGTAAGTTTTTATTCCTCTAATGATTTAAATAAATGTGTAAATACTGTGAGATTCTCAAATTTATTTCCCTTATCCTTATATAAATTTTTTTAAAAAATTAATTAAATAAAAAAATTACATAGATTAAAAAATTAAATTACAAATCCAAGTGGTTTTATTCATTTTAACAGTTTATTATCTGTTTTCAACAAATTTTTTTATTCAATTCTCGGTTTATGCGTTAAATCGATTAAAGCATAACTATAAATAATAAACATTGCTTGAAATTTAAAACTGCGGTCCGCGGAGGGTTATTTTGTGAACGGTGAATTATGCTTAAATTATCATAATACCCCTTCATCTTCTCTGTCCAAACACGATGCACGTCGAAGGGTAAATATGTAATTTAGGTTGCTATCATATCACCCTAAACAGAGATCAGGAAATGAAGCGTTGCCTTCTGTCAAAACCGACGCCCCTGTGGACTCAGATGTCAAGCCAGAGCGACCAGCTCGGAAACGAAGATGGATTAGTAACTAAAAATTGAAATCAGCAATCTCTATTTAAGGTGCATTGCTTTTGTCAGCGAGGAAATCCGTGCTTGGCCCAATCCAATTCTTTTGAAGATCATGCCATTTTTGGATGATCATAATATCTGTAGGCTTGCAGGAATGGCCATGTACCTCAGCTGTAGTTATTATATAATATTGTAACCCATACTTATTTAAATGCTGTGTACATACTAACAGATGTAACATTGATATTGTAACCCATACTTATTTAAATGCTGTGTACATACTAACAGATGTAACATTGAACTTGCCATCTTGTGGTGGCTCAGAATTGCTTTTTAGTGTCGATTCAAATTTGTACTAAGATTGACATGTGAAGGGAGCGGAGGACTAGAATTGCAAGACCTGTCGAATGGCCGTAGGTGGAAACAGAATCTGGATCGCATGAAGATGCCAGGGTCTGCAAGTTGAGATGAAATTGAGGTTGAAAGGAAAGGGAAAAACAGAAAAATTTTCTGTATCTGCAGATGAAGACTAGTGAGTCTATGTAGTATATGTATGTCCCTTTTTTCCTTATAGTTTTTATTTGAGCAAGAAGTTGGAAACACACAAAGAAGATCTTGTATTTCATGAATGAGTTACAGTCAGCGATTGATTAAAAATGAAAAATTTTTATCTGTCATCTCTCTCTATCTCCTGATACAGTTTTAGCTTGCATGTGAGAAAGCACGCAAAATGGTAGCCAATACCAATTGGTTTTTGATTAATTAATTACATGGGAAAGTGGAAAGTGATTCTGGATTAATTAATTACATGGGAAAGTGGAAAGTGATTCTGTTTGGTTATCCCGGCCTGATTTATTAAATCTCTCTCTCTTTTCGTTCTCTCAACTTAGCGCCTCCCCAACAAAAACATCTTTCTCAGGCTAGAATCAATGAAACCCAAACGCATCTGAAGCACTAAGCCCAAGAGCTCTTTGATCCTCTTTTGACAATCTCACGTGCTCATGCATTCAATCTTAGCACTCTCGGATGTTTAATGTTGGTGCTTCTGCTTCGCAAATCGTTTTTGCATCAGTCTCGCTTTTCTCTGTTTCTCTGCTGTGACTAGTCTCCAATCGAGTCTCTTCTTCAGCTGTTGGTTTCTCGATTCTCTCTCTCGCAATTCACAACTCAACAAGACCAGTGTTTGATCTTCTTTCCTCTTAGCTCACTCGATTCTCTTTGAGGTAAGCTTCTCTTAATATATATATTTTTTAATCTTTTCTTTTGGTTGGTGACGAGATTAATGCTCTATGAGTGGGTTTCAAATTTTGTATGGGTCTCTCTTCTTTTTTGGATTTTCATGCATTTTCATGTGATTAATTTCCTGTATTTGGTTGGGTGTTAAATCTCCCTTTATATCCTGAAACTACAGACCTTATTCTTTTCTCTGCAGCTACTCCTAATTGGTCAGGAGGAAGATTTTTTACCCAATTCATTTGGAATTGAGGAAAAAATGTTATGGCCGCGAATATGAATATCGTTTGCTCTGCAAATTTTAACATTGCATCTGCATCTCCATAAGTTTCATGACTCATTTCATTCTCCGTGCTGCACCTCATTTCATTCTCCGTGCTGCACTATTCATCTTGAAGCAAACCAATTTTGATAATTTGTGTTTTCAATGATGGTTTATGGCACATCCAAATGGAAAGTTTGAGTTGGTTGACTACAATAACTAGGTTCTATCTTGGACATTATAAAAATCTGAATGTCCATTTTATCTGTCAGAGTATGGGAGATACAAATTTTACTGTTTTAATTTTTGAAATTGTCCTATTTTATTAGCCCTTTGATATTGATTTAGTGATTAGTGACATATGCAAGCAATTGGGAAAATTCTGAAATCATTTGATTGAATGCACTTGAATGGAGGGTTTTCAGTACTTGTTATCATTAGAGATCAATTTTTTATTGATTTAATATAATGATTCATCAGTTTCCTTCACATTTCATTTTGAAAGCCTATAAAATTATTTCTATTATTTATAGCTTACTTCGAATTCTACTTTTGCATATAGAAATATATTAGGGGGATGCAATTTGCAAGTGTCAAAAATAATAATACTTGAGTAATAATACTTGAGGTCTCTAAGGCCAAAGATCCTTTTATTTGTGAATTATTATCTTTGGATGTTAATGAAAGCATTTAGAAGTGGTTGAAGCATGCTCGTAACCAATTTTGCGGTGCATTATCCTAATAAAGAATGGAGTTGTTTTTCATTTTTCTTTATGTAGAAACCGCTCTCTAATGAGAAATTAGTTGTTTTTCATCTTTATACAAAGCTATCTTGAGAATATGATTGACTGTTGTCAGTCTTTCAATATTTCTTGATCTTGTCTTCTGATCTTTTAAATGGGATTTGGTAGCTTAATTCTCATTTGCTAATAGATCTAATAGATCCAAAGCAAATTGTTAAAGCTCTGTGTCTCTGTTGTTTGCTTAGTTCATGTTCAGTTTTCATTTATATGTACAAAGTTCAATTCAGTTTGCTCTATTGGATTTTGCTAATTTGTTTAGTTGATTTGCGTAATATCATTTTGCGAAGTAACCACCTACAATCAATCTTCCTTCTTTGGTTCAAATGAAATCTATTTTCAGAATATTGACTAGCAGCTGGTTTCATTATATAACACATTTCCCTTACTTTTTTGAACTTTATTTTGCGCAGTGATCTACTTTTAGTTGTCCCCCTTTTCCAGTCCACCTTCAAACTAATGATTTGCTTTTATTGTATATGATGCCGGGTTTCTTTTGTTTTCCCCCACTCGCATTAAAGTTATTGCTGGGCTAAGTGTTGTTCTGTAAGATATTATTTTAGAGGATTGGTAGGCTTGGCTCCTAGCATCATCTTCAGATTCTAAACAGTGAAAGCCTCTGTAAAATTGGAAGTACCAAAACTCCTTTTTATTTTTAAAACTTGATGTCTCTTCGAAAGCCACCACTTCCTCGGATCCTTCTTGACAATGTCTCCTGCATGAGACAATGTCTCCTGCATGAGAAATGCCCAACAAATCTTGCGACATGTAAATGTATCTGTTCATGATGGAGGGGCACTTGTTCTAAGCGGTAGCAATGGCTCAGGCAAGACCACCTTCTTACGTATGCTGGCTGGATTCTCGAGGCCTTCTGCAGGTCAGATCCTCTGGAACGGTTATGATGTGACAGAATCTGGAGTTTTCCACCAATATAAGCTTCAACTTAATTGGCTCTCTTTGAAAGATGCCATCAAAGAAAAGTTTACTGTCCTTGACAATGTTCAGTGGTTTGAGATTCTTGAAGGCAAGCAAGGGAATTCTATGCCTGCTATTGAGTTGATGGGGCTTGGAAGATTGGCAAAAGAGAAGGCAAGAATGCTGTCAATGGGCCAACGAAAGAGGCTGCAACTTGCAAGACTGTTGGCCATTGACCGACCAATTTGGTTACTGGATGAGCCTTCTGCGCATTAGATGATGAAGGGGTAAAATTGCTCGAATATATTATTGCAGAGCATAGAAAGAAGGGAGGGATTGTGTTTGTTGCAACGCATTTGCCAATTGAGATTGCCATGTATTTGAGACTGCCTCCGAGGTTCCCTAGAAGGATGACTTTGGTAGATATGCTTGATCGAGCCGATATCTGTGAAATTCCATCACCGTAGGATAGGCTAATTAAGTTGTTCTGGTTCAACTAGTTGAGCTTGCATTAGTTGTAACAGAATCGTTTGCTGCCTAGATGTGAAGCCATAGGAATGAATAAAGGATTAATAAAGGATTTTGATTCTGAATGAAATGGATTGTGTAACTATTTCTTGATTCAAAACTTTTATTTTATTTATTTATCTATTTATTTATTTATCTGATTTATTGTTTACAAGGGAATTGAAATGAGAAGCTATTATTCAAAACTTGGCATTGTTGTGGTTTAGGAGGAGAAAGTCAATGTTACGCGGCGTATGGTTTTATTTATTTACCAAATTATCCTTAACTTATTGCTCTCCCAGTTTTATCTATATCCATCATAAAATTTTGAAATTTTAATGACCAAGTTACCGTTATGCTCCACCGCCCAACGTCGCACACTCAAGAGGGCAATCACGGAATAAAATAAAATTAAAACACGAAGTTAACATAAAATGCAAGATGCGCCCATTGTACGCACTCTTGAGAAGGAAGCTTTGCTCTCAGAGAGGCGGCAGAGAAGGCGGTAGCTCCGCCTCTCTGAACGACTGCGGAGCCTATGATTTCCCCGTTGTTTGTGTAATAGTCGCCGTTTGTCTGTCACACAACATCATCATCCTCTTATTTTTTGGCATTTTTTTTCTTTCTTTCTTCCTTATAAAGAGGCTATGACGATTTTTGGGTTTTAGAGTGCAAAAGAAAGACGTTAAGGAATAGCTTGATCGTTGGCGGGGCAGTATGGAGACTTTATTCTAGAATGGCTTTTTTCTTTTCTAAAATAGAGAGCTCCATTTCTGCAGCAATGGTCACTTTGTTCCTTTTCTTGTCTGATTAAAGGTGAATCTGAGCCTCCATCCTCTACGATCTCTCGCTCTTCATTTTCTTCGATTTTCTCCGCTGCTTCATTATCTTTTTCACAACGATTTATTGATTAACTGATTAATTATCTGTTAAAAAAAAAGACACACGAATGTATAGATAAACGCTTGGAAAGAAGTATGTCTCAGACTACGAACGCGGATGATAGCTGGTAATGAGTAAGAATTAAACAGAATAATATCAATACTTCGAAAATTTGGGTCTTTTTACTCATTTATGACGAACAAATTCAGAAGGCACAACTTTTTAAGTAGGAGTGTATTGAACGACACGCCCATCCGCGTGTATGTGGTGGACGTTAAGGTCATGTACCATGAATCTAGAGCTTTTTGAATGAGGGCTCAAAATACAGTCATGCATACTGAGCGAACATAATCATCGAAGTTCCTTCATAAATAAGTACACGGAGCCAAAGTTTGGAACTTCCTGTTATTCTCTGTCTTTCTACAGTAGGTCACAACTTTTCACCCAGTGCATATGCTCCGGTATTTCATTACAATCCTCATAATAAACATGCCCACATACACAACGAATAAGAGATTACTGGGGAAATGAAAACAGGACCAATACTTTCATCTAAAAAAAATCAATCAAAATTGTAAATAAGAGTTTCCCTAGAAAATTCTTAGACAAGTGTGACCATAATATACTTGCCATGATTATTGCTGGCTCTATTGTTTATATTAGGAGGCTAGAGTGTGCATTTACACCAACACCAAAAGCAAAGATTACACGAGTACTAATGTCCCTGCATCCACGCTTAAGACAAAGCCATTTGGTCAAACGGACAAAGAAAAAATCAGAAAGTCCTCCAAAGGTCACCGGATCCCAAATTTGTGCAGGTGATGTTTCAAAGGTCGCACTACAAAAACAAATTTCGAACCCCTACCGGACAGTGCATTGCTCGAAGTTGACTTTGAAGGGCTTCTGATTGTGTCTAGTTCGTTCACGACAGCCTTGTTTGACTCCAAAATAGCATCTTTGTCTATTACAACAGACACATTACACACAGATCAGATATCTATGGCGGGAAATAGAAACCCATGTTGTGGCAAAAATATAAATTTTATTTGAAGAAAAAGAGACAATCATGTCAAGGAACAATCATACCGTTAAGGACAAGGAACTCCAGTCAAACATTGAGAATCCGAGGTAGAATGCGACTTGAGAAGAGAGAAAGCTCAGATCAGATATGCCTTTCAAATAGACAGGACAGAAACACCACACACCCATGGCTGCAACAACAAAAGTGCCTCCCAAGAATTGAGTATTCTCTCGAGGTTCTGATTGCAGGCCCACTGAAATATATCATCATAGCCTTCCCAGTCGCAGGCAAGTACAGACCTCAGGCCACTACCTATACTTGCACCCTCAAAAGAGAAAATGGGAACAGGTCTTTAATGTAATACTTTTATCTGTGCAAAGTATAAAGAGAGGCTCCGATTTCGTGCAGTCAACAATAGAAAGGTTCAACTATGTATCCACTTAATTCTAGTCTCTGTACGTCTGACCGGCTCCGCTACCTATCAAGAGAGGAACAAGTGTTTCTAAACCACATTCAACTTGAAGAACCAGAATCCCGCAATGCGCCCTTCGTAGCCCATCCTCGAATCACTCTACGGATCTCCATCAGCAGCTTTCCGTATCATTTTCTTCGATTTTTCGAAATCTCATGTTCATATTCACTAGTTTCTTAATTTCTAACTTTAAAAGGTATAAAAAACAATAAATTTTTATCACCCAAAAATGCAATTTGTGGCGGTGTTTGAGAATTTTTCACATATATATTATATAGAATAAGATTAATAACCTATTAATTAAACAAATATACAAACAAATCTCTCGCTCTTCATTTTCTTCGATTTTTGTTCTGTTATTTTTTTTTTCTAAAATAAAAAATTCCCAATTGCTTTTGCATAAAATATGTTTACCTTAAAATTACTGTGTGAATGGTTTAAGTACGAGGCTTTGCTCTCAGTTAGAGGCGGTTGGTTTCAGGGTGGTTGACACTGTCCTCTCTGATAGATAGCGGAGCCGGTGACTACTGATTATGTTTCTTATGTTGGCAACAGCCCTTATACCAATATATCTGCTTTCTTTCTTGTGTGTGAGTGGCTGTTTGACGACTGGCGAGGCTATGATGATATATATTCAGTGAGCCTGAAAATCAGACTCGAGGAGAAATACTCAATTTCTTGGCGAGGCAACTTTTTGTTGTTGCAGCCATGGTGTTGTGGTGTTTCTGTCCTGTTTGATTTGAAGGCATATCTGATTTGAGCCTTCTCTTTCTATAGATTTCTCCGTTTCTGTTTGGGCCTTGTTTGTTTTCTTGGAAAATATTTTTCTAAAAAATATAAAATAAATTTTCCCTAAATTCAACAGTATATCTGCCTGTGTATGTGCATGTGTATTTGAGGCTGTGATGATACCATTTGCTGGGTGAATTTGATTGTAGGGAATTGATCCGACATTTGGCTCGGTGACTTTGAGCTTCTGATTTTGACAGTATCACAATCTGACCTAGGTAGGTCATTATTTGGTCCATGAACGAGAGCAAAGGCAAACAATCTAGTGAGTATTTGGAGGCTGATGGACTGATACCATGTCTGCGTGGTGAATTTTGATATAAAGTAGGGAATTTGATCCGACATTTGCTCGGTGAACTTTGAGCTTCTGATTTTTGCTTTGTCTAGTTTGACAAATAGCGTCTCTTATTGTCTTACAGTGCAAAAAGAACAACGGGATTAAGGAATAGTTTGGATCGCTTGGCCCCGGGAGCAGTTATGGAGAACTTATTACTAGAATGGCTTTTTTCTTTTCTCAAATAGAGCTCCCATTTTCTGCAGCAATTCGGGTCACTTTGTCTCACTTTTCATTCTCCGTTACTGAATATTCAAAAAGAGTGAATCTGAGCCTCTCATATCCCTACCTACCTCCTCTCGCTGCGGTTCCAATTTTGCCTCATCGATTATTTATTGTTCTGTGATCTAGTACTGTTTTCAGCTTCTTCATATGATCTACATAAAATTTGCAACAATAACAACAGGCAATTCCAACAATTTAGCTTTTACTTGTCATGTAATGATTAGAAGGGAAAATGTTTACCTTAAGAACTCTGCTGTGTTGTGATAATAGGTTTTTAATAGTACGGTAGGGCTTTTGCTTCTCTGGTGAGAGGCGGTGTTGGTTTGTGAGGGTGGTTTGACCCACTGTACCTCTCTTGAAATAGGAATAAGACAGGGAGCCTCAAGACGAAAAACAATAACCCAAGTGAAACTACTGATATGTTTCTTAATGGTTCCGGCCAAACAGCCCCACTATAATAACAAGAAAAACGTAGTAAGTCTGCAATTCTTTACTATTGTCAAAATTAGTGCAAGGCCTCAAGACAGAAGTGAGTGTTGCTGGCTTTGCTGCGTTGGACTCGGCAGAATGGCTCATGGATGAATCGAAGTGGAATACTAGTATCAACAGTCGCAGAACCTGACAAAATCAAGACTCGAGGAGAAAATTACTCAATTCTCCCTTGGAGCGATGGCAGACTCTTTTATGCTGTTGCCCAGCACATGTGTAGCAATGTGAATTGAAAAGTTGCCTCGGGCCCAAGAAATGAGTGGTTGTTCTAGTATGTATTTCTCCCTCGAGTCTGGCACTGTTGCTAAGATGGTTGAAGCATCGTATCCTAGATTTGACTGGAGAGAACTACTTCTGCCATCCAATTTCGTAGCTCCTTACGAGGTCCCTCTCCGTTTCTAGTTTAGGCGGGGCCTAATGCCTCTGTATATTGCTTCGACGAGAAAATATTATATTCTAAAAAAAATATAAAGTAATTAAAGTTTTTCCCTAAAAATTCAGAAGTATATGTAGATAGTATGTATATGCATGTCGATATTTGAGGCAGGTATGATACCAATTTGCTGGGCTGCCATTTGCTGGGTGAATTTGATTGTAGGGAATTGATCCGACATTTGGCTCGGTGACTTTGAGCTTCTGATTTTGCTTTGTCTGTTTGACAAATAGCTCTTTGTCTTAGAGTGCAAAAGAAAGACGTTAAGGAATAGTTTGATCGTTGGCGGGGCAGTATGGAGACTTTATTCTAGAATGGCGTTTTTTCTTTTCTCAAATAGAGAGCTCCATTTCTGCAGCAATGGTCACTTTGTTCCTTTTCTTGTCTGATTAAAGGTGAATCTGAGCCTCCATCCTCTACGATCTCTCGCTCTTCATTTTCTTCGATTTTTCATTTTCTTCGATTTTTGTTCTGTTATTTTTTTTTCTAAAATGAAAAATTCCCAATTGCTTTTGCATAAAATATGTTTACCTTAAGATTGCTGTGTGAATGGTTTAAGTACGAGGCTTTGCTCTCAGTGAGAGGCGGTTGGTTTCAGGGTGGTTGACACTGTCCTCTCTGATAGGTAGCGGAGCCGGTGACTGCTGATTATGTTTCTTATGTTGGCAACAGCCCTTATACCAATATATCTGCTTTCTTTCTTGTGTGTGAGTGGCTGTTTGGCGACTGGCAAGGCTATGATGATATATATTCAGTGGGCCTGAAAATCAGACTCGAGGAGAAATACTCAATATCTTGGCGAGGCAACTTTTTGTTGTTGCAGCCATGGTGTTGTGGTGTTTCTGTCCTGTCTGATTTGAAGGCATATCTGATCTGAGCCTTCTCTTTCTATAGATTTCGCGGTTTCTGTTTGGGCCTTGTTTGTTTTCTTGGAAAATATTTTTCTAAAAAATATAAAATTAAAGTTTCCCTAAATTCAGCAGTATATCTGTCTGTGTATGTGCATGTGTATTTGGGCTGTTGATGAGACCATTGAGGCTGTGATGATACCATTTGCTGGGTGAATTTGATTGTAGGGAATTGATCCGACATTTGGCTCGGTGACTTTGAGCTTCTGATTTTTCTTTGTCCGTTTGACAAATAGCGCTTTGTCTTAGCCGTGGATGTGATGTTCCTATCCTTTGTTTGTTTGGTGTAAATGAATTTAAAGCATGTATTTAATTTAGTCATGTTAATTTACATTACAGTTGTTTGGTGTCCCTGTATTCATCAGTATCTCTCTGTCTGTGTATGTGCATGTTTATTTGAGGTTGTGATGATACCGTTTGCTGGGTGAATTTGATTGTAGGGGAGTAGATCCAACCTTTGGCTCCGTGACTTTGAGCTTCTGATTTTTCTTTGTCTGTTTGACACATAGCTCTTTGTCTTAGCCATGGATGTGATGTTCCTATCCTTTGTTTATTTGTTGTAAATGAATTTAAAGCATATCATTTGATTTAGTCATGTTAATTTACATTACAGTTGATACCGATCATGAAAATTCAAAATTAAAAAATCAATTGTGTGGAGTTTATTTTATATTTTTTTCTCGTTGAACTGTTTTTCAATATTTTGCACTAAGCTTGTCAATTTTGGTCTATGGGTGAGAGTAGAAAGCCAACCATGAGAATGAGAATGAAGTTATTATCAATGTGTCCAATTTATGCAAGATTGTCGTCGGTAAGCATCCTTCTTGATGCTTTTGATTGTATCCAATTTATAGTAGGATGCTGATTAAGTAGGATGCTGGTTTATCATATCTGTTTTTATCTATAGTACATGAACAAATGGCAGGCAATGTATCATAATCAGCTTTTTGTTAGAATCTTCTTATGCATTTGCTTCGCAATCCTACGAGTCTGAGTCATCTATGACGTTTTAGCGCTCCTCATTTGTCACACAATACAGTGAAATATGATTTGCTGCTGTTCTAGTGAATCTCCGCTTAGTAGTTACATTTTGATTGTGAACTTGTATACTCTTAATCAATTGAAACTTCCTCGATAGTGTTCTGGCCTATATTCACCAACTTATATTTTGACAACTAATGGCTGCCGGCTTACTCTTGTATTTTCCTGTTTTCTTGATGGCTAGTATGTGGCTAGCCATAAAAAAAGGTTAACATAACAGGTACTTCAATTTCAGTTCCTTTCTTGCTCGCACTTGATTTTGAACATTTTTCTAAAAAAACATTCGCGATTGCTTTTGCATGAGTTTTGTTAAGATTGCGGGTGAATGATTTAAGTATGAGGCTTTGCTCTCAGTGAGAGGCAGTTGGTTTCAGGGTGGTTGACTCTGTCCTCTCTGATAGGTAGCGGAGCCAGTGATTACTGATTACGTTTCTTATGTTGGCAACAGCCCTTTTGGCAACAGCCCTTATACCAATATGGCTGCTTTCTTTCTTGTGTGTGTGAGTGGCTGTCTGGGACTGGCGAGGCTATGATATAATATTCAGTGAGCCTGAAAAGTCAGACTCCAGGAGAAATACTCAATTTCTTGGCGAGGCAACCTTTTGTTGTTGCAGCCCTGGTGTTGTGGTGTTTCTGTCCTGTCTGATTTGAAAGCATATCTGATCTGAAGCCTTCTCTTTCTACAGATTTCTCCGTGTCTGTTAGGGCCTTTTCTTTGAAAATCTTTTTCTGAAAATTATAAAACCGAAGTGTCCCTGTATTCAGCTGTATCTCTCGGTCTGTGTATGTGCATGTGTATTTGAGGCTGTGATGATACCATTTGCTGTGTGTCTTTGATTGTAGGGAATAGATGCGACCGATTGTAGGGAATAGATGCGACCATTGGCTGGAGGATGACTTTGAGCTTCTGAATTTGCTTTGTCTGCTTTACAAATAGCTCTTGGCCTTAGCCGTGGATGTGATGTTACTATCCTTTGTTTGTTTAGTCAAAATTAATTTAAATCATATCATTTGTTTGTGTATGTTTGTGTATGTGCATGTGTCTTTGAGGCTGTGATGATGCCATTTGCTGGGTGGCTTTGATTGTAGGGAATAGATGCGACCATTGGCTGGATTGACTTTGAGCTTCTGATTTTGCTTTGTCTGTTTGACAAATTTTGACAAATAGCTCTTTGCCTGAGCCGTGGATGTGATGTTTCTATCCTTTGTTTGTTTGGTCTAAATTAATTTAAATCATATCATTTGTTTGTGTATGTGCATGTGTATTTGAGGTTGTGATGATACCATTTGCTGGGTGACTTTGATTGTAGGGAATAGATGCGACCATTGGCTGGATGATTTTGAGCTTATGATTTTGCTTTGTCTGTTTGACAAATAGCTCTTGGCCTTGGCCGTGGATGTGATGTTACTATCCTTTGTTTGTTTGGTCTAAATTAATTTAAATCATATCATTTGCTTGTGTATGTGCATGTGTATTTGAGGCTGTGCATTATTCTGGGCTGGACTTCGGTTAGTAGGGAAATAAGGATCGACCATTGGCGGAGAATTGACTAATTGAGCTGTCTGATTTTAGACTTTGTTGTTGAAGCGAAATAAACTTGGTGGTCTTTAGCCGTGAGATGTGATGTAACTACGCTTTGTCTGTTTGAGTCTAAATATTTAAATCATATCGATTTGTTTGTCGTATTGAGGCTGTGATGATTACCATTTTCTGGGTGACTTTGCTTGTAGGGAATAGAATAGCGGACCACTTGGGGAATGATTGAGCCTTCTGATTTTGCTTTTGTCTTTTGACAAATAGCTCTTGGCCTTAGCAGTGGATGTGATGTTCTACTATCCTTTGTTGTTGGTATTAAAATTAATTTAATCATATAATTTTGATTATACATCTATTAACATCGCAATTTACATTTGCAGGTGTGTTCGGATACCCCACACGGAACATGAAATTAATATTAAAAAAATCAAATTTGTGTTGTTAATATATAAATATATATAGAATATTCAACTTATATAATTATATATATTATATATATATATATATATATTATATGAACTTTTTTTTCCAATATGTTTGCACTAAGATTGTCATTTTGGTTCTGTCAGCGTTGTGGGAGAGTTAGTTTCCAATATGTTGCACTAAGATTGTCAATTTTGGTCCGTGTGAGAGTAGAAGGCCAACCGTGAGAATGAAGTTATAATTTATGAAGAATTGTAGTGGTAAGGCATCCTTCTTGATGCTTTTGATGTATCAATTGAGTAGGATGCTAGTTTATCGTTTCTGTTTTGATCTATAGTACATAAACAAATAGCAGGCAGTGTATCATATTCAGCTAGGTGTCTTCTTAATGATTCTTCTTTTTCGTTAAAATCTTTTTATGCATTTGCTTCACAGTCCTTTGAGTCCGAGTCATCTATGATGTTTTAGCTCTCCTGATTTGTCACACGATGTAGTGAAGTTATAATTTGCTGCTGTTCTAGTGAATCCCCACTTAGTAGTTTCACTTTGATTGTGAACTTGTATACTCTTAATTAATTGTAACTTCCTTAATAGTGTTCTGGCCTACATCGACCAACTTGTATTTTGACAACTAAAGGCTGCCCGCTTACCCTTGTATTTTTTCCTGTTTTCTTTATGGCTAGTATGTGGTGAGCCACAAAAAAGGTTAACATAACAGGTACTTCAGTTCATTTTCATGCTCGCTCTTGATTTTGAACATTTTTATTTTGTCATTCTGGCTTTCATTGCTAGCATGTTGCCGAAGGATAATTAGTACATAGTTGTTTTGAGTGTCATTCTGGTCTTTGAAAGTTTGCTTTGCAGGCTGGATGCTTGCTCCGCTTCTTTGACATGATTGTTTGTATATGAATTTGTAGTTTTTTAGGATGTTTGTTTCTTTCCCTTTACATTCATCTGCTGTTTATGGATAGATTTTGAAAATTGCCTATTGATTTTTTTTTATTTGTTGAATTCTAGCAACTTTGAAAGATAAGTCGATACAAACAATGTGCTTAAATAGGGTTTGCTGCAACTTATGCTGGAATATCTTTCAGCATTTGAAGCCAGACATGGATGATTAGTTTTTTCATAAAATGAGATGGATTTTTATTTATTTGTTGGTTGGAAAATTGTTTGATGTCAATGTTTGTTTGAAGAATAATTTCTTTTACTTTGTTTAGTTTACTGGAAAAAATTGTTTCAATTAGGAGATATAGCAAATGATATAATTTCTCACTAGCTTGGTGGTTTTGCTGGTGTCGTTATGAGTTTGAATCTTTGGAGTTTATAATTAGTAAAAAAATACTGATAACAGATATTCAAATATAACATTATCGTAATAAAAAAATTCCAGAAAATAACAAATAAAACGTCATTTATACACGTTGGTAGATTTCTTGAAGGGCCTAAGTTGGGCCTGGCTTATCAGTCTTACGTATTATCAAGATCAATTAATTATATAAACCATGGCTCTTCTTCACCTTCTTGTAGCTCTAGGTTGGTCTCTGACTCTCTGCTGTCCTTCATCAAAAAGTTGGCTCTGCTCTGTTTTAGATGCGTTTATCCTTTGACTGAAAAAAACAAGGGCAAGTAGGCAGAATATTTTCGTAAAACGCCTAATCTTTTGCAAGTTATTACGATTTTGCCAACACATAACATGCAATGACAAAGATACCTTTGCTCTCAGAATATGCCATGCAATGACAAAGATACCTTTGCTCTCAGAATATGCAAGGCCATCACTAGTTTAAGAATAGGCAAGGCCACATGGACAATAATGATGTTCTTAAGAATGTGGCTTTGCTCTCAGTGAGATGACCCAGTATGGCGGTTGCTCCTCTCTCTGAACGACTGCGGAGCCGATGATTTTACCGTCGGTTTATAAAACAATCGCGTATGTGTACGTATATATGTTGTCAATTATTACTCTCTCTGTTCCATTAATACTATATTACCGGCGTAACTTGATCGGAGATCTGATACGTTCAATCTCTGCCAAGGTTCTGTTGCTGCTTACGAAGAAGCTATGACGATTCTTATTTTCTAGAGTGCAAGATCCAAACGATAAAGGAACAATTTTGATTGTTTGGCGGGGCAATGTGAATATTTTCTATCTCTTGCAGATAGATCCATCATTGCAGCCACATTCGCTTTGTTCCTTTTGCCTTTTGTTTATTAAAAGGGCGGAATCTCAGCTCACTTTCATATCTTTCGTTCTCTGTTTTGTGTACAGTGGAAATTTTAGCTCATTAGTTTGAGAACGAGGTTTTGCTCTCAGTGAGATTGAAGGTTTTAGGGCGGTTGACTTCGTCTCTCTGATAAAAAGCGGAGCCTGTGATTTATCTTCTTATTTGCCAACAGCTCCTTCTCCCTCTACAGACAGAGAGGCCAAATGCATAAATCTACCCTCAACTTTGCACTTCTACCCTTTGTTTGGATGGAATGATTGGAAGTTTTAGTAACTTAATGAGGTTATGATGATATTATCAGTGACCTAAAATCAGATTAGAAAAGAAACACCCATCCTCTGGCGGGGTAGGCTTTTTGAAGCAGCGGCTTTAACTCCACTCGTGGTTCCTGAACTTAGACAGCCTTTGGCAGTCCTTAAATATGGGTTTCACCCTATTTCCTGGTAGCTATTGGCTGCAGCCATGATGTGGTGTTGTTTCTTTCTTGTTTGATACTAGGGCTATCTGATCTCAGCCTCCATTTCTCCAAATATCTTTGTTTAGGTTCTGTTTGTTTCGGGGAGATATTTCAAGTGAAGGGTGAGGCTTAGCTCTTGGAGAGCTACTCTGACTGATTGCAGAGCTGACCCTTATTTGTCAATATCTATACCTATCTTTTTCTATCATCTCTTTCTTTGTCTTGTGGGTCTATGCATGGCTGTGATGATGCTGTTATTTTTTTAATGAAAATCGGACAATTGGATGAACACTAGCAACTTTGGGTGGGTGACTCGGGAGCTCTGATTTTGAGCTCTTTTGTTGCAGTCATGGTTGTCATGTTCACTTTTCTGCTTGATGCAGTCATGGTTGTCATGTTCACTTTTCTGCTTGAAAAAGGCGAATCTGAGTTTCCTTTAATATGCTTATATCAAGGTCACTTTAATTTTACATTTTGTGAACATTGTTGGTATGTGAACAAGGTTTGGCATAATTTGTCTCTGATTGATTGCAATGCGGAGAGGGATATTGCGTTGAATTGGTTTTTAGAACCATTGTTTGCAATTGTCAATTTAGTTTGTGGTTCAAGAACTGTCGATTCAAGTTTTAGAGAGGTGAAAGGACAGCGATAAAAAAAAAAAATCCAAGGGATTTATGCGGTCAAGTAATGAGAATTGCTGTAGCAGGTATCGTTCTTTGATGCTTTTAATGTATCAATCAACTGTCAAGTGAATTGGATGCATTTTATTGTGTGGTAGTGGTGATCCCAAAAGTACAAATTTTGAGATTGAGAAGTAATTGAGAAAGCTGCTTGTTAATTTTTTTAATCTTTTAGTCAAAACTAATATAAAAATGCTACTCATGGCTTAGTGTCTTAATGTCAAAGCATTATAGTGTCTTAATGTCAAAGCATTATGTTAAGTATGTCAAAAAATTTGAATGCACTCTAAAATGAGTTATGAGATATATGCATTTTTCTCCAATCAAAGAGCATTGTTTGAGCAAAGTGGAGAAAAGGTCCAAAATGAAAACAAAACACAAAGGATCACCACAGTGGTATGCATATCATCTTTCTATCATCTCTTTCTCGCCCTTGGATGTCTTTGATGCTGAGATGATTCTAATTATTTTTTAAGTGAACAATTAGACAAATTGAATACACTTAGCGAACTTTGGGTGGGTTGACTCGTGAGCTTCACTCGTGAGCTTCTGAATATTCAAGGTCCACTTTAGTTTTACATTCGGTGAATATTGTTGGTAGCATTTGTCAATTTTAGTCTGGTTCAAGAACTATCAATTCAAGTTTTAGAGAGCTGAAAAGACAATGAAAAAAATATGAGGGAATTATGCTGTGTAGCAAGTATTATAGAAAATGATACCGGTAAAGATAAACTTTTTTCTTAAACTCGGTGGTGATCTAACTTGACGCAACCACATGGTCAAGTATTTTGATTTAACTGCAGTTAAGACACATTGGTCAGCTTTGATTTTTTTTTTTTTTTTTTTTTTTTTGACTCTAGTACGTATCACTTCATTGAAAGATGTCACTTTTGGCCAAATGCATGTGAGATGTTCCATTATGTCGATGGAAGTGAAAATTTTCTTTCTAGCCGTGATATATTATTCGAAGAGAACCATCTTTCGGGGAGTTTTTAAAATTTCTGGTGGGAGCCAAATGACTCATGAGTGATAAACTATGCGGATTTGTGTTGTAGGTTATTGGGTAGTTTTTGTAATTTTTTTCCTCGTCAAGGGCAGAGATAAGAAATGGCATAAATTATCATTGCCCTTGAGTTGATTGAGCACTTAAAAAAAAAAAAATCGTTAAAAAGAAAATATGATTTTTCCAGAGAGAAGCATATAGGTAAGGCTTTAGGGAGCAACTTTCTGTATGCAATGTGAAGGGAAAGTGACGGTATTCTACAAAATGAGTCAATAAAATTAACTGTAGTTATTTTATAATTTCGATAGTTAACTTGGTTTATACTTATTAAAGTAACTATAGTTACTATGGTAAATAGTATAATTAATTATTGTTAATTAAACTAATTAACTATAATTAGTTAATGTGTTAGATAGTGTATGTACTTAGTTTATGTACTTTAATAAGTGCTTATATTTTAGATAGTATATGACTAATTAGTTAGTTAACTATACTTAATTAGTAATTAGCAATAGTGGAGTTAGTTATAATTAATTAGTTAAGTATACAATATTATAGTTAACTAGTCAACTATAGTTATTTAGTAATTTTAGGTAGTCTTCTTAATCATGGAGACCTAATTAGTAGTGTGCTTAGTTTATGAGCTTAGTTAATTTGCAATGTTAGAGGGTCTATACGTACTTAATACCTATTATTATAGGTAATAATAGTTGATTAGAAACATTAGATAGTCTATTTGGGAGTTTAGAGCTTAATAAATCAACTATAGTTAGTAATTTTAGATAGTCTTCTTAAACGTAGAGACTTAGATTAGATATACATGTACAAACTATATGCGACTAAAATTATAATTTTTTTAATTTTTAGTAATAGATGTAATTATATTTTTAGTAATAGATGTAATTAAATCAAAATTTAAATTTTATATAATATTTCACTTTTATATACCAAAAAAATACATATTCAAAAATTAATTTAAAAACTTTTAATAGCTATTCAAAGTCATATGTATTTTATGGTATAATTTTTCTGAATTTGTTTTTCATATTTTGCATGATGTTATTTTTTTTCCTTGTTTACTAGATAAATGTGGAATGTTAATTTCTTTTTTTCAAATCGCCTAAACTGCAGAACCGAACCAAATCAAATTAAACTGCTGCTAAAGATTTGGATTGGCTTGAAATTTTAGATGGTTTAATTTGGTTTGGTTTTAAAGTTTTCTCAAACCAGTATTTTAAGTTTGATTCGATTGTTATATTCAAATCGAGTTAAATCGATCTACGAACTGCCCTACTATCTTTTATATAAGGGTAAGAAGCGTCTTGTCTTTTATATGTTCCATCATTTCAAAATTTTCCTCAATGGATTCTGCTTCAACATATAACAATATATATATATATATTTTTTGTGAATTAAATTTTGAGTGCATTACACCATTTCAGATTAAAATTAATAATAACCATTTTTAGAGTTTTAGAGTTTTTGATTTGATAAAGTTCATGCAACTATTGAAATAATAGTTTTTATATTTTTTTTTCAGCCATTTAAAAAAAAGCTATTAGAGAAAAATTCAAATTAACTATGAGCTTCTTATTATATGAGGTTCATATATGAGGATCTTTGTTTTAATTTAATAATTAGATTTTTAATTTATTATTTTATCAATACTTTGATTCTTTCCTCAATATCAAATTTAAAGAAAATTGTCTATTTTCATTGTCCGTTTTGAGAAATTAATTTCTAAAATATTAAGCTTTTATTATATAATTCAACTAAAGCTTTTATTATAATTCAACAAACTACGAAGTTTTTATGATGATTTTAATGTTTTTTTTTTTCATGGTATCATGTTGACGGCAAAGTGGCTGAGCCTTTTGCTCTTTATAAATATATCTATATTATATTTAAATGTAAGAATAGGAGAGTTTTTTGCTCTTGATAAATATATCTATATCTATATAAATGTGGGAATAGAGGATTAATAAAAATTTCAATAGCGCCTTTAATAAAATTTGGAATATTTTATTCTAATTAGAAAATTACATTTTATTAATTGATTAGATAAAATTTATAAAAATTATTTTTTAAAATAAATATCTTATTTAATTAAGAAAAATTACATTTTAATTATATTGATTAGGAATAAAATTTATAAAATTATTTTTTTAAAATTAATATATATATAAAAATAATTTTTTATTATGATAATTTAAATTCGTGTAATTGTATTATTGAATTAATTTGTAATTGTTATCACTTTAATTTTATTAAGAGATTTATATATCTAAGAGATATATATATCTATTGCAATAAATAGATGATTAAGTATTTTAAATTTTTTAAATATTTTTTCTCTTATATTCTTAATCTGTTTGACTTGAAAGAAAATAGTATTTATGCATTTAAAAAAAAAAAACTCTATTATGTGCATATTTTTTTTTTCGAATGTACTGGATAAGTGGTATTATCACTATAGTTAAAGTGAATATTATTATTCATTCAGATATCTTTTCATTTCTTTTTCTTTCTTACCTAGCAGAAAAAAATAATTTATTTTTATTTTAATTTTTCACTATAGTATTATATAAATATTGATTTGTAGTTGAGGATAGAGGCTAAAGATTGAGTCATGACTTGATTTTTTTTTTCTTGGCATTAAAAAATCTTTATTTATAAATTCGAGATTGAAATATTAGATCTAGAAATCGGATTGAACTTTTTATTTTCAGACCATTTCATTATATAAAATAGAATTAAGTACATAAAAAGTAGCATTATATAAGTACAACAATGTTCAATACAAATTAATGAATTGTATTTGTTTTAATATAAAAAATTTATGCTTTAATATTTTATAAATAAAAAATTAGAAGAGTAAAAAAATAAGTGTGCATGCAACACCCGTCGTAAAAAAGATTAGTATCCTAAGAATGAACCAGCACTTTGTTTTGTCTGAATCAAATTATATTAGATGGATACTAGGCATAATTGGACGTTCATACTATGTAGAAATTTTAGGTTAACTTCAACAATTTCTTTGTCATCAACCTTATTCTTATTGTCATTGTTATTGTTATCAGATATTCGGTAGTTGGTACCGATTCAAGGTTGGACGTCAAAAATCTATTAGATTTTGAGGTCTTAGTGCATTGCAAGACTCATGTAGGTTTTTTTTTTTTTTTTTTTTTGCAAAGACTCAGTAGGTTTTTTTTTTTTTTCATTTTTTCATTTTTTTTTTTTTTTTTCAAGAGAATAAATTCGAAAAGAGAACAATAATAAGAACATGAACAATAACATTCAAGAGTCGTAAAATTCATAAAAAAAAATATTAAAAGTCATTATTTTTAAAGTCTTTATAATTATAACAAGAAAGAACATTAAAAGTTATTGTGTTTAAAATGTCATAGAACTCATAAATTAGAGAGAATATCAAGAGTTATGAAGAGCAATATGCTAAAAAACTATAAAAATTCATAAGAGAATATCAAAAAATTATTTTTTTGTTTAAAAGCTATAAATGTCAAAATTAGAGAATAATTTTTAAAGAGGTATTATGTTTAATATCCAGAAATCAGATTTGTTTAAAAGCTATAAATGTCAAAATTAGAGAA